ATATTAAATTAAACAATTAATTTCGCTTTTTCAATAATTACTTTTTATTTATAATGTTAATTATGGATATTAAAATGATTAATAATTAATAACAAAAAAAAAATTAAAATATGTACTATTTATTATATTGTATGTTAATTATTGTAATAAATATTTTAACAAAAATAAATTTTTATATAAATTAAATTAATAGAAATAATAGGATTTAACAATTATTATATTATATTATTTATTAGTTATAAATATTAATAAAAATTATAACAAATCTGCCGTGCTAAGCAAAAAAAGTCTAAAACTTTTTTATATTGTCTTTAAAAGTTTATAAATATAATACTCATTTGTTTTTAAGTTGATTTTTGGTTACACGAGTACGGGAATTTCAACCTAAAGATAAATGTCAGTTATTGACTTTTTGACTTCGTACAACACTCTCTAAATCTGAATACAGTGAATACAATCACTAATTGTAAGTCGAAACTCTTCCACATAAAAAATAAGTGTATATATGCACTTACGCATAAGTGTATATTCACTTATTTAAATTGTTATTGTTAATTATTATTTATTAATTAATTAAAAATTATTAGAAATATTTAAAAAAAAATTTGAAAAAAAATACAATTTTAAATCATTATTAATATATTTTTAAAAATGGAAAATAAATTTAATAGATACATTTAAATTTTTATATGTACAAGAAATGTAATAAATCAGAAATGTTCACAGTTGTCAGAAATCTTCAGAAATTTCAGAAAAAGTCACAGCTTAAAAATGGTAGGAGTAAAATGGGAGGAGCTTAGAAAGTATATGGTTAGAAATGGTGAGAAACGTCAAAAGTGGTGAGAATGGTTAGAAATGTTCAGAAATCCTGAACATTCTTGGTTATTCCTGATTTTATTTTTAGTAGGGAACTGAGTAATAAGGGTAATATGAGGTGTGTAATACCGGTAGTCAAGTGTACACGTTTTTAACTAGTAAATTCCCCCTCGTCGACTTATTATGATAAAAAAAAGTTGATAAAAGGGTAAATGAATGTTTATAGAGTAAATTCGTACAAAATTTGTAATTAATAAAGCAATTAATAATGAATGGAAATGTGCGCGAGGTACCTGATCAGTTCAGCTGTACATTTATTTTCGTGCTATTTTCATGAAAAGAATATAAATTAACGGCAAAAACAATTGATATTTATAAAAAAGTGTAAAATTGATTTAATTTGAGTGTTTGCAATACTAATTATTAAATAATCATTAAGTTTTTATCAAATGTGAATAGTGTTGTGAAAACCTGTGAAAACTAATGAGTTACTACATTACCGATCGCATATGATAATAAAAAGTTCTCGATGAGTGTAACAAAAAAGCTCCAATTTAACCAAGTACATAATTTCCGGGAATGCCAGAGATGGCGCCACCATTTCTTACAATACAGTGCGAGCATGTTTTCTTCCAAGCTTTTGCTTTGAAAGAAAATAAAAAGTGAATTTTAAAATGCAGAATAAAGTTATACAAATAATTATTGATTTCATAATTGTTTCTCGTCCAAAATTACGGACATGATTGCAGCTTTTTTGTTACACTCATCGAGAACTTTTTATTATCATATGCGATCGGTAATGTAGTAACTCATTAGTTTTCACAGGTTTTCACAACACTATTCACATTTGATAAAAACTTAATTATTATTTAATAATTCGTATTGCAAACAATAAAATTAAATCAATTTTACACTTTTTTATAAATATCAATTGTTTTTGCCGTTAATTCATATTCTTTTCATTAAAATAGCACGAAAATAATTGTACAGCTGAACTGATCAGGTACCTTGCGCACATTTCCATTCATTATTAATTATTTAATGCTTTATTAATTACAAATTTTGTACGAATTTACTCTATAAACATTCATTTACCCTTTTATCAACTTTTTTTTATCATAATAAGTCGATTAATAGCTTTTCTATACGTTTTTTTACATGTCTACCTAATGTCTACCTAAAGTCCGCTTAGTTAAGTAGACATTACGCAAATCGAATCCGCCAGGGATATGACATAGGATTGAGATTGTTTTCCTGCAGGTCATTCAATGTAGGTCGTGGGACATAACATATTTTATGTAGAATAGGTCTTTTTATATATACGCTTATATTAGAAATGTTTTTGAGTTAACCAGAATGTTTTATTTTTTATTTATTATTCAGCTTATATATCTTTGAAATTTTATATACTTTATAAAAATAATTTCTATTCTAATAATAGTCACTTATTTAAAAATTTCAAATTATATTACAAATTATTTATTAAATTATTAATATATTATTATTAATTTATTAAATTTGGATTTATTAAAAAATACAAATTGATACTCTGCATGTTTGATATTATTGAACATTTAAGACATTTTACGTTTTAATATTATTTAAAATAATAATTATACGTTAAAAACAAGATTTTAGTTTCATAATGACATTATATTATTGTTATAATTTTTATGCATAATAATTATTTTATTTGTAAACAAATAATACTAATATAAAATTTTGTTATCCATTTTTAATATAAATCAATATTAATTCAATATAAAGTACTTGAGTACTTGCTGTATTTTATTGTGACAATATAGCGCTATACTTATAATAGTTCTACTGCGTTGCTTTGTAAGAGAACATCTACGCTACTCCACTTGTTTCTTAACTTTGTACGGAACCTTCTTGTTAGCCTCCCTTGGTCGAGCGCGTTAAGGCCAGGTCCAAGTCGAGTCAGCTGTTCCTTTGAAGTTTCAATGGAACAGCTGATACGACTTGGACCTGGCCTTAAGGCGCCGCTCAAGCTCTAGTCTTCTTGGTTTGCTCACAAGGAAGAAGCACTGTACAAACCATTTCACAAACATCGTCATTTTACACTTTCTTGTAGCAGAAAACGTTTTAAAGCAAAATTAGCTAAATTTTTCAATCAAATCATCTCTCTATCACTATTTTAAAGTGTTCTTACATATTAAAACAATTATTTAATATTATATTTCTTAAAAAAACATTTTTTGTATAAAACAATTCAAAAATACCCGCCGTGAAAATGACTTTTCACGCATTTTCACGGTCCAGAAATAATGTTCATCTGATCGAAATTTGAGGTATAAAAGCACCTTTATCATGTCGGAATGAAATTTATTAGAAGAAAATTCTGTGAAACGATCAAAAGATTATTTTATTGGAAGGGTAAAACAGTTAGCCAAAAAGTCTATGAGAATCGCTGTGGGGAAAAAATCTTCGTGTTGTTTATGGAAAATGGATTTTTTAAGTGTCTTGATTTTGAAAAATGTCATTTTTCACGAAAAATAAACTATTTTGATTTGTTCTTTATGTGATAGGGATTTGAAATTTTGCTTAGTCTTGAGTATTTTTCCTTTCTTAAAAAAGACATTGAGGCATGCGCTCGAAACAAGGAATCGAAATAAGATATCGAAATAAGGAATTGAAATAAGGATAAACATTGAGAAAGTAAAATATATAAATAAAAAAGGCGACTTTCGTTTTTCGTTAACACTTAATTACACTTTATTAAAAACGTAAATATAAATATTACTATTTCACTAATAATGAGAATTATTAAAATCTGACTGAAAGAAGTTTCTGTGATTCTAATGACGTAAAGAAACATAACCTACTAAATTGAAATCACTCGATTGGCTGCAAAAAATTGCGCGCGTTTATTTTGAAATGTGTAATTCAACTTAATATATTTTCCTACAAGAAAAAAGACATTGAATATATAAAAAAAATTTATTTATTTAAGTAGTAAAATTACAATTTTTTAATGATGTTAATAATTTCAAATAATATTCCTATTTAATCAAAATTAAAAACATGATATATAAATAAAATTAAACATGAAACAGTTAATATATTTTAATGTTTTAAAAATAAAATAATCATATTATTTTGTTAGAAAAATATTTTTTAGTTTTTTTTATTTAAATTGTTACCTAAATTAAAAAAAAAACTGTTAAAATTCGATTAGATAAATTTAAAATACAAATTTCTTAAAAAATTTATATAATATATTAAATTTATTCATATTGTTTTTAAAGAAATTTTTTTTGAATTTATGATTTACAGAATGTAATTTTTTAAATATAACCATTTCTGTGACTACTTTATGAGACTGAAAAATTTCTTTTCTCTATATTTACATTATACTTTACAATTTATCAGAAATTTAAATTATTTATCCAAAAAGTTTATAAAATAGAACCCTTAAATAAAATCCATTAATGAAGTATTTAATCAACAGACTATAAACAATTATAAGTAAATTAGTACGGAGTAGCATAAAGATGAGTATAATTTAAAATAAATAAAAAAAGCAGAAAATCATTAGTGCAAGAGAGATTGTAACGTAAATCAATCTCTTTTATTTCACATTCATAATTTTTTTTACATTTTGAATCGATATGAAATAAAAAACACAAGATGAAATTAAATCATTTTTTAAAATGAAATGAATAAAATGGAAATTGAAAAAGGAAAAGAAGCAACGAAGACGGCTATATATAGACGATTATATATATGATGTATTCTATGCCAAAGTGAAAGTCTATCTGCAATTGCATCTCCGATTTTTTTTTCTTTCAGTACTAATTGAGACTAGCTTTCATGAAAAGTTTTTTGAAAATTGGAGAATTTTCATTAATTTTTAATTTTTGAATCTTTGAATACTCATAACTTATGGTAAAAACCATAAATTTTGGGACTTTTTTTTATGGTTTTCACTATGAGAATCAAATTTTTAGATATTGTCACTATGATTTTCGTAATCAGTGCCCATTATCGGGCTAGGCGTAAAAGTTTCGTAAAAAGAAGTAGATTTTTTAAAAAATTTTGAAAAAAATAGATCAGTACGTCAAATGAGAAAAATGACTTTTTATCATCAGAATTTAATAGTAATATCATTTGAAAAAAATTTTTCGATTTTTTTATTATTTGGTTGACGAGTAAATAACGCATTGTTGAATAAACTTTGTCTTTTTTATTATATATGTGCAATAATTATAATCGACTTTTAGAGAAAAAAAGGCAACATTCTTTATTTTCTATTATATAGTGTTTATGAAAAATTTTAATTTTAACTTTGAATTTTTTTTTCCATTTTCAAACTTCTTTTAAGTCGAATTATTAAATTCTGAAGGCTCAATGGCGTCTTCGTTTTTCACATCTTTTGTTCTCTTTACTGCAGCGAAGATTGGGACAACATTGTCTGTCATTCTGACACTGGAAATTAAAAAAACAGAAATAAATCGATTAGAATTGTTAATATTCTTACTTACAAAAAAAAATAATTTAATAAACATATAATAAATAATAATATTATATTAATTATTATATAAATTTTCAAATTATTATCATTATTATTAAAAATATTATCATTATTATTACATAATGAATTTAACAATAATAATAATAATAAATGTTCATAAGATTAAATTATATATAATTTAATAAAATTTAAAATTGTTCCTACTCCTTGGTCCTCTTGAAGGCAATTTCCTCCTCTTCTTACACATCTTTTCTCCTTTTCATCGCATCGAAGATTTCGACAACATTGTCGATCGTTTTGACACTTAAAATGAAAAATAAAATATATTTATTAAATTACATTGTATTGGAAATAAAAATAAGTTATTTGAGTCAAAATTTATTTTTAATAAAAAAAATTTTTTTCTATAACTTCAAATTTTTTTTTTTACATGGAACTAAAAATTTTTAATCAAATTTTAATTATAAAATTATTTTAATTTTTTTTGATGTTTAAAAAAAGAAAAATATTTTATTATGCTTCAATCAAATAATTTAACTGTTTATTGGATTTGAATTTTATGTCGCAATTTAATTAATTTAAAATTTATCTTACTCCTTGTGACTCTTGAAGACAATTTTCTCTTCTTTCACATCTTCCCCTCACATTGCATTGTAGATCACGACAGCATTGTCGATCTCTGCCACACTTTAAATTAAAGATTTAATTTTGTTTTTTTTTTTAAATTTAAATCTTTTAAAAATAAAAATTATAAAATTTATTTTTAATTTAATAATAATTTTATTATTATTTTATGTTCTTTATAAATAATTACAAAAGTAATGTGAATTTAACATTTTATTAATTTTTCTATTGGAAAATTGGCATTTTTATTATAATATAGTAAAAAAAAAAAATTTATTTGATTCAAATACTCGATTACTTGACTATTATCAAATAAATATTTACTTAAGACAAATAATTTTTATTTGAATCAAAAAAGTTTTTTTTCGTTATATGAATTATTTTTGTTTATTTTTATTATAATAAAACCAATATGGCACTTGATTACTATTTATAATAATAATAATAATTAATAACTTACTCGTCCACCTTCGTTTGAACATCGATGATCACCTTCGACGACTAAGACAAAAAGTCCAACGCACAAGAATAGTAGAGTAAAAGATTTCATCTAATTAAACAAAATTTATGTCATTTAAAGAATAATTAATTTTATAATATTTTATCATAATTTTTTTTTAAATTAAAATAAATGTCATATAAAAAATTAATGTTTGAAATTTTTATTTTAAAGTATTTTATCAGATATAATTATTTTTTTAACGAATTTTCATTTTCGATTTTTAGTCATTTGAAAGAATTTCTTTTTAAACGAATTTTTATATTACAATATTTTGTAGGTACCGAATTTTTATATGACCGATTTTTTTTTTAGAATTTTTCTTTGTCAACTTTTTATTTAAAAAATTCTAATTTAACCGAATATTAATTTAGCAGAATTATATTCAACGGAATTTTAAATTCATATCCAAACATCATTTGTCCAAATTTTTATTTGATAGAATTTTTAAAATTCCAAATTTTCATTTGCCCGAAATTGCAAATGTCCGAAAAAAACAATCGATTTAAATATTATGGCGCGAATTTTTTAAAAATAACCAATCAAAAATTTTCTTCATTATTATTGATTTCGATTAATTTTAAAATTCGTGAAAAATTTTTTGTCAATTTTTTTTTTTTTTTTTTTTGTGGCGTTTGTAATTTCGGACAAATGGGCCGGAATTCGACGTTTTAAGAATTCTATCAAATAACAATTTAGCAATAAAAATTATTTTAGTTTTCGTATTACATTTTAATTGAATATTTATAATTATTATAATTAATAAATTACTAATGTTACGCACTATGATAATTTAATTTATTTATAATATTAAAAAGAGCCAAAAAAATGGGTATTTAAATAATTTTACCTTTTTTTTTTTACTTGCTCAGATTGGTAGTCTTCTTCAAAACAAAAATCTGAAATTGATGTTGAACACAAATTTATCCCAATTTATATACTCCCAAAAATTTGATAATTATTCATATCATTGAATTATTACTTTTTTTAAAAAAAACATTTTTCCTGTTTTAAAAGTGGAATGTTTTTTCAATTTTTTTTCCTTTTCGGAATTTTCAAAGAATTTCGGTTAATAAATTATAAAGTCTATATTTAATTTTTTTTTTAATATCTTCAGTTTTATTTATTTTTTATTTAAAAATTACTTTTATCCTTGTTTATGTACTTTTCATTGTATTATTTTATTTTAAAAATATTTTTTTTTATGAAATAATATAGCGTTTTTGAAATTTTTATTATTATTTATTATTTTATTATGTAATTTTCAATATTTTTCATTTTTATATTTAAAATAATTTTTAATAAAAAATAAGAATACAAAATTCTAATATTTCAAAAAAAAAAAAAAATTAAAAATATTAGTATAAAATTATTTTTTAATTTGTTCGACCTATCATGAATATTTTAAAATTTATATCAAAGGTTAATTATGTTTTTATCCGAATCTATAAGTTTGTATATGTTACTCAACAAAAAAATTCTTTCCTCGTCAATTTTGAATCAATACGTTTCATTCCGAAAATGAATTTGAATCATGAATCCTATAATTTTTTTGTTTTCTATAAATCCAATGGCTTTTGGAAACAGATTAATTCGTATTGATTCAGAATTAAAAAAGATTAAAATTTATAGATTCGGATTGAAAATTTCCTTTATTTTTTTAATAAAAGCCTTCTAAACGAGATAATTTTTATTTTTTTATTTCAATTTTGATGTGCTCTAATTTTTAAATATGGTTTAAATTTCCATTTGAAAAAAATTTTTTTATTTAACTTAACTTTATTTAATCCAATCCTCATGTTTGGACTATTCGTTAATTTATATAATTCGCATTTATCCTAATTTTCATGTTACGTAATTTTTATTATTTAACCTAATCGCCACTTGATAAAAAAACAATAAAAAGCAATTTTTTCCTGCTTTAAAAATGGACTGTTTTTTTTCTTTATTTTTTTCCGTATTATTTTGTTATTTTTAGCATATATCAATTGTCAAGTTAAATTCAATATTTGAATTATTTTTTTTTTAATTATATTTACGTTTTATTTTATTTTTATTTTTTTTAATTTTAAAAATATTTATATCCTTCTATTTACTTTTTGCCATTACATATATTTATTTCATTAAAAAAAAAGTAATCAAATGTTTATTAAAATGAAAATTGAAATGAAAATTTGCGCACATAAATTTTTCTATTACCAAGGATATTTATTTTAACAATTAATAAAAATTCGTCGTTTTTAAAAATCTTTGAGGTATATGTAAATTCGAATAAATGGAAATTCAACTATAGAAAAAAAAAATTTTTTTTTTCTAATATTCTTTTCTGTTAAAAAATAAAAATTTTAACAAATGCAAATTCGGAGAAATTAAAATTCTAACTATAATTATTTTGACAAAAAAAAAAATGTGAAAAAAAATATATAAATTTTGTAAAAGAAATAAAAATTTTTGACGAATAAGAAATTCGAACAAAGACAAATTCTGAAAAATTGAAAAAATTATAATAAATATGAATTTTTTGAAAAATTTAAATTCGAACAAACTCGAATTCTGATAAATAAAAACTTCATTGAATAAAAATAAATCTAGGAAATAAAAAATAAAAATTCTAAGTAAATTCAAATTATTGAAATTCAAAATCAAATAAAAATTTTTAAAAAATTATATTTTTTAATTTTTAAATTCAATATTTGAATTATTTTTTTTTTTCAATATATATTTAAGTTTTATTTTATTTTTTTTTTTAATTTTGAAAATATTTTATTTAATTTTTTTGCCATTACACATTTATTTCATTTAAAAATGAATTTTTAAAAAAGATTTGATAAGATTAGAATTTTTTCAGTGTCTCTGAATTTTCTCTGAAAACGAGTAAATGAATTATTGTGTCATATAAAGTAAATTAAAATTTAAAAAGGCAAATTTAATAGTATATTGTCTTTATTATTTGAAATATTCGTATTACAAAATCACTTCTAGGGGCAAAAAAATAGATTTTCATATTGTCTACTGTTTTTTTTTTTTTTTTAAATTATTTTTTTAATATTTGAATTTTGAAGTTTCTTCACTTTTTGATGTATTTGACCAACATTAAGCCATCCAGTCGTGAACAAAATTGATTGGTAAAATTCAATGTCTCATCACATTCGCCTTTCACATCTCTTTTCTTTATTGCAGCGAAGATTACGACAACATTGTCTGTCATTCTGACACTGTAAATAAAATAAAAAATTAATTTTGAAACCTCATATCAGTACATTTCAATTTACTTGAAAAAAATTAATTTTTTTTAAAAAAATTTTTTTCTAAAAATAATTAATTAATAAATTTTTATTACTCCTTGTGTCTCTCGAAGGCAATCTTCAGGACTGCCTCTTCTCACACATTTGTTTTCCCTGTCATTGCATAGAAGATTCCGACAGCATTGTCGATCGTTTCGGCACTTGAAATAAGAATTTTTATTTTTTAATTATTATATTAGTTTAAAAATGAAAATTAATGAAAGCAAAATTTTTTTAATTAATTTTTGAATTATATTTTGTTTGAAAATCAAAATTATTAATAGCAAAAATTTATAATTTTTTAATTTAAATTTTTTAAATTATATTAGTTTAAAAATCAAAATTATTAGAAACAAAATTTATTCTTTTTGAACTTAATTTTTTTTTATTTTATTACAATATAGTTTCTTACAATTTGTCCCTCTCGTCGGCATATTCCAATAATAATGATTCTCCTTACGCATCTTTTTTGTTTATCATCACATCGAAGATTTCGACAACATTGACGATCGTTTAGGCACTTGAAATTAAAAAATTAAATTTGTTTTTTTTTGTTATAAAAATTAAAAATAAAATAATTTTTGTAAAAATAATGAATAGAATCTTATTTTTCGAAAATTTTTTCTTACAATTTCCAAATTAAAAATTTTAAAACAAATCGTAAAATTATTTTCACTTTTTTTTGTGTTTGATAAAAAATATCTCTTTTAAATTAATTATTTGTTAAATTTATTTATTTATTTAATAAATTGTTATTAGATGAAATAATTATATAATATTAATGTTTGGATGACAATTATATAATTATTATATATTTATTAAAATGGAATATTTAAAAATAAAATATACTATAATTATTATAATTCTTTTTAATTTTTAATTAATTTAAAATTTATCTTACTCCTTGTGTCTCTTGAAGACAATTTTGTCTTCTTTCACATCTTCCCCTCACATTACATTGAAGATCACGACAGCATTGACGATCGTTGCCACACTTGAAAGTCGAGATTTAATTTTTTTTTTAAATTCCACTTTTTTGAAAATAAAATAAAAAGAACAAAAATAATATTTTTTAAATCGAATATTTATTTTTATAACTTTACTTTCTAAATTTTGAATAAATTAGGATTCGCTCATTAATTCAACTTAGCTAAAAATTTACCTTTTTTTTTTTAGTGAAATATTATTATTTGATTTCCTAGTAAGAATTTTATTTTAAATTTCAGTAAAAATGACTGAAAATTGGTAGAAATTTTCACTAATTATTTAGTAAAATTCTAGTATTTGATTTAAAAATAATTGTTTTTACTAAAGTTTTAGCGAAAAAATGATTAAAAAATTAGTCGAAATTTTCACAAATTTTTTATTAAATTAAAATTTGATTTTGTAAAAAAATTTTTTTTTTACTAAATTTTTTTAGTGAAAAAATGACTAAAAATTAGTAGAAATTTTCAGTAATTTAAATTAGTGAACGGATTTTTACTAATTCAAATTTTAAATGAAATTTTGTATTTTTTATGCTTAACTTAAATTAATTTAAAAATTAATTAAAAAAGTGGATCTAACGATGGTTACTTTAATTAATAAAAATAATGGATTAATATTTATAATAAATAATAATAACTTACCAATCCACCTTCGTCTGAACATCGTCGATCACCTTCGACGACTAAGACAAAAAGTCCAACGCACAAAAGTAGTAGAGTAAAAGATTTCATCTAATTAAACAAAATTTTTTTTTTTTTTAATTTATAATTTAATTATTCAAAATTTTTCAATTTTTCATTTTAATTATTAAAGTAATTTTACCTTTTTTTTAATTATTATTTTTCTGCTTAGATGTCCTCTTCGAAATAAAACTTGAAATTGATATTTCACAAATATTTCTCACAATTTGTATAGACTTAAATGAAATTGGCGATTATTTATATGATTTTATTTGTTATTTAAAAAAAAAAAAACGATTTTCCTGTTTCTTTATTTATTTATTTTAAAAAATATATGATATTGAAAATAAAATATTTTTTTTATTTTTCCATTTTGAAATTTTGAGTTTGTTTCAGTTGATAATTTAAAATCAATATTTAATTTATTTTTTATAATATCTTCGGTTTGCTTTTTCTTTAAATTTTTCAATTTATTTTTATCCTTGTTTACTTTTTTTTTTATTGGAAATATAAATTTTTTTAAATATATATTTATAAAATATTTAGATAATATTTTTGAAAAAAAATGTTTTTAATAATTGAATTTTAAAAAATTTTTGTTAAAATTATATTAAAAATAATTAGGTAATTTGTCGAAGAATTTCGAAAATAGAAATTTTAAAAAACAATATTGAATTTCAAAAGAGCTGCAATTGCATATTTTTAGAATTAATCAAAATTCAAGAGACTTTTGATTTGAAAATTTTGCAAATTCGAATTGAAAAACATTTTTAAAAGAATTTTAAACAATTAAATTTTTCTAAAATTTTTTAATTGTAAATTTTTTAAAAATATTATTTTATGATTTTTTCAAAATAATTGAATTTTTGGAGAGCGTCAGTTCCTACACTAAAAAATTCATTGTTTCAGTGCGCATGATTATTTCATAAAAATAATTAGAATTTTCAGTTTAAAGAATTTCATTAGATATTATTTTTTACAATAATTTTTATTTTTTGAATTAGCATTTAACATAATTTCTTTTTATCAACAATTTTTATTTCAAAGAATTATAATTTAATCCAATTTTAATTTAGCATAATTTTTCATTAAATAGAATTTTAAGTGATACAAAATGTTTTTAATATAAAAATTTCTAATTCATCGAATCTTTATTTGTTTTTGAATTTTTATTTGCTTAAATTATTATTTGATATATTGAATTCTTGAAACGTCAAATTTTCATTTGTCCGAAAAAAAATCGACGCATATAGATTTCGTCACGAATTTTAAAATATTCATTAAACCAAATTCAAAATTGAAATTATCAATTCTTGATAATGTCTGATTCTGTAAAATAAATAAATTAAATAATAATAATATTAATAATAATCATAATAAAATAAATAAATTCTGTAAAACAAAAATGTATTAATTTATTAAGATAATTTGAAAAAATCAAAAAAGTCATATCGCCTATAAATGTATATAAAACTAAAAACGAAATTTTTTTATAAATTTATATAATTTTATATTTTTTTTGTAAAAAAAAAGATGCGGGACGGAGTACATCATATTACAACTGAAAGATTAGGATGGATCAAGCAACAAGTAATTATTGTAGGAGGAAATTGTTCTGTTACTGTTATGGATCATGAAGGAAATGAGCTTTACTGGACAATTGCAAGTGGAATTGTGAAAGTAATAATCGCCTTTGATTTCGATGGAGATGCTCAAAATGAGGTAACAATTTAATAATAATTACTGTTTTCGAAAATTTCAAAAATCTTTAACATTTTGCCTCTTTTTTTTGCTAATTTTTTTAATAATATAACGTAATTAGAAAAAAAACTAATTTAAAGAGTAGAAAAAAAACGAAACAAAAAAGTACTAATTATTATTAATAATAATAATAATAATAATAATAAATAATAAATAATAATTTATAATAATTTTTTTGTATGATAAATAAAATTTATATAAATAATAAATTTCGAAAATTTTTTCAAATAAATTTATATTTAAATTTTGTTATATTTTATATAGTTATTGATTGGAACTGAAGATTCTGAGATAAAAGCTCAAAAAGAAACATTAGTTATGTGGCAAGTAAAGGAAACTTCACCAGTATCAGCACTTCTTACTTTGCCAGGGAGGAAATTTGCTTATGCTGTTGCAAACGGAACTGTTGGTGTCTATGAAAATGGAACAAGAATTTGGAGAGGAAAAGTGAGTAAATCATAATTTTTTTTTTTTTTAAAGGCAAAATAATTATGAATATTGACGATACCACGTGAAATTTATACCTGTGAGAAAAAAAATGTTTCAGTTTTTCATTCCTCTTTTGAGAAAAGTTAACAAAAAAAAAAAAAAAATTTTTGAATTTAAAAAAAAAATAACGATCTTTTATAAACAAAATAATTTTTTTTTTAACTTCCAGCAAATCTTACTTTTTTTTTTACTTTTACATTCCTGGAAATACTAAGAACATTTTACAAAAAGTTTTAGAGTAGAACTAATAATTTCTTTTGTTTAAATAATTTGTTTATAAAATTTTTTTTTAGAATTGTCACATGTCATAGGGAAATCATGGAAAAGTCAGGGAATTTTATGAAAAGTACTGGATAAATATCAAATTTCTAAAAATGTTACTAAAAAATTATAATTTTTGAAATTTTCCATTCAAAATTTTACTTCTAAAAATTATTGTCTTACATTTTTATAATTCTAGGCCTCGGATTGACTTTTGAAAAAAAAGTCATTTTAGTCGATTTACATTACAAAAAAAAAAGTCTAAAAAGTCCGATTTTTTATTTTCAATAAATTTAATTGGGTTGATAAAGATTTTATTATTATTAACAATTTTTTACTATAAATTAAATAAAATTTATTTATGTTTCACAGAAAATATTTTCAACAATTTTTCTTTTTAAACCACCGAATTAAATTGAGATAAATTTTCAAGATTTCAATTCAGATTCAGAACAAATTTTGAAAAATAATAATTGAAAGTTACATTAAAAAAAACAAAAAGAATTTTTCAAGTCTAATGCACATTATTTGAATTCAGAATTTCGGAAAATGTTTTAAATAATTAAATCGAAGAATTTTATTAAAAAATTTTATTGAAAAAAAATTAATTTTAAATGGAAATTTGTGAAATAATTGAATTTTAGAAGATTATTAATTAAAAATTTTTAAATAATTGAATTTGGAAGAGTTTGATTAAAAATTTTTAGAAATAATTGAATTTCAGGAGATTTTCAATTGTAACTTTTATAAGTTTAAATTAATGAATTTTTTTTTTACAAATTTCAGACAATAATTGAATTTTAGAGAATTTTCAAATGAAATATGTTCCAAATAATTGAATTTTTGAAAAATTGGATTAAAACTGTTAAAATAATTTATTAAACAAAGAATTATATAGAATTTTCAATTTAATTAACTTCAATTAATTATTTAATTACTAATTGAATTTCGAAGAGTTCAAGTTAAATTTTTTTTCGAATTAATTAAATTTCAGAAGATTTTAAATTGAAATTTTAAGAAATTTTAATAACATTTCTTTTACAAACTTTAAAGAATAATATAATTTTAGAGTATTTTTAAAATTAAAAATTTTTCATTTCTAAAATTGTTGAAAAACTGTATTAAAGTAATTAACAAAATTACTTAGCTTAGAATTTTAAATAAACTTTTTAGAAATAATTGAATTATATAGAGAATATTAGAGAATTTTAAAAAAATTGAATTTTCGATTTTTGAAATTTTTTAAAAATTATATCCTAAACAAAATTTTAATTTTAAAGATTTAATAATTAAAACTGAATTTTTGAAAAACTTGATTAAAGTTATTAAATTAATTCAAAAAAAAAATTGAAGTTAAAAATTTGAGAAATAATTGAGTTTCGGAAGAGCAATAGTTAAAATTCAATTGATAAAGATCAACTGGAAAAAAATAAATAAAAAATTTTTTTTTTCAGGGACATCAACAAAAAAATGAATAAAACAAAATTAATATTGAAATAAATTTTTATCCTTATGTAGCATAAAAATTTTATTACAATTATAAAATTTATTGTTTTTATATATATATTATATTTATCACAATGTTTTCTTTTTTATAATAAATTCTATCAATAAAATCGTTGGATATTAAAATATCGTCAATAAATATTATCAATATACATATATACATATAGTAATGTTGAATCTTCAAATTCACAATTTCTCACACGTAGTTTTGTTTTTCCATTTTCCTTATTAAAAAATAATAATACTCGTTGAATATGGAATTTTTTTTTTTTGGTCCAAAAGGGCTAGATGTGTTTTATATTTTTTTAATATCTGAAATTTTAAAAATATAATATTTATGATTAGCATTTATTTGGTATTTTTTTAAATGTTTTTGCAATGTTTATAAACTTTTGGCTTTTTTTAAATTAAAAATAATTTATTTATTGTTTGGAATTTTTTTTTCTGAAATTTTAATTCTTTCCAAAGAAGAATTAATGTTTTATTTTTACAGTTGAAAAAGATGAAAATAATTTATCAATAAAAATTTTCCCACTGCCTTTAAAATAATTTACAAATAAAAAAAATAATATAAAATATAATAATATAAATATACCAAATATATATTATAAAAATATAATAATAGAAATAGAAATTTATAAAAGAAATTGAATTTTCAAAAAAAAAATTTCGAATTCTTTAGATAAAAACATGCGTCAAAAGAAATAATGTAAGAAATTTGCATTTTAAATTCTCTGTGCGAGAAAGCAATTGAAGAAGCTTAATGCTAATTAGGATAAAAATGATAATTAGGAAAAATAATATTTATAGGCAATTAACTAAAAACCATTTGAGAAAAGACAATTAAGGAAAATAGAATAAATGAAAAATTTAATTTAGAAAGAATAGTAATGAAGGAAAAATGAAATTTAACTATAGAATAATAATATAAATTAGAAAGAAAAATAATTTTCAAATAATTTAATTTTAATTAATTTTTTTAATTATAAAGAAAAATAATTTTTAAATAATTTAATTTTACTTAACGTACGTTTAAATTTTTATTTTATATTATATTTTTTCTAATTGCAGTATAATAATAAATTTTCAATAGTGCAAGATTTTCGACAGCATTCATCTACTATTCCTGTTTGTTGTTTAGGATAATAAATTTCAGCACTTCTAAATTGTTCTAATGGTGAATTAAATCCTGTATTTTCACAAAACATTGATAATAAATTGCTCAGTGCATATGAGCACAATTGTATTTTTTGATTGAGTTTGTATTTAAATTTTTTTATTGGCATTGAAAATGTATTGTCACTCTTCATTATGATGAATATCAATGTAAACAAATAGAATATTTTCATACACTTCATTATATATAAATTTAATCACAATTGAATCACAGCATTTATAATATTTATCACAGTTTTAATGATTTTTTTTTCTTTTTAAATATAAATATTTAACAAAAGAAAATATTTTTTTTTCTATTTTGATATTTAAAATGTAATATTTATAAATATAATAAATTAAAATTAGAATTTTTTTTTTTTGAATCTTCTAAAACTTATTATGACTTGCGAATGTTTAGAACCTTCTTAATTTGTGAACATTAGAAAAATACTGCGGAAGTTTATAGAAAATTAAGCTGTTTTAAAATCAAAGGAAGATGATTTTAAAATTTTTCAAGGGCGGAGCAAAATTTCTATTGGCTTATAATTGATCCTAGCTTAGGACGTTTCTGTCATTATTTTGTACGTTGCTTTCATTAGAATAAAAATAATGGGGGTAAAATAGCAGTTAACTGATAAAAGTTTTTTTTTATTATTTAATTGTTAAATTTAAAAAAAAAATTATAATAAAAAAAATGTTAATAATAAATATATTATGTTAATAATGTTAATAAAAAATTTAATAAATTGTAAAGAAATGAAAAATATAGAGGAATAAAAATAAAATGTAAAAGTTAAAATAAGGACACAACCCATGTAGAAAATAATCATGGAAGACTGGCAATGGGTGCGACATATTATCTATAAAGTTTTTGTAACGTTTAACAAGAAACGTACAACTATACAGATATTATCATGAATCTGTACAGTGAAACTATCTAGTTTCACTGTCTAGTTAAATTGTGACAAAACTATCTAGAAAAGTCCTAGTTTAAACAGAATTAACATAACCTTTTTGCTTGTAGTTAACTGTATAGAAATTGTATAGAAACTGTACAGAATTTCAATATTAAGAATATATTATATTATAAATATTATATGTTAGAATAATTAATAAATTATTATTTAAAATATATACATGAAATACATATAAAATTATAATTATTATTACTTTAGCATATATATTTAATTAATTTTATAAATTCGTAAACTATATACAACTATGTAATATAAATTATTATTATTTAATTATTTTATAGGGGAGATGTATGCAGGTTGAGACAGTTGATATTATATTAAATTTTGTATTTTTAAAATTAATTACTATTTTCTTAGGCAATGTTGATGCTCTGACCAATACTTTTTGAACGACAAATAATAACACAAATAATTCAGTAAAATATAATTTATTCATATAAACTTGTCAACAATTTTACTTTTATTTTAGTAACTCTTCTGAAAAGTGATTTATTGATATTAACTTTCTTCCAACACTGCTAACAAAAACAATCATCATAACCTAAAATATCGCTTGCGTCACGGTCAGAGTTGCCAATGACCCTACCTAAACGCTACTGCGCTTGCGTTACGACAACTCTCTTATAGGTCGAAAAAAGCGCGCTTATATAAAATGCTTAATAATAAGAAAACTTTAATAAAGCAATATAAAAATATTTTTACTATTGAATTTTTTTTGTTAATTATATTGCTTCCAAATAAAAAAATACTAATTTCCTTAATATACTTAAGTATATAATAACAATAATAATAATAATTTTATTATATTTATATCATTATTATAATTATTTTTTAAATAAAATATTCTTTCCCTCTACACTTTTTAATAAATGAAGCTTCTCATTGGTTTTTCCATTTCTTGTTTGTCCATTACTTGCTGAGGACCAATAGTAGAGATGGATTTCTCCTGTCTGCTAGATAATTCTAGATTTACGATATAGTTTCTATCTAGTTTAACTATATATTAAAACTACATAGTAACTAGCCTATCAAATCGTTACACTTTTAGATAGTTTCTGTACAGATTATCTATGTCGCGCCAGTATAGTATCAAGAAAAACTAGAGAGTATCGTTATAGTGCCATGACTATTTTCCACATGGGAAATAAAAATATAGAATATAGTTATAAAATTATATAATTAATTATTTTAATTTCTCAATAATTCATTGCGAGTTTCACATTTATTAAATGATTTTGAAAATTTTCATTTATTAAAAAAAAATTATGAAAATAATTTTTACATTATTTTGATTTGAGTTAAGAATTGTAACTTTAATTTGTAATTTTTTTTTACAGTCAAAACATAAAATTACGTCCATGAAAACATTTGACATAAATGGTGATGGTGTTTTGGAACTAATTACTGGTTGGACAAATGGTAAAGTTGATGCAAGAATTTGTTCAACTGGTGAAATTATTTTTCGAATTCAATTAAACTCGGCGATTGCAGGAATTGTTGAAGCCGATTATAGAAGAACTGGTAGAGCAGATTTAGTCATTGTATCTGAGAACGGAGAAGGTATTGTTATAATTTAATTTAATGAATTAATAAAAAAATTAATCAAGAATAGAAGGGAAGACTCGATAATTAAGATAATTAAGAGATAAATTATTACTTGAATAAATTGTTTTTGGGCGCCAGTCCTTTTTTTGGGATAAAATAAAAAAAATAAATAATTAAGGAATAAAAGAATTAAATATTAAATCAATTAAATAAATTTTTTTCTAATCGTTAAATTAGTCTGGAAAATATTTCAATTTTTGGTTAACAGTAGAGAGGGCTGTTCGTAAAACCATATTCGAAAAGGTTATTCTATTTTATATTCAATAAAACATAAAATTTTCGAAAAAGATTAATAACTTTCTTTATTTAATTTTTAAACATGATAAAAATTTAATTTAGACTCAATATAATATCAAAATATTATATTCATAAGAAAAAAAATGGTTTAATTATTCTTATTCAAGAATAAGGATTTTTTAATTCGAGGAATGAAAGGAAAAATTGAAATATAAATCAAATGAATGATATTTCAGTTAATTTAATTTAGAAAAATAAATTCATTTTTGAAAAGTTTTAAACTTAATGATAATTAATATTAAATTCAAAAGAAAAATTAAATCAAATTCATTATTAGAAAAATCAAGCAAAGAACAATTTTAAAATAACATTCATAATTATGTAATATAAAATTTTGCCAGAAAATTCAAAAAATTAATTGAATTAAAATGGCCGTTGACAACGAATTTCCAATAGAGATTTCCAAACAATTCCTTCTTCTTATTAAATTAATTTCTTTATTTCCTTTTTTATTAATTATATTAAATTTCTTTTTACGAATTGATGTTATACTTTATTTTCTTCAAAATTATTATGAAGATTCCAATATTTAAAAGAAATTATTAAGACACAAAAACGTCTGATTTATACAAAATCACATTAAAGAATGAACAAAAAGATGTTATTTGTTTTTCTCCTAGGAGATTTCGTTACCAACCAAAAAAAAAAAATTAATATCAAAAAGAACATTTATAAATCGCGACAAAAAATAAATTCGACGATCGGTGAAAAGGTTTTCTCATGAATCTTGATGTCGATTTGGTCCAAATTAAAAAAGTGTGAAAATTCAAATTTAATAAAAAAAAGATCTTCTTAAAATTAATTCAGTGAATTCCTGTTGCATTTACAAAGCAGAAGGCTCTGAACTAAGGGTACAGGAAAGAAAGAGAATAGTGATTAATTTTATAATTAGGTTACAATTTATTTAGACAAGTATTTTTAGTTACAACAATTCGTTCTTATGAGAGAGAGAGGGAATCTCGAACCAACCAATCCAGGAAATAGAGAGTTCTGCATTCAACTTAAAATTCAGTAGTAGGTGTGTTGAAAGAAAAAGTACCACTGCTGTGTCCTTTGTTGTCACAGGAAAAGAGCTGGTACCAGCGTGAGTTTATGACGTCCGGAAGATTGACGGGCCCAGGTATAACCGCAAGTCCGGAGTTCTATTAGGCGTGATGAAACTCCCAATAATGAGTCTCTTCCAAAAAAAGGAAGAATGGATAATTGCCCAATATAATGAGAAGTAAAGATCCTCGTTTAATGTAGAGGATTTTGACACTTGATTTTCACTTTCGTATAAGAAAATTATGCACTTGAACTAGAAGACGTCGACTGGTACCAAGAATGAGGTTGATGTTATACGTATGAAGAGGATTTCAGAACTGGTCTCTCCGTGAAAATGTAGTCCTTTTATACTGAATTTTCGTAAGAGAATAGATAAAATTTTATTGTCGTACTATATATTTTTCACCCTTATTTTGTCGCAAGAAAAACGCAACTCGGTATAGATTTAAGTAATCTTATAATATGAATATTAAAGTTACGGTGACGTAACAATATAATGAATATTGGGGACTTATATCTAAATAACGATATACTTCGTTATAGACCAAATTAATTCCTGATTTACTAGTCACACAAATAATACTATTTTGGATTTAACCGGACTAATTCCGGATAATAGAAACCCGACTCTAAAGCGGACTGTTTCGGATTAATTCCACATTCCTCAATATTAACCAAAGTAGTAACTATTGGTCAGAAGGCAACATGTCTTTTACGCCGACAGTGATCAGTTCTTATAGAACTTGAGACTCAAATTTTGATTTTAAATTTAAGTTTTTTATCTCGATCTGAAATTGCACTGGCCGTTACGTCCCAAAAGGCAAGTGCTTGACATTTGAAATCGATAAAGGATTTAGCCAAAGTACTACTTTGCAATTACTCCCATTTTAGACGTACGCTCATAATCTTCGAATGTTTATATGTTTCAGTACGTGGATATCTATCAGGAACGACTATGGATATTTCAGAACCAGGTGAACTTTATCGTCATCTTTTGACTAAAAAAGAAGCACTTGAAGTGGAAATTCGTCAACGACAAGTTTCTACTCCAAGTCTTTTTATGGGCACAAAATTAGCAGTTAATTTAACTTCAACGAGAGGTGCTGTACGTTTAGCCTTAGCATCTGGTCCTGGACTAGTGGTAATTATACAGCAAGCGAAAAGAATAAAGTATTTTTTATTTGTTAAGTTATAGTAATAGTTTAATGATGTCCTCTTGAATATAAAAAAAGTAAAAATACTATAATATTTTTATAGATATTTTGTGCCATCGTCTTTGCAGAAGAAATATTTGAGGGCGAAACATTTGTAGCTCATCCAAGAAAACCGACTGGTGAATTGGAAATTGAACTTCGTCCACCAAAAGATGGTCCTATTGATATTCATATGAAAACTTTTGTAGGAAGTCCTGGTTCAGATTTATTACAAGTAATTTCTTTAAAAATGTAATTTCTGGATAAAATTCTTAAATACATATTTATTTTATGTTCTTTTTTAGGTTTATGAGCTTATGCAACAGTTACCCTCCTTTTGCATGTATGAAATAATAAATCCAGCTGATGCAAAAATTGAAGATTTAAAAGATACTGGTGTTAAGTTTGAGGTTTTAATTTTGGATTATTATTATTTTCATGACTTCATTGAAAAAATAATTTAAATCTTAATTAAAAACTTTTAATTATTCAGACTGGCGACAGACCACAACGAATTGCATTGTGGTTAAATAGAAGTTTGGCTATTTCGGAAGAATTAGAAATAGACGTGGATGGTCCAAATGCTGGAAGATTAGATCTCTGCTTGCGTGGATTAAGAGACAATAAACTACATTTTTTAAGTGTGAACGCAAGTGGAAGAGTCAATATGTTAACTACAGATCCAACATTTGCTGGAGACGTTGTTCAATCATTAGCCAATTATCTTGGTATTGTAGAACTTAGTTCGGAAGCTAATTTTCCAGCAGAGGAAAAAAGAATGGTTGAAATTCTAGAAAAAGTTAAAGGTAATAAAATATGTTTCAAGGAATTGTTTAGAATATTTTCGAGGGCAATATTGAGACTGTCAATACGGTTTTTAAATTGTGAATAATTTTTGCACCTACCGATTATGTTACTCTTAACTATTGCCTTTTTCTATCACCAAAATAATTTCACAGGACGACGCGATGCAGGAAAATCATGGCGTTTTATTTAGAAAGAGAATATAAAATTATAATTCTATTGTTCATTTTCTAGAATTAAAAGAAATTGAAGTAAAACTACAAACTGAAGCGGCAGGAGTTACAAATGTATTAAAAGCTCTGATGATTCGTTTGGAAGACTCAAGAATTCTTGACGATGCAAAAGGAATGAGAAAAAGAATTACACAATTACAAAATGTTGGAGAAAATTTTATGAGAGAAAATGAGATCCGAGATAACAATTATAAAGAACTTACTTCAGCACTTAAAGAGTTAAACTCTGGTGTACAGAATGCTTCCAGGATAAGAGGTATGAAAAACATTTAAAATTTCTATTAATCATATTATGTATATATTATTTTAATAATATAATTTTCCTTAATAAAATTAACGATTTTCATTTTAATAATTATTAATTTAAAAGCCAAGTAATCAAACAGAATTATTCCTCTATCGTCCAGTTATTAAAATTAAAACTTTGTGGAGTTTTTTTTTAAATATTTAATAAAAGATTAAATGAACGTAATTGTATATAATTATTCGTTTTCTAACATTATTTTATTGACTTTAAAAAAATATGGTAAACATTATAATCATACAATGTGTATAATCTATTTGAAGGACGCTTAAAGTAATTATTGTGCAAGTTTCATGAGTAACAGCAGGTGTTTAATTTAAACAAATATTATTTATTTTATAAATTTTCCCAAAAAATATGTTATTTCAACATATTATTATTTTAGAATAAGAAAATATTACTAATATAATTTTCTGAAGTAAATGAAGTTAAAAAATTTAAGTAAATTGAAACATAATTATATGCGTACATTAATAAAAAGAATTGATTAATTTTATAAAACACAAAAAATGTGTTACCAATTTTTCCAATTTAATTAAGTGCACGCGTATAAAATTAATGGTTATTATGTTATAGTTACTTTCACTTGTATCAATATGTATATTAATATATTGATAAGAAAAACGTCTATAAATTTGGGATAACTTTTGTAATACATAACAATAACTCACGTTAAATATCATATTTGAAATTTTTTTGTATCGAACAAGTTAAATACACAAATTTTATTCTCAACATGTACAATGTTTTAATATAAGAAAAACATCAGGTAGGAAAATCTTATTTAGCTATTTATGGTTTAAATTATTCAGTTTTTTAATTAACAAAAATTTCTTTTATTACCCACAGATATGAAAATTGAATAATCAGTACATTAATAACAATTTTCAATATTAAATTATTAGCGAGTAAAAAGAAAATAATAAAAAAAAATGGATACATTAATTGTAAGAAGTCCACTAGCAGCCGTACAACTTATTCCAATCATTAATTACTTAACGATGTTGAATAATTTTTTATTCACTGAAAAAAAATTGCAACCAGATAATAAAAATAAACATATACCAATTGTTAATGCACTCTATGAATATTTGGAAGAGTATCATGATAATTCAACTATGATTGAAAAATTAATTCGAAATTTGTTAAAAGACAGTGATTTATACGGAGAAGAAGAAAATGAAAAAGTTGATGAAATTTTTGTTAATACAATGTTTGAATACATCATTACTTCCCTTGTATTTGAAAAATATGGAAATATCTATGGATTTTTGGCTGATACAATTCGCAATGTTAAAAATTTTAAATTTGATTATATTTTACAAGCAATGAAAGAAACTTTAGCAAATGCAACATTCGAAAATGAATATGGTTCTGATTCAATTCTTACTGAATTATCTGTTAATAGAATATATACAGATATAATTATGCCATTTTTTCCTGAACCAAAAACTAAACTCAGTATATTATCACTTGATTATATTTTTGCACAAGCTGGTTCAATGTATCTTCGACTTGGAAGAATTAATAATTCCTATTTTAATGACAATAATTTTAGATACTCTTATGAAAACTTGTTTGATGAATATATAATAGTAGGACACATGATAAAGAATTTAGTTCATTATGAGAAAATTGATCATTTGACATTAAGAGTTTTTGCTCTACCAGCTCTTTTCTATTATATTTCTACTGAAGATAAAGTGAAACACGAAATTATAACAAATGTAATTTTTAATCCTCTTCATTGGGAGACAGCTTATCAAAATTTTTTTGAATACATAATCAATTCTTACAACCAAATAAAACATCAATTAATTAATGACTATACATATCAAATGCATTTAGAATTTTCGCATTTTCAAAATCGAGCTGCAATGGCAAAATCTATTATAGATTTAAATTGTACTTTTTTGAATGAGAAGAATAAAACTCTGGGAAATTTTACAATTGACGATTGTAGTCCTGCAGTTGTTTTACCTAACATAAATAATTGGTATAAGGATCAAATTCATACTTTGGGTGAAACATACGGAAATTATGATTTAGAATTAACAAAAAAATGTTTTAATGAAATTTTAATTGGTAATCTTACTGGTATAGTAATAAAATTAATAGTTACTAATGATAAATTGGTAAATGATAATTTTAATAATTTACATTATTTGTCTTATGATTTATTTGAATTTTATTACATTGATAATAAAACATCAGATTATTATGCTTTAATACGAGAAAATTATTCTGTTACATTTATCAGAGAGCTTGATGATCCACAATTATTTCTGAAAATAATTGGTCAATCTCTTTATCGATTTATACAATTTGCAAATAGAATTATTTTAAAGTTTTCGAATGAAGGAATAAATGAATTTTCTGAAGAATTAATGAAATACAAAAAACAACGTTTTAAATCCTATTTAAATCTTTCCAACTACAGTTTAAAAAATAATGAATGGTGGAAGGAATTTGGATTATCATTGGTGCCATTTTATCCTTGTTTATCAAAAATCGTCAACTATTATAATAATGAAGAAAATTTATGTGAAGAAAATAATTTAAAATTTCTAAATAAATTTACCAAAGATATATCTTCGTATATAACACATCCAAATACGCAATCTCTTCTTTCTATATTTGGTACAACTCTCAAAGGAATATTTATAAAAGATATGATTACTAACGTAATAGAAAAATCAGTACTAATACAAAATGCATCTGAAGCTTTGTTGCAAAATAAAACAGATATTAAAGTATATTATAATCAAATTTCTTTACATCTAGAAGATCCTAAATTTGAAGCAATTTCAATAACTGAAGACGGTATTAAATTAGTATCACAATTCATTGATGATTTAAGGGGAAAAATTAATTACAATTTTACATCCGTTAATTATATTCTAAATGAAATGAAAATTATGAAATACAGTTATGTCAGAAACATTGGAAATGTTGGTGAAAATAGAGATCGAACATTGTTTGCAAATAGTTTGTATTTTAATACCAGTTTTGGCTATAAGTTCATAAATATTTATGACATGGGAACTGCAATATTAAGAACTAATTATGAAACTAAAGAGAAAATATTTACTACAATGATTCTCGATTTTCCAAAAAATGGGAAAAAATATGTTAAAATAAATAATGTAACTTTTGAATATGAATTTAATTATTTTTTATATGAAATTAATAATCAACTTCGAAGTATAATTCCAAGAATACGGTTTTCTGGGATATTTTCTGACATTAATAACAATAATGAAAAATGTTTGGATAATGAATATTTAAAATTAACAAAACATTCTACTGAATGTTCAAGACATTGGGGTTTAATGAAACTACTTAAGCAAAGAGAGGATGCACTACAATTATTAAAACATAATGTAATTATTGATGGTGAAAATGTTTTATCCGAAGATGAAATACGTAATGAATTGAAGAAATACATTTTACCAAAAGAAAATGTATTTGTATATTACTTTGTTATACATTGGATACATGAAAGAAAATTTTTCGAGCAATCTGATTGGAGTAAAATTTGTAAAATAGACAATTCCGATCTTTTCAATAAACTTCGGTATGATATAATTTTAGATAATAACAATATAACAATCATTGATGGAGAATCAAGAATTAATTCTCTTTATACGTACAGAGAAAGATGTAAGATTGAAGAGGGAACATCGATAGAAAATATAATTAAAAATTTCAATGATGAAAAAGCAGGTTTTTCGGTCACATTTGAAGATTACTATGCTATACGAAATTTTGCTACATCAGGAGATACGAGAATAACTGGTGATACACGTGAAGCGAAACTTATGAAACTTGCTTTATATAAATTAGCCATAAGACAATCTGATGATTTAATACAGGATTTTAAATTCACATTATTTCAAATCGATTCAAAATCTACTGATATTGTTAACAATGAACTGTCTACAGGAAAACGTATTATTTTGCAAAAATTTACATTAACTTCAACAAGTATAACATCTGCCACACGATTTTCGTCGTACGCATCAAATGGATTTACAAATATTCTTTATGAAATAAAATTTACCGATCCTTATTTTAGTGCAATAATCAAACAAGAAATTAAAGAATTTGAAAAATTTAATGAAAATAAAGTAATTCTTTTACCTGGTAGTAAATTTGAAATTACATCAACTGTAGTTGCAGAAATAGAAGGAATGGGTAAAGTTTTAAAAGTTCAACTCAAACATGAAAGTATTGAAAAGTATGAAAGTTATAAACGTATCATGAGAGAAATAGGAAAAATTAAATTGTAAATACGTAAAAGACATTTAGAATTATCAAAATAATAATTTTTATCTAAAGTTTTAAGTTAGATTATTAATATCGTATATTAAAAAATAGGGTAAAACATTTTTGATAAATAAAATAATGTAGTTAATATATCGTTTAATTAATTATTTTCCCAGTCACATTTTATAAAACTTTTTATGACTCCTGAGGGATCGGAAACTATAAATCTGCAACAAATTTGTCGCACATTCATACAGTTTAAATAATTTTTATCATCGTCATAGAAATCTACATTACCGACTGATGGCAAAACAGAAAAATGATATAAAAATTACCGACATAGAAATCTACATTACCGACTGATAGTAAAACAGCTTTGCCTTCAGTCGATAATGTAGATTTCTATGTCGGTAATTTTTTATGGCATCATTTTTTCCTGTTTTACCATCAGTCGGTAATGTAGATTTCTATTTCGGTAATAAAATATCGCAAAAGAAAGAATTATTATAAAATAAAAAGTTTAATACTGCGAGGATCAGAGAGAATCAACAATATGTTAAAAGTATTTGGTGAGATACGTTGGTGATCATTTAGATTTAAAATATTTTTACTATCATCAGAGAAAAATTAAAAATTTCAGAAATTATATTTTGTGGTCCCCCATGTTTAATATTTAAAAAGTGCCATGCGGCATCAAAAAACAGGCATTATTAAATAAAAATTGAATATTGATAACAATACTCGTGACTTTTCTATACTTACTGATAATATTTTGAATTTTAATTCTAGTTGGAAGTGCTGCGACTAATGCAATCAATCGATGTAGGGCGGCAATAAAAGATGAGAATCCAAAGGCGTTAATTCAAGCTATTCGAAACGGATAAAAATTTGGATGATGGAAAAAAAATTGCAGAAGTTATTTATGATTCTAAATCTAAACTGATTGTGAGAAAATAAAGAAAATCGGAGATCAGTTTTAAAATCATAGTTTAAAAACATTTCGTGGGAAAATTCGTGTCTCTTGTCGACTTTACAAATTCCATGACATATATAAAAATAATGACTGAATATTTTTTAAGTAATTTTTAATGAGGCACGGGAACTATTGTTTTTCATGTAAAATATTGTGCGAGTGAATCTAAAGGTTTGAAGTAAAGTAAAATAATTATTATTTAGATTATAGGATAAGAATTGCAATTAAGTTAAAAAATATAATTGTGCAATGATTAATGTAAGGAATGTAATGTATATTTGGTGCCTTAAACTGTACTTTATGCAGAAAATGTAAATAAACATTACTTTTTAACAAAATGTTCTATTTATAAATTATATTATTAATAGCCAACTTTGATATTAAAAAAAAAAATTCTTTTATTTCGATTCATATGTCTTATTACATACAAGAAGTGGATTTTTTCTACAGTATTCTATATTGCTACAACATTTAGCTACTTTGTCCATTAATTCTTGCTTGGTGAAAGATGATCTCGGAACTCTCGTAAAATATTCTCCAATAATTTCCTCCGTTTCCGCCTCAGTTAAATTGAAAATAGCGTCGATTCCCGTTTCCTATTTAAATATTTCAAAATATTTTAGTAAATAGTGATATTCAAAAAAATTATCTAAAAATTAATAGGAAATATCATATAGAATCAATTCTATACATGCATGATAAAGCGTTATTCATTAATTTTATTAAAATTTAATTTTTACTTCTATGTACAAATTTTTTTTCGTTTATTGAAAGAGTATAGAAAATGAATATATAGTAATATCGTTACTTACAATTGGAAGTTTTGTAAATTGAAATGTGATTAATTTGTCTCGAATGTAAGCCAGTGATTCTCTTTTATTTCTATAGCGTTTTTCCATAACTAAAACATTTTCCAATTGGCATTATTTATTATATTTTAATTTGGGTTGTTTTTATTTTAATATATAATATAATTCTTAAGAGGATGCAAGAATTAATACTAAATGTAGAAAAAGGAATGATAAAATAGCTAACTGCATACATATATTGTTTTATTAAAATATAATCCATAATTAATTTAATTAGTAGTAAGGCAGGGAAAGTAAATGAAGATTATAAATATTAATTTAATTAATTAACTAAAGTAATTAAATTAATTAAATTCATTAATTACATTAATCAAATAAATTAAAGAATTTAATTAACTAAGTTACTTAACGAAACTAATTAACAAAATTGATTAAATTAATTAAAAAAATTTATAAAATTAATTAAGTAAATTAATCAAATTAAATAAATGAATTAATTATTAACAATTAAGTTAATGGGGCCATTAATTAAAAAAATGTATCCCCTTCAAAAAGATTTAATTAAATCCTAAAATATTAAAATAATTAATTACTAAAATTTATCAAACAGACGCAAATAAAAAAGGAGAGATGAAATTACTTTATATTTCTATACTAAGATATTTTAAGTGAAATCCACTTTCTGTAAGTAAATAGTTATGAGATAAACAATCGTAAATATAAAATATGATTATCATTTTTAAAAATTAAATTATTCTGATTTCTTAATAATGAAAATTTTAATTATTTTGATGAATTTTTATATTATATGATGAATATATAAATGTTTTTCAAAAAAAAAAAAAAAATAAATAAAAATTGACGAATATCTTCCTTTCTGTCCAGTAAATAAATTACCATATTTTTTCCTTGGAATATGTACTTCTCTTTTCAACCGTGAACCATGACAAAGTTCTAACATAATTTCCAAAAATGTATTTTTACAATCAGAATTTTTTGCTTCAGAATAATTAATGACAATAAGGACAATAAAACTGAGAAGCACAATAACTCTTCTTTCATTTAGAGTCATCCTTTCGATGAAGAATAAGTGAAACACTAACTCTTTGAATTAATTTCAGATATTTTTTAAAATTCTTCTTATCCAAACGTACGTGCTCAAAGTGATCTCTTACAATCGTCTTAATAGCTATTTACCTGTCTCTTTGGTTTATGAATACTCTGTCATGGAGTAGGAATGCAGTTTCCATGGATCATATAATATTGCAACATATTTATAATCCCATGAAAACAGGTGTCAAGTCGAGGCCACTGTCCTATCATTTATTCATTGTTAGCAAAATCAATTATTTATTAATATAAACATAAAGATTCCTGAATGTCTAAGACATTCTTAAAGATAAAATTTCTTTAAAGTGTACATATATATAATAAATAATCAGAAATATTCTAATTGCAATGTTAGGAAAATATTTATGAAATTTAATCACAACTTAACGATAATATTAATTCCATATAATATTAAGCATTCCAGGTTGAAGTGACCCAGGTCATAATTTAGAATACCGGAAAAATTTAATTAAAAATTTTACACAAACTTTAAATCCTATTTGATGAAATATCAAATATTGAGATTATTAATTTATTTATAAACAAATGTGAAAAATTAAATAGGATAAAAATATCAAGTTTTTGTGCTACATAAAATATTTACAAGTTTATTATTTGAAAAATGGTTGTTGAATTGAATTTATCAAATATTTAGTTATATCATAAAAAATTTAATATAATTTTTTATAATAAACCATAAAAATACACTTCTTGAAAATCTGTAGGAATAAATGTTTTATTTCAAACTATTGATGTTTTAAATCAATCAATTTCTTTTAAATTATTAAACCAAACAATATTGGCATTATTTCCTTCATGGGTTCAGATTATAAAATATTTCTTTATGGTCATGTTTTTAAATGAAGTTATGCATACTTATAACTCAAGTTGATAAATTAAAATAAATGCAATTCGACAATTTTAAAGGCATTAAATATAAACATAAGGTAAAGTTTACAAATCGTATATAATTTAAATAATATACGTGCCAGATATATATATTATAGATTTCTCCGAGTCAGTAAAATAGGGTAAAAGAGAAACAATTCTCTTTTACATTTCAAAAGGACAGCTGTCCTCTTCAAGAACTATTTTCCTAACTTTAAAATTAAAACTCAAGTTGTTTTTACAAATATCAAATAGTAACAATATAAATTTACTGATAAAAAGAAAATTCAAATCACATCAAGGTAATTGATTTAGAAATATCTTCCTCAAAGCGAATACTTATATATATATTTATTTATTTATGTAAAATCAAAATTAGTTCTATGCTATAAAAATATAAACCTAATTTAAATAATTTCAAATTGTGAATTTTTTGCAGTTGTTTTAATTAATTAAATTAATTTGAAAGATAAATTTCCCCTTTAAAATGTGGGCTTGCAAATTATTGTTATGTAACATTATTATAATTTACTTCCAAAGCAGTGCAACGCAATCTGAATGGTTTCAGAAATTAATAAATTACATTCAAATTGATTCAAGGAAATATCAAGTATTCCTTATTTCTAACAATAATGATATTGACAATGGAACAAACCATGTTCTGAAAATACCAAAACACTTTCCATCTCAGCTAGTCAGTTTTAATTGTTTGACAGAATCTAGAACAATTTGCTTGAAAAATTATCATCAGTTTCCTGAAGATCCACGACAAACAAATTTGCATATCATCCTTCTATCACGGAACGTATCAAAATGCATTCGACAAACTATCGATGTGATCGATTTGTTAATCACCTTATCAAAAGGTAGAACCCGACCAAAATGTTTAGTTATCCTTTCCACAGAGAACAACAAAGTCTCTTACAAGAAATTATTACGTCAAATGTGGAACAAGCAAATTTTGGATGCCACTATCCTCAAGATTGACAAGAAATCATTTGTGGGCAATTATTTTCAGGATAGTACAATTGAAGATGCAACAATTATCCAGTACAATCCATTTTCAAAAGCATTGACAAAATCGAGATTGTCATCAAAATCTGTGTGGTTTCCCGACAAACTTCGCAATTTGCATCAAAGTCGCTTGAAAGTAGCTCTTCAGAGTGTGTTCCCTCTGGCGAAAGTATTGCGCAATGCTTCAGGACATGTAACTAAATCTTCAGGAGTAGATGCAAATGTTATCAAATTTATGGCAAGGGAAATAAACTTTTGCCTCAAACTAATTGCATATAATTATACCAACTTTGGACCTTATGATATAAACGAACCTAGATCTGAAAAGCGTCAGGGATTAACGACAATGTTAGCTAGAAATGAATTAAATATTTTGGCAAATATTCTTCCAGGAAAACAAATACAAGATTATATTTGGTCTGAGGTCAGCAGAGAAATAGATCATGCTATCTTAAAAGTAATTGTGCCTATTCAGAAAATCAAGGTTTCATCTTGGATTATTACTGGAAGAATGGTCTGTACAAGTGCCGCAAGTATTGCATTGATTCTTTTGCTATTGATTCTAGCAAGATTTTTGAAGTTGGAAAAAGATGTATGGCAATTTTTTGTCCTTCTTCGAATGATTTTCACATTCGTTGCTGACAAAAAGCCGAAAAAAACTGCTGATCAGATTATTTATGTTTTTTTGTCGCTCACATCGATGATATTGTCAATGGGAATATTCGAAGTTTGTACTGATTCAAACGTTAACTATGAAATTGAGATTAAAATGGACAACTTAGAGGATTTTATAAAATCGGGTTTGAAACCAATGATTGACAAAGGAATGAGGAACTATATGTTACCTTTCAGCAACGGATCGGTAAGAATCATTTTAGAAAATGCTAAAACCGGAGATATAAATCAACAGGCTGTTTGTTTAGAGGAATTAGTAAAGTATCGTAACGTCGGCTGCATTTTTAACTCTTTCACTGCTGAGTATGCTTTGCAGAAATACAAGGATCAGTCAGGTGAACCGCTTATAAAAATCATTCCAGAATCTATATACAATTCATGGTACTACATGAGTTTTGAACAAGGATCGCCGTATGCAACACGATTCAATCAACTTTTTCTGAGAATCCAGGAAGTTGGAATTCGAAAACACTTTGGAGAAAAACCAAAAATCTTAAATGAACAGATGAATTTCGATTTAGAGAGAAAGGAACTTGAAAAAATGTGTAAGCTGATACGATTTTTTTTCTTTGTATTCCTTGTCGGAAATTGTTTATCAACTGCTGCCTTTCTTTTTGAGATATTTATGTCAAGAAGAAGTTTCTAAAAAGAAAGTCCTTTTTACATTTCTAATCAGAAATTTATAATTCTCAACTATTAATAAATATGAATGTAAAGGTTAAGTTTGATCATCTTTTGTATGAAATAATAAAAAAGGATGTGAAAATTTCGCATTTATAATCAACGATTAAACTGGATATGTGACGCTCAACGAGAGAAGGGACCTTAACTCAAGAGTAAATAAGGTCCCTTATTTGATAGAACGTTACATTCGTATTAATGTCCAGATTGGTGATATTCATCAGGATTACTGCAACTATAATCTACTACCTAATTGATCCTAAAAGACGACTTTTACACAACCTGAGTATTATTCCGTAGGAAACTGTTTAAAAATTTATCTTTAAATTGATATTTATTTATTTCCTTCAAAAGTTTATGAAAGATTTTTTTAAACTCACAAAAGTTATAAGAATATTTTTCAATGCGTCACCTAATATAATTACTGTTATTATCAGAATGAATAATTTATAAAATAAATACAAAAAAAAAATTGTAATAAAATAATTGTCGTTAATAATAAAATTAGTAGAAATGTTGTTTCGAGCAAACAAGTTGAAAAATTTAAAAATATATTTCAGAATTCAAAATTTTCTTGGTATTACTTATTGTAAAAATGTAACGCCCTTGATAAAAATAAAAACAAAATTGATTTATTGATTTCAACCTTTTAGGTGTAGCATTATTTTTCACTTAAAAATTGATTTTGTTTCAAAGTAACATTTATAAAGTAAAGCGGATTTTTTTTTGTTTAAAAATATATATTTGGGCAAATCCACGAAACTTTTAACTTTCAAGAAAAGAAAATTTCTTTTTTTAATTTGCAGGCACATTGATGTCACTTTGTATACACGTTTAAGTACATTTTAGCACTACAAATTTATATGCGTGATTCATTTTTAGCTCGCGCCGTCAATTTTTAACTCTTTAAACTCTTTAATGTTAATAAATTACATATAAAATTGAAAAATTCAATTTTTTTTATTTTTGATATCGGAGTGGTTTCCAAAGTATTTTCGTCCTCTGAACACGATTCTGGCACCCAAATTTGCTTAGCAAGTCAGGATTTTGAGAAAAGAGGGGGTAAAGACTCCAAAAAAGTGTTTTCAGCATATTCTTAACTTAATAAAATTTGTTTCACTCAAAATACTTAAGCGGCGTTTTTGTGTTCAAATATATGTATGAAAATGTTTCGATCACACCATAGATTGACCTGTTTAAAGCAAAAATGCAGTTGTGCCTTTCAAAAATGTATAAATTTAAATGAAATCACGATTTTTATTATCTTCTAATTGCTCCTACAGGAGTACATTTAGAGGCACATCAATGAAAAAGGTCTTAAAATTTTCGTTTTTTCATTCTCTATTCAGAAATCCATTGAACTTTTATTTTTATTGAACGCCGCACAAGATATTTCCTTAAGAAGATGTTTAATTAAATTGTCTCAAAAAGTGGCGTCACTCAATCAACCCTTCATATCTTTATTAACATTGAGGGCACACTAATGGGATAGTGAAAAAATTTTGACAAAATATCCCAAGTAGAAATGTGCCACTGGCATAGTACTGACCCAACACTGCCAGTCAGTATAACGGTACTGACTGCCGTACTGGGCCAGTAGTGGACCAACCCTGGCTGGTAACGCTGTCCAGTACTGATTTTGTCCCGCTCACCAGTACTAACGTAGTACTAGAATAATACTGGCATAATACTGGCAAAGTACTCATCCGGACTTAAAATCTCACTTTTTTACAAAATGCTAAAACACGCTTTCCAATGCAAATTTCATCCTTATTAGCTTATTACTCCCATTTTTACCACGAACAGGTAATGTGAAGCCAATAATAGTTAATGTTATTTAGAATATATAAAATATTATTAACAATAAATAATTAAAATAATAATTATCATTTATATTGATTAAATTATTTTACAAAAAATAATTTGTGTTGTAAATTTTTTTATTTTTTTAAATGCATAATATTTAATTTTTTTTACTTTGCACTTATACTTAATTTAATAATTATTTAATAATTGATATTACACATGAACAAATATTGTACTTATAACACTTAAAACTAAGAACGAAAAATCTCGCACGCATGGGGGATCGAACCCTAAACCCTTAGAACGCAAGTCAGATACGCATACCGCACAGCCGCGCTGGCTTGAAGTGCTGACTTGAAGTAGTTCACCTAATACAAAAGTTTTGATTTCAAAGTTTGTATTATCTATTGATCACGAAAATAAAATGAATTTATTCTTAAATTTTTTAAACTCATAAAATTTTTTCAATTTTTACAAAGATTTAATGAAATAAAACTGGATATCAATTTCAGTTAAATATTTTTAATAAATTATTTTTACCGTAAATAATATTAAAACAGACAAAAATGATTGATGAATTACATAATTAAAAATAAGTTAATAAAAGACGACTGTAAAATATGAATGGTGAAAAATTTTTTAAATTTAATATTTAATTATTAATAATATTTAAAAATTACAGTGAAAAAATTACATTTGCTTTATTTTTAAAACTATTAGAAAAAAATTCTCAACTTATTGTTATTGTATGCATGATAAATAACTTAATGCACATATTTCAATGAGTACTAAAATAACTAAAAAAACATAAATATATTTTATATAGGTATATAATAATACATTACAATTACATCCAAAATTTTGAGGGAAAGTATTCGAAAGAAATTAATATACATTTTTTAAAATAAAAAATCATCGTTTTCTACCTATTGAAATAATTTAAAGACTTTTTCATTTAATGTTTTTTATCACCGACATAGTACTGATTCGGTGTGAATGACAGTGTACTGCCAGTACTGGTTTTAATATTTTTTTACCTCCGACATAGTACTGATTCGGTGTATTAGTCAGTACACTGCCAGTACTGAAAGTCAATACCGACAGCCAGTATTGGATCAGTACCATGCCGGTGTTTAATTACGGCGAGCTACGGATATTTCTACTTGGGATGTCTGTTAGATATTTCCTTTGCAGCTGAAGCGATATTTTACACGCCGCAAAAGAAAATTCGTTAAGAATGTAAACTTTTCTGACGGTGTCACATGAAATTTCAGTGTTTTTTCACTTTTTAACTTATAAAACTAATTGACAAATTAATATTTTCTTCTAATATTGTACAAAAATGTTACTTTGTATATAATTTAGCAAGAAAAAATTTTATATTAAGTTTTAATTAAAAATAATATAGACTTTTAAGTGTTTGATTCAGGTGTCATAAAAGTTAAAAGTTTCGTGGATTTGCCCATTTATAAGAATTTAAATATCGGACAACCCGATGAAAATGTTCCATTTTAATTCATTATTTCACTAATATCGTTTAATTGTTTACCTTGAATGTCTAAAAAAAAATTTTAATTAGATAAAAATAATAGTAAAAAAATATTTTTTTTACTTTACATTTAAATTCAATTACAAAGAATTCTTTTGGTAAAACAAAAATATTTCTTAAAAATACGGAAATCAATAAATACTTATTTGCAAGGAATATTAAAGAATAAATGAAAAAATAACTCTTATGTTGTATGGTTATTAATTTCAAACAAAATATTAATTTGTGCGAAATAAATTTTTTTCTTATTCACATATTAAGCTACAATCAATAACTTTTTTCTCTATGTGTACACTATGTTTATTTAGTTCTTATCAACAATCCAATAATACTTACCATAGAGCGATGAAATCTTCTAATGTATAAGTAAATTTTAAAAAAGTAAAATAGCATTCATACTTATACAATACTTTGATAGGAGCTACAGAAATGCCTTTATTTTAAATGAATTCCTAAGTCAGAATAGTTGTCTAATACTACTGAAATCTTTTTTACTTCGACGTTTTGTAAAAATCATGTTACTACCAAAATTTAATTAATCAAAACATTGACATATTAATAGACTTTTATTTCGATTGATTGTCAATAACATTCTTAAGTTCCAGGAATACATGCAAGGGAAAAAAGTCACAAAGGTACGTAAATATTATCTTAAGTTTTATGCTGTACAAACATAGGTAAACCTATAATTATTTTTAATTCTTGTTAAGAATACGTCAAAAATATCTAAATTTGCATGTGGTTTTCGAATTAATTTGCAATTTTGTGAAATTATATTGTTGAAGAAAAAATGCACAAATATTTAAATAATTACTTGATCCCTTCAAATGTGATCTGAAAGTGAGTATTCAAATTGTTATTGTGACGAAATAAGTCGTTACAGCTTATAATTCCCTGAAAATAAAATGAATTTCCAATGTTTCAAAGTGGTTGTCTTTCTTCTCGAATAGGTTTTTCTCTTCTTTCTTTTGCTCAATGTTTGTGAAGTGTGACTTTTGTCAAATCTTATTAGAAATGTTTATGCACATGATTAATCGGCGCTAACAGTCGCGTGGTCAACGTCCCTTCCCGTTTTCCTTTCAGGTGCTTACATTTTTTGAGATAGCAGTTCGGACAATTGAGCAAGCCGTTTGCTCAATTGTCTAAAATGCATTCGGACAATTGGAGTGTTTGTTCAATTGTCCAATGCATTATGCCCAATCATCCGCAATATTTCTCGTGTCTAAAAAGCTGCTAAAATAATATGAAAAACTATTGAAGCATTGAAAAAACGGTAGAAAATGCATAATTCTTGATATATACAGAAAAAGAAAGTATAAAAATACCTCGCTCGAGGAAAAGGAAAGAGTTTTCCGAAAAATCACTTTTTAACTGACAGTATACTGCTGTACTTGACATTTTATGGGTAAAGAAGAGAAGATTATGATAATGAGTGACACTTCATTATCGACTCTCAATATTTGTCGAATGGTAATATATAATAGTACATTTCTTTCTGATTTTTTAAAAAAAGGAATAATTAAGCAAATTAAAAGTTATTGTTTTTTACAATTTTTACAATTTTTTATGCTGCACTAGTATCATTTTTCTTTAAATATTTCTATTCATTCTTAAATTATATATATATATATATATATTATTTCCAAAAATTTTTAAAATTTTATCTATTTGATGTATAATTATAATATATATTATAATACATAATAAAAATAATATTAATATAATATTATTAATTATTAATAATATATAATTATAATTATATTTATGTACTAAATAATTTGAAATAATTAAACTAATTTTTAATTTAATTAATTTAAATTTAAATAAAAATATTTAAATTAGTACTAAAAAAATATAAACATATAATAAAAACATAACAATAAATGAAATATAAAAGTAAGAAAATTTTTAATTCAATTAATTCAATAATTATTCCTTTTTTAAAAAATCAGAAAGAAATATACTATTATATTTTACCATTCGACAAATATTGAGAGTCGATAATGAAGTGTCACTCATTATCATAATCTTCTCTTCTTTACCCATAAAATGTCAAGTACAGCAGTATACTGTCAGTTAAAAAGTGATTTTTCGGAAAACTCTTTCCTTTTCCTCGATCGAGGTATTGTTATACTTTCTTTTTCTGTATATATCAAGAATTATGCACTTTCTACCGTTTTTTCAATGCTTCAATAGTTTTTCATATTATTTTAGCAGCTTTTTAGACACGAGAAATATTGCGGATGATTGGGCATAATGCATTGGACAATTGAACAAACACTCCAATTGTCCGAATGCATTTTAGACAATTGAGCAAACGGCTTGCTCAATTGTCCGAACTGCTATCTCAAAAAATCCTTTTTTACTGGGTACATTCAGAAAATAATATTCAGGAGTGTCTACTTTAAATGTACCATATCATAAGTCACAATTAGTTGCTTTATCTACTATGCGTTCTGTGTGAGAGCCCCCATCTTTTTTATTCATGGTACAGTCCTGAATGTTTACGGTTTTCGGCGTAGCGGTCGCGTCAAGTTAATTCTATATTTATTTTTCTTGATAACCAAAGATTAATTACCTCAGTATCCATCCACCCATCTATCTATTCTTCCAAACATCCAACCATTTATTCATCCTTCAATCTATACATCAATAAATCCCTCGATCCATTCATTCATCCATCTAAACATCAATAATTACATATGGAACTTTTTATATCTGTTATTTTCGTTCTTAATTTAACTTTTTGTATAAACCATACTGCACGAGTTTCCAACCTTTTATCGAGGATAACATTAAAAGTTATTGTTGGAATTAAAACGATAATGTTATTTTCATATATATAGCAAATAAGTTAAAGTAAAATCCAAGGGAAAGGGAAAAGCCAGGTACTTGGAGTACCTAAGCACATTTTGGGTTTAGTCGTACGAAAAGGGTCTTGCAGTTTGCACATTGTACGGTTCATTTAAGATTTATTTTAAGTTCAAGACAGATTTTAAGTTGTTTAAGTGTATAAGCCATTTTTCAAATGTTAAATAAAGTGTTAATTCATTTGATGTAATTTCCCTATCTTTTTTATCTTATACGTGTTATTATTTCCATATAACCTATCAAGTTTCAACAGTTATCATTCTTTTTTAATTTTGGTAGAGGAAACATTTGATCAGAATGACATCAACTACAGTATATTCAAGTATTAGCCAATTTCACCGAAAAAAAAAACTATATATTTTGTGCTGGGTACTTTATTTAACGGTGTTCCGTAATGGCAAGCAGTGGTTGTCTTTTAAAGATGAGGTACATTTAATTTCAAAAATATTATCCTCCCAATTCGGACAGAAATTTCAAAATCGGAAAAGTACCAGTTATCCTGAGTTTGTGTACTTTCATTTGCCTCCAAGAAATTAAAAATTTATTCACATACAAAACGACAGGAAGTAAAATAGGAAGAGTATAAACATTTGAGTAGTACAGAAATTTACCGTCTGGGGCAGCACTTGACGGTTACAAAAAATTTCTTATTTTACTTCCTGATGTCGTTTATCGTAATGAATTTTCAATTTCTTGTGCGTAAATGAAAGTACAACATTTCAGGATAACTGGTATTTTTTTTGATTTTTCGGTTTCTATCCTAGTTGAGAGAAAAATCTCTTTTAAATTAAATGCACCTACGAGTAGACAATTTTTGAAAGACAACCACTGCCATTAAGGAACACCATTAACTGATAATAGACAACCTTCTTAAAAATTTTTGACAAACAACAGAAAATAGAAATTGCGGTATCTTAATTCAAGCACAATTTTTATTAACATTCAAGGCCCAGAAATACAACGTAATTTTTAACATTATTTTTTTTTAATCCTTCAATTTTTTTTCTTAACATACACTATAGTATCACCAAATTACAGATTAATCCGAAAAACTCATAAGAATTATGATATTTCTGACGTATTTTTACCATTGTGTTTTTTTACAGATGCAAATATCTAACAATGATTCGACATACCAATAAATTTCAATGAATTTAACTTGAAGAATAGATTTCCTGTTAAAATGTGGGCTTGCAAATTATTGCTATACAACGTCATTATAATTTACTTCCAAAGCAGTGCAACGAAAACTGAATGGTTTCAGAAATTAATAAATTACATTCAAATTGATTCAAGGAAATATCAAGTATTCCTAATCTCTAACAATGATGACCTTGACAATAGAACAAATCATGTTTTGAAAATAGCAAAACACTTTCCAACTCAGCTAGTCAATTTCAATTGCTTGCAAGAATCTAGAACAAATTGCTTGAAAAATTATCACCAGTTTCCCGAAGATCCACGACAAACAAATTTGAATATCATCCTTCCATCACGGAACGTATCAAAATGCATTCGACAAACTATCGATGTAATCGATTTCTTGATCACCTTATCAAAAGGTAGAACTCGACCAAAATTTCTAGTTATCTTTTCTACAGAGAAAAACAAAGTCTCTTACAAGAAACTGTTGCACCAAATGTGGAACAATCAAGTTTTGGATGCTACTATCCTCAAGATTGACCAAAAATCATTTGTGGACAATTATTTTCTGGATAGCATGATTGAAGATGCAACAATTATCCAGTACAATCCATTTTCGAGAGCATTTACAAAAACGAGACTGTCATCAAAATCAGTGTGGTTTCCAGACAAACTTCGCAATTTGCATCAAAGCCGTTTGATGGTAGCACTTCAGAATTTTTTTCCTCTGGCCAATGTATCACGCAATGCTTCAGGACATGTAACTGAATCTTCAGGAGTAGATGCAAATATCATCAAATTTATGGCAAGAGAAATAAACTTCTCCCTGGAATTAATTCCAAACAATTATACGAGTATGGGACCGTACAATATTAAGGATCCTAAATCCGAAAAGCGTCAGGGATTAACGACAATGTTATCTAGAAATGAATTAAATATTTTGGCTAATAGTCTTGTAGGAAAAATTGTAAATGATTATATTTGGACTGAGATGAGCAGAGAAGTAGATCATGCTATCTTAAAAGTACTTGTGCCTATTCAGAAAATCAAGGTTTCAACTTGGATTATTACTGGAAGAATGATATTTACAATTGCCGCAAGTATTACATTGATTCTTTTTCTATTGATTCTAGCAAGATTTCTGAACTTAGAAAAAGATGTATGGCAATTATTTGCCCTTCTTAGAATGATCTTCACATTCGTTGCTGACAAAGAGCCGAAAAAAACTGCTGATCAGATTATCTATGTTTTCTTGTTGCTCACATCGATGATATTGTCAATGGGCATATTCGAGGTTTGTACTGATTTAAACGTTAACTATGAAACTGAGATTAAAATGGACACCTTAAATGATTTTATAAAATCGGGTTTGAAACCAATGCTTTCCAAAGGAATGAGGGACTATATGTTTCCTTTCAGTAATGGATCGGTAAGAATCATTTTAAAAAATGCTAAAACCGGAGATATAAATCAACAGGCTGTTTGTTTAGAGGAATTAGTAAAGTATCGTAACGTCGGCTGCATTGTTAATTCTGTCACTGCTGATTATGCTATGAAGAAATACAAAGATCAGTCAGGTGAATCGCTTTTGAAACTTATTCCAGAACCTATATACGATTCATGGTTTTACATGTTTTTTGAACAAGGATCGCCGTATGCAACACGATTCAATCAGCTTTTTCTGAGAATCCAGGAAGTTGGAATTCGAAAACACTTTCAGGAAAAAGCAAAAATCTTGAATGAACCAATTAATTTCGTTTTAGGGAGAAAAGAACTTGAAAAAATGTGTAAACTGATACGAATTTTTTTCTTTGTATTCCTTGTCGGAAATTGTTTGACAACTGTTGTCTTTCTTTTTGAGATATTCATGACAAGAAGAAGTTGCTAAAAAGAAAGTCCTTCTTTTTACATTTTTAATCAAAATTTGTAACTCTTAACTATTACTTTTCTCTGCAACTATTACCTACTAATTGATCCTAAAAGACGAATTTAGTAAAACCTCTGAATTATTCCGTATACGAAATTGTTTTAAAATTTAGCTTTAAATTGATATTTATTCATTTCATCAAAAGTTTATGAAATTTTTTTTGAACTCACAAATGTTACAAGATTATTTTTTAATGCGTCACTCAGTATAATTGCTGTTATTATCAAAATGAATAATTTTTAAAATAAATACAAAAAAACGTTATAATATAACATACTTGTCGTTAATAATAAAATTAATAAAGAAGGTGTATTAAAGAAACGAGTTGAACAATTTAAAAATATATTTCAGAATTTAAAATTTTTCTGTATTATTGTAAAAATGTCACTCCTTGATAAAAATAAAAGCAAAATTGAATTATTGATTTTAACCTTTCAAGTGTAGCATTATTTTTCACTTAAAAATTGATTTTGTTTTGAAATAACATTTATAGAACAAAGCGGATTTCTTTTGTTTAAAAATATATATTTATAAGAAAATATATGTTGGACAACCCGATGAAAATGTTCCATTTTAATTCATTATTCCAGTATTCCACTAATATCGTTTAACTGTTCACCTGGAATGTAAGTTTATAAATCTATTGCTAAATATTATAAAACAATACATATATGATACTACTTATTTTACTATATTATATAAACAATTTAAGTTAAAGTTGGTTTCTTCTTGTCAAATCAAAATCATTTAGAAAAATATAGGATTATTTTCCTATTGATTCTAGCAAGATTTCTGAACTTAGAAAAAGATGTATGGCAATTATTTGTCCTTCTTAGAATGATCTTCACAATCGTTGATGCCAAAGAGCCGAAAAAAACTGTTGATCAGATTATTTATGTTTTTTTGTTAATCACATCGATGATTTTGTCAATGGGCATATTCGAGGTTTGTACTGATTTAAACGTTAACTATGAAACTGAGATTAAAATGGACACCTTAGAAGATTTTATAAATTCCAGTTTGAAACCAATGCTTTCCAAAGGAATGAGGAACTATATGTTAATTAAACTATATGTAATTGTATTTGTTATTGATATTTATCAGCGTCATTCAACGTCGCCTTAGTGTCGTCATTTCAACGTTGGTGAGTGGTTTCTTGGTTAATCTTGTTTTGGGATCATTTATGCACCGATGGGTTTTCTTGGTCGAAATCTCCCTTTGGTTATTTCAGCGTAATTTCAGTTAAGTATTTTGTGTTCGATTAATGTGGACGGCGCACGCGGGTTTTTATTAACACGCGAAAGTCTACCATTATAACCTGCCAATTGATCCTAAAAGCCGAATTTTACAAAACCTCTGTATTATTTCGTATGAAACTGTATTAAAATTTAGCTTTAAATTGATATTTATTTTTGCCATCAAAAGTTTATAAAGTATTTTTTTAAACTCACAAAAGTTAAAGAATACTTTTCAACTTCGCCCTTTATAATTATAATTACTCTTATTATTATAATTAATAACTTAAAAATCAAATACAAAAAAAAATTATAATAAAATGATTGTCGTTAATAATGAAATTAATAGAAAAGTTATGTTTCAAGCAAACAAGTTGAAAAATTAAAAAATTTGTTTTAGAATTCAACATTTTCCTGTATTACTTATTGTAAAAATGTAACTTTTTGATGAAAATAAAAACAAAATTGATGTATTGATTTTATCCTTTCCAGTGTACCATTATTTTTCACTTAAAAATTGATTTTATTTTGAATAAACATTTATAAAACAAAGCGGATTTTCTTTCTTTAAAAATATATTATATGTTTATTTGAATTTAAATAGCGGACAATGCAATCAAAATGTTACATTTAAATTACACATTATTCCTTAAGATCGTTCAACTTTACAGCTCGCAAATAAAAGTTTATAAATCTACTGCTAAGGATAATATTTTATACAAATATATATTTACTATTCTACTAAATTATATAAATAATTAATTTCAGCCTAATCCAAATTTATTGTCAAATTTATAAAGTACTCTCATTTTTGTTTCCTCCTTGGGTCTTAAAATTTATGGGAAATATATGTACATGAGAAAGTATACTTTTTTAAGGTATTCCTTTATAAATGATTTTATCCTTTATAAATTTTAAAATTTTTAATTACATCCTATCTATAATTATAAAGATGTTTTTTATTCATCAAAAATTGTATCGCTCATTATACTCATACTCTATGTTACTCTATTGAATGGAAGATTATAGTAAATCATGAAATTGTATTCTGGGAAATCTACACACAGCGACAAGAAGAGTGACAAGCAGATATGAGAAAATTTAATTTAAATTAATTTAATGATAGGAAACAATTTTCGTTTTAACCTATTCGTCAATATACATTACATTGTGTCAAAATAATAATTTGTTAACAAGGAAGGTCGATCATTATTCTTGTCGCGGCTCATAATTCGAGACAATGTCACGTACGTTTAAATTAAAAAAAATAATAAAACGTAAATTACATAGAGATATATATCTATATATATAATTTTCACGTTGCGCACATATTTGAGAATAAATATAAGATTATGGCTAATTTTAAATTTAAAAAGCTTAGTTAAAAAAAACTATTTGTTCTGAAAATTTAAAAAATTCATCTAGAATATAGAAAATATCTTAATATATCAATAAAATGAACTATTACGTACTTGTAATGTTAATGCATTTTCGTTGTCAAAGTGTTATTGGTCAGATTGCGCCAATTTTTGGATTACAAAATACAAATCCTCAAGAACCACCAATTTTTGGATCTCAAAGTGGAAATGATTTGAGTATGTATAAAGCAAATTTTTAATTAAAAAAATATTAAAATTTTTCTAAACTTAAATTACAACTTTTTCATATTTTAGAAATTGGCTCTATCCAACAATGAATCTGATCATCAGACACTTAAAAAAAGAAGTCTATGTCCCTATTTTATTTATAATTAAATCTTAAATAGCGCGAATATCGCCTTTTTAAATTAACATCACGACTTATAAAATATATTATTTTTTTTTATTTTCCAGCACCATTTTTAAGCAATAATGACAGACAAATCATCAATATAGATAATCAATGTTACTGTATGCTGACTTCTACTTGTACTGGATCACCATTAATACAAGGAAAGGACAACTTTAATACTCGTATTGTGAATTATGTGAGTAGAATTTTGTTATATATTTACATATATTGTTAAGTGCACACAAATAAAATTTTGAGTCAAACAAAGTCTTTAATTAGGTGATCTTGTTAACGATCAGAATATCCCACTACTGATCCTAGTTGACACAAAATGTTCTATGTTCCAATAACATTTTTAGGAAGTTAACATCTGTTCAATTAACCTTCTGAAAATGTTTCATGACCATGTACTTGCTAAAAATGATTTAGGCACGTCATTGGAACATTAGGCGTTTTTTTACCCACTGAAATTAAATCTAAAAACCAAACGTATTTAATATAACAGTGTTAATGTTAAAAATATTCCTGGTTAAAATTTCGGACTGATTTCAGATTAAATACAGACAGATCAATCCAAATTAATCTAGAAATTGTAGGTAAACAATTCGTATTAGTTAACAATCAGTTTGGATGAAATAATATATCCGAAATCAGTCAGGAATAGTCCAAAATTGACATGAAATAAATCCGCAATTAACCCGCAACAAATTGATTTTAATTAGATAAAAAAAACAATTCAAAATGAGTCCAGAATAATTCAGAATTTTTATGTAAACTATTCGTAACAATCCGGATTAAGTACTGACACTAGTTTGGTTAATATTTGGGAATGTGGAATTAATCCGAAACAGTCTGCTTTAGAGTCGGGTTTCTGTTAACCGGAATTAGTCCGGTTAATGACAAGTAAATCCAGTCTAATCGGAAATTAATCTGGCATGTTTAATCAGTAAATCTAGAATCTGCATTCACGTTACGTTTGATCGAACTGATTTTGACTTATCTTCATTCCGGATTCACTGTGTAATGATACGTAAGGTGAATGAGTGTAAATGATGAGTAATAGTGGGAAACGAAAGAGTGTGGGATATAAATGAATAATTAGCCATGTAAATTGTGTAACGATATAAATCGTTACTTATATTGGTTGGTATTTGTTAGCGTTTTTGCCACCTCTTAATCAGTCAGCTGTTTGGTTATCTAGGTCGTTATCTAGGTTTTCCGAGAAGTTGCCGACAAAATCACCCAGGGAGAAGGATGGAGCGATAGGGGTGACCATGAAGGAAAATAACGCGCCCCTCTCATGGATCAGGGGATCTAGGGGAAGTTGGCGGTCAATTAGACAGTCGATTGTGGATCGTATTGAAGAGAAGACCCTTTCACGGAAACTCGTAATCAATTATCGCGTTACATGCTTAATTATTGTTGAATATTATTCATCCATTAAATAAATCTTCTATTCATTATTTAAGTAGTTGTTAAGTTTGTTAATTCTAAAATGAGTGTTTTCTATACAAAATTAAACTACTAACTCAAATTGAATGATAAATATTTTATCATAATTGTCGAACATATGTGTCAGGCAAATTTCGGATTTAGTTGGACTAATTCCGAATGACAATAAATCGGACTGTTTCGAACTAATTCCAAATTAGTCGGGAAACAGTCCGGAATTTTTAGCAGGTATATCGCTATGATTAAAAACTATTTTCAAGGCCCCAGATGGTTCTGATTCATGTCCAACTAATTATATACTTTGCTGTTCGGGAGTACCACAACCAACAAATCCAGTATGTGGAAGAAGAAAAGTATTAATAACTAGTAGAGTTCGTAATGTAGCACCATACGGAGCTTATCCATGGCAGGCCGCAATGTTTGAACGCCTAACTGATCAATACATCGGTGCAGGAGTTGTAATTAGTTCAACATTTATACTAACAGCAGCACACAAAGTATTTCGGTTGTAAGTAAAATAAAAGCAGTATTATTAATTACTTTATAAATAATTACACAACTGGACAAATGTTGGTTCAATCTCCTGATTTATTTGAACATCAAAATCCGCATCTATTCTCAGTAGGAATAGCGAAAAATTAAAAAGAATTGAAAAATAATTTTTTTTTATAAATTCTTTATGATACAGTTATTTAATTTTATAATTTGTGGAACACCGCTTGTGAGAGTTAATCGACAGCGTGATTTGGGATTTATGTTGGATCCTGCCCTTAACTATAATGATCATACTGCACTTGCTATCAGAAAATCGTTAAACACTCTTGGTCAAATTGTAAGATCCGATTCAGTCTTTTTTAATCTTCGCGTTCTTAAGAGTTTGTTCTTTTCTCTTGTCAGGCCTCATTTTGAGATTCTTTCTATTATTTATTCTCCTCAGTATGATTGCCAGAAATTGAGGCTGGAGAGAGTTCACAAAAATTTTCTTGAGATTTGCTGCCAGACAACTCAGTATAACTTACGACTATTTTAGTCATGATTATTCGGAATTGAGATCGATTATGAAGATACCTTCTGTTCAAAGTAGATTTTTGAAGCTTGATTTGCAGTTACCTTTATAAGATCCTTAATGGTGAGGTAGATTGTCCGACATTACTGCCCGGAATCTCGCTGTCGGTTCCATACATCTCGTTAAAAAATAGATCTACTTTTAAAGTGCCCTTTTACCGGACAAATCTTGGTAGCAACTCACCTCTCACACGTCTTTGTCGTGAAGCAAATCATGCTCAATGTATCGATTTGTTCAATAATTCAAAAAGCAGATTTTCGCAAGAGCTTTCGGATTATATAAGTCAAATGAATTAAATGTAATGATCACGCTCGTGTATTGTAATCTCTATTCTTTTCTCTTTAGATAATGTCTTTTTTTTATCTTTTTAAAGGGTATAATTTTGTAAACCCGTGTATAACTTAAATAAATAAATAATATTATTTTTTCAGAAATAATAACTTCAGAATTAGACTTGGCCTATGGACATTATCAGTTAACACTTACCCATACTTTGAGGCTAATCCCGTGTTCACAATGCAACATGGATATTTTAATCGATTTACTCTTCAAAATGACATTGCTATTATTCAACTTGATAGACCAGTTCCATTTACTAATTATGTTAATATTAATACTGCATGTCTTCCAACCAGTACTCCAGCTGCTGGCACAAGGTTCTAAATTAATTTAATAAACTTTTTTTCCTATTCCTAACCCTCGAGAGAACTGACTGGGTTAAACCCAGGCGAAATTTGAAAGTTGTGCCATTTCTAAAAACACCGTCTATATTTTCTAATGTAACTTTAGTAATTGAAAAATATCACAAATCTGACAAAGCCATCACATTTCTCAGAAATGTGACGCCCAGTCAGTGGCGTTTGTAGTCAAGCTCAGATTTGGTTCAAAATTAAATTTTGCTGCTAATCCGATGAAATGTGATGAAAAAAACAATTGATACTGATAAATTATTATTAGATTAATTAAATTCGCCAAAGATTCAGTTAAATTAAGCTTTAATTAATTAATTAGTATCAATTGTTTTTTCTGAACATGTAATAGTTTAGCAGCATAATTTAACTTTTAACCACAGGTAACCAAATTTGAACTGCATTCGGTTTCAAAATCAGGTTTTCTGAATTCGCCAGGAATCATATAACTTATAAGGCCTTATTTTCATTTCAAAATAATGGTAAATTAATATATAACTTCAATTCATTTAATGCTGTTCTATTTTTATTTAAATATTCCATAATGTTTGCTTTCTTAAACATTGCAGATGTTGGACGGCTGGATGGGGAGTAACTTCTTTTAACAGTGATAACTATCAAAATCCACTAAGAGAAGTTGAAGTTCCTATTATGGAACTCTCAACATGTGAATATAGACTGAGAGGTACAAGACTTGGAGTTCATTACACCTTAGATAGAAGTAGCTTCATATGTGCTGGAGGCGAACCTGGAAGAGATGCTTGTACTGTAATTAAATTTTTAATAATATACAATAATTCTTAATGTCATTCATTTATTTATTCATAAATTGCATCTTCTAAACTCACAGTTATATCATTTAGAAAATTTAAAATAATTAAATCGATATATGAATTGTAAATCAATAAGGAATTCCATCGGCGATTCATTTCATTTGAATTATCATATTCAGCCCCTCATTTGAACTAATCTTACAGTAATCTTATTGATATTTGTTCCAACCGTCAGTTGGATTAATTCTTATGTGGCATAAACTCCATTCGATATGATTATTTATCAAAATTTTATAACTGATCTAATTTTCATGTGGCCTAATTAATTACCTGTATCAATTCGTATTTATCTCAATCTGTACTTAATCCAATTCATATTTTGCCTAATCTTTACCAGGGTTTAATTCTGATGTAGACTAATCTTCATTTAACATAAATCCTATTTCACCTAAACTTTATTTAATCCAATCCTCATTTGGTAATTAATTACTAATTATATTAATTATAATTTGAATTATAATAAATATAATTCCGAAAATTTCATAACTTCCAATTTTTAATCTAATTGAGACTAAAATTATAGATCCAGTTACAGGGGCTTAAAGATGTATACAGTCTGTTAGTGTGTTAACAGTGATAAAAAAAAGTCTGTCATTTTACAATGTGATTCAAAATGATACAAGGAAAACTAAAAGAATTAGACTTGATAAAATGATGTGAATTTAAAATTTTTTTAATAACTTTGTTTACAATAATCTTGATAAACATCTGTCACCAGCGAGAGCTGGCAATTTAGATATGAGCGATTGTTAACGTAAAGATAAAATTTTAATTTTCCTTAAATATTTTTTTTATTTTAGGGAGATGGTGGAGGAGCCCTTGTTTGTCAAATAGCTGAAGGTCAATTTCAAGTTGTGGGTTTAACATCATGGGGTGTTGGCTGTGGAAAATTAAATATTCCAGGAATATATACTAATGTATATACATATCGTACTTGGATAAGTAATCATGTTCCCGACACGGCTAATTCTGGCTGAATACAATGAACCTAAAATCTTTATCATCAAATTATTAAATCTCTATATAATTATAATTTGTTTATAATTATGAAACTCGATGTGAAAACCTAAAGAAATTAAATTTCAAAACCATTTAATTGATATTTCAAAAGAATAATATTAATAATTAATTATTAATTAATTATTTAATTAATTAAATATTAATGTTTAAAATTTCAAATTAATTTATTATTCACAATTAAATAATAAATTTACAAGAATATAAATTAATTCTAATTAAATTTTAATTAAGAAATTAAATTAATTTTGAAGTTTTAAAAATTATTATAATTTTATATAAGAATGATGACTATTTAGATTATAAGTAAAAGGAATTTTATGTGTATAAAAAGTTTTTGATAATTATTATCATTTAATTATATATACAAATAAATTTAATTATTTTTCTTTTATATGTATATAAATGTGTGTATGCAAAATTTTAAATTTTTCAATTTTATATAATTAAATAATCCTATAAAATTATGTATTTTATAAATAATTTAATGTAATTTTGAAAATTCGTTTAAAAAGTGAATTTTGCCTCGATCTATTAGAAATAGCTTGAACTTTAGACTCCCCCTTTTGTATCCTAAGATGATCTAAGCTTCTGTTTAGCAATTGAAAATTAGCTTTAATCTTTGAAATAAAATTCTTAATTTTTCTATACAACTCGATTCGATTATATTTCCAAGCTATTGAATGCGAATTCAGGCTTAAAATATTAATAAATACCCGTGTGGAAAAAGCCACGATCTTGCCCTCAAGAGTTCGAGGGCCCATGAGGGCTGATCCATATGGCGAATCCATGAGGGGCAACGTAGGGGCCCCGCATGGATCGCCCTCATCATCGATTAGCAAAATTTTCTAAGTCCAAAATTCAAATATTTTTTCATCAACACAAAATGAATGTTTCCAATGATTCAGAACAACGAAAAACGCGTTTTTAATAAAAATATATTTACACTTTTTTTGAAAATTCACCTGAGATGATTCATGATAATAATCATAAAGCATATAATTAATTATATTTTATAAATTGGATTTGATTGGAAAATATAATTTAATATCTTAACTTTAACTAAATGATGTTAAGCACTTTTCTTTGTTAGGTATTTTTGAAGTTTAAATAGCATCAAAAAGTTAGCATTCGTTTTGAAGTAGCGTGCGTAGCGTAGTTGGTAAAGCGTTAGACTCATAGTCTGTAGGTCGTAGGTTCGATTCCCCCCATGCGTTAGATTTATTTATTTCTCAGGTTTGCGTTTAATCATTAATTCTATGTATGAATTAATTGAAAAATGAAAATATCCGTTAATAGTATGCATAAATTACATATTTTTTAATTTTTTAATTAATTAATTTATTATTACTTTTAATTATATCCGACAGTTAATTAATTAGAACGTTAATTAATAAATTGAATTTGAGTAAGAATTTAATTTAAAATTGAATAATTATTAAATAAATATGTTATTTATTCATAACTTAAGCTTATTTATTATTAATTAACTTTTATTATTAATATTATTGATTAAAAAACATTATGGCAAACTTGAGGGCAAGATGAGGGCAAACGTGAGGGCCCATAAGGGCGCCCGTAGGGGCACCCTCATGGATCGCTAATGCGGGCGCCCTCATCGATGAGCATGTCGTTTCCATGAGGGGCCCCTATGGATCATCCATATGCGCCCCTCATGGCATGAGGGCGATCCATAAGGGCCCCATAAGTAGTTCAACCTTAAAATTAATACACTCTTTCCAAGCAGATACATGTTCCGAACTGTTTGAGAGCCTATTTTTGAGCGTTTTGTCAGATTGGAAACTGGCTCTTTGCACCTTTTTTTAATTAGTTTTAAGTTTGTTTTGTCTTGGATAAATAAAATTTTAAAAATTGACATTTCTCGGTTACCTAAACAATGCTTGGTTAAGTTATTGAAATTGGAAAAGAAAAATCCTGATAACAAATTTAATTGGTTTGTGCAATTGAAATTACATCTTTTAAAAAATTCTTTATTCAAATCAGACTTTTGTATATAATCATGTTTCGCGAATTATTTTTGATTGTAAAAAATTTTCTTTTCATCCGGTTTCATTATGTCCTGCTTGCAATTTGGTAAATGAGGATTTGTATCACATTTTATTAACATGTCCAACCTATATGCATTTATTTCTCCCTTTGATTCAAGAAGCTTGCCGAAATTTGTCTCCTACTGACGATTTGTTGTCAATTCTTTCTTTAAGTAACTGCTCAACTCTTAAACGATTGGTTAATGTTCTACGTTTAGTTTTTAATTCAGGTTTGTCATAATGTTTCTCACTTCGGATATATATTCTACGTAATTCCTCTTGTATGCACAGATTTGTTATTAAACAAGAATAATTATAACTAAACTGAATTAAGATTAGAATGCCGCCATGACAGTTAAGCCAACAGAGCCAGGGCCGTAGTTTGAATTTTTTTGGGGTACTTTTGTTATAATCTGTCTAGGGTTAAATGTATTAGTTTACAAAAAATAATAAAAATTTGATTCCAATGATTGTTGCTCTTTTATATTAATTTAAATTTTATACAATATATATATATATGTATTTATACAATAATTTTTATGAAAAATATATTTGTTAACAAATACAGAAATTGACACTTAAATTCTAAATATTACTTTCCATAAAGAAAGATTTTTAACGATAGATGATATACTTTTTCCCCTTGATTTATGACATTTTACAATAATTTATGGACAAAATAATATGAAACGTTGAACCGCGTACAAATATATGTACAGAAACTTTTTTTTTAAATTTAAAATCTACTTGCCATACAATTTATAACTAACATTGAGATTCATTTATACAATTAATTTTAATTTAGCAACTTACGTAAAAAATATTACGTTTTTATCAAGTTACCTAATAGATAAATACTGCATTTTAGAGCTGATTTTTAAAGAGAAGCTTCACTCTATATTGAACTAATCTCCTAGTAACAAAAGTTTTTCACAACCTTTTTTTTACAATTTTTACATTATTATTATTATTATTATTATTATCATTATTTTATATGGAAGAACCCAAGGTGCAGTTTTAAATGAATAAGTTGAATAAACAACTTTTTTTAAAAAAATGAGTAAATGACTTATAATCTTACCTCTTAAATAAGAGTAGAGTATTTTTTTAAAAAATTGCTAATCCCATTTCCCAACTATCAAAATTCTTTTAAAATTATGTAAATTCATCAAAATATTAGAAATTTATCACACACACGTTCTAAAAATTAAAAAAAAAAGAGGAAGCTTAAAAAGAGTAAAAAAAATAAATTAAAAAAGAATCCTTTTCCAAAAATTCTCTAAAATTTTCTAAGATTCACTTATATTGTGAAGGATAAAAATTCTTTTTTTCTAAATGATAAATTGGGTTAAGATAATATAATAGAAAAAAGTAAATTTTTACTGAAATGTCAAGAATTGTGATTGAGAATTATTTTCAAATCATCGGGCAGTGTACGCGTAATGTCATTTATTCTCTCTCGCAACATGTCTTGAACGGAATGTCCTACAGGTACATCATATTCATGGCTTTTTTGAAGTTTTTGTCTAATTCGTAGAATCATATCGACTAATTCAACTTCTTGTTTACCTTGAACCCATGTTGTTAAATCCTAAAATACAAAATTTAATATTAAATTTTTACGTTAATGAAATATTTTTTTTTTTTTTTTGTCGAAAGATGTGAAATTCGAGTTGGATCAGAATTCGTGAAATCAGCATGAAAATTTAATTTTTTTTTGTTTAATAAAATTTTTAATAAAATATTCTGTTTGATCATGAAAATGATTCTACCAAACGAAAAAGAAAAAATTTATTTTATAAAAATTAATTTAGCAAAAATCGTATTTTATTTCCCAAAATCCGTGATCTAATTTTGCAAAATTCGTTATCTTATTTTGCAAAAACCGTGAATAACCGCTATATCAGTAATATAATATTTCACAGAATCTGCGACATAATTTTACAAAATCCGTGACTTCATTTTGCAAAATATGTGATCTAATTTCGCAAAAACCGTGATTTAGTTTCACGGAATCCGTGATCAATTTTTGCCAAAAACCTTTACCTACTTACACAAAAACCGTAACTTATTTCGCAAATTTCTTATTTAATTCCGCGTAAATAGTGACTTAATTTCCCGAAAATCGTCATTTACTTTGGCGAAATTTAAATTACAATTAATTAAATTAATTAAATTAATTAAATTAATTAAATTAATTAAATTAATTAAATTAATTAAATTAATTAAATTAATTAATTAAATTTAAATTTAAATTTACTTTACGTAATTTTCTTTCATGGAAACAGTTATCTAATTTCGCGGAAATCATGATTTAATTATGCGATTCCGTGATTTCATTTGTGGAATTTTAATTTTGCGAAAACCGTGATGTAATTTTACATAATTCGTGATGTAATTTCCCGGAGATCGTGATTTACTTTCGCGGAAATCATAATTAATTTTGCGTAATCCGTCATGTAATTTCACATAATTCGTGATCTAATTTCATGAAAACGTACAATTACTTTAGTGATATCCGTAATTTAATTTCGCGAATTTCGTAATTGACTCTCACGTAAATTGAATTTTTCGAAATGCATCATTTAATTTCACGATAATTTAATTTTGCGTTACGCGTGATGTAATTTCACGTAATTCGTTAAGTAAATTCCCGAAAATTGTCATTTATTTTTGGTGAAATCCGTAATTTACTTTCGCGGAAACCGTAATCTAATTCCGCATAAATTATGATTTAATTTTATGCGTAATTCGTGATGTGATGTCCCGAAATTCGTGATTTAATTATGCAATTCTATGATTTAATTAAGCAAAAACCGTGATGTAATTTCACGTAATTCGTAATGTAATTTCCCGAAAACAGTAATTAATTTTAGTGAAATCCGTGATTTACTTTCACGGTAACCGTCATCTAATTTTGCAGAAATCATGATTTAATTATGCTATTTTGTTATTTAATTTCGCGGAAATTAATTAAAATTTTAATTTTGCGATAACCGTAATCTATTTTCACCCAATTCGTGATGCAAAGACCCGAAATCTGTAATTTAAATTTTTGCAATTTCGTGAATTAATTTCGCGGCAATCGTGATGAAATATCACGTATTTCGTGATTTTCTTTCGCGAAAACCGTTATCTAATTTTTCGGAAAACATGATTTAATTATGCAATTCTGTGATTTACTTTTGCGGAAATCATAATTTAATTTTGTGAATAGCGTAATGTATTTTCACGAAATTCGTGATGAAATGTCCCGAAATGCGTGATTTAATTTCGAGGAAATCGTAATTTAATTTGGCCGAAATCGTAATTTAATTTTGAGTAATCCCTGTTAATTTCGTGTAGATCGTGATTTAATTTCGCGGAGATCATAATTAAATTATACGATTCCGTGATTTAATTTAGCGGAAATCATAATTAATTTTGCGTAATCCGTGATGTAATTTCACATAGTTCGTGATTTACTTTTGCGGAAACCGTTATTTAATTTTGCGAAAACAGTGATTTAATTTCATGTAAATCGTTATGTAATTTGCCGAAAATAGTAATTAATTTTAGTGAAATCCGTGAGTTACTTTCGCGAAAACCGTTATCTAATTTTGCGGAAATCATGATTTAATTATGCTATTTTGTGATTTAATTTCGTAGAAATCATAATTTCATTTTGCAATAACCGTAATGTATTTTCACCCAATTCGTGATGCAAAGTCCCGAAATCCGTGATTTAAATTTTTGCAATTTCGTGAATTAATTTCGCGGCAATCGTGATGAAATATCACGTATTTCGCAATTTTCTATCGTGAAAACCGTTATCTAATTTTTCGGAAAACATGATTTAATTATGCATAATTCGTGATGTAATGTCCCGAAATCCGTGATTTAATTATGCAATTCTGTGATTTTATTGAGCAGAAACAGTGATGTAATTTCACGTAATTTGTAATGTAATTTCCCGAAAACAGTTATTTACATTGTCGAAATCCATGATTTAATTTCGCGGAAATCTAGATTTAATTCGCGGATATCGTGATTTACTTTTACGATTCTGTGATTTAATTTCACGGATATCGAAATTTTAATTTTGCGAAAACCGTAATGTAATTTCCGCGTAATTCGTGATGTTATTTTCTGAATACCGTGATCCGCTTAAGCAAAATCATATATTATATAAATATAATATATATTATTTATATTCAAATAAAAAATAAGAAATCAATAAAGGTGGAACCAAAAAAAAAATTCTTCTGAAATAATAGTTCAGTCCCTGCTTTTTCTCGGTTTTATTCCCGTTATTTTTATCCAATAAGAGTATAAAATACGTATTTTTTTTATAAAAATTTTGCAAATAAATTCGTATCTTTTTGGAAAAAAATCTCATAATTATTAAGTATGAAAAAATGAAATGAGAAGCTACTCGCGCTTTTTTTTCCTATTATATAATAAATTATTATGAAATAAAAATTTATTTACCGCCTGGGAAAGTGTTTCAAGATGAATTGCCTCAATTTTTTGTGACAATTCCGCATATCTCGTATGAAACCATCCAGAGAAATTTGGAGATTTAAAGAAACGTCGATAGAGTCCCACCCAATCTCCCTTGATACCGCTAGTCAATTGAGGACCAGAACTACTTAATGTAGATAAAAATTCCTCCTGTTCAAATAAATTAGGTATTGGTGTTGCCTGAAAAATGTGTTTTTTTTTTATAGAAAAAAATTACATTAAAATTTTTTCTATAAAAACAAAAATAACAATATTTTACCTTAAATGGTGAAATATTTTTCTGCAATGGCATAAGACTCGCAATATATCTCTCAAGGGGAATCATAAAACTTTCAGTAAGTTCAATTAAATGTCGTCTTAGAAGAATTGTTTGAGCCTCACCCGGTCTTTTTGTCTGTATTCCCCTAAGTAATTTTTTGATAATTGCTTTATCCTTTTGCAAAAATGGCTTGTACTCGGTATAAACACCTGGCTTTGAATCGAGTATTTTCAGGTTCTCAGACTTTTTTATTCTGTGTTTAAAATTTTCTAAGAAAAAAAAATTTGAATTAAAATTTTTTATTTACATTTTACTAAAAGGAAATAAATAAAAATTATAACTATTTACCAGAATATTCGGTATCATTAATTCGAACAATATGAGGCCAATGCTGTAGTGTTTTGGCAAAAAAAGGATTCGTAACACCAAGAATAACAGCTGGTGGATTTTGTGTGTCAGTTGTATATTCTTTAAATTCAGAGTCATGAATTGTAAAATATGGTCTATGATCAGCATTATATTTTAATGGAGTTATCATTCTGTTAAAAGAAAAAAATTATATTTTTTCAAATTTATTTACTTTTCTTTTGATTAAGAAATATATATATGTAGAGTGGGATTTAAAAAAAAATACGACACTCACGCTGTTAGAGCCTGAACCATTTTTGAGCACATTGTAGGAGACGAGGCCATAACAACAATTGGTTCAGCCAATAAAACAAGTTCCCACAATAAATGAATATGAGTAACAACAACGGCTAGACTTTGAAAAATATTATCTTCATACACTGAAGTTAAAACAAGTAGTCTATCCGATTCTTTACGTGGATTAGTAGAATTTGATGCCACATCAGACACTGATAATTTACGATAATGATTTGGAATATAAGTCTGTAATAAATGAACGGGAAAAACAAAATTCAAAATTAATAAAGAGCAAACGTATTTTTAAACAAAAATATTTTCAATTTTCAACAAAAAAAAAAACAGGGTGTCTAACAACTGCTAGGAAAAAAATTTCGACCGTCACAAGTGCAAGTTTAATACACAATGAAACAAACGAAATTAAAAATATTTATTATAAACTATCATAGCTCCGGTAAGTTTACTATAACTTACCAAATAAATTTCTATAAATTACCGTTTAAATTTCCATAAATTACCAAAATAAAATTTTTAATTGTCGTTCGTGCTATATATATTTTTGTAAATTACCGAAATTAACATTTTTAATTGCGATTTATGCTTTACATATTTTTATGAATTATAGCCAAAATTTCTATAAATTACCATGTAAATTTCCATAAATTACCGCATAAATTTCCATAAATTACCGAAATAAAATTTTTAATTGTCGTTCGCGTTATATATGTTTTTGTAAATTACCGCGGAAATTTCCGTAAATTACCAAAATTAAAATTGTTAATTGCGATTTATGCTTTACATATTTTTATTAATTATAGCCAAAATTTCTATAAATTACCGTATAAATTTCCATAAATTACCGCATAAATTTCCATAAATTACCGAAATAAAATTTTTAATTGTCGTTCGCGTTATATATATGTTTTTGTAAATTACCGCGAATATCTCCATAAATTACCGCTGAAATTTCCGTAAATTACCAAAATTAAAATTTTTAATTGCGATCCATGCTTTACAAATTTTTATGAATTATAGCCAAAATTTCTATAAATTACCGCGAAAATTTCCATAAATTATCTCGAAAATTTCCGTAAATTACCGAAATCAAAATTTTTAATTGTCGTTAGCGCTATATATATTTTTGTGAATTACCCCAAAAATTTCTTAAATTACCGAAATTAAAATTTTTAATTGCGATTTATGCTTTACATATTTTTATGAATTATAGCCAAAATTTCTATAAATTACCATATAAATTTCCATAAATTACCGAAATAAAATTTTTAATTATCGTTCGCGTTATATATGTTTCTGTAAATTACCGCGAAAATTTCCATAAATTACCGCTGAAATTTCTGTAAATTACCAAAATTAAAATTTTTAATTGTGATCCATGCTTTACAAATTTTTATGAATTATAGCCAAAATTTCTATAAATTACCATGTAAATTTCCATAAATTACCTCGAAAATTTCCGTAAATTACCGAAATCAAAATTTTTAATTGTCATTCGCGCTATATATATATTTTTGTGAATTACCCCAAAAATTTCTATAAACATTTTAAATCAAATTTCAACTATTTTATAGAATTCAAAAAGCAAAGAATTTTTTTTTCTTAATTTGTTTAAAAAAATTAAAAAATTATAAAAAAAATTTTTCGGCCCACCATGGATATTTATTTCTTGATACTTTATCTTCAAAAATATATATTGATATTTATCATTTTGATAAAAAAATATTTTTAAAGTTTCAGACACTAAATCGTGCGCTACGCGAAGAATCATCCATGTATTTGAACTAAATAAATAATGTTTCGTAAAAAATAAAATATTTAAGTGAAATAAATAAACTAATTGGGGGGACGTATAAATATTCTCAACCTTTAATTTTAAAGAATTTTTACGGCGTCAAATCTTAAATTATCAAATTTTTATTTAGTAAAATTATATAAAGCAGATTTTTTAGTAGGGTCAGTCGGGGTAAATCCGAACGGGGGGTAAATCCGAACGCTAATTATTTCAGCTTAATTAAAATTTTTAAAAATAAGTTCGATATGAGAATTTTTACCTCAGATCCTCTTGAAGAGATTCTAAGTATTATCCCATTTTTTGTTTGTTAATTAGCAACAGCATAAACAAAGATAACAAGTATTGCAAAAAAGATTGAAAATCAAAGATGACACTCTTTCAGTATTTTGTCTCGTATTTGAAGAAAAAGAAGCTAAAAATTCATTTTATTATTTATAATTGTTTGTTATGAATACTAGAACAGAAACTATTTTTCATTTTTGCCTTCTGTAAAATTTTATTAATAATATCAGACCGTTCGTATTTACCCAAAAAAATTGGAAAACTGGGGTAAATCCGAACGGTATTTTTAATGATTTTTTTTTACATCAAAGCCACACAAAATTGTTTTTATTTGATTACACTATTATTTTAACATTATAAAAGTACATAGAAAAAAGTTTTTCTTTCTATACGTATCCTCGTTAGTAATTAATAAGCAGAAACTTAATCTCTGTTCTCTCGAAGGAGTGTTCCACTTTTTTTTGCCAAATGGTTTGTTGAAAAAAGTTTTACAGGATCTTAATAAAATTTGGTATTCTACGGTTTTTGGGGTCGCTAATTACCAATTTGAAGTCAGTTTTTCAAAATTCAAAATGGCGGACGAGAATTAAAAAATTCATTGAATTCGCTCGAAAATTGTTACTCGGGGGGTTTTAGGATTAGCAAATTTGATCATTTTTAAAAATAAGTTTTAGGAAAGTACGCCATTTTGAATTTAAAAAATTTGACTTTTATTTTTGTATTTACATTCAATCACTCCAAAATACTTTCTTTATTTTCCCTAAGATTTTTCTGAAATACAGTGGCGTTCGTATTTACCCCCATATTTTAGGAAAGTTGCAAAGTATCGAGGTAAATACGAACGCTAAGTTTCCTGCGATTGTAATTTATCAAAAATTTTTGCTACCCTATAAAATTGTTCTATGGAAGTAAAGTAACAACTTCATGCACCAGAATACCGGAAGTATTTTTTTTTTTAAAGAAAAAACTTATGTTATTGTTGAAACTTACTAAAAGCGTTCGGATTTACCCCAGTTGACCCTACATCGAATTTCAAATTAATACAATTTAAATTTAACGGAATTTATTTCAAGAAAAATTGCTTAAAGAAATATTTTTTCAACAGAATTGTTATTTTAGTAAATTTCGATTTATCAAAATATTTACATAACAGAATTGTCATTGAATAAATCCACAATTAATAAAATTTCTATTTAACAAAATTCTTAATTAACAAAGTTTTTATTAAAGAAAATTTTAATTCCAACTAATTCTTATTTAACAGAATTTATCATTTAAGAAAAATTCTATCTAGTTCTTTTTTTGTCAATTTTTATAGACATAAATTTCGTTAAATTGAAATTATATTAATTTAAAATTTTTTAAAAGTATTAGAAAAAATGCCTTATAAGATTTCTGCTAAATAGAAATTCTTTTAAATCGAATTTTAGTTAAATGTAAATTGAAAATTTTGCATAATATAAAATCCACTTTATACAATTTTGCTAAATAGAAATTCGATAATTTAATATTCGACGCCGTAAAAATTTTTATAAGTTAAATTTGGATAATAGCATTAAATAATAAATTATTCGTATATTAATGAATAATTTACTTTATTTCAATTTGAACCGATAAAATAAAATTGTATCAAATAATTTTTATTTTTATAAAAAAAACCAAATATTTCACTAAAAAAAATTAATTAATTGTTATCCAAGTTTAAAAAATCATTTATTAGATTCAATAAATAGTAGTAAATAATTATTTTCTTAATGAATATAAGATATATCACATGCTTAATAATTGAGTGTAAAGGACAACTTTTTAATTTGCATTTGCTTCGGGAAAAAAGTAAAAAAAAAATTGAAACTAATAGTTACTTTAATTTATTCTAAAAAAAAGTCCAGAGAATTAAAGAAATTCTCTGACTTTTTCCTGACCGTTAGACACCCTGTAAAAATAAATTTAAAAAAAAAACTTTTTTAAAAGAAACAAATCAATTTTTTTCTTTAAGTCAGTAAGTATTTTTTTTTTTTTTTTTTTTTTGACAATTATATAGTAAAAACTCACTTGAAATAAAACACCCATAAGAGGTAAATTAATAACATCGCCAGGAACTGGAGACGGCCAATTGGCAATTTCATTAACAATTGCCTCCATTGCACTATTTCCCATTTCAAAAAATTTAGGAGCTATTAACGCAACTACTTCAGTGAAAAAATTTACAAATGGAAGCTTTGATATCACTATAACACTCTGTAAAATTTATTATTATTATTGTTATTATTATTGTTAACAAAATTTATTACACGGAAAATAATAAATAAGAAAAATATGTTAAGTATTTTTTTATAATATGAATGATGAATTATTTTTACGATAAAATTTATTTACAAATTAAATGAAAAAAAAATATAACAACTGTATTGCAAAAAAAAAATAATATTTAAAAGTAATCAATTAATTTTATTTATTTAATATTATTATTATTATTATTATTGTATTTTTTCACTATTCACAATTTTATTTTGCAATAGTTGCAGTTAAATGTTTTAACGTTAATTTAAATGATTTAAAAATAAAAATTTCAAAAGTAATTATAAATTTTCAAAGAATTTCTTTAGAATTATTTTAATTTTAAATTTACAATATTATAAAAATAATTAATTTTTTGAAAATATTTCATTACAAGAATGTTAAATAATTGAAATTTTGTAAAAATTGATTTTGCAAATTTTTTTAAAATAATTGATTATTTTAAAGAATTTCCATTAAAATATTTGAAAATATATTATAATAGCTTAAATTTGTGAAGGGAATTTTATAAAACTTATCGAAAAATTTAATTTTATCAAATTAGCAGTCAATTTTTTTTACAGCAATAAATGCAATGATTTTTTTATCTGCAAATTTTAATATTTGATTAAAAAAATTTTAATTTAAATTTCTTAAAAAAAAATATAATTTAGATATTTGAAAATAATTTCATATTTTAAAAAGTTATCTTCATATTTTTTTTAATATGAATCAAAATCAACTTTCAATTTAAATTAAAAAACTTAAACTATATTTACTTAATTAAATAGACAAAAAAATTCCATTAAATAATGTGAAATTTTTTTTTTCTTAATTTATCAACTTACTTTTTGAAAGTATCCTCTTGGCAGTGTTCTATCTTTAACTTGACGAAAATAAACATAGCCCCAATAATGATAAGCGTCAGAGCGTAAAAATATTGGAGCATTTTTATCATAATTTTTTAAAGTGGAATTCTCCTGTGAATTATTTCCACTTTGTCTAATTCTTACGTGATATTGAGTATCGCCCATACATCCTGAATTTGAATCAGGAAATGCCAAATAGCAAACATTTGATCTTTCTTGTTCAGAAAGTTTAATATGAGGCGGATAAATAGCCTGTAAACAATTTTTAGAAATTATTTTTTTCTAACATTTTTTTTTTTCGATTCATTATAATTTTTTTTTAATTTTATAACATCACTGAAGTAATTTAGAAAATATATTAATTTTCAAAATTTCCTTCAATATAATCAATTATATAATTATTATTAAGGTAACTATTTGATAATAATGTTAATAATTTTTACAAAACTAAATGATTTTCAAAACTTTTCAATTTCGAAATCGTCTTTTTGAAAAATTCCCCCAAAAAACGATGAAAAATTATTGAAATTAAATTTTTCCTAAAAATATTTTAACTTAATTTAAAAATAGAAAAAAAATAAATGATTTTCAAAATTTTTCAATTTCGAAATCGTCTTTTTGAAAAATTCCCCCAAAAACGATGAAAAAATTATTGAAATTAAATTTTTCCTAAATATTTTAACTTAATTTAAAAATAGAAAAAAAATAAATGATTTTTAAAAATTTTCAGTTTCAAAATCATCTTTTTGAAAAATTCCCCCAAAAAACGATGAAAAAATTATTGAAATTAAATTTTACCTAAATATTTTAACTTAATTTAAAAATATAAAAAAAATAATTTTTTGCAAAAAATAAATGATTTTTAAAAATTTTCAGTTTCAAAATCATCTTTTTGAATGATCAAAAATTATTAAAATTACATTTTTCGTATTACTTTACTCTAATTCCTAAGTGAAATATATTTATTTTATAAAAATTTAATAATTTTATAAATTTTTTTAATATTGAAACATTATACAGATTATTCATTATTATTTTTATTTTCAATTCTATACGTTCAAAAGTATTTACAGTTAATTATTTATTATCTTATTGTTAATATAAATTAAAAGGTTTTATGCTCTTAATTTATATATATATATATATATATTTTTGCAATGAAAATTTACCCTGCGTGTCTAGTAATGTAATACTGTAAAGCTAATAGGTTTGGAAAACGTAAAAATATAATAGAAGAAAAATGAAACCTCAATTGCCTGTCCTAGTTCGAGATCAAATGCCACAACACATATGCAGTGAATCCATTTCTTAAGGCATTCCCATTTATTTTTTGAATTACTCCCACCGCATGTACTGGTGTATTCTTCTTTGTTCATTATAGAAGTGGAAGACATTATCATTTCAAATTTTTTAAAATATTTATCATTTTCAACTAAATTCACTATTTTTTTTGTTCTATTCCATTTGAAATCTTAGACATTTCAATTATTTCAATTCCATTCTGAAAATAAATTTAATTCAAAAATTAAACCTTTCATTATAAATAAATTTATAAAAATTTGTAATTCTACAAATTGAGAATTCAATAAACGATCAACTATTTTTAAATTATAAATAATTGAATAAAATACAAAATTTTTGAACAAAAAACCGAAAAATACGAAATTTGTGATAAAAATTAAAAAAAAAAAATAGGTAAACGTTTATTTTTTCCATATAAAAAAAAAATTATTATTAAAACAAATTATATAAATAGCCGCACTATTAATTTTTTTTTAAATTATTTAATAAAATTTTTTATACTTACAAATATCAAAAATTATAATTATGAAATTATAAGAATTTTCTAAAATTAGGCCGTAATGACTTTAGATAAAATATAATTAAATTAAACAATTTAAATTATTCAAAATTCTTTGCTTCATTTTCATTATTAACAATTAATTTCACAATAAATAAAAAAAACATAAAATTGCCTTTCTATAAATTTACACGTTTATAAAATTAAATACGTTTTAAATTTTTACACGTTTATTTAAATGTGTTTTTTTTTTTGGAAATCCAAATGTGAGATTCTAAAAAATTATTTTAAAAAAATTGCCAATGAAAAATATTCCAAATTGCAAGCCTCGGATCGACTTTAAAGCGCAAAAAAAGTCGTTTTAATAGATTTACATTTAAAAAAAAAAGTCGAAAAAGTCGATTTTTTTTATTTGATTAAATTTAATTGGTTAATAACTATTTTACATTAAATAACTAATATTAATTTATTTAGGGTCAGTCGGGGTAAATCAGAACGGGGGGTAAATCCGAACGCTAATTATTTCAGCTTAATTAAAATTTTTAAAAATAAGTTCGATATGAGAATTTTTACCTCAGATCCTCTTGAAGAGATTCTAAGTATTATCCCATTTTTTGTTTGTTAATTAGCAACAGCATAAACAAAGATAACAAGTATTGCAAAAAAGATTGAAAATCAAAGATGACACTCTTTCAGTATTTTGTCTCGTATTTGAAGAAAAAGAAGCTAAAAATTCATTTTATTATTTATAATTGTTTGTTATGAATACTAGAACAGAAACTATTTTTCATTTTTGCCTTCTGTAAAATTTTATTAATAATATCAGACCGTTCGTATTTACCCAAAAAAATTGGAAAACTGGGGTAAATCCGAACGGTATTTTTAATAATTTTTTTTACATCAAAGCCACACAAAATTGTTTTTATTTGATTACACTATTATTTTAACATTATAAAAGTACATAGAAAAAAGTTTTTCTTTCTATACGTATCCTCGTTAGTAATTAATAAGCAGAAACTTAATCTCTGTTCTCTCGAAGGAGTGTTCCACTTTTTTTTGCCAAATGGTTTGTTGAAAAAAGTTTTACAGGATCTTAATAAAATTTGGTATTCTACGGTTTTTGGGGTCGCTAATTACCAATTTGAAGTCAGTTTTTCAAAATTCAAAATGGCGGACGAGAATTAAAAAATTCATTGAATTCGCTCGAAAATTGTTACTCGGGGGGTTTCAGGATTAGCAAATTTGATCATTTTTAAAAATAAGTTTTAGGAAAGTACGCCATTTTGAATTTAAAAAATTTGACTTTTATTTTTGTATTTACATTCAATCACTCCAAAATACTTTCTGTACCAAGTTTTGCAAAAATCCGTTATGATTTGATAAAGTTATTGAAGGTTTTAATTGTGTAATGCATTTTAATTTTTAACCTGTTTGATTTTTGTATTTATATATGATGCATTATTACATAATAGGTTTATTATCGTATTTTTTTTGAGTTTTTATATAAGTTTAACAATTGCAATACTTTAAATTTATTTTCCCTAAGATTTTTCTGAAATACAGTGGCGTTCGTATTTACCCCCATATTTTAGGAAAGTTGCAAAGTATCGAGGTAAATACGAACGCTAAGTTTCCTGCGATTGTAATTTATCAAAAATTTTTGCTACCCTATAAAATTGTTCTATGGAAGTAAAGTAACAACTTCATGCACCAGAATACCGGAAGTATTTTTTTTTTAAAGAAAAAACTTATGTTATTGTTGAAACTTACTAAAAGCGTTCGGATTTACCCCAGTTGACCCTATTTCTTTATTTATTAACTTAATTAATTTATTATTAGATATTAAATCCATTTTATTAATTCCTTAATAAGAATAATTCTATAGGAATATTATTAAGATAATTTATTTCCAATATTTCAGAAGTCGTAAATTTAAAAAATTTTAATTAAGTAGAACAAATTTCTAAAAAAAAAAAAAATCTTGCAACAATTCAATTTTAGAGTTTTTATTTGAAACTTTTTTAAATAATTGAATTTTTAAAGAAATATTAAAATAATTATTAAAACTAATTGAACTTTGGAAAGATTAAAGTTTGAAATTTTTAGAAATAATTAAATTTCAAAAGATTTTCTTAAATTTCAAACAATAATTAAATTTTACAGAATTGAAAATAATTTATCAAATAAATTGTTGATAATATTTTTTTAAAAATAATTGAATTTTCGAAAAATTTACAGATTTTTGAAATTATTTCAACTTAAAGTGATTTTTAATTAAAATTTTTGATGATTTCTGTTGATAAAAGAATTTATTAGAAATTACAGACAAAATTTGTATTTGAAAATTTTTTTAATTGAAATAATAATTTTGAATTTTGAAAGAGATACAGTTGAAACTTTTTAGAAATAAATGAATTTCAAAAGATTTTAAGTTTTTCAAAATTATAATTATTCAAGAATTTTTTTTTTAAATTTTAGACAAATTTAATAATTTAAATAAATAATTTAATTTTTTTATTTTAATTAAATTTAATTGGTTAATAACTATTTTACATTAAATTGATAAAAATTATTGGCTGACAATAATTTACACAATTACTTTTAGATAAAATTTTTTTAAAAAAATTGAATTTCGTAAAATTTTATGATTAAATTTTTGAAAATTGTAATTACTGTAAATTTTTTTTAATTTCTGTTAATAGTTAAATTTTTGCAGAATTTTGAATTAAAAAAATGTTTTGAATTATTGTTTTTTGAAAAATTTCATTAAAATTTTTTTTTTTTTGAAATAATTGAATTTAATGTGATTATGAATGGAAATTTTTATTAATTTTATTTACTGAAATATTAAATTTTTTTTGGTTTGAAATTATCAAACAAATCTGTAATTGAAAAATATTTTTAGATAATTGAATTTTTGAAGAATTTTATTTAAATTACTGAAAATAATTAATTTAGCGAAAGAAAACTAAAGAAAAAAAAAAAATTTTTTAATTTTTTAATCGAAAAAGTGATTTCAGATAATTGAATTTTCGAAGATTATTATAAAAATCATTTAAAAAAAATAAATAATTGAATTTCATAAAAGTTATAAATGAAATTATTAAATTTCAAAAATTTTGAGAAAGAAAATTTTTAAAATAATTAAATTTTAAAAGGATTTAAATTGAAATTTTTTGTCATTTTATTTGATTTTTTTTTTAAATTATAAATAATTGTATAATTCGAGGCCTGAATTGTGAAAATTTTGAAAAATCTTATTATTTTCAAGACTTCTTATTTTTTTTTCGGTAAAAAAAGTAAAATTTTCTTTATTTTAATCACATTATATGTTTTTAGAACCCAAATGTTTTCAATAAAAAAAAAAAAAAAAAAAAAAAAATGCGATCATTAAAATTTAAAGAAATCAAAATAAATGTGGTATTTCTCATTAGTTGTTCTTTTTTATGTAATAAAACAAATTTTTAACTAAAAATTTATAATTAAGTACAAGAAATTACCTAAGAATAATAAAACTATTTTTTATTATAAAAACAAAGGGAAAACATTTCGACGAGTGGACTACATAACCTAAATTCGTCAAAATTCTTTAACATCTATATTTACAGTGAGCTAGAGAAAATATTTAAATATTTAAAAATAATTAACAAAATGAATAATAATTTAACCTCACTATATTTTATCATGAAACTAAATAGCTAGAAAGATCAGAAAAAATAATTTTTAAAAAATTTTATAAAAAAAATTCAATTTCCTATCAATTGCAATTTAAATTTAAAAATAATAAATAATTATTCATTATTATTGGAAAAAAATAATGTAAATTACTAAATAATGACAAAATTTTTAATTTTTAAAAATCAAAACAAAAGTGGAAATGTCAAATAAGAAAATTATTGTCATTATTTAATAAATAAAAATGTACCTACATAAATGCTGGATAAATTGCATTTTATCAATCACTTGTTAACACTTTTATAATATAAACATATGTCAATTATTCAATAATTACAAAATATATGAATTTATAAGAACAAAAAACGAACATTCAGTGGTTTAAAATAAGGTTAGTTTCTGTCATTGAATTAAAAATAAACACAGAAGTAAAAAAAGAACCATAGATCATATAAGAATTATAGATCTCCTACTGTCAGGGTTATGTAGATAAAAATACATGAAACTGTCGACATACGATGTAACATTTTGGAGGTTCTATTGTAGAAAAAAACCATAGCATTACAACCCATCACTGTTTACATTAAACATACCCATTCCTGAGCCTAGTAATTATCTAGTGATGTAATATTAGTGTTTTTTAAATTACACTATGAATTAGTTGTCCCTTCTGTTTTGAATACGTCAGTTTGCATGGTTGTTCTTATTTTGGTTTATTTGCCTTATTTCTACTGATGAATCGTTTAATGAGTAGTGCAACAGCAGCTGATAAATTATCCCTTAATGTGGGAGGATTTCAAAATTCTTTTACAACATCGATGGTGAGTTTAGAAAAAAAATAATAATAATAATAATAATAGAAACTTCATATTAATTATTGTTTTACTTTTAAGTCGAAAAAGAAATAATATATTTAAACTAAAAGAGAGAATTCTATAATTTATATTGACATTTAAAGTTTCATTGATAAATCCAATGTTAATTTATTTGAAAATAAAAAAGATTGTTAAACATTTTTTTCTTTTAAATATTAATTTAAAATTAAATCAAATTCTCCTTATCCATTCTTGAAAAATAAACATTTATCCAATGTAAACAAAAGGATATCAATTAAATTTTTATTTTTAATAAATAATTTCCATTGCATATATTTTGTATTGTCTATGAAAAATTGTGTATTTTTTTCAAGTTAATCAACGTAAATTATTTTTTTTTGATAATTTTACACTATAAATAGAAATAAAAAAAATTTTAACCTTATTTTTTGAATTATATGTATTTTCGATTGTTATTATTGTAAAAAGTTGCACATATGTCAATTAAAAATTTCTGAGAAATTTAGTTTCATCTTTCGCAATTACAAAATATTAAATATTTTTTGTTTTCTTACATATTTTTTTTTGTAATATCCTTTTTCTCAATCAATTATTATTGAAAGTAATTTTATTTAGTAAAAAAAATTTTTTTAAATGAAAAATTCGTAATTACAATCAAGATTTAAAAAAAAAATTAAATAAATCTTATTAAATTGTAAATAATACAAAATTTATTCGCAAAAAACGAACACAAATTATTGAAACTAAATTCTTATTATTATTTTAACTTAATTCCTAAGGAAAATATTTATTTTGAAAAAATTAAATAATTTAAAAAAATTTTTTTTGTCGAAAATTATTAAAACTATTTTTTTTCTATTATTTGAATTTCCTTTTAATGGCAAATAATAATTTTTTTTCAAAAATATTTGATTTTTAAAAATATTCATTGTCGAAATAGACTTTTTCAAAAATTTATTAAAATATTGTATATTTTTCATTTCTTTTTTTTTTTCAATTTTTTGTAAATTAAATATAAAATATTAAAATCAGGGTGCTTAACGGTCAGGGAAAAGTCAGGGAATTTCTTTAATTTTCTATAATTTTTCACTGAAAAAGAAAATTTATTTAATTTAAATACTTAATTACTTGACTATTATCAAATAAATATTTATTTGAACCTAATAATTTTTATTTGAGTTAATAAAAATGGTATTTGTTTCAAATACAACAATTATTGGTTCAAATACAATTTATTTAATACGCAGGCCTTGGATTATACGACTTTTTCGACTTTTTCCGACTTTTTTCGATTTATTTTAATTAAATGTGACTTTTTCGACTTTTTTTTTATATTTTTGAAAAAAAAAAATTTTTTCAAATTCAATTATTTCTAAAAATTTCAAATCAAAATCAATTAAAATTCAATTATTTACAAAAATTTTAATTCAAAATCAACTAAAATTCAATTATTTTCAAAAATTTCAATTAAAATTCATTTATTTTCCAAATTTTCCATTAAAATTCAATTATTTTCAAACTTTTCTATTTAAAATTAACTACAATTGAATTATTTTCAAAAATTTTCTATTTAAAATTATCTAAAATTCAATTATTTTCCAAATTTTCAATTCAAAATCAACTAAAATTCAATTATTTTCAAAATTTTCAATTTCAAATTAATGAAAATTCAATTATTTTCAAAATTTTCAATTCTGAATTAATTAAAATTCAATTATTTTCCAAATTTTCAATAGTAATAAATTACAATTAAAATTTAATTTTTCGAAAATTTAACTGTGTGAAATCAATTTTTTTTTTCTAAAACATAAATTATTTTCATATCTGTAAAATTTAATTATTCTCTGAAAATTAACAAAATCTTTTAAAATTCAATTATTTCTAATAATTCTTGATAATGTTCTTATATCTATAGAATTATTCTCATTACAAAATTAATAAAATTAATTTAATATCTAATAACATTAGTTATTTAAAGTAAAATATTAATTAACCAATACAAAATTTATTCACAATAACGAACACAAATTATTGAAACTAGATTCTTATTATTATTTTAATTTAATTCCTGAGGAAATTATTTATTTTAGAAAAATTAAATGATTTTTAAAAATGTTCGTTGTCGAAATTGACTTTTTCAAAAATTTGCAAAAACAATAAAAAAAAAATTATTAAAATTACATTTTTTATTTTCATTTCTTTTTTTTCAATTTTTTATAAATTAAATATAAAATATTAAAATAAAAAGTATGTAAAATTGGTAATAATTAAAAATTTTAATTAATTTATTATTTAATCAATTAATAATAATAATATTACTTTTCTTTTAAAAATTGGAAAAAGGATGATTTTTAATAAAAAGAAATTACAGTTAAAAGAAAAAAAATCACCAACATTTCTTTATGAATTTAATACGGTTGTTCGTATAGGTAAGAAATTTTTTTTTTTTTACTATTTATGTGTATTCAATAAATCTATTTTTTTCTCGAAGGACACATGACGTTAAACACTGAAAAAATTACATGTTTTTAATAATCGTATTTTATCATTTATTTATTTACCATGAAAATATTTACAATTTTATACATAAATTTATTCAAATAAATGAATATTCGGTTTTTTGAAAAAAGAAAGATATACGTAAAAATAAAAAATAAATTGATATAATACAAAATTTTTATTTTTATTAAAAAATTATTAAATTAAAAAATTATTCAATTTGTATTATTATTATTATTAAATTAAAAATTAAATTCTTATTATTTAATTAAAAATTATTCTTTTTTTTTACTGTTTAAAACAGGTTTTCAGCATTTTTTGAAAAAATACTAACGTTATAAATTGGCGATTAATGAAAACGAAAAAAAAAATTCCCTGCCATTTTTCAGTGACTAACTAATTTAAATTATTGAAATTTTTTTTTATTTACAGAAGGCGACAACGAATTTGGGGCAGGAAGCCCAGGGCAACCTGGGCTTTCTTCATGCCTTCGTTGCTTCACTTTCTGTAATTGTTGTCTCTGAATTGGGAGACAAAACTTTTTTTATCGCTGCAATTATGGCGATGAAATATCCTCGACTTACCGTCTTTACCGGAGCAATAGGTGCACTCGCTTTTATGACTATCCTTTCAGGTAATAAAAAAAATTTTTTTTCTATATAAATTTTATTCTAATTTTAATTCTAATAAAATAAATAAAATAAATAAAATAAATAAAATAAATAAAATTAATAAAATAAATAAAATAAATAAAAACAAATAAAATAAATAAAATTGTACTTTTATACAATTTGGTACAAGATTTGTTTGTTTGTTTTTTTTTTTTTTTTGAAAATTTTTACTTAACCAAAAATTTATTTAAAAATAATTCTATTCGATTTTTTATTTGACAGACCTTACATTTATTTGAATAAATAAACATTCGTCAAAAACATTTTCACTTAAATTTTAAAATTAATAAAAAAAAAATTTATGTATAATTTTTGATTGGTTAATTTTAAAATTCTTGTCCAAAAAAGTTTCTGACAAAAATCATTTCGAAAAAATGAAAATTCTATCAGATAAAAATTCTGTTAAATGAAAATTTGAAAAAAAAAAGAAAAATTTTGACAAATGATAAATTTGAACAAATAAAAATTTTGATAAATAAAAATTCGAACAATTGGAAATTCTGTGAAGTAAATTTTTTTTTATCAAAATGTTGTTAATATCGACAATTATTTTAATGAAAATCTTGTCAAAAAATAATTCGAACATATAAAAATTTGGCTAAAAAAAAATTATATCTAATGAAATTCCTATCAAATAAAAATTCTAATTTTAGAAATTCATGTGAATTTGTTTTTTTTTTTTTTTTGTATTCTGGAAACAAATAAAATTATTTTTAAAAGTATTATATCATTTTTTTAAATTAGTCGGCAACGTCTTTGATCGAAATGTGTTTCTTTATAACGATGTAAACATTAAAAGAATTTTTTATTAAAAAAATAAAAATTGTTCTTCTCTTTTGATAAAAGCAACTTTTATTTCCGACTAATTTACTATTAGGGTAATTATTATTGCTAATAAAAAAATTTTTAAAAAAAACCCATTAACTTAAATAACTTATTATTGAAAAAGTAGTTTCATTTATTAATATATTTTTTTCCAAACTACTTAAAATTAAACGAAGTTGCAGTGTAAATAAATCATTGATTCTTTACATTACTGATATCTTTGAAAAAGATTCGCCTGATTTTAATTCTTTTTTTTTTTTGCATCTGGTATATAGAACAAATCAGATAGTAATTGCAATCGACTGATAAAGCAATAAATTTAATTCTTAAATAATAAATTATAGTCTAAATATCGTTTTATATTTTTGAAAACTATTTTTTATCTCAACGTTTAAATCTTTTAAAAAAATTTTTATTTTTGAATAATTAATTAAAAAATTGTTATTACCAAAAATATCATTCATCTGTAAAATATGACGTTTACGCGGTATTAATAAAAGTAAAATGAAATTCATAGTTTACTTGTGAACAATGATTTATTTCTTATAATTAACGAAGTACTATTTAAAACTAATAGCAAGTTGCTTTACTGCAATTTTTTTTTTTTTTTTTTTGACACACATATAAGTTTCATTTCAAGGTTTAGTTTTTATGTTACAAAGATGCCGTTATAATTCTTCGAAGTTGATTAGAAGACTGAATTCTTTGGAATTTAGTTAAATTGCATTTAATGGTTTAATTTACAAAAAAAATAGCAATATTGAAGATATTTTGAATTATTAATTTTATTTTATTTATTATATATTAATTTTAATCATAACATTGGAAATTAATTATTTGATTAACAATTTTATGATTAATTTCAAACGTTTATTTAATTTAATTTATTCATTTATTTACAAAAAATTTTAAGCTTGATTCCGTCATAGAGAAAAAATTTTAAACATTTTTTTGGAATTTTTGAAAATTTTTCATAATTTCAAAAGAAAAAAAAATGCAATAAACCCATAAATATTGAAAAATATTCTAAATTTTCGAAAAAAATTAAAAACAAAAAATTGTTTTTTTTTTTAAACGGGACCAGGATTTAATTTTTTTTTTTTTTTGTAAATTTAAAAAGAAAAAAAAATTGAAAGATACAAACAATTTCAAAAATAATATTTCAATCTATACATTTTCTATATTACAGAATTTTTATATCCTAATCGAAAATTTTTTTCATAGAATTTTCGTAATATTTGTTCGAATTTCCCATTTAATTGAATAACGATTAAAACAAATTTTTATTCATCAGAATTTCTTTACATTGATTTTTCTTTCAGATAAATTTTTTATTTATTCGAATTATTATTTGACAAAAAGGATAAACATTCTAATAAATTAACTTTTATCATTATTCATTAGTGTCTTTCTTTAAATTAATTGAATTAAATTTTTATTTTATTTTATTTTTTTACAATTTTAATAAAATTAAATTTTTTTTTCAAATTTTTACATCCAATAATTGAGAAAATTGAAAAATTGGATACTTTTAAAGATTTTAAATTTTAAAAAATATTATTAAACTTCAAAAATAATTTATGTAATTTTTAAATTAGCTTCAAAAGTTATTGATTGTTCAATAACTACTTTTAAAACAAAATTCCGCACGACAATACAAAATATCTTTGAAATTTAAATATATGAATTTCAATATTTAACACGTTTAACATTTTAACTGTTGAATTTATTTCAAGAAACAAATAAATAAATGTAAATTAACTGTTTGATAAATTTTAGATTTTTAATTTTTTTTAATAATTCTCACATTTATTTGAAAAGTAAAATTTAACAATAATAATTGTGATGGAAAAAAGTATTAAAGTGCATAAATCATTGTTATATAATTGTATTTTTAATAAATTATTTATGCAAAATAAAAAAAAAATGAAAAAGAGATATTTGAAAAATTCTTGGAAGTAGATGCGTTTTATTTATAATAGTAGAGAGCAATTGAAAACTAATAAGTATGCTATTTACTTAATTTTATTTTTTTTAAATTTTCGTAATTTGGCGAATTACTTCTTGGATTTTAGAGCAAAAAAATGTGTAGTTTAAATTTTTTTTCTTTTATGTTTAAATTGTTTAGAATTGTTTTTTTTTAACTCTCTATAAATAATTATTAAATTATTAAAAATAAAAAATAATAATAATAAAAAAAATTATAAATTATTAAATATGTGTCAGAATATTATTATATTTCATACAAAGTCGTTGGGAATTATTAAAAAAAAAAAAAATTCCAATTTTCTTTTTAATTTAAGCATCTAAAAAGAAATTAATAAAAATTTTAAAAAAATACAGAATTATGATTTTTCTAGAATAATAATTATTGATCTACGTAATGTGAATACATTATCATAAAGTTAAATCCTATCTTGATCTACTTATATCAACAATAAATTTGTATGATAAGATTGATTTTACAGTGAATAAAGATTCTCTGGGATCTAATCTTTTTTCTATATATATATTAATATATATGGGCGATTCCACATGAAATTTACCTATGACCTTTTAAACTCGGATAATTTTTTTAAAAAATTTTTTGTAGAAAAAAATAGTATCTTTTTTAAAATACTAATTTTATAAATTTTCAAGTTATGAATTTTTTAAAATTTGGAACCGATTTTTTTACTTTTTTTTTATTTTTATACATTTACCTGGAAATACTAAGAAGATTTTGCAAAAAAGTTTTAGACTTCTTTAAACAATTTGTTTTAAAAAAAAAAAATATTTTTTTTATTTCTTGAAACAAAATGCATTTTTCCTATGGAAAAATTAAATACCAAAAAAAACGGTTTATTTTTGAAAAATAAAAAAAAAACAATAAAGAAAAACTTTTTTGAACAAATTAAATTATTAAATTAAATTAATTAGTTAAATTATTTAATTATTATTTAATTTAATAAAATTTAAAAACACAAACTTTTTTTCTAAAATAATTTTTACCTTCTTAAATTTGTTTTTAATATTTTTTAAATGTCTAAAAAAAATACACTAATAATATTCCCGTCAATTTGTTAAATATAAATAAATAAATAATTAATAATAATAATTTTGATTTAACAGTTGTATTTGGATATGCAGCAACGATAATTCCCCGAGCCTATACGTATTATATTTCGACAGCATTATTTGCTTTATTTGGTTTAAAAATGCTTCGAGATAGTTATTATATGTCACCTAATGAGGGACAAGAAGAACTTGAAGAGGTTCAATCTGATCTGAGAAAACGAGAAGATGAAGTAATTTTTCCACTTTTTTATTTTATTTATTTATAATAAAATAAAATAAAATAATTATTCTAATAAATAAATATTAATTATAGTTTGAGAAAGATGCGGAAAGTACATTAGTTCAAGATCCAGAAACTGGAATCATAAAAAAAACACAAAAGAAAAATGCATTGATGGTATTGTCGAGGATTTTTCTACAAGCTTTTACATTAACATTTCTTGCCGAATGGGGAGATCGTTCTCAGCTCACAACAATTCTTCTTGCAGCACGTGAGGTAAATTCTCTACAAAATTAAAAAAATAAAGTCCTTAATGTAATTAATACAAATAATATTATTATTATTATTCATAAATAAAAAAAATTAATAATTAATAATTATTATTATCATTATACATAAAAAAAATAATAATAATAACGGGTTTCGCATTTATCTACTAAAAGCTACTATTTGCTACTTTTTTATAGTTTGCTACTGTTTGACTAATTTTTTCAGCCTTGTGCTACTAAAAGTTACTTATTTTTTAGAATTTTCCAAAATTTATTTTACAATATTACATTTCTTTAATTTAATATAAATTGAATTTTTTTAAATTGATTTTTGTTATAAATTAAATATTTAAATTATTATTTCAATAATTTAAAATGATTTAAATTATTTTCTAATTATTAAAATTGAATTTAATAACAATTTTAATTAAATCATTTAAAATTAAAAAAAAAAAAACATTTTAATAACATAATCATAATACAACATTTTTTAATTGAATTCTAGAATTTTATTTTCAATTTTATTTAAGTACGTTTAAAATATGATTTGATTTGAAGTAAAATTATATTTTATTTAAATTAATTTCGTATTTAATCATTTTTATTGTATAATTTCTTAAATTTTCCATTTCCTTACATTAAGAAAACAAAAATCGTTTTTTTAATTATATTTTTGAAGCGCATAATTGAGTAGCTGCCTGCAATAACTCGCCGAGCGCTTGACCGATCGCTCTAACGCCAGTCAAACGTTCAAAAACGTGAAAAAAATGAAAAATGAAAATTTTGATTTTTAAAAAGTGCAATCTTGTAGGACATAAGATGGCGCATCTTTTTTTCCTTTGAATTTTTTTTTATAGATCAAAAAATAGAGTTAATATATGCAAAACACTTAAAAATTTTATTTCACAAATTTCATTCAATTTTTAAACATAAATCATAGTATCTTTGACAAATTTCAATGAATCTTATTGAAAATTGACTCGCTAACGCGTCGCGCATGTTTTCTTAAACGTTCTATATTTTCTAAAGTTGTTGATAAATTGTTTTTCAATTTTACACTTTATGTCGACAAAGGTAAGTAAACATTATTATTGACAAGTCTTCATTTACAATTAATTATAAATAAACAATTGATGATTTTAATATTTTTGATTATGTTGTCGTCTTCTATGGACCTAAATACGTATGTATATTAATTTTCAATAAGATTCATTGAAATTTGTCAAAGATACTATGATTTATGTTTAAAAATTGAATGAAATTTGTGAAATAAAATTTTTAAGTGTTTTGCATATATTAACTCTATTTTTTGATCTATAAAAAAAAACTCAAAGGAAAAAAAGATGCGCCATCTTATGTCCTACAAGATTGCACTTTTCAAAAATCAAAATTTTCATTTTTCATTTTTTTCACGTTTTTGAACGTTTGACTGGCGTTGGAGCGATCGGCCAAGCGCTCGGCGAGTTATTGCAGGCAGCTACTCAATTATTTCATAAAAATCATTAGACTATTTCAAAAAAAGTACTATAAAAAACGAAATACTTTGAATTATTGGATAATTTTTCTTGTAAATTCAAAAATATTAATAATAATAATAATAATAATAATAATAATAAATCTTGTAAATATTTATAATTACAGGATGTTTATGGCGTTATAATTGGAGGAATTTTAGGTCATTCGTTTTGTACAGGATTGGCTGTTCTTGGTGGACGAATGATAGCTCAAAAAATATCTATACGAACAGGTAACTTTTTGTACTTATAAAAAATGTTTTTCTTTTTTTTTACTAAACGCTTTTTCTAGCAACAATAATATAATTAATTCTGTCTGTCTTTATTTATTTATTTTTTTTTTATTTTTTGAAATTTGATAAAGAAAACTCAACATTTGAAAACACGCCCGTGAATTATATTTTTAAAGTCTTTACAGGTTTTCAAATTTTTTTCGATTTCTCTGCCTTAAGAGAAGGGTGAAATTTTAACCCTTGAAAATTTACTTATATGTGATAAATTTATTTTTTTTAATTATTTAGAATTCAGAATTATTCTAAATTATTGAAAAAAAAAATTATTTTTGACTACCGTCAGCCGGGGCTATTATACTAAAAAAAAACGCTACTTTTTTACTTAATTCTTCAACAAAATTCAAAATTTAAATAATAATAAAAAAAATTCTACTCTTGTATTATATTAGGGCTATTATATTCAGCAAATTTTTTTTTTTTATTTATAAAATATCCTTAACATTTTTTTATACAGCTTTAGATAAATGAAATATTTTTTGCAGATAGTTTAGATTATGATAAAAAATAGGAAAAAAAATTATTTAACAAATTTGAAAGTTAAACATTGATATTTTACTAAAATCTATATTTATTAAAAAAAGGTTAACATTTTTTAGGTTAAGTAAAACAACTCAATATATTACACAAAAGGACAAAAAAATTTTTGCAGAAACACATGAGTTTCTCATAAAAATCATTAATTTGTAATTTTTATTTTACATTATTTTATTAGAAATAATTATTTTTTAAACGAATTTTCAATTTTCGAATTAAAATTTAACAGATTTTCTTTTTATACGAATTTTTACATAACAAAATTTAAAGCTACGGAATTATTATTTTATAATCATTTTTTCAACATGACTGTTTATTTCAGAGAATTTCAATATTAACTGAATTCCCATTCAATTAAATTTTATGCTATTCGAATTTTTAAATGAGAAAAATTCCAATTCACCGAATTTTAATTTAAACGAATTTTGAATTAATAGAATTTTTAAGACGCCAAATTTTCAATTTGTCCGAAATTACAAATAACCAAACAAAAAATCGATAGACAGATTTTGGCGCAATTTAAAAAAAAATTTTTTAGTTGTAAAATTTCTAATTGGTCAATTTTTAAAAAATTGCGACGAAATCTCTCTGTCGATTGTTTGTTTGGATATTATTGTAATTTCGAACAAATGAAAATTCGGCGTTCTAAAAATTATATGAATTAAAAATTCATAAAAATGAAAATTGAGACGAATTTTAAATTAGATTAATTGGAATTTTTTGTCAATTTACAAATTCAAATCATGTAAAATTCGATTGAATGAGAATTTTGTTAAGAGCATTTGAACCTTCGTGACGTCACAAATCATGGCGCATGACACGCAAACTTCTCAGGTATGTGAAAAACACAATTTTGAATATTTTTTAAAAAAACCTTTTGTAAAATGTTCAGAGAAACATTGACTATGTCTGTTATGTGCGAAAAATTCAAAATTTTGCGTATAAAACGTTTTTTAAACAATGTTTAAGTTGGTTGTCACAAGTAAGGAAAAATACACGAATTGCTTATATGTAGGCATTGTTTAAAAAACGTTTTATACGCAAAATTTTGAATTTTTCGCACATAACAGACATAGTCTATGTTTGTCTGAACATTTTCCAAAAGATTTTTTTTTTTAAAATATTCAAAATTATGCTTTTCACATACCTGAGAAGTTTGCGTGTCATGCGCCATGATTTGTGACGTCACGAAGGTTCAAATGCTCTTAAATTAAAATTCTCTTAAATAAAAAGTCAAGTAAAAAAAAAAATGACTGTTAAAAAAGAATTAATAAAAATTTTATTAAACCTTCATTAAAAAAGAGAAATTCTGTCAAATGCTAATTGAAAACATAAAAATTCGTCTAAAAAATAATTAAGATTTCTAAAAAAAAAAATTCTTTATAATGAACATTCGAATTATTGATTTTTATGCGTCACGAATTTTCGTCTAGCGTCTGAGAAAAAGAATTAAATAATTATTATTTCAATATAAATATTTGATTAATTAAAAACTTGCACTGAGTATAATAGCCCCATGGGTGAGTAAAATAGCCCCCGGTTGACAGTATTTTATAATTTTAACAGTTCTAAAATTTAAAAAATTTGTGAAATAACTTATAAATTATTCTTAAGAAAAGTTAGGAAAGTTAGTTTTAACAATAAAAAAAAAAATTTGTTTCAGTAACTCTAATTGGAGGAATTGTGTTTTTACTTTTTGCGGTAACAGCTCTAATCATCAATCCTTCGGATAATGTATGAATATTGAAGAAAAAAATGAAAATGAAATGAAAATACTTACGTGATTCGTTGTAGAATCAGGTTATTATGTGAGAAAAGGTGAAAAATACCTTTTTTTCGCAGCCATTAGGCCCCCTCTTCCTCCAATTTTTTTTTTTTTTTTTTTTTTGAAAATGTTCATTTTTAGACGCAGCAGAAATGCGGAGAATACCTAACGAATTATCATCGTACTTAGAGTCTTTTATATAATAGTTGATATTATTTTCTTTTCCACTAATTTAGTTGCATTATATTTTATTGTATTAGTTAGATAATTTGTATTTGTTAAACAAAAGATCTCGACAATATACGAGAAATGTCTCGTGTTTTCCAGATTTTCTTAAATTTGTTTTTTGTGAATAAATTGTATATTTGTATCAAGAACTATTTTTATAATCGTTTTTGTAAAAAGTTATAATATTTCGCGGGCCTAATGGATCTTGTGAAAATGATAATATAGGTATACTTTTAGAATAGGAATTGCAAAAATAATTGTATACAATACTTGTATTCTAATTTTAATTTGTTTCTACTGTACAGCCTGTGTAAAATTGAACCTGATATTTTTATGAATTATATTTTTCTAGAGATTTATTATCCGATTTTTTTTTTTTACAATATTAGTTAGAGAAAATATTTAGAATAGATTTATTATTTTTCTGTTAAAAAATTTATTTGTTAAAAAAAAAATACGCACACACAGAAAAAAAAATTCTTTTCTTCAAAGAAATTAATTTTATTGATAATTTTTTTTTTCTTTAATATAAAGAAAATTTATTTGTTTCAAACAAATGATTTTTGATTTAAAAAAAAAAAAAAATTATTTTCGTTTTAAAGAAATTTTTTTTATTTAATTCAAATAAAAATTTTTCTTTAATTTCTCTTTCTAAATTTTAATTTATTCGTTTCAAACAAATGATTTTTGATTTAAAAAAAAAAAAAAATTATTTTCGTTTTAAAGAAATTTTTTTTATTTAATTCAAATAAAAATTTTTCTTTAACTCTATATCAATGTTAGAATTTTTTTGATTTAATTTAATTTCTTTCAGAAATTTATGAAAATTTCTTGCTTCAAAAAGAAGATATTTTTTTTGTTTCAAAGAAAATTTTATTTTGAATGAAAGAAAACAAGTAAAAATTGGTTTCTTTAAATCAAAGAAATTATTTCTCTGGGTGTAGTCAAACTTGAATAACTCGAATTTTTTAATTTTATTTTTTTCCCTTCATTGTCGAACAAAAAGAAAAACATATTAATATTTTTTAATTCTTTTTAATGGTTTCAATCTTTATTAACTAATAATAATAATATTAATAATAATAATAATAATAGTAATTTTCTTAACTTCCTTAATATTACTTCGAAATATTAAAGATGGAAGGTATTTATTTCACTTTTTTCCTAGATATTTCATTATTTATATACTAAAACAGAAAAATGTTTCATATTTGTATATAATTTGAATGTAATTATTTTATAAAAAATATACCTATAATGCAACTTAAAATTTAATGGTACAAAGAATTTTAAAAATAATAATTTACTGTAATTAAAATTATTTTGTAATTTGCTTTTTATATAAAAAAAAAAGAAAATAATTTTTTTTAGTTACTAAAAAATATTGTACATACAATTGCAAAAAGAATTCTAGAAAAATAAAAATATTTAATTATAAATTTATCTATATAATAAATATTAACCTGATCATTAATTTAAAAATTTTTTTTTTGTTTTTATGTTGCAAAAAAGTTGATAAATTAAATGAAATAAAAATAAATCAAATTGGTAAGTAAATAATTTTATTATTATTATAATAATTAAAAGTTTATTTAATAATTATTTTTTATTCAAATGAAAAATAATTATTTTAAAAATAAAATTTTTTTCACCTTCTGCGAATGTGGATACATAATAATTTTTCATTTTTCTTAGATATAATTATTATATAATAATAAAATGCTTGGTCTGTCCTTCTGTTCTAACTTTGAAGTTTTTTAAGATTTTACTAATTATATCAGCTTAAATTTTGCTATTGAAAAATTTTTGGAAAAAAGACGATAATATTTTTTTGGTATTTTTTAAATTCCTATTTTTTCATTTTAAGATATTAATGTGATAAATAAGCTTCTAGAAAATTTTACCCAAATCCATTAAAATCTGTTTAAGTAATCGTATTTACAAAAAAAAATATCCACCTGGAAAATTGATTAGAATCTCATATAACATATTTCTATATAAAGAAAAATTTGTTTCAATAATCTTTAAAAATTTTATAAACAAAACGACTACAAAGCTTTCTCCACGAGGAAGCAAAATTAGGAAAATATTTTTAGAAAAAAGGATTATATGATACAATATGATTAGGAAAAAATTAAGAAAAACGGAAGTGACCCAGTGGGGAAAAAACTATATTCGTTCTAAAAATGTTTTAAGAATGTTTTTAAAACGTTTCATGTCTGCCAAATAATGTTCTGGAACATTATTTCTTCTTCTTCTTCTTCTTAAATGACTTGAGGCTTAATCTTAAAATGTTCCAGAACATTATTTGGCGGACATGAAACGTCCTTAAAACGTTTTTAGAACAAATATGGTTTTTTGCCCAGTGGTGAACAACTCAAATCAGGAAATTTGAAACATGTTATTATTATCATTATAATTATTGCAAATTATTAAAGAAAAAAAAAAAAGAGTACAATGTTAAAGTAATGAAAATTTAAAAAAAAAATCCACATTTTAAGGAAAACCATCGTCATCCTCTTCTGCCATTTCCTTAGCAAGTTCAAGATCCTGTTGTTCTCGTTCACGACGTTCCTCCGCCGATTCAAGATCTTTACCATAAGATTTTGGTGGATATCTCATTGCTTTTACACTTTGATTATGTAAATCAAGACAAAATGTAATTCTCTGATGAAATGCAAGTAATGGCTCGCGCGTACAATAAATATCAGTTGTTTCCTTGCTGCGCATATATCCATTCTCAGGATCAAGTGTCGCCTCAATAACACCATCTCTAATTGCTTTGGCGACAATAAATTCAGCGTCAACACCCGAATCAAGACCCAATTTTTGTGCAATATCAGCTGGTGAAATTCTTGAATATGAAAGTCCAATTGAACGTATCGCTGTTTTAATGACATTATGTCTCAATCGTAAAATCAATGTAAATGTATGATCGGCACGAAATTGTGGTCCAAAATTTTCAAGTACTTCACCAAAACGTTGAAGATTACCCAAACGTACGGCTTGTGTTAATTGAAAATAAGGAGCTAATGCACGACGCAATGCTGCTTGACGAAATATTTGCCTCTCTGGAATATCACCCAATAAAAGTTCAACTGTAACAGCAAGTTTTTGTACAGTTTGACGAAAGCCAACTGCCGTTGTTTGTGGTGCTTTACGCATTGCTTGAACTAAATATTTATGTGCCGCTGAATATTCAAGTCTCGCCGATTTAATACGACCCAAATAATAAAGAAAACGTGCCCATTCATTATTGCTCGCCGATTCAGGAAATGTTGATTTAAGAACAAGTTTATCGGCCTGATCATAAAGATTATAATGAAGATAATTTCTCAATAGACAATTAATTAATACCGCTTGTCCTTCAAAATCATTACGCAATGTTGCCGTACGTAAACGTAAATGAAGAAAACTACGTATTTTATCAAGTTGATTTGTTAATTCATAAGCGCGCGAATGATAAAAATAACATTTTGCCGCTATTAAATCCATTGAACGACGATTTTGTGCAACAATTTTTTGCACCAATGTTTCAGAACATTGAACTGCCTCATTATATTTTCTTGTGTCAATTAATTTAACGAGAATCAAAAGATGAATATAGGCATCAATTTCAGGAAGAAGTGGCAAAGCGGAACTACGAAATCTTTGAATTGCAGCCTGTGTACCCTCAGTGTCCATTGGCTCTTCAATCCAAGCAAGAAGCGCATCACGTTCAGTTGCTGATCGTGTAAAAAAACCACCGACAATACCACGAAGAACAACTGGATTTAATTTATGACGAGTATTTGGTAATGCACGCAATGCACGAAGAATAAAACGTGGCTCTTTATTTTGTACGGCACGTTCAATTTGACGAATGTGTTCACGTAAATCTTGAATTATTAATAAATCATTGTCCTTCTTCTCGGTTGTATCACCTGATTCTCCATTAACTGCGTCTACTGTCAATTCGACGTCCATGGCTTCAACTGTTTTTCCCGATACTCCCATTTTTGAAAAAAAAATGAAACCTTCTGCAAAGAAAAAAAAAATTATTACAAAAAAGAATAGATTGTAAATCGATCACTAAAAAATGAATGGCTGATAGTAAAAACGGGTTAAAAAAAATTTCGTTAGCAAAAGAAAGTGAAAAAATTGTTTTCATTTGGAAAAATTAAAAAAAATATACGCTACGAATAAAAAAAGAAATAAAAGTTTAGTCAGGGTAAAAACAGTTTTCATTAGACGAAAAAATGATTTAGAAGTTAGTCCTATTTTTGCTCGCAATAATTCATTTTAGATTCCGCTTTAATTATCAATTACATTCTTCATAATAGATTCTTTAAATTTTTATTATCAGGGTGTCTAATAACTGCTAGGAAAAAAAATTCCCTGACTTTTCACTGATCTAAATTACACTAAAAAAATTTTATTTTCATCAAATAAAATTTATTTTGATACAATTAAATCATTTACCTGTGTATTATCCACTAATTTCATATCTATTGGAACCAAATAAATAATGTTTCGTAACAAAATAAAATATTTCAGTGAAATAAATAAACTAATTGGGGGGACGTATAAATATTCTCAACATTTCATTTAAAAGAATTTTTACGGCGTCAAATTTTAAATTATCAAATTTTTATTTAGTAAAATTATATAAAGCAGATTTTCTAGTACATCGAATTTCTAATTAATACAATTTCAATTTAACGGAATTTATGTCAAGAAAAATTGCATAAAAGAAAAATTTTTTTTAACAGAATTGTTATTTTTGTAAATTTTGATTTATTAAAATATTTACTTAACAGGATTATCATTTTGAATAAATCCACAATTAACAAAATTTCTATTTAACAAAGTTTTTATTAAAGAAAATTTTAATTCGAACTAATTCTTATTTAACGGAATTCTCATTTAAGAAAAATTCTACTAAGTTCTTTTTTTTATCAATTTTTATAGACATAAATTTCGTTAAATTGAAATTATATTAATTAAAAAATTTTAAAAAGTATTAGAAAAAAATGCTTTCAGGCCTCGGATTGAATTAAGGTAGTATTACTTTATTTAAAGAAAAGAAACCTTCTGTGCAATATTAAGGACGAATAGTTCTTGAAGAAAAATAAAAAAAAAAAAATTTTTTTATTAGATCTTTCTGGTCACCAGAAGGCACTGAAGTCAAGGTCAAAAAAAAATTTGGTCAATCGGCGGACAAGCTCTGCAGCCTCTCAGGGGCATCGGATTTAAAAACAAAAAAAAAGCATTTTAAAGCTGAGACACGTGGTTGAGCATTGTTTCATGCCCGATAAAAAATATTTAAAAATGACAAAATGGCAACGAATTCAAAAAATTTTGCAATAAAAAGGGGTTTTTTTGGGCAGTTTTTGGATTGTAGCTAAAAACCAAAAAAGAATAGATAATCGGTTAAAGGCATAATGCCTACAGGCTTTAATTACGAAGAAAATGATATTTCTTTCTTTTTTTTGTTAGATAAATAGAACCCGAGTTATATTGTTCGCCAGTTTAAAAAACATCGTTTCGAGAAAAACGCGTTTAAAGTTTTAACTCCCAAATCTACAAATTTTTAACAAAGTTTGACGCTGTATTTTCGCAATTAAACTCTATAAAAAAAAAAGTTTGCAATAGCCATTTCTTATGTGCCAAGAACCGCTCTTTTGAATGGTGCATAAGAAAATTTTGTAAATTTTTAAGTAAAACAAATTATACTTGTTTCTTTAAATAAAAAACGCAAAACAGACGCTGTGTGCGTGAATATACACTGCGCTGCATTTTATTCTGTAACTTTTTTTATTTCTTCGAATTTTGATTTAATATTTTGAGATTATATTTCCAAGATGATTTGGAACAGGAAAATGCAAAAAAAAATTCGATTTTTTTGACCATATAAAGTGTAATACTACATTAAAAGGCACAAAAAAGTCGTTTCAGTCGATTTATATTCTAAAAAAAGTCGACTTTTTTTTATTTTAACAAAAAAGTTTTATAGATTTTTAAATAAAAATTTTTTTAAATAATAATAATTTTGGAAGAGTTAAAGTTGAAATTTTTAGAAATAATTGAATTTCAAAAGATTTTGTTAATTTTCAGACAATAATATTAAATTTTACACAACTAAAAATAAATTTATCAAATAACTTCACGGAGAGAAATCTGGTGCGATTTACGCATGAGCATGCCCTTAGGAATATAGTAACAGACGCTTTCAAGCAAAAATCCTAAGTGAGCGAGGTATTATTGTATGAGTCTCACCTGATATTCAGATGGAATCTTATAGTTTTTGCTTGGAAGTGTCCATGCTATATTCCTATGGACTTGCTCATGCGCAAATCGCAGCAGATTTCTCTCCGTGTTTAGATAACATTTTTTAAAAGTAATTGAATTTTCAAAGATTTGGAATAGAGATTTTTGAAATTAATTGAATTGATTTGAAATTTTTTTAATGATTTCACTAAAAAATTTATTAGAAATTTCGGACAAAAACAAAATAATTTGAAAACCATTTTTAATTGAAAAATGGTTTCAAATAGTTGAATTTTCGAAGAATACTGTAAAAATAGTTAAAAATAATTTAATTTCAGGAGAGCTATAATTGAAATTATTAAATTTCAAAAACTTTTAGATGGAAAATTTTAAAAATAATTAAATTTTAGAAGCTTTTAAATTAACAATTTTGAAAATAATTGAGTTTTAGTTGATTTTGGATTGAAATTTTTTAAAATAAATTGAATTTCAATTAAAATTTTTGATAATAATTTAATTTTAGTTGATTTTGGATTGAAAATTTTGATAATAATAAACGAAAGGGCTTTTGGCCCGTTGAAATAGAAATAAATAAATAAATAATAAATTTTTAATTGAAATTTTTGAGAATAATTGAATTTTAGTTGATTTTGAATTGAAACTTTTTTTAAATAATTGAATTTTAATTGATTTTAAATTGAAAATTTGGAAAATAATTGAATTTTAAAATTTTTTGAAAATAATTGTATGTCAATTGAAATTTTGAAAATAATTGAAGAATTTGATAGAAATTACTGATAAAAATTGAACTTAAATATCTTTTTAATTGCAAAATGCTTTCAGTTAATTAAATTTTCGAAGAATATTATAAAAATCATTTAAAATAATTGAAATTTTCGCAAAAATAATTATAAAAAATCTATTAAATTTCATAAAAATTTTAATTGAAAAATAGTTTTTTAAAATAATTGAATTTGTGATGAATTTCATTAAAATTATTAAAAATAATTAATTTAGTGAAGAATTTTAGTTAAAAATTTGTGAAATAATTAAAATAAAGAAAATCTGCATTTTATATTAAAAAAGTTTTTTTTATTAAAAATTTTGTAAAAAAATGTAAAAAAAGGTCGAAAAAGTCGTATTTTTGAAAAAAAAGTTGGAAATAGTCGAAAAAATCGTTTAATCCGAGGCCTGAACTTTAAATGTTTTTAATTGAAAAATGTTCTCAGGGAATTGAATTTTCTAAGAATATTATAAAAATTTAATTGAAAAATGGTTTCAGACCTAATTCAATTTTTTTAAGAATATTAAAAAAAATCATTAAAAATAATTGAATTTTGGAAGAGTTACAAGAAATTTTTTTTAGAAATAATTGAATTTCAAAAGATATTGTAAAATTTTTTTCGAAATAATTGAATTTTGGAAAAGTAAGAGTTAAAATTATTAAATTTCAAAAAGTTTTAGATGAAAAAATTTTAGAAGGTTTTAAATTGAAATTTTTGAAAATAATTGAATTTCAAGTGATTTTGAATGTAAAATTTTTGATAATTTTATTTTTTATTATTTTTTTTTTTTAATTTGAAATAATTATTGAATTTTATTTTATTTGTAATTGACAAATAGTTTAAGATAATTGAATTTGTAAACAAATTCATTCAAATTATTGTAAATATTTAATTAAGAAAAGAATTTTAGTTGAAAATTAATTTCCATTTAATATTTTCATCCTTTTTTTTATAAAATAATATTACTAATAAAAACAAAAAAAAAATATGTCAATGACAATTTCTTTTTTTTCGGAGCAAAATGGAAATATAACCTACAAAATTTATCGGCGAAAATTTCTATTAAAATCAGTAAAAAAAATACCTGATAAACACAAAGAACACTGATTTTTATAAAAACAAAAAAATTCACACTTATTAAACTAATTTTTTTGTAATTAAAAATTTTTCTCCCCTGACAATTATAACAAAAGAAATGAAAACAGAAAAGTCATTCTACCAAATTATAAACCACAAAAAAAATTGTATTAAAATTTTTTTGGTTAAAAACTTTACACAAACACACACTTTTAAAGAGAAGTCACTTTTTTTTTGCTTTTAATATAAATGAGAAATTAATTTTAATTTCAGTATACTTACAAATTATTTATATTTTATTTATAAAATGAAATTATAAAACTTGTGTAAAACTTTTTTCCACTTGCATTATCATCTCATTGAATGAAAATACGCATGCGCCACTATTTGACGTTTTCATTGGAACACTAGCGCCAAAGTTGTTAATACTTTTCCGCTTGGCGGTATATTTAAATTGATAGAATGGAGTTTTCGACTTTTTTCTCTTTTATAAAAAACAACATGTAAAATTAAGTCAATTATTATAAATAAAAATTTGGAAAACAAAAAATTATATTTGTTTTAATAATTAAAATACGGTTGAGTATTTAATGAGAGAAAAAATAGAAAAATGAGAGAAAAGCAGAGAAGCAAATCATATGAGCTTGCGTTTTGAAATAGGAAGAGAGAGAGAGAGAGAGAGATGAGATGAGCTTTAATAATTTGACGCAGGCTCAGTTTTGCACAACTGTGTTGTTTTGGGTAGGGCTAGAATTTTTTTTTTCATCAGTTTCCACAATTTTGTGATGTGAAACACTTGAAGTTTATTCTGGTCAAACAGAAAAAGATTTTATCGAGATTTTTCAAATTCCATTACACACGAGAGACTCGAAGATCGATACATACAATTTTTTTTTTTTATTATTTTAAATTAAATGTTCAATGTTTTGAAGCTGATTTTGATATTTGATGAAAATTATCAAAAGAACTAGGACAAATTTTTAATGTAAATAAAATAATAATAATGGTACGTAAATATATATAAATATTTTTTAAATTCTACTAATTTAAATAAATATTTTAAAAATTTATAATTATTTTTTTTTTAATGTTGGAATTTTTAATTTTTAAAGAAAAAAAATATTGAAATTCCAGTATTGTGAAATTTCTAATACGAGAAAATCGATTATTTTTTAATTAACACCGAAAGCTTTTTATATTACATTTTTACATCAAACAAAAATATTATTTAATTAGCGCGATATATTTTATCATTTTTATGAAAAATTTTATTTAAATATATTTTTAAATTTCGTGTATATTTTAAATAAACAAAAAATTTTTTTTTCTATCATTTTCTTTACAAAATGGAAAAATTTCATTTAAAAATTTCTCACTTATTAATGATTATTAAAATTATTAGTTATTAATAATAAATTTTAATTAATTTTAAAAATTAAAATTATTTGTTTCGTTTAAAAAAAAAAAATATTTTCGAAAATCAGTTATTTTTTTTTAAATTTAATATTGTTTTTAAAAATTCAATTATTTGCCAACTTCAATGTTTTTTTTTTATTTTAATTGTTATTTAATTGCAATTGTTATTAATTAAAATTATATTTTGGAATTTAAAATAACTTTAAAAATTTCTTATTTTATTTTTTCTTATTAATAATTTTAATTTAAAAAATATTCTTCTTAAAAGAATTAAAAAAAAAAATTATTAGTATTTATTATTAAATTTAAATATTAATTAAATTTATAGAATTTATTATTAAATTTAAATATTAATTAAATTTATAGAATTTATTATTAAATTTTTTATTTATAGAATTTATTCGTATTTTTTATTTAAAAAGATTTCATTAATTAGAATTTTTTTTTTTAGTTAATTTTAAATTTTGCCGCGAAATACATTTTTTCGTTGTTTGCTCGGTCATTTGCCAATTTCTGTATAAATGAAAATAAGAAATTTTAATAATTCAATGAAATAATAAAGTATAAATAAAAAGTTGGGATAAATTAATGAATTTGGTGAATTGAAATTTTTGATATTCAAAAAAAAATTCGACTCTTTTAAAATTCTATTATTGAATATAAAAATTCTATGAAATTAAAATTCAGTTACATTTTAGAATTTTTTTTTTTAAAGTTGAGAGTAAAGTGGAATTTTGTAAAAATATTTTTATAAAATATTTTCTAATAAAAATTCAATTTAATAAAAACTTGTTTAAAAAAAACTTATATAATTCTGTTAAATTGCTAATTCGAAAAAATTGCAATTCGGCTGAAAAAAAATTGTATCTTGTGAAATTTTTTATTAAATAAAAATTCTATTTTTGAAATTTTATATATTATTACATAAAAAATTTTTTTTTAATTAGAATTTCTATTCAAAAGAATTTATTTAGCGGAATTTTCCTTTTTTAGAATTTGTGTTATTTAAATTTATCCTAATTTTTAGGTAACAAAATTTTTATAATTAAAATTTTTACATTTACAAAAATTCTAATTTAATCGTATTGAAATTTTTTTTTTTTTGTCGTGAATATTTTTATTTGCACAAATTGTTATTCGTTATAAGAAAAATAAATGCTTTAAAAATTGTATTAATTTTTAAAACATCGATTTTTCATTTGACCGAAATTGCCAATTGACCGAATAAATTAACGGACAAAAAAAAATTTTACCGCGAAAATTTAAAAATTGATAAATTAAAATTTTCTTGAAAATTCTTTCAAATGAAAATTTTTAACTAATAAATTTATTCATTTAATGAAAATGAAAAAAAAAAACAATTTTTTAATTTATAGATGATTCTTCATAGAAAACGTAGACTTGGCTAATTCTTCTTTGAGTCAAGAAAAAAAAAAAAAAAATTCCACAATCATTCGATTCAGAAAAGAAAGAAGAAAAAAAAACACAGAATCATGCAATTTTCACGAAAAATGAGTGCACAAAATGTGATGGCAAGTGTATCGCGAGCATTGGGAACACATCGTGACAGTAAATGTCCAAATGAAATTAAACTTGCACAACACGAGAGCAAAGAGAGTATTTATGAGCCAAAACATAATAAAAAATTAATTCGTGTCTTAACAGTAATTGCATATTTAATTTCAGTTAGTTTAGCTGCAATTATTTTGTCACTTTATTATGCATTTATTTGGGATCCAAGAGATCGTGGACATTATGCACTTAAACAAACATCAAGTCAATTCAATTTCAATAAATATGAAAATATTTCCAATCACATTTATAATACAATTCCCGAGCAATTGACACAACATAATTTAAATAAAACATTATTCGCTAATTTATCTCGTAATCTTAGTCAAATTCATCATAATTTCATGGGAATTCATCATAATTTTACAAAAAACTGATTAATTTAAAAAAAAATAAAAAAAAATAATTATACATAAATACTAGAAAAAAATAATAATAATTTAAATATGTAGAGTAATTTTTATGTTCCGGATCTCATAAAAAAAATTTTTTTTAATTCCATTATTTTTGTTTAAAAAACGAAAAATTTTTTTATCCGGAAAATAAAAATCATGCTGTATAAAAAAAGTGAATATCATTGATAGTTAATTATATAAGGAAGAGTGGGACGTGACCAATTAATTAAGAATTTTTGAATTTGAAAATTTTATTTATCAAATTATTCCCACCCTCCCCTACTGTTAATTATTGTGACAAAAAATCAAATATTTCCGCGTGTACGTAACTATAAAAAGAAAAAAAAAAATTATTTTCTTTTTCCAAATAGAAAATATAAGTGTCTCTTGTACCTTCTATTTTATAATAATGTATTAGAAAAATTGATAGATTTTGTTAAAAAAAAATTATTTTATTAATTCCCCAAAAAAAATCGTTCCAATTCTTTATTAAATTTTCGAAAAATTAAATACTTATATTTTATCATAAATATTAGCTAACTAAAAGTTTTTGATTATTTATTTAAATCTCTTTCTCATGTGATAAAAAAAGCAAAAAAAAAAATCTCGAATTTTTTATTTAGACTATTAACTTCGATTTATAATAATTGTAAATATATTTAAATTTAGGGGAAAAAAAAATTACTTTTGTTATACAGAAAAGTATTCATCGTATATATATATTTATTCAAATCTAATAAAAATTCTAATTAAAATGTATTTCTCGACTCGAATTATTAAAAAATACTTATATTTATTATATTTGAATGTAACTTTTATAATAGAATCTATTGTAAAATGTTAATTAGCGAATCTTTACTGTAAATGAAATTATATTTGAGATTTCAAAAATATTGAAAAATTGTTTTCACATATTTCCCTCTCTATTTATTTAGGAATTTATTTTTTATTTATTTTTTTAAAATTTTTATTGTCAATTGAAAATTCCTAGTCATTTCATAATTCGTTTTTATCTATATTTCAGATTTTATCTCCCAATTTGTCTATTTTGTTAATTTTTTTTAACTTTCACCATAATTCGATTAATTTGCTAATGTAATATTTTTCAAAAAATTTAAGATAAAAAAATTTTGAATTGATTTAAAAATTATTTAGAACAAATTTTAATAAATCTAAAATTTAAATTAATTGAAGAATTTAAGTAAAATTTGTAATTAATTGAAATTCCTTCTAATTATAAGCAACCATGAATTAAATCTTTATTCAAAATTCAATTTCATTCCAATTTGAATCTTTTAAAATTTTTATTCACATCTAAATTTCAATTTAACTATACAAATTTAGTTTTAATTGTTTTAAATTTCAAATTATCCGAATTTTAATTTATATAAATTTTATTATTGATAAATTGCAGGCCTCGAATCGACTTTAAGACAAAAAAAAGTCGTTTTAGAGTCGGTTTATATTCCAAAAAGTCAAAAAAAAAAGATTTTTTTATTTTGACAAAATTTAATTGGTTATTAAATATTTTACTTTAAATAACTAATGTTATTATAGATATTAAATTTGTTTTATTAATTCTGCAATGAGATTCTATAAAAATATTATCAAGAAAATTTCTTTCAAATATTTCAGAATCGAACTAATTGTAAGACGAATTTTCAAAATTTTATTTAAGTTGGACAAATTTCTAAAAAAAAATTCTTAAAGTTCCATTTTTATAATTTTTTCAAGTCTGATTTAAGCAATTTTTTCTGAATTTAAAATTTTATCATACTTTTTAGTTTTGATGGTCAAAAAAAATTTCAGACAATACTTAATCAAGTTTTACAGATTTTTAAATAAAAAAATTTTTTAAATAATAATAATTTTGGAAAAGTTAAAGTTTGAAATTTTTAGAATAAATTAAATTTCAAAAAATTTAATTAATTTTCAGACAATAATTAAATTTTACAGAACTAAAAATAATTTTCAAAGATTTACAATTTTGATTTTTGAAATTAATTGAAATTTAAGTGATTTTTAATTTAAAATGTTTGATAATTTCTGTATTACTAAAAAAATTTTTAGAAATTGCAGACAAAAATACAATAATTTGAAAACTTTTTAAGCGAAAAATGGTTTCAGATATAGTTGAATTTTCGAAAAATATTATAAAAATCATTAAAAATAATTGAATTTCAGAAGAGTTATAATATTGAAATTATTAAATTTCAAAAAAATTTATATGGAAAATTTTAGAAGCTTTTAAATTGAAAATTTTGAAAACAATTGAATTTCAAAAGATTGTGTTAAATTTCAGACAATAATTGTAATAAGAGAAAAAAAAAATTGAATTCCAAATGTTTTTAATTGAAAAATGCTTTCAGATAATTGGATTTTCGAAGAATATTATAAAAATTATTAAAAATAATTGAAATTTTTTGCAAATAATTAAATTTCAAGTGAATTAAATTAAAAATTGTTGGTAATTTTAATTTGATAATTTTTTTAAAATTATAAATAATGATTAAATTTTATAAAAATTTTAATTGAACAATAATTTATGATAATTGAATTTGTGAAGAATTTAAAATTAATAAATAAATAAAATAAATTAATTTGAAAATAATTAAATTAGTGAAGAATTTTAGTTAAAAATTTGTTAAATAATTTGAAATAAATAAGATCTGAAGAAGATCTGCATTGTATACTAAAAAAAAAATATTTTGTTTAAAAATTTTGTAAAAAAAAAAAATAGTCGAAAAAGTCGTATTTTATTAAAATAACTCAAATAAAGTCGTATAATCCAAGGCCTGCACTGTGTATATGATTTAGCAATTCAAATAGTTATGTAGCATAAAATCTTTCAACTGTTTTGTTGCTCACTGCTAATTAAGCAAAGCAGCATGAGCAATTTGTCACAAATTTTATGTCAATTTGCTCGTCTGTTACATTAAGGTACATTTACTTTCTTTCTTACAAGTTTGTACCTAATTTTTTCAACAAAGTGACATCAAAACAAGATTGTGGATTTAATTTCCAATTTCATATAAATTTGCTAACTTTACTTTGCTAAATAGCAAAAATTCCTATCATAGCAACACTGCTAAGAAAATTTGAAACCTATTTTTATAGTTTGTTAGAAAAAAAATTATTTCTTTTTTGCCGCAAGAAAAATGGAAGTTTTCCTTTTTTTCAAAACTATAAATGAAAGATAAGTGTGATATGTAAAATGAAAAGAATAATAATTGTATCTCCTAGAATTTATTGCAATACAAATAAGATTGCAAAATACAAATATAATATATAAATTTATTTGTCTTCGGGTTTATTAAAGACGAGAGTGTATCCGCACTTTCCGCAGTAGTGGCGATCTTCCATGGCTGCCATGAATACACCAGCTCCGCACTGTTCCGAAGGGCATTCCCGCCTTAAACGATGAATTTTTCCATTTTCGTCCACCTAAAAACAAACACACACATTTTATTTAGGGTCAGCCGGGGTAAATCCGAACGGGGGGTAAATCCGAACGCTAATTATTTCAGCTTAATTAAAATTTTTAAAAATAAGTTCGATATGAGAATTTTTACCTCAGATCCTCTTCAAGAGATTCTAAGTATTATCCCATTTTTCGTTTCTTAATTAGCAACAGCATAAACAAAGATAACGAGTATTGCAAAAAAGATTGAAAATCAAAGATGACACACTTTTAGTATTTTGTCTCGTATTTGAAGAAAAAGAAGCTAAAAATTTATTTTATTATTTATAACTGTTTGTTATGAATACTAGAACAGAAACTATTTTTCATTTTTGCCTTCTGTAAAATTTTATTAATAATATCAGACCGTTCGTATTTACCCAGGAAAATTGGAAAACCGGGGTAAATCCGAACGGTATTTTCAATAATTTGTTTTTACATCAGAGCCACACAAAATTGTTTTTATTTCATTACACTATTATTTTAACATTATAAAAGTACATAGAAAAAAGTTTTTCTTTCTATACGTATCCTCGTTAGTAATTAATAAGCAGAAACTTAATCTCTGTTCTCTCGAAGGAGTGTTTCAATTTTTTTGCCAAATGGTTTGTTGAAAAAAGTTTTTCAGGATCTTAATAAAATTTGGTATTCTACGGTTTTTGGGGTCGCTAATTACCAATTTGAAGTCAGTTTTTCAAAATTCAAAATGGCGGACGAGAATTAAAAAATTCATTGGATTCGCTCGAAAATTGTTACTCGGGGGGTTTCAGGGTTACGAATTTTTGATCATTTTTAAAAATAAGTTTTAGGAAAGTCCGCCATTTTGAATTTAAAAAATTTGACTTTTATTTTTGTATTTACATTCAATCACTCCAAAATACTTTCTGTACCAAGTTTTGCAAAAATCCGTTATGATTTGATAAAGTTATTGAATGTTTTAATTGTGTAATGCATTTTAATTTTTAACCTGTTTGATTTTTGTATTTATATATGATGCATTATTACATAATAGGTTTATTATCGTATTTTTTTTGAGTTTTTATATAAGTTTAACAATTGGAATACTTTAAATTTATTTTCCCTAAGATTTTTCTGAAATACAGTGGCGTTCGTATGTACCCCGGTATTTTAGGAAAGTTGAAAAGTATCGAGGTAAATACGAACGCTAAGTTTCCTGCGATTGTAATTTATCAAAAAATTTTGCTACCCTATAAAATTGTTCTATGGAAGTAAAGTAACAACTTCATGCACCAGAATACCGGAAGTATTTTTTTTTTTTAAAGAAAAAACTTATGTTATTGTTGAAACTTACTAAAAGCGTTCGGATTTACCCCGGTTGACCCTAACACACAATTTTCAAGTTTTTTTTTTCTTCAATTTTATTCAGGACGCATGAATAAGCTTTAAACCAAATTTTTTAGAATTATAATTTGATAAAATCTTATTCTTTAGAATATTTAATTGTTTGAATATTAATGTTTTAGAAAATCCAAATGATCGAAAATCAATTTAACAGAATTTTTATTTAGACGAAAATTAATTTAATCGAATCTCAATTTGATCGAAACTTTGTCTTGTAGAATAACTGTATGGACATTATATCAAAATTTAACTTTTTTGTACCATCTTTTAGACTGAGATCTCAAAATATGTTTAAAATTCCCTTTCATAGAACTAACTACGGTAAATTTTCTGTTTTTAGTCGTTTAAGTAGTGAAGCGAATGACTTTTTCAACGATTTGAACTTCTTCGATTCCAATGAGAATGCATTTGTTTCGAGTTTGCGCACATCAATATTAAAACTATAATAATATACTCTATGTACTATACACTATCACTGTATCTCTATAGGGCTATAAGCCCGTTGGTTCATTAAATAAATAAATAAATAAATAAATATTAATTTTGCAGAATTATAATTTAAAAGAATCTTAATTTTGCAGAAAGAAAAAGAAAAGAAAGAAAATACTAAAAAAAATTTAAGTTAAAAAAAAAGAAAGAATAAAATAAGATAAATACCTTGTAGAATTTAAGAACTGCAAGCTTGACCTTCTTCTTCTTGTGCTTGATTTTTTTTGGGGTCGAGTAATTCTTCTTCTTGCGTTTCTTCGCTCCTCCACGGAGACGAAGCACAAGGTGAAGGGTGGACTCTTTTTGAATGTTATAATCGGACAATGTTCGTCCATCTTCCAATTGTTTACCAGCGAAAATCAATCTCTGCTGATCAGGGGGAATACCTAAACGAATAAAGATAGAAATTAAAGAAATTTTTCCTCCTTTTTTTTAAAAAAAAAAACAATCCTGTTTTAATCAAATTTTTTAATATTTTAAATTTTTCTTATTCACAGTTCCTTGAATTTTCTTTTTCTTCAACTTGCACAAAAAAATTATTTTATTTTACTTATTAAAAAATATAAAAAATAGAAATGAAAAAAAAAACAGAAAATTATAAAACTTAAAAAATAATTTATCAGTAATTTTTAAAAATGTAAAAATTTTTATTTTATTGACGTAAAAAAAAATTATTTCATTTATTGAGTTAACGGGACATGCCCTTTAGTACAATAAATATTATCATTAAGAAAAAAAAAAATGTTTTCAAAAATTCCAAAAAAACAAAATTTTGATTAAAATAAGTAAAACTGTAAAAGAATCTTTAAAAAAAATTGAATTAATTACACTTTTTATTTAATCTTACCCTCTTTATCTTGGATTTTTGCCTTCACATTTTCGATCGTATCCGAAGATTCGACCTCAAGTGTGATGGTCTTTCCGGTAAGAGTTTTTACAAAAATCTGCATGGCGATGTATTATCCAATACACTCACTGAAATCAGAAAAAAAATTTTTTCATTACAATTATTTTAATGAATTAAAAAATAAATTTTTAACGGAAGTTAGGACTTTTTTTTCATCAGTAAAATTCAGAATGTCGGATTCAAAAATTATAAAGGTATTTTTGGAGTTTCTGATTAAGATTTTATAGACAGAATTACAAAATATGAATTAAGAATTAAAATTATGAAATTTAAATTAAAATAAAATATTTTATTCTTTATTTTTTGTTTAAATCGGATATTTTTTGTATATAAATTGCAGATTTCTTGTTACGTAACATTATTCAAAATTTTATTTTTAAGTAGTTTTTTTTTAAATACTTAAACAATAAATTTAATAATAATATTTATTAATTTCTTAATAAGAATAATTCTATAGGAATATTATCAAGAAAATTTATTTCTTATATTTCAGAATCGTAGACGTAAATTTAAAAAATTTTAATTAAGTAGGACAAACTAAAAAAAAAATTCTTACAACAATTCAATTTCAGAGTTTTTATTTGAAAATTTTTTTTAAAATAATTGAATTTTTATAAAGAGAAATATTAAAATTATTAAAATTAATTGAACTTTCGAAAAGTTAAAGTTGAAATTTTTAGAAATAATTAAATTTCAAAAAATTTAGTTAATTTTCAGACAACAATTAAATTTTACAGAACTAAAAATAATTTATCAAATAACTAGCAAAATAAAAAGCGCGCTAAATTAAGTATTTAATTGTTTGTTATAAAGAAATTAAAGATTAAAATTATCAATAATAATTAAATTTATTAGAATATTATTACATATTAAATGATAATAATGAAAATTATATGTTTACAGGCCTCGGATTATACGACTTTTTCCGACTTTTTTTAATAAAATGCGATATTTTTTTACATTTGAAAAAAAATGTAAATAAAATACCTTTTTTTAGTATAAAATGTAGATCTTCTTCAGATCTTCTTCAATTCAATTATTTAACAAATTTTGAACTAAAATGATTCTTCACTAAATTAATTATTTTTAATAATTTTAATAAAATACATCACAAATTCAATTATATCAAAATTATTTTTCAATTAAAATTTTTATGAAATTTAACAATTGTTTATAATTAAAAAAAAAATATCACAATAAAATTGAATTTTTTTTTTAAATTTCAATTCAAAATAAACTAAAATTCAATTATTACCCGAAATTTTAATTCAAAATCAATTAAAAATCCAATAATTATCCAAAATTTGCAATTTAAAATTTAATTATTTACCATGTTTTCAATTTAAAATGAAATAAAATTCAATTATTTTCTAAAATTTCTATTCAAAATTAATTATCCAAATTTTCAATCAAAAATGAACTTCAATTAAATTATTATCCAAAATTGCAATTAAAATTCAATTATTTCCCAAAATTTTCAATTCAAAATGAACTGAAATTCAATTATTTTCCAAATTTAAAATCAAATAAAATTTCATTATTCTCAAAAATTTGAATTCAAAATTAATTGAATTTTCAATAATTAGAATTTAAAAGCATCTAAAATTTAATTATTTCTCAAATTTTCCATCGAAAATTTTTTTTTGAAATTTAATAATTTCAATTATAATTCTAAGGAAATTCAATTATTTTTAACTATTTTAATAATATTCTTTGAAAATTCAACTATCTGAAACCATTTTTCAATTAAAAAGGATTTTCAAATTATTGTATTTTGTCTGCATTTTCTAATAAATTTTTAGTGAAATCATCTAAAATTTTAATTACAAAATACTTAAAGTTTCAATTAAATTTAAAAATTGTTTTCCAAAAATTGTTTGATAAATTATTTTTACTATCCAAAAAAACACATGAAATCAGAAAAGGCCAACTTCAAGTTAGGACAGAAGGACAGACCAAGCATTTTATTATTATATAATTTTAGATAACATTTTTTTAAAAGTAATTAAATTTTCAAAGATTTACAATTTAGATTTTTGAAATTAATTGAACTTCAAGTGATTTTTAATTTTTGTGAGATTTCTTTTGATGAAGAATTTATTAGAAATTACAGACAAAAATTGAATTTGAAAAATTTTTAATTGAAAAATGCTTTCAAATAATTGTATTTTTGAATAATATTATAAAAATCATTTAAAATCATTATAAATTTTGAAAGAGTTACAGTTGACATTTTTAGAAATAATTAAATTTCAAAAGGTTTTAAATTGAAAATTTTGAAAATAATTGAATTCAAGTGATTTTTAATTGAAATATTTTTAATGATTTCACTAAAAAATTTATTAGAAATTGCAGACAAAAACACAATAATTTGAAAATCATTTTTAATTGAAAAATGTTTTCAGATAATTGAATTTTCGAAGAATATTATAAAAATCATTAAAAATAATTGAGTTTCATAAGAGTTATAATTAAAATTATTAAACAAAAAGTGTTAGATGTAAAATTTTAAAATGTTATAAATTGAAATTTTTGGTAATTTTATTTAATTATTTTTTTAAATTGTAAATAATTGTTGAATTTCATAAAAAAATTTTAATTGAAAAATAAATAAAAGTTAATCGAATTTGTGAATTGTGTAATCGAATTTCATTAAAATGATTAAAAATAATTAATTTAGAGAAAAATTTTAGTTAAAAATTTGTTAAATAATTGAAATTCTAATTCGAAGAAAATCGTATTTTCAGGACGAAGAAATTTGAAAAATAAATTGTTAAAATTTTCATTCGATAGAATTTCATTAGATTTAATTTTCATTGAGCCAAATTTTATTTGTTCCAATTATTATTTTTCAAAATTTTCATTAAACCAATTTTCTATATTACAAAATTTTTACAAAACCAAAAATTCATTTCACAGAATTTTTATTTTTGATAAATTTTCATTTGTTCGAATTATTATTTAATAGAATTTCCATTTATAATCGATTTTTCATACTACAGAATTTATACTTGAAATCATTTAACAGAATTTCCAATTGATAGAATCAAATTGATTGATAATTGAATCAATTGAGGTAAATTTATGTAAATAAAATAACAAAAGCAGTGAACAGTTAAAAAAAAAAATAATTTTAATAAAAAAAGCACAAAAATAACAGAAACAATCGGATTATTTTTTTTTTTCAAATTTTATTGATTTCGACGAGATATTAAAATAAAAAAATAATTTTTTTTTCATCATGTGAGAAGAACAGCATTGATGCAACCATCATTTTCCGGATTATTAGTGACTTGGGCATATTTGCCCCAAACAATTTTTCCCGTTTGCGTGACAAGACCCAATTCGGAAATATTCACTTCGATGACAGTGCCCTTTGTAATAACTCCAAGTGTCGTGAATAATGATGAATTTGGATTTCTCTTGACGCCAATTATTGGCAATTGAAATGTTGCCTTTAATTCGGGATGTGTTACGTGTGCTTTTTTAAAACGTAACGCCATTGGTCTTATGAAACGTTCGAATTTTGGTGGTTTACGTGTAAAACTTTCGCCCACATATGTCACCTTTGTCACCATTCGTTTCCATGATTTTCTCTTTGTTTTTCCACTTCGCAATACACGAAATACCTCAGCGTCCGATTGTGTTCGTGTTTTTGGTATTGGCACATCCCATTTGCCAGCTTTTTCTTTACGTTTTTGTTTTATCATATTTGAAAGGACTTTTGTATTATTTGTAATGTTACGATCAAGTAAATAGTGTGGAATTGCTCCCTTATTTGGTAATTCATTTTCTTTTTTGCCCTTTTTCTCCTCGTGTGCTTTAATTTTGCGTTTCATTTGAATTTTTTCATTGCGTCTTTCTTTGTTGAAAATTTTTGCCTTAATACCGCGTAATGTACGCGCTTTTTCAGCAAGTTTATGAGGGGCACGTGCCTCACGTTTACGTTTACGCTCCTCATAATCGAGACGACGTCCGTAAAGTTTACGGTGACGTTCTACGTATTCGTTTTGCGGCATATTTCTGTTTTATTTCTTTTTTTACTTTTGTCTCAAGTGTAATTAATATCTCGTGATTCTGAAAAAAAAAAAAAAAAAAACAATTTTTTAGTAGAAGAATAATTTTTTTTCGTAAAGAAAAACAAAAATTTTTTTGAAATAAATTTTTTTTTTAAAATATTTTGTTTAAAAAAAATATAAAAAAACAAAAATTGTATTTGTTGAATAAATTTTGAATTTCATTACGAATTCAAATTTATATATAATTATTTATAATTTATCAAATAAAATAAAAATAATTCAACAAACAAAATTTTAGAGAATCAAAATGGAAAATTTGTAAAAATTGGATAAAAACAATGATTACTTATAATTTGAAACAAAAAACACAAAAATAAGTTTGAAAATTTTTATGTAATTAATAATTTTAGAAAAAAAAAATTCTGTTTTACAATTTAAAAAATAAATTTTAGCTGAACATAATTTATTTTTTTGAAATTGTAAAACAGAATTTTTTTTTCTAAAATTATTAATTATTATAAAAACAGGATTTCTTCAAAAATTTCAGAAAAATTTGAATTTTTCCAAAAATAATAGGAGAACGTCCTTAAATTAAAAAGAAAAAATTAAATATATATATATGTGAAACATATTAAAAAAATACTTAAAAAAAAATATTCTTTAATTTTGCATGTAATAAAATACGTTAAAATGTGAAAATAAAACATTGTACACGATAAAAACTTACCTGATTTTATTTTTATTTTTTTAACAATTCGCATCTCAAGTTTCTTCGATTTTCAGTTTATTTTTGTACACTTTTCTCTTTTGTAAATCACAAAAGAAAATTTTGTCATTTTTTTACGCTGTTTTAAACTGTTTATAAATAAACAATCAAACACGACTGTTTAAATCCGTTGGTTAGCGACACTAAAAATTTTTTTTTAATTTAAATATAAATTTTTATCCTCCCGTACACTTATAAAATTATTAACAATTTTTTCATAAATAACATAATTATAAATAATTAGTTCTTAAAAATAATTTGTTTTCATTTTAAAATTTTCCATTAACTTTTTTTTTTCTTTGAAATAAAAAATCATTAAAATTCAATTCAATAATAAAAATGTTTCAAATGGGTAAAAATTAAAATTAATTAAACCTGTTTTTATTTATTTTTGTCGCAAAAAAAAAAATAAAAAATTGTCAAAATTCGACAAACGTGTTTTTAAATTTTTTCTTTTGCAAATTCCATAATTTTTCCTTTTGTATAAAAATCTCTTCATGCATTTTCAGTTAGTTATTTAATAAAAAAAAAATTTATTTAATAAATTGATTTTAATGAAATTAATCGACATAAATTTATTAATTAAATAAAAATTACAAATAATTAAATTTTGTCCGTTTATTTCTTCTAAATACGAAGCTGAAGTACGCAACGTTTATAATAAACGATTTTTAAAGAAAATTTTTTTTTAAAAATGAAAAATTCTTTAATTTTTTGCCTAAAAAATATTTCTTGAAGTTTTCATTAATATCAACAAATTATTAAAAAAAAAAATATTTTTTAAGCAAAAAATTATAGAATTTTTATTTTAAAAAATCGTTTATCATAAACGTTGCGTACTTCAGCTTCGTCTCTTAATAAATAAATTTTCATTAAATTAAATTTTTTTTATTTATCTTTTAATTAAAATTTGAAAAATATAACAAAATACTTTTCAAATTATCCCTGAAAACAAAAAAAATACTATTTTTTTTTTTTTTAAATTATAAACTATCGTTAAATTACATTTCCTAAAAGAAATAAGTAAATTAATATTAAAATATTTTAAAAACTATTATTAAAATACCTGAAAGCGAATAAAATATTTTGAAAAAATTGAAAATTAAAAAAAAAAAAAATGAAAAAATCACTGTAAATCGAAAATACGTTTTTATATTCTTTACCCGAATATCAAAGATAAATCTTTATTCGTGTACAATGTATTTTCATGACATGCGGAAAGTGAAAAAAAATGCATTTTTTTTTTTTTTTTAATTAATAATTGGGACTTTTAAAGTAGATAAAAAATCTATCAAAAAAAATTTCCAAGTTAAATATTCAAATTTTTACTTTTCAAAAAACAAAGACAAACAAACAAAATTCATCATTTAATTATTTAATTAATTTAATTTTTTGCCAATTAATTATTTGGTAAAGAAAAAAAAAATGAAATTTCACATAAAAACTGAAAATTTAAATCTTATTGAAAAGAAAATAACAAAAAAAAAGAACTCAAAAGAAAATTGAAAAAAATTACACATTCAAAGAATATTTTAATCTTGTGCTCCAAAATTATTATTTTAAAAATATTTTTCTCGTACTTTTCTTTTTTTTTAACTGTTGATACGAAAAAATAATTTAGAAATTAATTTTTTATTTCTTTTCAATAGTTTATTCAATAACTCAAAAATTTGAAAAAAAAAATTAAAAAAACGTTCTTTTAATTTTATTTTTCTAAAGAATAACAATAACAATAATAATAATAATAATAATAAAAACAATTAACAATCGAAACAAAACAATAAAATCACTGTAAACATGCGTCACATTTTTTTTTTCAATATCAAATCAAAATAAAATTTTTCCAAAATACGAACGTAAGAAATTTTTATAAAAAAAAAAAATAAAAACAAAAATGATTACATCCAAATTCATGTAAAATTTTGTTAAATTAACACTTTTATCAAGAGTAAATTAATGTATCAATGAAAATTAGAAACAAAAATCACTTTTTTCGAAATAAAACATTTTCGTTGCTTTTTTAAAATTTTCAAAATCGTATAAAATTAAAAAACAGGCAAAAACAAAATTTTTTAATGAATAAAAATTCACCAATATTACATTTAAAAAAAAAAAACTAAACTAAAATTCAGAAAAGGCGCAATGAAATGTGAAATGTTTTCAACACCAAAATGGCATACGAACCTAACCTCAAAATTTTCAATCTTCTTCGAAACACTTTAAAACAATTGTTTTTTTTTATTCCACTTTCAAAAAAAAAAACGGAGCAAAAAAAAAAAATAATAATAACCGAAAAACTAAGAAATTAATCACATTTATAAATTGTGAATTATAGATTTATTTATACAATTTTTTTTACGACACGTGACGTTTTTACATTCTGTCTTTAACCGGAAAACAAAAATGCATCACTCACAATTTTCACGCAATAAACATAAATTATTTACAATTAAATAAAATCAAAATTTATTTAAAATGATATTCATGGAGCAATAAATATATAAAAATGAGAAATAATAAGAAAAATAAGGTAAATAATGGAGGAAATTTTATTGAACATACCTAGAAACACGCCATGTGCAGGAAGAAAGGAACAGTCAGTGATGCCAACTGAGGGAAAATTGTTAGAGAAAACGGAAATTACGCACTGTCAACCATTTTGTTACAACCAATATCAAAAGTGTAATTAAAATTTAAAGCATCAATTAAATTATTATTTAGAAAAAATTATAAAATTTTTAATCAATTATTTTTAAATATTCTTTTCAAAATTGAAGACATTAATTTTTCTAAATGCCAGTTATTTCTTTTTTTCATTTTATTATTTTTTTGTTAAAAAAAACTTGAATTAAAATTAAATATGTTTGAATTTGACAATTTACATCCGGTCAATTGTCATTAATGTCAGTTTTTCATTCTTTGATGCTTTTTTTTTGACTTTACAGTTCGAGTGTATAAACAAAATAATAATTGATTTGTATTTTTTTAAAGTGTATATATATGTGAACTTAAATTCAGAATTTTAATTTTTGTCAAAAATGGGTAAGTATTTATTAATATTTTTTCGGACAATTTTGTCATTTGGTTATTTTAAGTTTGCGTGCGTAAAATTTTTGAGGTTATGTTTATATCAAACAAACTTTTAATTTTCTTTTACTTTCTAAATTTATAATAACAAAAATTTTAAAGTTAGATATAAATTTGAGATTAAATTCCTCAAAAAAAAAAAAAAAATTATGTTAATATTTTCATAAAAGGGAATTTTTATTAATTATTTACACAAAACTTTTGTTTTTTTTCCAATTTTTTTACATTCTTGTCCATAAACTTGAAATGGTTCGGAATATTTTGAAAATTTAGACGAATGATTTAATTTTGAAAATAAGTAATTATTTATATATTTTTTTTTTTTTTGTTAATTTTGTAATTTTGGAAAATTTATTTTTTAACTTTTAATTGGAAAAAAATTGAAATTTTATTTTTATAAGGGGGAAAAAAATATTCTATTACGCAAAAAAAATTTCGTTTGTATCATTAATAATAATTTATTAAAATTTTTTTATTAATGAAGTTCTGTATATTTTTTGTTAAATATATTAATATTTAATAAATTTTTTTTTTATTATTGACCAAAAATAAAAATTAAATTATTGTATAATTTTTTAAAAATGTTTCTATTTTTTTTAGATGAAAATCTCGAAAATGAATGTGAGGATTTAGTTGATGAACTTTCTGACATGAGACAAAGATATCCTGCTTATTGTTCTTATAAATTAGAAAAATGCCTGAAATTAACAAGAGAAATTAATACAATGGTAACATTTTTTTTTAAATTTAATATTTTTTTTTAGTATTATAAATTTTTGAAAAAATTTTTTTTTTACAAATTTTAGACAATAATTGAATTTTAGAAAATTTTTAATTGAAATTTTTTTAACTAATTAAATTTTTTAAAATTACTATTATAATTTTGATTTACGAAGCTGAAGTACGCAACGTTTATGATAAACGATTTTTAAAGAAATAATTTTTATAATGAAAAATTCTATAATTTTTTGTCAAAAAGATTTTTTTTTTTGTATAATTTGTTGATTATTGAAAACTACAGGAAATATTTTTTAGGCAAAAAATTATATTTTTCATTTTAAAAAATTATTGAATTTATTGATTTAATGAAAAAATTTATACTAAAATTTATAATTGAATTTTCAAAGAATTTTATTAAATAAATAAAGTTATTAATTAAAAATTATCTGAAAATGTTTTATTTGTCGAAGAATTTTATTTAAATGAATGTTTTAAATAATTAAATTTTGAAAAATTAACAGTTAAAGCTTTTTTTTGGCCATTAATTAAATTTTAGATTTTCAATATTGAAAATTTGAAAAATATTTAAAGGTGTGAAAAAACTTTATACAAATTTATCAAATAAATAAAAAAAAAAATTATTGAAAATATTTTTTTTTTAGAAAAATTTAAATATTTTGCAATTTTACAAAAAAAATAAAGAAAAGAAAACTAATTTAAAATTTTATTTATTAATTTATTTTTTATCGATTTTTTGTCGATTTTAATAAAGCAAAAATATATAATAAATATAATTTTTACAGGATATGAAGACTGATTCAATACATATGAGTAAAATAGAAAAACCATTGCAATTAGATGGTGAAAGAAGAGTAATATATGAAAAGTATATGTCAAATTTATCAAATAAAAATTCCATTTCGAGAAAAACTTGGAAAAACATTGGGACAGATTTAAATGATTTGATAAAAATTGCCGATCAACTTAGAGGAGAAAAAAAATCCTCCATTTCTCATAGTATAAAAAAATTAACACAAGAAAAATTAATCAACTCATAATTTTTGTAAGTTTATTTTAATTATTAAAATTATTTTTAAAATAGCAACATTTTTTACATAATATTTATATACATATACATAAAAAGTACATTTTTTTTGTGTACTTATTTAAAAAAAAAAAAAAAAAAAATTGCCTTGCCCGTAAACTACAAATAAATAAATATTTACCTTAGTAAAACTAAATTTTAATTATTTATTTTATTAAATATATTTATAACATTTTTACAGGCAATAATTTTAAATTTTAAAGTTGATTTGAAAAAAAAATTATTTATTTATAAAATTAAAATTAAATTCAAAAAAGTGTGAAATTGCAACAAAAAAAAAATAAATAAAATTACAAAACATTTATTTCAAATTCAGAGATTCAAGTTTATCGAGGACCTCAGCCTTTAATTCTTTCATCATTTTTAATTCATCCTCGGAGGAGAAACGATTCCATGGAATTCGAGAATCACCAAAATTAAAAGGTGTCAAATGATTCATCGCCAGCTTTACGCCATGGGGTCCGTGACCTGTAAATTTTTTTTTCTTTTTATAATAAGAGATTTTATTTTTATTTTATTTTTTTTAATTTACACATTAAGGTCATGTTCAATAAGACTTAAAGAAGTGGAGCCAAAAAAAAAAAAATATTAAACTCAAGGAAATTTTTTCAAATTTGACAAAAATAGTCGAAAATTGTTGTGTTTTTTATTTATTTTCTTTAAGAAACTTATTGAAAAATTAGAAATTAATTTAATTTATTTAATTTAATATTATTATTTTTATTTATTAGTAGTCCACATCTTTCGGTTTTGGACGAATTTCCGGTTTTTACACTCTTTACATTTTACTTTAATTATTGTTAATTTAATTATTTAATCATTAATTCAATTTATTATTTGTCATTATATTAATGAAAAAAAAAAGTTTTCAAAGAAATTAAATTTTTTGCTATTTTAACAATTCCTTGAGTTTAAGAACAATATTTTCTTTTTAAATAATTTGTTTGAAATAATTATTTTTCATTTGCCTTTAAGAATAAAACTTCAAAAACATGGCCTTAATGTTGAAATAAATTGAGCATATTTTTGGAATATTTAATTTTTCAGTAGAAAAAAATAATTTTTTCCCTCGCACAGTGTTGATAATTTTTTTTATAATTTAAAAATACAAATTTTTTTTATAATTCTCAAGAATGAATTTAAAAACAAATTCACCTTTTTCAAAAAATAAAAATTCCAAGAAAATATTTTGAAATTATCAAATTTTTGGTATGTACAAAAAAAAAAAAAAAAAAATTCTAAAAGAGATGTGAAAATTAAATATTTCAAAAATATGCTCATATGATAATTAAATTCTAATTAATTCTATGTCAATGACCATAAAATAATTATTATGTACTATATATGGAAATTATATATATTATAATAATGGTATAAATGATAGATATATATTATTTTATAGAAATATTATATATTATTATATAATAATATTATTTATTATTTTACAATAATATTATTATATTTTTTGTATTACGAAAAAAAAATTGTTATATTTTTAATACCGTATTTTTTAAAAATATGAAAAGCTTTTGTAAGAAGCTGTTGATTATTTTGCGCTTTCTCAAGATCTTTAAATTTCCATGCTTCTGGAATTGATAGACAAAGTTTTGTCAATAAACTTGACATTGGCAACATGAAAGATTCCGCTCCTAAAGCGCATGCCAGATATGTTAACTGTAAAATATTATATATAAAATCAAATTTATTTTCTATATATGTGAAAGAAAAATTTCTTTTTTCATTTTATTAAGTGTCATAAAAAATATATATATATATTAGACACGTATTTTTTCAAAATTAGAAAAAAAAAATTTCTATTTATTTAATGAATATTTATGAATTTATTTTATTTTTGTCTATATATATATATACAATTCTAATTTTTAATTTATATTTTTTTAAATTTAAAGTTATTTTTTTTTTATTTTCAGGATCACTTTGAAATTTTGCTGAAATAATTATTAATAGTTAATGCATTTTTTTTTGTACTTTTAAAATAATCTTTAATTAAAATTTTTGATAAAATTGAAAAGAAAAAAATAAAACTTTTAAATTGACGTCGCAATAATTTTGCCATAGTAAAAATCATATTATTTTGAGAAAATACAGAATGTAAAATGAAAATTGAGACTTGTACTAATCTCAATTAATTTCAATTAATTCTATTAACTAGTCTCACGATTATTGAAAAGAGGCCGGAATCAAAATATAGAAATGCAATAAATTTTTTAAAAAATAGAAAATTATAAGATTACGCAATATATATAATATTCTTTTATATTATAATTTTGTACTTTTAAAATGAAATTATTAATTTTATACACAATTATTATCAGGAGATTTAATAATTTACTGTAAACACTTTTTTATAATAAAAAAAAAAAAATATGTGTGGAAGGAATAAAAAAAATTTTTGTTTATTTTATTACCTCTTCATTGACAAAAGTGACAATAATTTTTTTACATTTAATTTCAAGTAATTGATTGGCTTCCGCTAAATCGGTAAATGTGTATTTCAAACCAACGAGTGTTGGAATTTCATTTCCATAATTTTCCATAAATTCGACAATGTTCACTGAAATAAATAATACCAAAATTTGAATATTTTGATTCATAAACTAAAATGAAAAAGAACTAATTAATCTAAAATAATTTTTGAAAAATTCAATTTAAAATAATTAACATTTTTTTTTTATTAACGGGACAAAAGTTAAAATAATTACAAATTTTAGAAAGGTGAAATAATTTAAAATATCAATTTTCTTCAGAATTGTAATTTTTTAATTAATTTATTTATTTCCCATTCGATGAATTTTCATTTCTTCTAATTATTTTAATTGACAGAATTTATTTACCTCTTTTTAAAACCGAATTTTTACCGAACTGAATTTTTATCAGGATTTTCATTTAAAAAAAATTTCTTCGTTTTATCCAAGTGTTTATTTTTTCAGTCGAATTTTTAAAATGACCAAAAAAAATTCAATATCACGGAATTTTTATTTTTGTCCGAATTTCTATTTAATACGAATTATTATTTTGATAGAATTCTAATCAATTAAAAATTTGCAACTAAAATGAAAATTCGGTAAAATGGAAATTTTTTTTTCAAAATAAAGAATTTTTTTTTTTAAATTCAAGTTACTTAAAAAATTCTATTGAATGAGAATTATATTAAATTAAAATTCGGATAAATTAGAATTATTTTTAATAAATAATGTTTTTAAAAAATAATATTATTTATAAATAATATTATTTATTAAAAATAATTCTATTATTTAACAATTAGGTAAAGAAAAATTGTGTTAAATAAAAATTCAGTGACCTGAAAAATTAGATTTTAAATAAAAATTCGTTTAAAAACAAAAAATTTTTTAAAATACGACCTGAGGTAAATTTTTTAATAGGGGGGGTTATTATTGTCATTTTTATTAGATGTGGGGTAATGTGGCACTTTAATTATTTGGGATTAATTTTTGTAAATAAATAAAAATATTTTTTATGTAAAAAATATTATACCATTTACAGGAGCTCTTCTTGGTGTGTAATAATAAAATAAAGGAGTTTTTGGAGCTGCATTGGATACAAGTCGTAAATAAGTTGCCAATTCCTTTCCATTGGTAGGACGAAAATAAACTTCCGGTAATGTAAGCAATGAATCTACTTTTAAACTTTCAGCATGTTTTGCCTAATAATATAATTTAATGAAAACAAATTTATAATTTCAAAGAATTTGAAATAGAAATCAATATTTAATTGAATTTTTATTCATCTAAACATAAAAAATATAATTTATAGCCCATTTGAAAATTAACGATATTATAATCAAAATTTTATTGATGAATTGTGATTATATAGTTAGTTTAATTTTGTAACTCCTGCTAAAATATATTTTTGATATTTATTTATTTTTCGATTTTTAATTATATTTTGTAAATTTTTTAATTATTATTTGAAAATTACACATAAATTAAGAACTATTATATTTAATCCTTATAATAAAAGGAAAATTAAATATTAGAAATAAAAATTTTTATATTTTCAAAATCGAGTCATTTTAAATATGTAATGTTATTAATTAATAATTAATATTAAATTATTAATTAATCATTAATAATTAATAATTAATATTGAATTATTAACTAACAATTAATAATTGTGAAAAAAAATTGAATAATAATAAAAATTTTATAAGAACCAATTCTAAAACATCAGGAAGTGGTGCACCTCCAACTTGAACCATTAAATGCAATTTTTCCAATTTTGACGCTTTAACCCATTCTTCAGTGAGAGCTTTTCTTTCGTTCAAAGACAAAGCCTGACCTTCTGCAACTGTCCCACCAACTGTAATTTTAAAAATATTTATTTTTTCATAAAAAAAAAAATTTAAGAAATTTCATTAAAATTATTTATTTTTTCATTAAAATGATAAATATGTTAAGAAATTTTATTAAAATTATTATTTTTTTTTTCATGAAATAATTATTTTTTCGATGAATTTTTAATTTTCAAATTAAAATTTCATACATTTTCTTTTTATACGACTTTTTACATATATAACAAATTTTTTAGCTACTAAATTTTTGTTTGTCATTAGAAATTTTATTTTACCATTTATTTTCTTTACATGCGACTTTTTATTTAAAATAATTTTAATTTAGGAGAATTTTAATTCTAAAAAAATTCTCATTCAATTGAATTGTTTTTTATGTAATTCGAATTTTTAAATTGACATAATAAATATCAATTCACCGACATTTTTATTTGTACGAATTTTTAAGACGCCGAATTTTTATTTGCGTTAAAAATTACAAATGACTGGTACAAGCAATATATTGAAACAGAAAGATTTCGGTGCAGTTTTTAAAATTAACCAATCGGACAAAATAAAAATTTGGCGTCTTAAAAATTCGTAAAAATAAAAATTCGATGTATTAGAATTTTTTGTCATTTAAAAAATTCGAATCACATAAAATTCAATTGAATGAGAATTCTTCTAAATTAAAATTCGATTAAATTAAAATTCTCAATATAATTTTTTTTTTCTTATAAATTTGTCTATATTGAATTAAAACTTCTATACAGTTGGTATAATAAAAAAAATGTTAGTATAAGGTAAAATAAATATAATTTAAAGTTGTAAATGCAAAAAATAAATTTTTATTGTTTACATAAATTATTTTTTCAACTAAACAAAAAAATTATTCTATTTATTTATTTTGATAATTAATTTTATACAAAAAAAGAAAATAAATATTATATCAAAATTAAAACAAAATCGCTACAATAACATTTTGTTACTTGGCATTTTTTTCTTTTATAATTTACATTTTTTTTTAATTTTCTCACAGTATTTTCTGATTTTATAAAATAAATTTAAGGATTTTTAAATTTTCAAAAAAAAAAAAATCTAAAATCTTGTTCCGTCGTAAGGAAATGATTTTTTTTTCAATTTTTTCCTTAAAATTATGTTATAATTTTTAAAATTTTAGATATATACTTGTGGACAATTTTAACGTAATTGTTTTCAGTGAATTATTTTTGTACACAAATATATAATATAATAAAAATTATTATTTATATATTAATTTATCTTATTTATAGCACGATATCGATACAAATCTTTGGCCCTTCTCCAAATGGTAAATACATTGTCTGAACATTTTCATAAGTCAATGTAGTGCAAAATCCCAAGTGTAACTATTATTAATTTTTTTGTACATTTCATTTTTTTTTTTAAATTCTCTATATATTTCTGTAATAGATTTAATATTTTATAGATTAAAATATTTATTTATTTAATAAATAGACGGGCAAAACAATATTTTTTTTCCGCCGTTTTGTTAAAAACGTTATTTTTAAATAATATATTATAAAAGGAAAAAAAAACAAAATCATTACGAAATTCATCGCTATATGACAAATGAAAAATTATTTTCTTAATTTTTCAAATCCTAAAAATACATCATTTTCCGGTCTTATAATTAAATTACGCTTTGTTGGTTTGAGTGGAATTTCAGTTTTTTCACAAACAGTGATTTTGAACACTGACAATATTTTAATTAAAGCAACTTTTATTTGTAGACGACCAAATCGCTTTCCTGTAATATAAATAATAAAATTAAACTTATTTATATTTTATTTTATTATATTTATATTTATATTATTTATAAAAATTATACAGTACCAATACATATTCTTGGCCCTTCTCCAAATGGCAAATATGTAAATGCTTGTCTTTCGGCAATTTCATCAGAATCAAATCGCTCTGGTCGAAATTCTTCAGGATTTGGAAAATAATTTGGATCATGTTGCAAAGCCAATATTGGAATAATTATATTCATTCCTTTTTTAATACATAAATTAGAATCAGGAATTTGATAATCTTTCAGGCAGACACGATTCAAAATTGGAAGAATTGGAAACTTTCTCAATGTTTCTGAAAGTAAGATGTATAAATTAAAAAATATATATATATCTAAATAAATAAATTATTTACTCAAATATTATTGTTACAGAAAATTAAAATTGTCAAATATCAATTTCCCAGAAATAATTCGCAGCGGAAAAGTACAAATTTAATCAATCACAATTTTCTTGATAATATCGGCAAAATTAAAATTTCCACCGAATTATTTCAGGAAAATTAATATATTTGAAAATTTTAATTTTCTGAAACATTAATATTCGAGCAAAAATGAATATTCTTTTTAATCTTCTTTCTTCAAAAATTGAAGAATTCTTTTAAATTTCAATTCTACAAAATTAGTATTCTACAAGAATAAATAAAATTAAATAAAAATTCAATTAAATTGAGATTCGATCAAATTAAATTTCTGTTAAATTTATTTTTTGTCTAAATAAAAATTCTGTTAATAATTCGACTATTTGCATTTTCTAAAATATTAATAATCGAAAAAATTAATATTCTAATGAATAAGATTTAAAAAAAAAAAAATTTGGTTTAGAGCTTATATTCATGCGTCAGGTACAATATTATACCTGATACAACTTTATCGAGATAACTCATTTCCTGAATATCTTCATAAGTCAATTTAGTCCGATCTTCCAATACATAATTAATTTCTTCGCGTAATTTTTCTTGAATCTCTTGATTTACAGCCAATTCATGTAGACAATAAGTTGTTGTTGATGACGATGTTTCAAATCCCGCAACAAAAAATACAAAACTTTGTGCACATGCTGTTGACATATCAATTGTGTCGGTATTTTTAGCTAAAAACAAAAAAATTATCCTCTTTGAAGCAAATTTTTCAATCATTACATAACAATAATAATAATAATAATTACTATCGTTAGATATAAATATTCTGATGATATTATTAAATTTTTAACGAAATAATTATAAAAATATTAATAATAATTACCAAGCTGTGATTTCTTTTTTGAATCCTTAGTTTCTTCATCATCCTCAACTTCTCCATGATCCATAAGTTGAATTAATAAATTGAGAAAATCTTTTCTTACCGTTTTATGTTTACGTCTGTAATCAATCACATCACTAAAGACGTTGTTAAAAAAATGTGCAACCTCTTTATTTATAAGAGGCACTTTTAAAATATTGAGAATACCAGAGGCAAATAAAGAAGTAATCATTTTTAATGGATGAATAATCAAAGTTTTTAGTCCATAAGCACGAAATTCTGAATCTGGATTTTGTAAACTATTACTTTCCAAACCAAATGCAATAGAGGAAATCACGTCAGTTGTGAATCTAGATAGAAAAAAAAAAAAAAAAATTAGGTAAAATTAAAAATAGATGACAAAATGTTAATTCGAAAAAATATAATAATTTGTCGAAAAAATAATTATATCTAATACAATTTTTTAAAATCAGGGTGTCTAACAACTGGTAGGAAAAAAATTCCCTGACTTTTCTCTGACCTAAATTACACTAAAAAAAATTTTTTTTTTTTTAAATTAAAGAATATTAAATTTTTTTATTTTGATCAAATAAAATTTATTTTGATACAATTAAATCATTTACCTGTCTATTATTCACTAATTTCATATATGTAATTGAACCAAATAAATAATGTTTCGTAAAAAATAAAATATTTAAGTGAAATAAATAAACTAATTGGGGGGACGTATAAATATTTTCATCATTTAATTTAAAAGAATTTTTACGGGCGTCAAATCTTAAATTATCAAATTTTTATTTAGTCAAATTATATAAAGTAGATTTTCTAATACATCGAATTTCAAATTAATATAATTTCAATTTAACGGAATTTATGTCAAAAAAAATTGCTTAAAGAAAATTTTTTTTAACAGAATTGTCAATTTAGTAAATTTCGATTTATCAAAATATTTACTTAACAGAATTGTCATTGAATAAATCCACAATTAACAGAATTTCTATTTAACAAAATTCTTATTTAACAAAGTTTTTATTAAAGAAAATTTTAATTCCAACTAATTTTTATTTAACAGAATTCTCATTTAAGAAAAATTCTTTCTAGTTTTTTTTTTGTCAATTTTTATAGACATAGATTTCGTTAAATTGAAATTATATTAATTTAAAATTTTTAAAAAGTATTAGACAAAATGCTTTTTAAGAGTTTTGCTAAATAGAAATTCTTTTAAATTGAATTTTAGTTAAATGTAAATTGAAAATTTTGCATAATATAAAATCCACTTTATACAAATTTTTCTAAATAGAAATTCGATAATTTAAGATTCGACGCCGTAAAAATTTTTATAATAATTTTTTTGTATAACTTTATACAATTTTTCTAAATAGAAATTCGATAATCGATTTATAGGCACAAAAAAGTCGTTTTAGTCGATTTTATATTTCAAAAAAAGTTGAAAAAGTCGATTTTTTTTATTTTAATAAAAAAGTTTTACAGATTTTTAAAGAAAATTTTTTTTTTTTTAATAATAATTTTGGAAGAGTTAAAGTTGAAATTTTTAAAAATAATTGAATTTCCAAAAATTTTGTTAATTTTCAGACAATAATTAAATTTTACAGGACTAAAAATAATTTATCAAATATTTTTAGATAACATATTATTTTAAAAGTAATTGAATTTTCAAAGAATTACACTTGAGATTTTAGAAATTAATTGAATTTCAAGTGATTTTTAATTAACATTTTTTGATGATTTCACTAAAAAATTTATTAGAAATTGCAGACAAAAATACAATAATTTGAAAACAATTTTTAATTGAAAAATGGTTTCAAATAGTTGAATATTCGATGAATATTATAAAAATAGTTAAAAATAATTGAATTTCAGGAAATTTATAACTGAAATTATTAAATTTGAAATTGAAAATTTTGAAAATAATTGAATTTCAATTGAATTTTTTGACAATAATTTAATTTTAATTTATTTTGGATTGAGAATTTTGATAATTAATTTGGAATTGAAATTTTTGAGAATAAATAAAATTTAGTTGATTTCGAATTGAAAATTTTGAAAATAATTGAATTTTAAAAGATTTTGAATTGAAAATTTTGATATCAAATAATTGAAGAATTTATTAGAAATTACAGACAAAAAGTGTACTTAAAAATCTCTTTAATTGCAAAATGCTTTCAGATAATTGAATTTTCGAAGAATATTATAAAAATCATTAAAAATAATTGAAATTTTTGCAAATAATTAAATTTCAAGTGATTTTGAATTAAAATTTTTCAGTAATTTTATTTGCTAATTTTTTTTTTAAATTGTAAACAATTATTAAATTTCATAAAAATTTTAGTTGAAAAATAGTTTAAAATAATTGAATTTCTGGTGAATTTCATTAAAATTATTAAAAATAATTAATTTAGTGAAGAATTTTAGTTCAAAATTTGTTGAATAATTGAAATAAAGAAGATCTGAAGAAGATTTCCATTTTATACCAAAAAATCGTATTTTGTTTAAAAATTTTGTAAAAAAAAAATTTTTTAAAGTCGAAAAAGTCGCATTTTATTGAAATAAGTCGAAAAAAGTCGTTGTTTTGAAAAAAAAGATGGAAAGAGTCGAAAATGTCGTATAATCTGAGCCTAGAAATTCTTTTAAATCGAATTTTAGTTAAATATAAATTGAAAATTTTGCATAATATAAAATTCACTTTATAAAATTTTGCTAAATAGAAATTCGATAATTTAATATTGGACGGCGTAAAAATTTTTATAAGTTAAATTTGGATATTAGCATTAAATAAAAAAATTATTCGTATTAATGAATAATTTACTTTCTTTGAAGTTGAACCGATAAAATAAAATTGTATCAAATAATTTTTATTTTTATTAAAAAACCAAATATTTCACTGAAAAAAATTAATTAATTGTTATCCAAGTTTAAAAAATTATTTATTAGATTCAATAAATAGTTGTAAATAATTATTTACTTAATGAATATAAGATATATCACATGATTAATAATTAAGTGTGAAGGCCAACTTTTGTAATTTGCATTTGCTTTTAAAAAAATTAAAAAAATTTTTGAATCTAATAATAACTTTAAATTATTCATAAAAAATTCCAGAAAATTAAAGAAGTTCCCTGACTTTTCTCTGAACGTTAGACACCCTGAAAATGAAAATTTTAACTAATGATTTTTATGGAATAATTATGCGCCACGAAATAAATAGAAATTTCACTGAATTATCTTTGGGTATTTTAATCTTATTTATAATTTTATTTTAATTAAAAAGAACGCATGATTATGTTCTAAAAATCATTAGTTAGAATTTTGATTTGGAACTTCATTTGTCATAATTATTTTTGAGCCGAATTTTTATTTGTTCGAATTAGCATTTTGCAGAATTTTCATCAAAACAAATTTTCTATATTACAAAATTTTTATATAACCGAAAATTAACTTCACAGAAATTTTATTTGTTCGAATTTTTATTTGTTCGAATTTTTATTTGTCAGAATTTTTATTTGCTCGAATTTTCATTTAACATAATAGTCATTTTAAACAAATTTTATTGGGTAGAATTTCATTGCATAGAATTTTTATTTTATTCTTTCAGATGAATTTTCATTTGTTCGAATTATTATTTGATTTAATTTCCATATAACCATTTCTATATTTCCATTTTTCATAATACAGAATTTTTACTTAACCGAAAAATCAATCAACAGAAAGATTTCGGCGAGATTTTTAAAATCAACCAATCACAATTTTATGGATAATTTTTGATTGGTTGATTTTAAAAATCACGCCAAAATCGATTGTTTGTTCTTGCATTTGCAATTTCGAACAAATGAAAATTCTATCAATTAGAAATTTTGTAAAATGATTTTTCGATTAAGTAAAATGAAAAATCGGTTATATGGAAATTATATAAAATAATAATTCGAACAATAATGAAAATTGATCTAAAAGAATAAAATGAAAATTCTATGCAATGAAATTCCAGCCAATAAAAATTCTTTAAAATGCCTATTATGTTAAATGAAAATTCGATCAAATAAAAATTTTGACAAATAAAAATTGTGAGAAGTAAATTTTCGGTTATATAAAATTTCTGTTAAATAGAAAATCGTTTTGATGAAAATTCTGCAAAATATTAATTCGAACAAAAATAAAAATTCGGCTTAAAAATAATTACGACAAATGAAATTCCAAATGAAAATTGTAGCTAATAATTTTTATTACAATCATGCGTTTTATTTTTATAATCATATTTTTTTTGGTAAATAATCTTTAAAATTTTTACAAAAAGATAAAAAATTTTTTAACTTTATACCTAATAAATTTAAATTTTATTCCAAACATAACTTTTCTCTTGCGTGGAAATATATTTTTTTATATTCTTTACAAAACGAATTTTATGCACATTTATAATGAAAAAACAAGCACAAAATTGTTATTTTTCATCTTTTCATTTATTTTCTTTATTTTTATTACGGTTTTTGTTCTATTTCAAAAATTTTTTTTTCATTATTAGAATAAAAAGTAAAAATCCACGTGGAAAGATTCCTAGGAAAGTGCTTTTGGGATCTTCCGCCGGAATTCTTATTGGAAATTCCGACGGAATTTCAATTCCAGTCGGAATTACGACTATAAATCCCAGGAACATTTTTCTAGGAATCTTTCCACGTGGGAAATTGAATTAAAAATAATTAAAGACAATAAATATTGCTTATATTTAATTTTTGTTTTATTAAAAAAATTACAACATAGTTAAATCTGAAAGTTTATTTTGACAAAATTTTAAAGCAGTTAAAAATTATTAGAAAATGCGTATAAAGTGAAAAAATGAAACATTTTTATTACTTGCAACTCGTAAAATATATTCGCAAATAGGCCTCTCTCAATTTTTTTTAAACTTCTATACAAGTTGATAAGATATATATTAATGTTTACAAAAAAAAAGTACAAATAAATTTAAAATTATTATATTTATTAATAGAATATTTATTAATATTTATTAATAGAATTTTAATTTTAAAATTAATTTATTGTTAATAAGTTTCAAATATTTTATATACCTACCTATAGAAAATTTTTTTTTATTAAATTTAATCCATTTTCTGAATGAAAATTTTCAGAAATACATTCTGTATATTAAATTCTATACAAGTATTTTTAATATTAAAAATCTACTCCAAATATCTTACAAAATCATTTCTAAAATTTTTTTTAAAATTATTTTACAATGATTTTAAATGAAATGTGTATAATGAAATAATTCTCTACATTTAAAAATATTTTGTTAGTTTTAATATAAGTTTTTACAATTTTTCTGTATGTTTTAAACATTGTGACATTGAAGCAAAATGTTATTGTTAAATAATCAATAGGTTGATTACTTTAGCTTGCTTCAGCTCACGATTTAAACAATATTTCTGAAATTTAGATAAAAACATTCGAAATAAAATGAGTGTGGAAAACGTTAGAAAAATTAGAAGTTCATGTTTGGCAGAGTAAGTTTTACCAAAACTAACTAGAATTTTGAATACGTCAACTACTATTAGTTGAAAATGACTTTGATTCAGAAAACTTTGTTATTATTTCTTGTCATCTATTATTTTCATGTAAGTATATTGTAAAATATATTGGAAACAAATATTCTTCTATTGAGTAATTTTCAATCAAAGGCTTACTTGATTCAATAATTTTTGTTCTTTGGAGTGAAATGTTGTTTATTCTTTAACATATTATTAGTTATTTGTATAAATTAAAATTCATGCAAATTTTTAGAAATTTTTTGAAATATTCTTGAGATTTCGTGGAAATTAATTTACGAAATTTTTTAAATTAAATTTAAAAAAAATATTCAATAGGGAAATCATGCATTGAAGTTACAAGGTTCAGCAGAATATTTAAGAGATGATCTTAATTTGCCAATTGAATTCATTGAAAAAATAGAAAATGCTTTTATTCATGAATTCAAACAAGTAAGATAATAATTATTCAATTAAAATCTTCAAATTATGGTAAATATTAAATAATATATTTATTTAAAAATAATTATTTTTATCAGTAAATAAATATTGTAAAGAACTGTATTTTCATAAATTTTTCGACTTTAAAATATTTTAAGAATAAAAAAAATTTAAATAAATTTCTTCCCAGGCTATAAAAAGAAATCAAATTAAATTTGAAATAAAAAGTAAGTATTGTCATTTTTCTCAACCCGAAGAAAAGTTTGAAGAATTTATTGGAAGGTATAAAAAGTCTGTTGAACATACATGTAGAGTGCAAACAAAGTTAAGAAAATGGTTCCATTTTAAATCGCCTTGTTATTCCAATTTAAAAATGCTTTTTAAGAAATATGCTGACATGTTGATTTTTCAAGAATTTTTGACTTGCTCTAACTCTATAAAATCCAATAACATGGAAATAAGACCAAATAAATTACAAATGAGATTGAGGAGATTATTTGCAAAAAAGAATGAAAGAGTGCCATCAGAGTAAATCAGATGTAATTATAGTAATAACGACGCCAATTTATGTAAATATTACTGCGTTCAGTTGACCTATGCTGCATACAGGATGTATTTTCCTATGTAACATTGTATGTAACTTGTAAAAGTAATTAATAAAAAAAAGTTATTAAAAAAAACTTATCCTTGTGTTCAAAATTTAATTTAAGCCTTCGGAGCACACACTTCGTTTTTCGAACACGAAGCACACTCTTATCATTTAAAAACTTCACCATTAGATCGACGTAAATTTTTTTTTAAAATAGTTTTTATTAAAAATAAGTTTTCATACTCAAAAAGTTTTATTATTAATATTTTATTATATAGAAAAAAAATGCTAAAAGACAACAAGTTATTTTCAGAAAAACTGAAAAAAATAATATTTTGTAAAAAAAATTGTAGTTCTTCTAATTTTTTATATTTTTAGCTAATATTTTACTTTTGTGTTCTCGAATAGTGGTAAAATAAAACAAAAATAAATTCTATATTCTAGTTTCTAAAAAAACGCATTTTTTGCAAGTTAATGGAGGTGATTTTTATTTTTTGACGACATCTAGGCGACAAATGACTGAAGCATTGTACACGCAATTATTTAAAGTTCTGGGATTAGCTTGATACTTTGGTAAATTGTTGTCCCTATATACAGTGCCGCTCAGCAGATTTTGCCCACCTTTGAGAATTTTACGCTTGGCGAAAAGTTTTATATTTCGGTTGCTAATCAAGATATAATAATGAGTGAGGACTTTTTTGAAAGCTTATATCTTCTACTTTTATGATATCTAAAACAGACATTAAAAAAAAATTTTTTTATTGTTTAATTGCTCAAAATAAAAATCCAAAATTTCCGGTTTTTTTTTTGTAATTTTAAAATCGCTGCAGTTTTTAAACCAGTCATCACATTTTAATCGTTGATAAGCCATTTGAAAGCTAATTTTATCACCTTTAAAATGATTCCTTGTAAACTTTAATACGATAATTTGTAACAAAGATATGGACAATTGTTTAAAAAAAACTGCACTTTTTTTCAACTAGTCATAACTCAAGAACGATTGATTTTTGAAAAAAATTGTTGAGAAGAAAAATGTGCCTTTTTATGTATAGAATTAGAAAAAAAATATTTAGACATAAAAAAAAAATTTTTTTTTTTGACATATTTTGATTTTTTTGAAAATCAGCACTTTTTGTAATTAGTAATAAGTCGAGAACGGTTAGCTTTAGAAAAAAATTTTCAAGATAAAAAATTTTTTATTCGTAATATTTTTTCTCAATTCTAAACATAAAAATACACATTTTTTATATTAAGAATTTTTTTAAAAAGCTAACCGTTCTCGACTTATTAGTAATTTAAAAAATTTTGTTTTTCAAAAAAACTCAAAATATGTAAAAAAAAAGATTTTTTTTTTTAATTCGAAATATTTTTTTTCTAATTCTACACATAAAAATAGCCATTTTTTATCTTGAAAATTTTTTTCTAAAGCTAACCGTTCTCGACTTATTACTAATTACAAAAAGTGCTGATTTTCAAAAAAATCAAAATATGTCAAAAAAAAAAAATTTTTTTTTTATGTCTAAATATTTTTTTTCTAATTCTATACATAAAAAGGCACATTTTTCTTCTCAACAATTTTTTTCAAAAATCAATCGTTCTTGAGTTGTGACTAGTTGAAAAAAAAGTGCAGTTTTTTTAAACAATTGTCCATATCTTTGTTACAAATTATCGTATTAAAGTTTACAAGGAATCATTTTAAAGGTGATAAAATTACCTTTCAAATGGCTTATCAACGATTAAAATGTGATGACTGGTTTAAAAACTGCAGCGATTTTAAAATTACAAAAAAAAACCGGAAATTTTGGATTTTTATTTTGAGCAATTAAACAATAAAAAAAAATTTTTTTTAATGTCTGTTTTAGATATCATAAAAGTAGAAGATATAAGCTTTCAAAAAAGTCCTCACTCATTATTATATCTTGATTAGCAACCGAAATATAAAACTTTTCGCCAAGCGTAAAATTCTCAAAGGTGGGCAAAATCTGCTGAGCGGCACTGTATATATATATATGAAAGTAACAAAATCTCAAAATATAAACTTATTTTTTTAAATTATAAAATAAAAGAGGGTATTGAAGTTTTAAATTTTTGGATAACAATGTTATTTTCAAAACCATATAACTTCGACAAAACTTTATGAATTTTTAATTATTATCAATATAGGATTTTTTGTTGGGTTTTTCAAATGTATAGTTTTCAAAACCAAAAAATTAAAAAAAAATATTTTAACCCTATTTTTTTCAAAATTAACCCTTATTTTTCAGTTTTAACTCCTTATCCTCTCTTAAGGGGACTTTCGGGTTTAGAATTCCAAAAAAATAAATTTTTTTTTTTTGCTTGAAAATGTTCCTTAGTATAATAAAATTACTGTCCCAAAACGTTTTTTAAAAAATATATACAAAAAAACAAAAGTTGTAATCAAAAATTGTTTGATAGTCCTGGCTCAATGTATTATGTTATGAAAAGTTTAAAAGCGTTTTTCTCAAAAACATATATTTTTCGAATAGATGTTTGGGTTTTATCATTCGAACATGTCAAAAAAGTTTAATAATGAATCTGCATTAAAATCTTTATTTTATGCTTTTTTAGTATCTAAATTGGAATATGGTTCAGTTCTTTGGTATAATTTAGCGTAGTATTTAATTGATTTAATTCAAAAATGCCACAAACGATTCTTAAAATTTCTTTATTTCAAAAAATACCGTGTATTTTTATTACCTGGCACTGATTATAAGGAATTGAGTAATAATTTTAATGTACAACCTCTTGAGGATCGAAGATTCATAAAGTTTGTTACTTTCTTTTTTAAAATTGTAAGACATATTAATTGACTGTCCTTACTTACTATCACTTGTACCCTTTTATGTTCCGAAGCGAAATCTTAGAAACATTCAACCTACTTATACTGTATGTAAATCCTTACAGAATATACTATTTTAAACAATATGTGTGATGTATTTAATGGTGTTTGTAATGATTCCGAATTTGATATGAATTTTCATTCTGTGTCTACTTTTTCAAAATTGGTACATGATTTTACTCAAAGGAACTAATTTCACTGCGATAAAATATTATTTGTATATATTTTAACACTTGATTTGAAATAAGTGTCTATCTTTATCATCGTACATGTTATAATTTATATTTGTATTAATAATCCTGTAGTTGGTCTCCGGACGGTTGGATTAAATCTCAATAAATAAATAAATAAACTGGTGCACGGCTTTTCTCGAAATCTACTGAATCGATTTTAAAAAACTAAAAACCATTTGATTCCTTAGTTAAAAAAACTAGAGAATAAACCTTTAAAACTTTATTTTTCTACCCTCTGTTTTTTTATAAGAGGGGTAAATTGCCCCTAAAACACTGTAAAAAGAAGTATCTTATTTTAAGATGTTTTGGTCGCCTTTTTAAGATGTTTTTTTATAACTTGCTTCTAAGTTATCTAAAATAACTTAAAATGCCTACAGCTAAGAAATTGAACTAAATACACTCAAAAATATATTTTTTTAATTTTCTCTATGTAATGTGCAATAATGTCCAAAAAGAATTTTTGCAATTTATTTAATACTTTTCTTACAACAAAAGTTTTAAAACGTGTACTTTTTTGTCAAAATTCTAAATCAGAAAGTACCCTTAAAAATGTTTTTTTTTGTTTTTTTGTTTTTGAAAGCTGAGATTTTTTTCCAACAAAACTGTAAATATAAATATAAAAATTGGACAACATTGGGTTTAAATAAAAAAAATTTTTACCCTATATGTACTTTTGGAGAAGGGAATTAACCAAAATCCAAATAACAAAAACTTACCTGCCAATTATATCCTTAATTTCCAATGTATTTGATTTTTTAATGCGTATAGTCAATTCTTTAGTGAGATCGTCACCTATTTTTTCAATTAACGGAAACAATTGTTTTATTTTACCCGATGTAAATGTTGGCGAAAGTTTTGATCTAAGATGTTTCCATTCTTCGCCGGGTAAAAAAAATAAATGAGCTGATATTGGATCTACCTCTTTATTAAAATATAAGCCACGATCATGAAAATAATTAAAATCTTTCACCAAAATAAGACGTATTAATTCAGGATCATTAATTATTAAATGTGGTACATGAAGCATATACATTCCATGAAATGGTTGTAATTTGTGTCGATCATAACTTTCCTTGATTAAGTGACCTTGAAATTATATAATTTTATATCATATAAATAGAAAATACTTTGCCGCTCTAATATTATATAATAACGAATTCAAAAATATTTTTACCAACACTCGTTTGTCCACGAACAATAGGCAATAAACTTCCAAAAGGTATTATAGGATCATCTTGTGGTATATTATTTCTTTTGAAATAATTATAAATTATTAATTTAAGATAGAAATAAATAACAAACACAAAAGATGTAATCCAAAATAATTTTGAATGCAATAAAGATTCCAATTCCCACATATTGATTTATATATAATTGAATCTAAAAATTTAAATATTCAACATAATTTATATTTATTTACACCATAAAGTTATTTAACAAATATTCAAGATAGTTCAACTATAGTAATTCTGTTGCACTAACTTTATCTCTCGTTACAATGCCAAGGAGAACTGAAGTATTATAAACTTCACTGCTTGTTTTTATAAAACAATAAGCTATACTGCGAGATGGCAGCAAGTGCTGAAGTAAGAATGAAGTCATAGCACAACTTAAATGCTCGGACACATTCGCAAGTTGTTCTCGGTTACAGTCAAAAGAACTCTAATTAGCGTATACGCACATATGTGATGCAAAATTATGCAGCGAACGAATTACGTTAATAAACTGACGGGATTATTGAAAATTGATTCTCAGAAGTTTATAAGGTAATATGATTGTTGTGATTTCACATATGTAAATATTCTTCGCAGATTTTCTCTGCAAAATATTTGATAGATGATTTTTTTAAATAAATATAATATTAATATCCACTGAAAAAAGGGTTTGATATTGACAACCAAACGTTTGGTTGGTATATTTAAGCAAACCAAAATTTTTTTGTTAAATCAACAAAATTTTAATTGTCTCAATCAAAATTTGTTTGATACAACCAAAATTAGAAAAAAAAGATTTTTGTTGTCCTAACTAAAGTTTTATTGGGACAACTAAAATTTTGTTGATTCAACAAAAAAATTTTGATTGTTTAAATACCAATCAAACGATTGGTTGTGAATACCAAACCCTTTTTTCAGTGTAATCTGGCACATGACAATGAATCCTTATACTATTTTTGATTTCTTCACAAAATTTTAGCCATTTTAGCATAATCATGATTCGCGGTAGAAAATCAACGCCAAGTAAAAAAAAATCATGATTCGCGGTAGAGAATCGACGCCAAGTAAAAAAAATCCGCGAATATATATATTTTCTCAAAATATTGGCATTTTTCGACCAAAATTGGATATCTCGAAAAGTTCTTTATCGGTTTCGTTCAAACCTTTTTTGCCGGATAAAGAATGTAAAAAAAACCCCGAGTCAAAATTTTAATACTCGATCAATTCTCTTTATTGCTGATTGAGTACTCTATCAGTTCTAATTACTCCTCAGCACTCTCTTTTAATTCTCCTTTATTCATAATTAGTCTTCAGTTTATCCTCCGTGCTTTTTCAATAAAATTTGTGAGTCGGATTTTCATCTTCTTTTATATAGTCTTCTCGATTTTTATATATTTCTTATTAAGTCTCTATTAATACTCTGCCAAATATTTTATTTATTTGAAGTCTCTTTCTGGTCTCTATATTAATCCTCTTCTATATTTTATTCCTCTTCCTAATCTCTGTTAATCCTCTTTTTTATATTATTGGTGTCGCGAAGCAAATCCAGGTAGGCATACTTGTTCAAAAGACGTCCTAAGGATGTCTTTTTGTGGACGTCTTTTGGACTTGTGACAAAAGACGTTTTTGAGACGCTTATGTAATCAAGCAGTGCTAGCTAGCGCCACGAATTTTTTTTACAAGGGGTTCTATGTCTTATTGGCCGTTTGATTTCTTTAAGATGTCTTAAAGACGTCTTTTTTTCAAATTTTGAAAATAGAAAAATTTTCATAAATATATAATGTTATTTTTAAAACTTGACGTGAATTATTTTTAAGTATTTAATAATTATTTTTATTTTTTAATATTTATATACTTCATTAATTTTTTGTTAATTCACTTCTTGCAGTAGTATCGATAAAAAAATAATTCACGCCAAGTTTTCATAACTGCGCCTACGATAGAAATTTTTCTTATAATCAAAAAATTGATTTTAATTAATTACTAGCTGTCGCACCCGTCTTCGACGGTTATAATATTTAGATTTAATAAATTTTGAAATTTATAATTACATCCAACTATACGTGTTCTCCTGTATTAAAATATCTTTTTATAAATTTTTAATTATTATTTATTCAATTCAATTTAATTTTTTCACTGCTTTCATATATAAAATTAAATTATTTTCATTTTATTTAAAAGAAATTTTTCTATTAAAAATTTATTCTTCAAATAATTTTTTAAGTTTTTTAAAATTTTAATTTAAATTGTATTGATTCAAATAATTTATATTTTCAATACTATAAAATTAAATACAATTTTAAATTATTTTAATTTTATTCTTCTAATTTTTAAACGATTTTAATTTTTTTAAATTTTAATTATAATAATAAAAATATTAATTTATTTTAATTATTCAAATAATTATAAGTATATTTAAATTAAAATAATTTATTATAAATATAAATTTTATAATAAATATTTGAAAAATTATTTTATTATTTTTATTCTTACATTTTTAAAAGAAATGCTCAATTTCAATACATTTTTCAATTACGATAATTTAAAAATTATGGTTATGGAATTTTTTAAATTGAAGGCAATTTCACTCTTAATAACATGATGTTCATTCATTTATAATTTTGACAGATTGAAGCATCTTCAAAAACAATATTTGAATTTTGTCGAAACAATAATAATAATATTCAATAATAATAATAATAATTGTTAATTTCAAAGAGTAAAAAAGTAATTTTCGATTTTTTATTTTTACAATATCTGATTTCATATTCAGATTTGCAATTATTAATTTTAAAATTCTGATAAAATTCTTAAAATTTCTTGTTAAAAACATACTTAATTGGTCACAAAATTTTAAATAAAGAACGTTTAGTAAAGAATTATCAAAAAATAAAAAATGTTAAATTTTTTAAATTTTTTGAAAGTGTCATATTTTTGTTTAAATTAATATTTTTCATTGGTGTGCAGCTAAGATTGCGTTTAATACCCAACAGACTAAAAACATTATTGTTTTATTTATAAAAAGTTGAACATAACGAATTCTTATATTACAATGTTATTAAAAAAATTGGAAATTCAAAAATTTGATTTAGACTTTTAAATTCAGACTTTTTACTTAATTTAATAAAAAAATTGATTGTATTTATGTGAAAAAATTAGGTACAAATAGTTTCAAATCAATCTGACAAAAAATAAAAAATTTGCATTTTTTTGATTTTTTTAAATTTTTTGAAAAAATGTCATAACTTTCGTTCAAGTTAATATTTTTTAATCAAATATGGCTAAGATTTTAAGTTACGTTAAGACTGAATACACTGCCAAGTTTCACCTCAATCGGTTGAGCCGTTTTAAAGTTGTGCCGGTACAAAATATTGACGACAGACAGACAGAATTTTTATTTATGGCATATTTGTTATCTTTACTACTTAAAATGATAAACTATGCAAGAAAAAATTAATTTGGAGCAATGTACATCTCGGAAATTATGTACTTGTTTAAATTGGAGCTTTTTTGTTACACTCATCGAGAACTTTTTATTATCATATGCGATCGGTAATGTAGTAACTCATTAGTTTTCACAGGTTTTCACAACACTATTCACATTTGATAAAAACTTAATTATTATTTAATAATTCGTATTGCAAACAATAAAATTAAATCAATTTTACACTTTTTTATAAATATCAATTGTTTTTGCAGTTAATTTATATTCTTTTCATGAAAATAGCACGACAATAATTGTACAGCTGAACTGATCAGGTACCTCGCGCACATTTCCATTCATTATTAATTATTTAATGCTTTATTAATTACAAATTTTGTACGAATTTACTCTATAAACATTCATTTACCCTTTTATCAACTTTTTTTTATCATAATAAGTCGATTAATAGCTTTTCTATACGTTTTTTTACAAGTTTACCTAATGTCTACCTGAAGTCCACTTAGTTAAGTAGACATTACGCAAATCGAATCCGCCAGGGTCAATATAAATTTAATTTTAATAAAAAAATTCTTATTAACCCTTTCATGGCCAGTGGGACACATACGTCCCACCTACTTCAAAAAATCATAACTTTCTTAAAACTTAATCGATTAACTCCACTAAGATCTCATTTTGAAGGGGAGGGATAGAGTAACAAATGTAAATACATGTATTTTTTTTAAAAACTACCCTCTTTGAAATACACCCTTTCAAAAAACCCGAAAAATGAGAAAAATGAAAAAACAGGTATAAATTTCAGAAGAAATTTTTTTTTCAGGCTTTCATAGTAACATATGTTTAAAAATATTGCAACCTTTGTAAAAAAAATTAATATTAAAAATTCAACCCGAGGGTGCAGAAAAATAACTAAACCTACCCCTAAAAACCAAAACCTTTAAAAATTAACAAATTCGCTTGAAAATTGTTACTTGGGGGTTTTCGGGGTCGCTGATTACGAATCCGATGTCCGTTTTCAAAAATTCAAAATGGCGGATCCAAAATGGCGACCGATAATTATAAAAATTTACTAGATTCGCGTGAAACTTATCACTCGGGGGTTTTCGGGGTCGCTGATTACGAATCCGATGTCCGTTTTCAAAAATTCAAAATGGCGGAACCAAAATGGCGACCGATAATTATAAAAATTTACTAGATTCGCGTGAAACTTATCACTCGGGGGTTTTCGGGGTCGCTGATTACGAATCCGATGTCCGTCTTTAAGAATTCAAAATGGCGGATCCAATATGGCGACCGATAAATATAAAAATTCACTAGATTCATGTGAAACTTGTCACTTGGGGGGTTTTCGGGGTCGCTGATTACGAATCCGATATCAGATTTAGAAAATTGAAAATGGCGGATCCAATATGGCGGACGAAATGATTAACTTTAATTAGATTCATCTGAAACTTATTACTCAGGGGTTTTCGGGGTCGATAATTACGAATATGATGTCAGTTTTTAAAATTGCAAAATAATGCTGGTGTCATTATTGCCTATTAATTTTGTAGCTTTTAGTGCCTGTTGTTAGGAGTTTAGTATGAAAATGAAAATTACAGACCCAGGCTCAATCGGTGAGGTAGTGGGAGAACGCTACACAGAGAAAACGAAACGACGCGCTGATTGCCTTATAACAGCAGTTCCACATGGGAGCTTCTTTGCTACTGTCGTACCCCCCCTTTCATTTACCCAATGCACTCCCCTCTACGCCATCGTGGAGGGGAGTGCATTGAGTATGTACTCAATGCATTACTCAATATGATAATAATCAGTGAAAATTATTTTTCTGATTGTTGAAAACTGAATTCAGTATCTTATAACTTATGAATTAGGGGTGGATATCAAGGGTAGGGGGTGAGTTTATTATTATTATCCATATCTGTGAAACATTGAAATACTTTTTTACAATTCAGAAGCACTTAGAATCCATATAATTTTTTTCATTTATTCACAAAAACATTTATCATTAAGGGGTGGTTATTTGACTTAAGGGTTGTTTTTCAGGGGTTGTTTATATTTAGTATTAATACTTAGTTATCATAGAACATTTTTTTTCAAATTTTCGAAAATCACTGAAAATTATTTTTTTGATTGTTCCAAACTGAGAATAGTTATGAATTAGGGGTGGGCTTCAAGGGTAGGGGGTGAGTTTATTATTATTATTATCTATGTCTGTATAACTTTCAAATAATTGTTTATAATTTAGAAGCAATTAGAATCTATAGATTTTTTTTAATCATTTACAAAAACTTTCACCGTCAAGGGATGATTATTTGACTTTAAGGGTGTTTTCAAGGGGTTATTGTTCCTTTTCAATTTTTAAGCAACCAGGCAATGTTTATAAATAAATAAAAAGTAGATAAGAGCTGAAAAATATTTAATTCATCAATTTAGTTAAATATCAGTTTTTTGGGGTAGTAATGTACCGTGGGGGTGGTTTTAAGGGGTGAGACATGTTAAGAAAAATTTTTTTCTCATACTGAATACTTTAGTAATTAAATCTAATATACATTATAAGTCTAAAGTAACGACAAAAAACTCGGCCATTAAAGGGTTAAAAGAAAAATGCAGTAAAAGAAATAGGGGAAAACAAATTTTTTTTGAATTAATCGCAAAAATAATAATTTGCAAGAAGTTTTTATTTATTCATCAGGCAGTCATATCTTTTTGGAATTTTGAGAAGCGTATAGATAAAACTGTACTTCAATAATTATTTATACTTATATATAATTCACATTAGATCGCGTCATGAATTACATAATTGTAGCTTATCTTGAGTAGCTTTACAAAATTACTATAAAATAGTATATTTATTCACACGTAACATTAAAATTATTCAACAAAAATACTCTCAGGCAAATTATTTTCAAAAAAAAAACCTCTGGTTTTTCAATATCTAAATAGTTTAGCAAATTTGAATATACCGGTTTTAAAATAAATAACGAGGAGGCGCATGATTATCCGATAATAATTATTAGTTAAAATTTTCATTTTCAACAATTTTATTAGATATCATTATTTTTTAGACGAATTTTCATTTTTCGATTTCTGTACAATAAACATTCGATACATAAGAATTCTTGTTAAGTAAAAATTTGTTTAAAAAGAAACTCCGTCAAATGTTAATTCGAAAAATGAATAAATTCATCTAAAAAATAATTATATCTAATAAAATTGTTGAAAATAAAAATTCTAACTAATGATTTTTATGAGATAATCATACGCCCCATAGCGAGCAATAAATTATTTAAAAAATACTTACTCAGTACACCTGTGATTTTTTGTTTTGCCAGAAATTTTGCATATTCTGGAATAATCTCGAGGTTCAGAGAAAGTGTACTAAAAAAGAAAAAAGTAAATTAATAATTTAGAAATTTATTTATTAAAAATTATAATATTAATTATATAATAATAATAATAATAATAATAATAATATTAATAATAATAATATATAATGATAGTAATAATATCATCAGTCACCAAATGTCTTACGAATTGAAAGTACAAATATTTTAAAACGGAATTAATAAATTTATAATAATACATATTGATATCTAATATAAGAAATCTTAATTTAACTATGTAAAATTATTTGCATTATCTATTCGCAATACTTTTGTATAACCAAAAAGAAAACAATTAAAAACTTATTAATTATAATATTATGCATTACTCATTTAACTGGAATGGTGTAAATACTGGTACTATTAGTCCTTTGAGAAACGATGGATCAACTTTCTATAAAAAAAAAATATTTGTATGCTATAATATAAATTTATGTTAAAATTTAAGGAGGAATATGGTACACGTTAACATAACATCCAAAACTGAGAAGTTGTTTTTTAATAATTTAACGCAAACAAAATTATGATTAAAATTAATAGCGATCAATTTTAGAAGATCTTATTTTGCATTTTTTAGAAAAACGATGTTGATTCAAAATATTTTTTTACATAATTATTTTTTTAACATATTTCTTTCAGCTCAGGGAGGGTCAATTACGTTACTTTTTACGGATTTCAGATTTCGGATCCCATATTCCGGATTCCACTTTCCACATTCCAGATCCCACATTTTACATTCCGTATTCCACATTTTGTATTTCGCATTTCAAGGCCTGAGCAGAATAGAGACGTAACCGGAATCGTAACCGCAAACGCATCCGGAATAATGAAAATGAGAGAATGAGTTAGAGAAGGATAGACATATTGTTTGTCCTTCTCCAACTCATTATTCCGGTTGCGTTTGCGGTTACGATTCCGGTTACGTTTCTATTCTGCTCAGGCCTTCACTTTCCACATTCCGGATCCTGGACGATTTGTACTTCGATTTTGCGGAATATGGAATGTGGAATCCGGAATGTAGAAAGTGGAATCCGGAATGTGGAATACAGAGAACGAAATGTGGTATCTGGAATCCGGAATTAGGAATACGGTATGTAGGAAGTGGAATCCGAAATAAGGTATATTGAACCCGGAATGAGGAATACGGAATGTGGAAAATGGAATCCGAAATGTGGGATCCAGAAAAAGTTATGCTAATTTTAATAAACATCAAGGGCTTATTTTATTCAGTGAGACCTACTCTATAATCGCTTATATTTTATAATATTGTTAAAAGTAAGTTATTTAAAAAGTAAAAACTATTAACATTTGAAATTTTATTTAGCCCTTGTTTATTAAAATTATATAAAAACTACTGTAATTTTTGTCTGAGCTGAAAAAATTTGATTACAATGAATTTTAATCATATTTTTTTTTGAGGTTATGTTAACGTGCACCATATATTCCTCCTTAAGGCCAGGTCCAAGTCCGAGTCAGCATATTTGTTTTCTCCTACTAGAAGTATTTTCTATTTCATATTTGATCGAAAAAATAACAACGAACAAATTTCGGTCAATTTTGAAAATAGAACCGATATTTGTTTTTGCCGATTGTGTTTGTTCGGTTTGGGCAATGTTCAATTTCGATCAAATTAAAATTTTGCGTTTTAAATATTCTATCATATATAATAACGTATAAACCCTGGCGGATTCGATTTGCGTAATGTCTACTTAACTAAGCGGACTTTAGGTAGACATTAGGTAGACATGTAAAAAAACGTATAAAAAAGCTATTAATCGACTTATTATGATAAAAAAAAGTTGATAAAAGGGTAAATGAATGTTTATAGAGTAAATTCGTACAAAATTTGTAATTAATAAAGCAATAAATAATTAATAATGAATGGAAATGTGCGCGAGGTACCTGAACAGTTCAGCTGTACAATTATTTTCGTGCTATTTTCATGAAAAGAATATAAATTAACTGCAAAAACAATTGATATTTATAAATAAGTGTAAAATTGATTTAATTTTATTGTTTGCAATACGAATTATTAAATAATAATTAAGTTTTTATCAAATGTGAATAGTGTTGTGAAAACCTGTGAAAACTAATGAGTTACTACATTACCGATCGCATATGATAATAAAAAGTTCTCGATGAGTGTAACAAAAAAGCTGCAATCATGTCCGTAATTTTGGTCGAGAAACAATTATGAAATCAATAATTATTTGTATAACTTTATTCTGCATTTTAAAATTCACTTTTTATTTTCTTTCAAAGCAAAAGCTTGGAAGAAAACATGCTCGCACTGTATTGTAAAAACTGGTGGCGCCATCTCTCATATGCGATCGGTAATGTAGTAACTCATTAGTTTTCACAGGTTTTCACAACACTATTCACATTTGATAATAACTTAATTATTATTTAATAATTCGTATTGCAAACACTCAAAGTAAATCAATTTTACACTTTTTTATAAATATCAATTGTTTTTGCAGTTAATTTATATTCTTTTCATGAAAATAGCACGAAAATAATTGTACAGCTGAACTGATCAGGTACCTCGCGCACATTTCCATTCATTATTAATTATTTATTGCTTTATTAATTACAAATTTTGTACGAATTTACTCTATAAACATTCATTTACCCTTTTATCAACTTTTTTTTATCATAATAAGTCGATTAATAGCTTTTTTATACGTTTTTTTACATGTCTACCTAATGTCTACCTAAAGTCCGCTTAGTTAAGTAGACATTACGCAAATCGAATCCGCCAGGGAATAGAAATTCGGACAAATTCAGTGAAATAGCATTTAAAAATTCAAGTCATTTAAAATTCTCATAAATAAGATTCAGTTAAATTATTAAAAATACCATAGTTATCCTGAGTTTATGTAATTTCATATGCCTTCAAGAAATTAAAGATTTATTCACATATAAAACGACAGGAAGTAAAATAGGAAGAGTATAAACATTTGCGTAGTACAAAAATTTACTGTCTGGGGCAGCACCTGACGGCTACAAAAAAAATTTCTTATTTTACTTCCTGACGTCGTTTATCGTAATGAATTTTCAAATTCTTGTGCGTAAATGAAAGTACAACATTTCAGGATAACTGGTATTTTTTCGATTTTTCCGTTTCTATCCAAGTTGAGATAAAAATCCTTCTTAAATTAAATGCACCTATGAGAAGCCAATCTTTGAAAGACAATCACTGCTTGCCATTGCGGAACACCATTAAGGGCAGGTTAAAGTCGAAGCAATTTTTACATAGAACTTTAATAGAAAGATCGCATCGACTTTGACCTGCCCGTAAGGAGGTTCAATAACCCATTAACATAACCTCAAACTAGAAAGTAGTTTTTAACAGAAGAACAGAACTAAAAATATATTTAAAATTTATTACACCCAAATTTGACAGATCCAATTGTACAAATGTTGGAAAAAAATTATTTTCAGTTAAAATTTGTTGTTAAATAATAATTAATAAACATTTTGTATTTCTTCTTAAAAGTTAGTGAAAAATTGTAATTTTTATCCAATTTTTATAAACAATGGCTCATTTTTTTCTTTAAAAGATATTCTCTATAATTCTATATACTTTTGTGTTTTTGTTAAATAATGGTTTGTTCAAAAAATATAAAAAATAAAAATTTTCTTTTTGTTTATAAACTTTTGAACAAAATATTTTTCATAAAATTTGCAACAAGCAGAATTGTAGAAAATATCTTTCAAAGAGCAAAATGAGCTATTGTTTGTAAAAATTGCATAAAAATTACAATTGTTCACTATAACTTTTAAGAAAAAATACAAAATGTTTATTAATTATTATTTGACAACAAATTTTAACTCAAAATAATTTTTTTCCAAAATTGCACAATTGGTTATGTCAAATTTGGGTGTCCTAATAAATTTTAAATATATTTTTAATTCTGTTATAAACTGCTTTTTAGTTTAAGGTTATGTTAGAGGGTTGAACCTCCTTAAAATAAAATTTTTTTTTTATAATGTGAGAGTGAATAAAAACTTTTTTTTGTCTGACTCATATCCTATATAACCTTTAAATTATATTAAGATATATAAAATGTAATTTAGAAAAATGAGTCATTTATAATTCTAATTTATAAATATTATAATTAAGGTAAAAAAAATAATATTTTAATTATTACCATCATTGTGAGAAGTACGAAATTAATTTGTTCTTGTGAATTACTCGATCAATAATGTAACTGATGCAATAACTCTTGAAAAGAATGAAAAAAGAGCATAGAAGAGAGATGCGAGATTCTAAAAACCATTGCTCTACGTCACAAATTTACTATATATGTGTCGATTATCATAACTAAAGTAGATAAACGACTAAGCGCGCCGTAATAATAATTTTTTTCAAACAAATTTTAATTCTCATTAATACCTAAAGTCTGAAATAAGGATTTCCGAATATATATTTAAAAGTTGTTTTTTACAATATTTCCAAAATTTGAAAAATTTATTTTTTGACAAAAAATTTGTTTCATTGTAAATTTAATTTTTTGTTTGGTAAAAAAAACTTATTTTTGAAATAAATAATCTTTTATAATTTAAATAATGTTACAATCAAATTAAATTTAAGAATTTTCAGTATTCAAATAGTAAATTTATTTATTTAAATTAAATTAAATTATTTATTAAAATATAACAATAGATTTATTTTTATTTTATCTCATCTTAAAATCTTAAATAAATAAATAAATAAATAAAAAATTTAAGTCATAAACCTTTGTGCAATATAAAAACAAAAATTAATTAATTATAAAAGCTGTTTTAATTTTTTTATGTTTATAATAAATTATAGGGTCAGTCCACTGACTTTCGTCTAAGAGTGGTTGCGACCAAATTTTAAAAAAATCTAGTTTTAATATGTGTGAAATTCGATGATTCCCTGAGTTCATTAACCATAATATTATGGTAAAAATGTTATTCCCTTTAAAAATATTAAATATCAAAAGTAGGAGGTTCACAATGTGATTTTGTAACCTTAAATTTTTCAATTTTTTTAAAAACGCTATTATTAAAAAACTATTAAAAATTAGATGTTGGAACTCACCAAAAACATAAATCACTTTATTCTGCATAGAGGAACGAAAGAATTATTGCAAAAATTTATTATTTTTGGATGATATACGATTTTAAAAAAATTTTTATTTAAATATTCTCAAGATTTTTATTTACTTATAACTTTTTTGTCGGTGCTCCGAAAAAATTGAGGTTTTGCACAAAGATTTTTTATAATATTCTTTACCTTCTATTAAAATCTTACGAAGGTGTTTTGCTTCGTTTTGGAGATATTAATTTTCAAAATTTATTATTTAAAAAGGTTAATTAAAAGACTTGAAGTTAACTAACCAATTTCAAATCGCTACATTTTAATATATTTTTATAAAAAATGGAGCAGTTTGAATTTGGTTAGTTAACTTCAAGTCTTTTAATTAACCTTTTTAAATAATAAATTTTGAAAATTAATATCTCCAAAACGAAGCAAAACACCTTCGTAAGATTTTAATAGAAGGTAAAGAATATTATAAAAAATCTTTGTGCAAAACCTCAATTTTTTCGGAGCACCGACAAAAAAGTTATAAGTAAATAAAAATCTTGAGAATATTTAAATAAAATTTTTTTTAAAATCGTATATCATCCAAAAATAATAAATTTTTGCAATAATTTTTTTGTTCCTCTGTGCAGAATAAAGTGATTTATGTTTTTTATGCTTCACGGTAAAAAGGACTATTATATGTTTATTAAATAATTTTTTTGGTAAGTTAGATTAGTGACACTTCTAATCGATTTATTTCTTTTTTTTTTAATTTCTAGTGTCAGAATGACAGACAATGTTGTGCCAATCTTTGCTGCAGTAAAGAGAACAAAAGATGTGAGAGACGAAGACACCATTGAGCCTTTGGAATTTAATAATTCGACTTAAAAGAAGTTTGAAAATGGAAAAAAAAATCAAAGTTAAAATTAAAATTTTTCATAAACACTATAATAGAAAATAAGAATGTTGCCTTTTTTTCTCTAAAAGCCGATTATAATTATTGCACATATGAGAGATTCTTTTTCAATTGCCCCAGCCCAAAAAGTCAATGTTCTGGGATTGGCTTCATACTTTGGTAAATTGTTGTCCTATATGATAGTAATAAATCCCTAAAATATAAACTCATTAAAAAAATATTTGTAGAAAGTAGAGGGGGTTGAAGTTTTGACGTTAAGGGTAACATTGTCATTTTCAAATCCGTTTAACTATGACAAAAGTTAATGGATTTTAATTTATCTATAATGAATTTTATTGCATTTTTCACGTACTTTTCAAAAATGTATACGAAATTAAAAAAAAAAAATTTTAACCCCTTTTTTTCAAAATCAACCCTTATTTTTCGATTTTCACACCTTCGGGTATTTTTTTTTTTTTTTTTTTTATTTTCATTGGAAAGCTGAGGTTTTTTCCGATGAGCTATGTAAATATGAAAATGGGACAACAATAATTTTGTGAGAAACAGAATATTAAAGTAGGCGGTGCCGATAAGGGGTGTACCTGGAGATCATCTTTGAGGATTTAGATAGGCACCGCCTAATTTAATATTATGTTTCTCACAAAATTATTGTTGTCCCATTTTCATATTTACATAGCTCATGGGAAAAAACCTCAGCTTTCCAATGAAAATAAAAAAAAAACAAAAAAAAATTCCCGAAGGGGTGAAAATCGAAAAATAAGGGTTGATTTTGAAAAAAAGGGGTCAAAAAATTTTTTTTTTTAAATTTTGTATACATTTTTGAAAAGTACGTGAAAAATGCAATAAAATTCATTATAGATAAATTAAAATCCATTAACTTTTGTCATAGTTAAACGGATTTGAAAATGACAATGTTACCCTTAACGTCAAAACTTCAACCCCCTCTACTTTCTACAAATATTTTTTTAATGAGTTTATATTTTAGGGATTTATTACTATCATATAGGACAACAATTTACCAAAGTATGAAGCCAATCCCAGAACATTGACTTTTTGGGCTGGGGCGATTGAAAAAGAATCTCTCATATATAATAAAAAAGACAAAGTTTATTCAACAATGCATTATTTACTCGTCAACCAAATAATAAAAAAATCGAAAAATTTTTTCAAATGATATTACTATTAAATTCTGATGATAAAAAGTCATTTTTCTCATTTGACGTACTGATCTATTTTTTTCAAAATTTTTCAAAAAATCTACTTCTTTTTACGAAACTTTTACGCCTAGCCCGATAATGGGCACTGATTACGAAAATCATAGTGACAATATCTAAAAATTTGATTCTCATAGTGAAAACCATAAAAAAAAGTCCCAAAATTTATGGTTTTTACCATAAGTTATGACTATTCAAAGATTCAAAAATTAAAAATTAATGAAAATTCTCCAATTTTCAAAAAAATTTTCATGAAAGCTAGTCTCAATTAGTACTGAAAAAAAAAAATCTCAAAAAAATCGGAGATGCAATTGCAGATGGACTTTCACTTTGGCATAGAATACACATCATATATATCATCTATAATTATACTTGGGCCGCGATAAATCGCCGATTTCGTTTATAGTTTTTTTTAGTGTATTTTACCTCTAAAAATACTCAACACTAGCCAAAATTTCAAATCTTTAACACATAAAAAACAATCAAAATCGTTTATTTCGTGAAAAATGACATTTTTCAAAATCAAGACTTAAAAAATCCATTTTCCATAAACAACACGAAGGTTTTTTCCCCACAGCAATTCTCATAAACTTTTTGGCTAACTGTTTTACCCTTCCAATAAAATAATCTTTTGATCGTTTCACAGAATTTTCTTCTAATAAATTTCATTCCGACATGATAATCCAAAACATTTGCAAACGACATGAGGCAAAACGGGGGAGAAAAGGCCTGAGCAGAATAGAAACGTAACCGTAATCGCAATCGTAAACGGAAGAATGAGTTAGAGAACGATAGTCATATATTGTTGTTCTTTTCTTACTAATTCTTCCGTTTTCGATTACGATTCCGGTTACGTTTCTATTGGGTGTTTTCGGGAGTTGCTGACAGTATACTGACAGACAGTAAAAAATTACCCAATCAGAATAAACATGCTGATGGATCAGACAATCACTGCACAGTAACTCCCAAAAACACCCATTAGGCCTAAATACAATGTTGCCAAGCGTTGCATTAGGGCCAATGCACAATAGCTTCGGGAAAGTCGTTTGCGAACTAGACTATGCGTTAGGCAAGGACAGAGATATATTTGTGTCCTTTTCTATCTCATACACGTTGCGACATTCGCTTTAAAGGCTTAAGCACAATAGGTTCGCGAACGTGAAATTCGTTCGCGAACGCCGTTCCTGAACGAATCGAACATAATCAACTCCAAGTCCAAGTCGGTTGGAGTTGGTTGCGCACGCATGGTGTTGCCAACTGTAGCAGAGTTAAAAATGAAAAAAAAAATTGTGCGTGATACATATAGTAATATATATAAATAAAGTAATAAAAAAATATACAATTAATAAGATGAACTGTCAATACAAATTTTTTTTTATGTTTTTTATTGACATTATAATAAAAGTTTTTCATCATTTTGATTTCACAATATATTAAAAAGGTATTTTCATGAACATAACCTTACAATATTTTTACATTTCATTACATGAGAAGGGCGTAATCATAAAATGGTATTAAATTTAAAAATATTTAAATAAATAATCGAAAACGTGCGTTGACATATTTATTATATTTTTTAATTAAATACGATTTTTAAAAATAACTTAACTTAAGATTACATTATTCTCATTAACAGATTATTTTACTATATTATTTTAATGTTATTTTCAGAATTAAATTCAGATTAGAGTATTTAGATTATAGTGTTTAAAATGTTTGTAGAGTCTTAAATGTTTTTTTTCTTCTAATAAGAAATCTGTATGTCAGGGAAAAAGTTATTATTTACATGGAAAAATGGAGAATTCAGGAAATTGGATTACAAAAATATTATGTCAACGCAGGAAGAAATTAACTTTTTAAAGAATTATCACATATAGTAATTATATTCAATGAATTTTAGACGAAAAAATTCATTCATAAAATATTAAACTTTGAAAATTATCTGCATTCTCTAATATTAAAATAAGCAAAAAATATTGTAAGGTTATGTTCATGAAAATACCTTTTTAATATATTGTGAAATCAAAATAATGAAAAACTTTTATTATAATGTCAATAAAAAACATAAAAAAAATTTTGTATTGATAGTTCATCTCATTTATTGTATATTTCTTTATTACTATATTTAGGCTGCAGTCCCATGGCAGCGTTTTGCGTTGCGTTTTGTCACTAGACCCTGAGTGTAAACATAGCAAACATATATCTGCATCTCTTTTACACTCATGGTCTAGTGACAAAACGCAACGCAAAACGCTGCCATGGGACTGCAGCCTTATATATTACAAATATAAAATTCATTGCATGTGTGTATTATTCGGGGAAAAAAATGTTGTTGTTTATAAAAGAAAAATTTAATTTAATTTATATTTTTCTTCTCTTTAAAAAACGATGAGACGGCGGCAACATCAACAGCAACAACAACAAATAATTTATTAAACTTTACAGCGTGTTTACAGCTTCAAAAGTACATAATCTCAACTATTTCGTGAGCACGAGATCACGCACAATTTTTTTTTTCATTTTCAACTCGGCGACAGTTGGCAACACCATGCGTGCGCAACCAACTCCAACCGACTTGGACTTGGAGTTGCCAAACGGAGCTATTGTAGAAGCTCCTTCACTCATTCCATTCCGTTTGCGTTCCCGTTCAAGAATTAGTTCTGCTTAGGCTGCAGTCCCATGGCAGCGTTTTGCGTTGCGTTTTGTCACTAGACCCTGAGTGTAAACATAGCGAACATATATCTGCATCTCTTTTACACTCATGGTCTAGTGACAAAACGCAACGCAAAACGCTGCCATGGGACTGCAGCCTTAAGGCTGCAGTCCCATGGCAGCGTTTTGCGTTGCGTTTTGTCACTAGACCCTGAGTGTAAACATAGCAAACATATATCTGCATCTCTTTTACACTCATGGTCTAGTGACAAAACGCAACGCAAAACGCTGCCATGGGACTGCAGCCTAAGCGTTGCGTTAGGGCCAATGCACAATATCTTCGGGAAAGTTGTTCGCGAACTAGACTATGCCCTAGGCAAGGTCAGAGATATATTCGTGTCCTTTTCTATCTCATACACGTTGCGACTTTCGCTTTAAGGAAACGATATATATCGACACGTTAATATCGATAATCATAATGATACGGAAGCTTCTACGCGCCACACTGCTGCGCGCACTCGTGTTAAGGCCTTTCTCCAAAGGTCCATTCCACAATAGCTAAACGCAAAGTTAAAGCGCACGCAAAGATGACGCGCGCGTTGGTTTGATTGGTTAGAACCAACGCGCGCGTCATCTTTGCGTGCGCTTTAACTTTGCGTTTAGCTATTGTGGAATGGACCAAAAGGATCCTAAACTCTTGCGTTGCGTATGCATTGCGTGACTGACGCGTTGATTTTAGCATTGGTTGCCAATAGCAACCGACGCAATGCATACGCAACGCAAGAGTTTAGGATCCTATTGGAGAAAGGCCTTTATGAGGCACAGTGTGAATGCAGATTGAAGCACCCTACAAATGAGTGCCTTGTACGGTGCTTCGATGCGTGCCTCGGACCGCTCTTTACGCGACCAGTGCACAGTGGGCCAGGATCGACAAAAAGTGGCCAAAATTATAAAATAATTTTTTAGTACAACAAAACTAGGGTATTTTATAGTTTTTGAGGTCGCTAATTACGAATCCGATGTCAGTTTTTAAAAATTCAAAATGGCGGATCCAATATGGCGGATGACTTTTTTAAAAAATCCATTAAATAGCTTAAAATTTGTTACTCGAGGGTTTTTGGGGTCGCTGATCACGAATCCGATGTCAGTTTTTTAAAATTCAAAATGGCGGATCCAATATGGCGGATGACTTTTTTAAAAAATTAATCAAAACGCTCGAAACGTATTATTTGGGGATTTTTGGGGTCGCTAATTACGAATTCACTATCATGTATTGTTAATATTAAATTAATTATTTGCTTGAGCACTTTTAGTTGAAATTAACAAAATGTATTTGACATAACAAAAAAAACTCCTCTTTAACCAAATTATCATTGGTTCTCCGAACCGAACGGTTTGAGTGTTTAATTGCGCATGCGCTGTTCTCGTAAATATTTCTGGTTACGAATGTCATACGTTAATAATTACAATAATTTTACATTTAAAAGTATTAAAACAAAAATTATGCAGGACTAAAATTACCGTTTTCAATTTTTTTTTACATTATTTAACATGTACTTAACATAAGTAAAAAACATTGCCATAAGTTTTTAAGAATTGACATCTAAAACTTTCACTTTTGTATAGTTATGTTTATGCAGGAATTTTTTGAGATTTTCAACTTTTGGCGTTAGTAATTTTTATAATAAGGGTCCTTAACTCTTGGCATTTCGTACATAGATGCTTTAAGGTATCCGAATTGAAAATAAAATGTTTTTGAACACCTGCAGAAAAATGGACTTTTCCCTGCTGGAAGTGAAGGCATAGAAAGAGATAGAAAAAAAGGAGATAGGAAAAGATAAAAAGGTATACTGTTTTGGAGATGCAGAATGGATACTTGAAAGAGATAGAACTTTTATATCTCCTTTTATCTCTATTTTTCTATCTCTTCGCTTATCTCTTTTAAGGAATAGAAAGAGATAGAAAATTTTTAAATTGTTAATTATTGCAATAATAAATTCTAAAAATGTTATATTTCGTTCTAGTGTAACGTAAACTATGAAAATTAAACAAAAAAAAAGTTTTTTAAAATTATTCTTTAAAATGTCATCTTGCAACTTGTAGGACAAACTTGTAGGACTCGACCCTCGACCATGTTTAGTGTGTATAGTGTAAAGTATGTATTTTGTGTATATCTCAACCGTACTGGGAGCGCGCCTAAACACGCTCGACCAAGGGAGGCTATGAAGATTTCTTGAAGTGTCATTCATAAAGAAATATGTTTAATATATACCATACATATCAATGCCTCCACTAAAAAGGTGCTTATTCCGTTGTTATAATAAAATATAATTCTAAGTACAAGTTTAGAAAATAATAGTTCTTTTCAACTTATACTTTTGAATTTTTTTATATTATCAAAATTTAAATTTTGACTTGTATCATTATTATTTTTTTTATTAAAAAACTTCTCATAATATTTATAAGATAGGTTATAAAGTTTATATTTGTGCTCTCCGCAATATTATAATATAATTATTATATTTTTGTAATAATAATTGTTACAATTTTTATATTTGTTTATCATGCATAGAAAATTATGAAATAAATTATTTTTGAATTCAGACATCCACAAAACTTCAAATAAAAATAAGCATTATTTATATTTAGCGCAGTTATTAAAAACTAGTTTTTGAAGATGTTTTAAAAAATTAAGTTAAATTTTATAAAATAAACTTGTAGCGTATTAAATTAATTATAATAAATAAATAAAAATTAAACTAGACAGTAGAGTATAAATAGTTAAAAGCCTATGTAAAAGAAGTAGTAAGTTAACTTTTTTAATAATTTTCCTATATATAGAAAGCGATAAAAAGCATTATTAAATATTTGTTTTGAAATAATGAATCACCGTAACTTAAATTTTTAACGTAGTGGGTATATGTAAGAACTCACTTACATTTAGAGTTTGGTAGAGTTTTCTAAAGTTATATCCAAGCAAATTGAATTGAGATACATTGTATAGACTATAGATTGAAAGAGATAGAGAAAAGGTTATTAAAAGCGAAAAACATCTTGTTGATAAAAATGGAGATAGAAAGCGATAAAAGGATATAGACTGGATATTGAAAGAGATAGAGAAAAGGATATTAAAAGCGAAAAACATCTTGTTGATTAGAATGGAGATAAAAGGCGATAGATGGGTATAGATTGGATATTGAAAGAGATAGAGAAAAGGATATTAAAAGCGAAAAACATCTTGTTGATTAGAATAGAGATAGAAAGCGATAGAATGGTATAGACTGGATATTGAAGGAGATAGAGAAAGGATTATTAAAAGCGAAAAACATCATATTGATTAGAATAGAGATAGAAAGCAATAGAAGATTATAGACCCGAGATTAAAAGTTATACAATTTTTCTATCACTTTCTATCTCAGAGATAAAAAGATATAAAAAGTGATAAATTTTCTATCTCTTTACTTCTAGCAGGGTTGGCCACTTTTTGTCGATCCTGGCCCACTGTGCAGTGGTAGACCTGGTTGATATTCTTTTAAAAAATGGTGCAGATGTAAATATTTCAAGTAAATATGGAGGAACACCACTTCATATAGCGACTGACAGTGAAAACATTCAACTTTTTGAGATTCTTTTAAAAAATGGTGCAGATGTAAATATTACAAATAAATATAAAGAAACACCACTTCATATAGCGACTAAGATGAAGAATATTCAGCTGGTTGATATTCTTTTAAAAAATGGTGCAGATGTAAATATTGTAAATGAAGATGGAAAAACACCACTTTATGTCGCCACTAAATTAAATAACATTCAACTTGTTGAAATTCTTTTAAAAAATGGTGCAGATGTAAATATTGCAAATCACTTGGGAGAAACAGCACTTTATGTCGCCACTGAAGAAAATAATATTCAGCTTGTTGATATTCTTTTAAAAAATGGTGCTAAGCTAAATGGACAAGATAATTTTAGAAAATCAATTCGACGCGCTGCTGTGAATAATAATATTGAACTTATAAAAATTCTTTTCAAACATGGTGCCAAAGTTTATCAACTTGACAAAGCTTATGAAGGACGAACAGATAAAGAAAGTTCAATGACAGCTCTTCATATTGCTGTTAAATATAGAAATTTTGAAATGGTTAAATTGTTAATGACGAATGGATTTGACAGAATTGACGCTATAAACGAATTGGGTGAAACTCCCTTGGATTTGTCAATACAATCTAATTGTTTAGATGTTGTTAAACTCTTGATAGAAAACGGCGCAAAAATAAGAAGTAAACCTGTCCTTGAAGAAGCACTTCACTTTGGCAATTTGGAACTTTGGAAATATTTATTAACATGCAATTCAACAATAATTCCAAAAAAATTTCTATGTGATTCTGAACTTCATTCAGCTGTGCGTGCGAGTCAAGTAGAAATTGTTGAGGAAATCATAAAAAAAGAAGCGAGTAAAGTAAAATTTGATCTTAGATCTTGCGGATGTGCAGTTTATATTGCTGTTGAAAATGGAAACGAAGAAATCCTTAAAATTCTACTAACAGCGGGTTTTTCAATTGAAAATTTTCTTGGAATAAATCCTCTTCATGTGGCAGCAACATTCAAGTATACACAATTAGTAGAATTGCTTTTAAAATTTGGTGCCAACATTAATTCAAGAACAGATAAACATGAAATCACCCCCTTGGATTTTGCAGCAGCTGCAGGTCATGCAAATATGGTTAAATTTCTTTTAGACTTCGGTGCTGATCCAATAAAAAGTGGAAGTCATTATACTTCACTTTATTATGCACTGCACAGATTATCAGACATTGCTAATGTTACTCCTTTAATGTTTCAAAATTTGTTAAAAATTACAGAGATGTTATTAATCGCCGGAGTTAATAAAATCGACGAAGATAATTATAAAAATTTAATAATAAGTTTCATTGAATTAACAGTTTCTAGCGATGATGATCAGAATTCATCTTGTTTTAACTCAAAAGAAATATCAATGGAAGGGAATATAAATGACGAGAAAAATAATGAAAAAGGAGAATTTCGTCCCGAAATTATTAGATGCCTGCTGAATTATTTAAAAGAATATAAAGTCAATGGTGTGTTAGATAATTTGTCATATTGCAACACAAAAATTAGTTTAAAAATTGCAAATGTTATTATGGAATACTATGATTACAGAAATATATCTCTTTCGAGCAAAAATTATTGGATAACTGTACACGTGATCGATCAAATTGAGGATATCCATTATCTTTTGAACATTATACGCCTTGCTCCAATCCATATTTTAAAGGTGTATGTTGCGCGACTAGAGCTACTTCCTTGCGATCAAGAAGCGGAGAAAAAGAAAGTCAATTTTTATAATCAATCCTCCGAATATCTCGATTGGCGAAATGAATGTCAAAAACAGATAATAAATATGCAAAACTCGGGGACAACAGGCCACTAAACAAAACCAAACCAAACCAAATATGCAAAAAACAAAAATTATCGACGAATCAAATGTGACTTTTTACGATATTTTAATGAAATCTATTAAGAAAGTTTCGATTAATATAAGAAACGAGAGATTATTAAATAGCTTAGAATTATCGATCGAGAAATTTCCAATTTATGCTGACTTTTTTAAGATACGTGTTAGTAAAGGTAAACAAGGAAATGAATTAATTGATATGTGCGTAAATGGTATGTTTCATCTTATTAAAAAGAATTATAAAATTACATTTTGTCCTGAAGGTATCCAACAAATTTTACAATATCTTTCAGTAAGCGAACTTCGAAAATTATCAATGGCGTGTTCTTCATTATTTTCGTGATAAAAAAAGTGGAAATTTTAATTCTTTTTTTTTTTTTAATTTGTCGTATTTACTACTTATATTTTTGTACTCGAAATTATATTTAAGAAATTAAAAATAACGCTGTAATTTACCCACCATCGAAAAAGATGACAAAAATTTATAATATTTCGTTGAGAATAAATATTATTTTTGAAATAAAGAATCTTTTATAATTTAAATAATGTTACAATAAAATTGAAATTAAGAATTTTCAATATTAGAATAATAAATTTATTATAATAATATTAGATTTATTTTTATTTCACCTTCAAAAATTTAAGTCATAAACCATTATGTAAAATAAAAACAAAAATTAATTAATTGTAAAAACTGTTTTAATTTTTTTTATATTGTTTATAATTATAGGTATAATATTTATTATACAGGGTCATCAAAATGTATCAGATCCCACTCTTGAAAAAAATAAATCGACTTTTTCTATGTTTAAAAAACAACAAACGTTCATTTTTAGAATATTTTTTTTTGGGGAGGGGGTCCGGTATAGATTTTATAATTTAAATATTTTTAATTTTCTAGAATTCTTTTTGCAATTGTATGTTCAATATTCTTAAACTGAAAAAAAATTTTTTTGTAATGCCAAACAAATTACAAAAAAATTTTACTTACACTAAATGTGACGCTTTACGGTAAAAAGGACCTTAGTTGTAAAAAAAATTTTAGGTTATGTTCAGTGATAATTTTACCTTAATCAAATATTAATTTTTAATTATGTAAAATCAACATTACTTTTTGTTGAATATTTTGGATCTAATGAAGACTTAAACATCAGTGGTTTGTATTAAAAAGTTATCTTTGTGTTTTTTAACTCTAAAGTAACAAACATAACCTAAAATTTTTTTTGCCAATAAGGTCCCATTCACCGTATGAAGAATTAAAAATTATTTTTTTAAAAGTTTTTTCTATGATTTAATTTTAAACGTTACTATGCAAGTAAATACTTATTTACACCTGTTGTTGGATAATTTAACATAAAATAGAAACAATTATTTTTTTTAACATAAAAATAATGAAAATAAGAAACAATAAAATTAATTAGTAAAAAAATGTTTTAAGAAAATTTTATTATTTCGAAAAACAAAATTTTTTAAATGATATAAAAATGTGTTTGGCAAAAAGTAAACAAGGATAAAAGTAATTTAAAAATAAAACAAAATAAAAGTGAAAATATAAAAAATAATAATTAAATATAGATTTTAATTTAGCAACTGAAATACATACTGAAAATACCGAAGGGGAAAAAATTTTAAATAAACATTTCATTTTTAAAACAGGAAAACCTTTTCTTTCAAAAAAAAACAATAATATAATAATTTAAAAAATTGTCAATTTTTTGTGAGTATATAAATTGCGAGAAATTTGTTTTCAACATCAATTTTAAGTTTTGTTTTCAAGAAGACTAACAATCTGAGCAATAACAAAAAAAGGTAAAATTATTTAAAGATTTTAAAAAATTTTTGATTAATTTAAATTTTAATATTTAATTACATATGTAGATGAAATACACACTCATACTATTGTGCATTGGACTTTTCGTCTTAGTCGTAGATGCTAATCATGATTGTGCAGGCGTTGGTGAACATGTAAATAATTTTTTTTTAATAATAATCAACCCTAAATCGTTATTTTTAAATTTTATTTTATATATTATATGATTTTTATTTATATATTTTATATTATTTTGGAAATTTATAAAAAAAATTTGAAGAAAACAAATTTTTTTCAACTTATAAAAACACATATGTAATTTTAAAAAAATAATTTCTAATTTCAAGTGTCATAAAAATCGACAATGCTGCCGTAATCTTCTATGCAATGACAGGGAAAAAAAATGTGTGAGAAGAGGCAGTCCTCAAGATTGCCTACGAGAGAGACAAGGAGTAATAAAAATTTATTAATTAATTATTTTAAAAAAAAAATTATTTTAAAAATTTAATTTTTTCCATTGAAATTTAGTGATGATTTCAAATTAATTTTTTATTTAATTTACAGTGTCAGAATGACAAACAATGTTGTCGTAATCTTCGCTGCAATGAAGAAAAAAGATGTGAAAAGCGAAGGGGATGAGACATTGAATTTTACAAATCAATTTTGTTCACAACTGGATGGTTTAAAGTTGGTCAAACAGACCAAAAAGTGAAGAAATTTCAAAATTCAAATATTAAAAAAAAAAAAATTATTTAATAGACAATATATAAAAAAATCTACAACTTTTTTCCTCTACTTTGTAATTCGAATATTTAAAATAAAGACAAAATACTATTAAATTTACTTTTTTAAAATTTAATTTACTCTGAATGACAAAACACTCGTTTACATTCGTTAATCAGAAAATTCGTTGAAATAATGCCTAAAATTAATTTTTTAAAATTTTTATTTGCTAGAAAATAGAATTTCATTAGATAGAATTTTCACCCAATTTTTTTTTATCAGAATTTCTAATTTCAATTTTTCTAAATATAGAAATTTGTTTAAATGAAATTTCTGATAAATAATAATTTTGGAAAATTAAAAATTTCACTAAAATTAAATTATATATATGAATATTTATTAAATAGAAAATTGTAACAAATTAATTTTAAATATTCATGCGTCTCAAATTTTCCCATTCTCCTTGTCTTCGTAAAAATTTTATTTCCTCATGCTTTTTTTTTAACACATTAGTTAAAGTTATTCTTCGAATTTCGTAAAAATTTATTTTTTATCGTGTTCGAAAAAAAATTTTTTTAAAATTTTTTTAATTAAAAAAAAAAATTATAGAAACTAAAACAAAAATAAAGACATATTTACTTGTATAATATGTCTCTGTTTCAAAATTTATGCACAAATATTATTTATATACTTATTTTAAAAAATTTCAATTCAAAATAAACTAAAATTCAATTATTACCCGAAATTTTAATTCAAAATCAATTAAAAATCCAATAATTATCCAAAATTTTTAATTTAAAATTTAATTATTTACCAAGTTTTCAATTTAAAATGAAATAAAATTCAATTATTTTCTAAAATTTCTATTCAAAATTAATTATCCAAATTTTCAATCAAAAATGAACTTAAATTAAATTAATATCCAAAATTTCAATTAAAATTCAATTATTTCCCAAAATTTTCAATTCAAAATTAACTGAAATTCAATTATTTTCCAAGTTTAAAATCAAATAAAATTTCATTATTCTCTAAAATTTGAATTCAAAATTAATTGAATTTTCAATAATTTGAATTTAAAAGCATCTAAAATTGAATTATTTCTAAAATTTTCCATCGAAAATTTTTTTTTTTTGAAATTTAATAATTTCAATTATAACTCTAAGGAAATTCAATTATTTTTAACTATTTCAATAATATTCTTTGAAAATTCAACTATCTGAAACCATGTTTCAATTAAAAATGATTTTCAAATTATTGTATTTTGTTCGCATTTTCTAATAAATGTTTAGTGAAATCATCTAAAATTTTAATTACAAAACACTTTAAAGTTTCAATTAATTTCAAAAATCTCAATTTTAAATCTTTGAAAATTCAATTAAATTTAAAATTTGTTTAATAAATTATTTTTAGTTCTGTAAAATTTAATAATTGTTTGAAAATTAACAATATCTTTTGAAATTTAATTATTTCTAAAAGTTTCAACTTTAACCCTTCGAAAAGGATTATTATTTAAAAAAAAAATTTATTTAAAAATCTGTAAAATATTTTTGTTAAAATAAAAAACAAATCCACTTTTTTGGAATATAAATCGACTAAAACGACTTTTTGTGTCTTTAAGTTGATTCGAGGCCTGTGTTTTTATAATTAATATTTAATAGGTATTCGTTGGCCCCTGGTACGTTAAAAATTAATTTTTAAAAATAAATTTTTGTCAAATTACTATCTTGTACGAAATTTCCTGGCGCATCTTTTTTCTCATCATAAATTATTTGTATTTGTTTACAATTTTTGAATCAATATACAAGTTTAAAAAAAATGTCGTTGGTAAACGTTGTGTACTTCAGCTTCGTGAATTGAATTTTTGAATTTGGAATTTTAAAGAAACTTATTCCTAAATTTGGAAACACAATTATACAACTTTGGCAAAAATGAGAAAAAGAATTGTCAAAATTTGACACGTCATAAGATTTCTATTCAAAAAAAGCACGTGAAATCAGAAAAGGCCAACTTCAAGTTAGGACAGAAGGACAGATCAAGCATTTTATTATTATAAAATAAAATATTCATTATAGATAGAATTTTCGCCGAATTTTCTTTTAGCTGAATTTTTATTTGTTCAAATTATTTTTTGCAAGAATTTCCATTAACCTTATTTTTTTATATATTTACAGAATATTTATACAATCAAATATTCACTTCACAGAATTTCTATTCATTATTTCAGTCACCGGATCGATTTTAAGTCGTTTTTTTTTAATTTTAACTAAATTTAATATTAGTTAATAAATACATTTTACTTTAATAGCTAATGTTATTAAAATATTAAATTCATTTTATTAATTCCTCAATAATTTATATTCAACAAAAAATATTATTCAAGAAAATTTTGTTTCGAATATATTTCAGAATTGAAAGTACAATTTTACAAAATAATGCGTTTTGGTTAAAAAAAATTTTAATTATTTAACTGAATATTAATTTATCAATGAATTCTCATTCAACATAATTTAAAGTGATTCAAGTTTTTAAGTGTCAGAATTTCCAAATTAACCGAATATTCAATTTGTCCGAATTTTTTATTTCATGAATTTTTATTTAATAGAATTGTCAAAACGCCAAATTTCTATTTGTTCGAAATTACAAATGTCCGAAAAATAAAAAGAAAGATTTCGTCGCATATTTTAAAATTGACCAATTAAAAAAAAATAAACCAATATAATTGTGATTGATTAATTTTAAAATTCGCGCCGAAATCTTTCTGGTGATTATTTTTCCGACAAATGAAAAATTCGGTGAATTGAAAATTCAGTCGATAATTCGAATCACTTAAAATTCTATAGAATAAGAATTTCGTTAAATGGAAATTTGGTTAAATTTGAAATTAAATTAAAGAAAAATTATGTCAATTAAAAATTTTGTATTATGAAAATTTTGTAGAATATAAATTAGTTTTGAATAAAAATTATATTAAATTAAAATTCGGTCAACTAGAAAATCAGTTTTACAAAAGTTTGATCAAATAAAAATTCCTTTAACTAGTGATTATAAGTTTTTACAGCTTAATTTTTTTATTGAAAAAATTTTTATTTTTAAGTGTATATATATATATATATATATATATATATAAGTAATTTACGAGATAGTACAAAATTTATTTATCATTTAATACCGAGAAATTCCATTTTATCTATAACTTCTTTCTGCAATTCCTTTATTAATTTGACTTCTTTCTCTGATGAAATCCGATTCCAAGGAATTCGAGCATCTCCAAAATCGAAAGGTGTCAAATGTCGCATCGCAAGCTTTATACCTTGCACTTGATTTCCTGTAATATATTTATTTATTTATTTATTAAATCTTATAATTTATTATTTTTTTATTAATTAAGAATAATATTATTATTATTATTTATTAATAAATTATTTTTATACTGTCAACTGGGGCTATTATACTAAAGAAAAATGCTACTTTTTTTACTCATTGCTTCACAAAAATTCAAAATTTAAATAAAAAAAAAATTTCAACTCTTGTGCTATGTTGTCGATATCCGATTGAAGATATATCCTAGTTAGACGATAATAAAATATTTTTACCAAAGTTATAGAGATTTGAAATGGTGACTATAATAGCCCCAGTTGATTGGAACTATTAGTTGGGGCTATTATACTCATCAAAGTTTATTTATAAAATATCCTCAACATTTTTTTTTATACAGCTTTAGCTATATATGAAATATTTTCTGCAATTAGTCTCGATTACGATAAAAAATAGAAAATCTTAAAAAAAAATTTTTTTACAATTTTTATAACAAATCTGAAAATTAACATTGAAATTTTACTAAAATTTATATTTATTAGAATATTGACCAATCACGATTTTTTTGACAATTTCTGATTGATAAATTTAAGAAAAAAAAAAACGCGCCGTAATCTTTCTGTTGATTGTTTATTCGGCCATTTACAATTTCGGACAAATAAAAATTCGGCGTTTTAAGAAATCTGTACTATAAAAAATTTGTTTTAAATAGAAATTTTGCGTCAATTATTCTAATTCGAAAAATAAAAATTTGTCTAAAAAAATAATTATATCATAATAAAATTCTTTCAAATCAAAATTCTAACGATTTTTATGCGACAATTATGCGCTTCAAAGTTTACGAATGTGTAATAACATTTTTTTAGACTTTCATGATTTTATGAATTTTTTTCTCCGTTTTGACCCCATTGAGTGAGTAGAATAGCCCTTCGATTGATTCCTGAATTTGATTTCTATTACAAATAATTATTTTCAATCTTTTGTAATAATTTGTAATTAATCTTAATATAAGACTTGACAATAAATTAAAGAAAAAAATTGTTTAAATTTAATATTAAATTTTTTTAAAATTTTATCACCAGAGGCCAAAAATTGTGTGCGGCAAATTCAATCTCCCTTTCAAAAATTCGGAGCCTCAATTTGTTTGGATGCAAAAATTATATTTATAGAATATTAAAATTTCTTTGTCCTAAAAATCTATAAATAATTTTATTATTCTTCAAAATTAAAAATCTTTTTAAAAAAAACACAAACAAATTTTAATAATATATGTTTGGTAAAATATAAATTTTGTATAATTTAAAAATAATGAATATATTTACCAAAGAGAGGATAAACATTTAGAGCTTTTGTAAAAAGTTCCTGATGTTTTTTAGCTTTTTCAAAGTCCTTATTTTTCCACGCTTCACTAATCGTTAGCGGAAGTTCAGGAAATAAATTTGAGGAAGCTGATATGAATGCTTCTGCACCCAATGCACAAGCTGGATATATTAGCTGAAAATATTATTTTATTAATACCTATTACAATTTTTTTTTTTTTTTTTTTTTTTTTTTTAAACATCATTTATATTTGAGACTCATGAATAATGTATAAAATTAATTTTGTTAGAATTTTTAATTGACAGAATTTCTATTTAAAGAAATTTTTAATTCAAAAAAAATTTTTCTGTTATCAAATTTTTGTTTGACGGAATTTTAATTTTACAGAAATTCTCTTTAATCAATTTTTTTTTTTATTTAAAAAATTCTAATTTAACCGAATATTAATTTATCATAGAGTTCTCATTCAACAGATTTTTAAAGTGATTCAAATTTTCAAATTACCGAAGTTTTGAATTCGTTCGAAATTATAAAAATGAACGAAAAAATAATAATATTTGCAATTTCGGTTAAAAAATGAAAAATTGGAATTTTAAGAAATCTATCAAATTAATAATAATAATAATAATAATAATAATAATAATAAAAATTTAGAAAAAAATGAAAATTCTGTAAAATTGTAATTTTTGGCATTTAAAATTTTTGACTCACTAAAATTTCTATTGAATTAAAATTATTTATATTTAATCTTTATTATCTTTACTATAAATATTTGTAAAAAAAAAATAAGTAAATAATTTACCTTTTCAGCTCCGACGAGAATTGTGTAATTTCCATTCCTTGCCTCCAATGCTTGAGCAACTTCAGATAAGTCTGTATTAGAATATTTAATACCAACAAGAGTTGGAACTAAATATCCATAATTTTCTAAAAATTCAGCAATGTTCAGACCTATATACAAAAAAAAAAAGGAGAGAGAATTTTTTTTTTTATTTTTCAAAATAATTATCTGGAAAATTATTTTTCCCTTATTGTATGCATTAAATTTTCAAAAAAGGTATACAAAAACAAAACCTTTTAAAATTAATAAATTTTTAACATACATTTAAAAAGAAATTTTTTTTTTTAAATCTGCAATTTTTGAAAAATTAATATAAAAAAATGTTTTTTAAAAAATTCGAAATCTAAAAAAATTATGGAACACTTTTTTGTATAGTACGAAAAGATAAAAAAAAAGAAAAAAATTGTCAAAAAAAAGTACCTTTTATTGGCGCTCGTTGTGGTGTGTGATAATACAGCAAAGGTGTATTCGGTGCTGCATCAGATACAAGTTTTAAATATGTCGCTAATTCCTTTTCATTAGAAGGTCTGAAATACAATTCTGGTAATGTCAACAAAGAATCGACATGTAATTTCTCCGCGTGTTTTGCCTGAATAAAAATAAATAAAATTAAAACTTTTTAGTTTTTTATTTATTTCCCTCTGCAGATGTAAATTTTTTTTTTGCAAAGAAAAAAACAAATTTATATAATAAATACTGATTTATTAATTATTATTTATTACTAATATTTAAAATTATTATAAATTTTATTTAATTTATTAATTATTATTATTTTATTAATTTTTTTTCATTACTATTTTTTTAAATTATTAATAAAATAATTTATTAATTAATTATTAATTAATATTTTTTTTAATTATTACTATTAATTGTTTAAATTAAGAAATTAATTAATTACTAATTAATTACCAACCAATTCTAAAACATCAGGAAGTGGAGCACCTCCAATATGAACCATTAAATGTAATTTTGTTGATTTTATCGCCTTCATCCATTCCTCAGCAAGTGATTTTCTTTCGGGAACAGACAAAGCTTGTCCTTCTCCTGTTGTTGCACCAACTGTTTTTTTTTTAAACAAATGTAATTGAAAACAAATTTTAATAAATTAAATCCTATCCAAAAATATTTTTTTTTAAAAACAAAAAATAAATTTTCGAAATAATATTAAATACAAAAAAAATTAAATAAAATATACGCACTAAGTACACCTGCAACACCTTTTTTTTCCAAATATTGAACATAATCTGGAATCACTGTTAAATTTAGTGATAGTGGACTAAAAACAAAAGAAAAAAATTTCAAATTAAAAAATTTTTTTTAAATTTTAATTAAATTTTTAAATTTTAGCAAAAAAACAAATTCATACTCTTTGTAATTATAAGGTGTCAATGCTGCTACGAGAATACCTCTTAAAATAAATTCCTCCACCTAAAATGTAATTTAAATAAATTATAATCAAAATGATAATTTAATAATAAAATATTCTCAAAAATCAAGGTTTTTAATATTTTTTTTTTTATTGAAAAATTAAAAAAAAAAAATTATAAAAATTATTGCAATATTATTTGAATATTAATATTTAACGATTAAAAAAAAAATTAAAAAAAATTAATATAGATAGTAATAAAAAATATAAATACAAAAATTAATTATTATTATTATTATATTATAAACTTATAAAATATAAATATAAAAAAAAATATAATTATTCAACAAATGTCTAATAAATAAGAATAATTGAACTTAACAAAAATATGAAAATTATTTATTAAAAATAGAAAAAAAGAAATAATTTTATTGTTTACACTTACCAACATCGTGACGGACTTTTTGTTTCTAGTTTTAAAAGTGAAATGACATGACATAAATGTGGACCTCGAATGAAAAGTATAAGAAACTGGTTCATTGCGCAAAAAATATAAGTATATATATAGTAGCGTTATAAAAATTACTAAATCACTTTACACATTCAAATCAATCAGAAAGTTAACCATATTATATCAATTTAATTATTTTTTCAACACCTCTGTAATTTTACAGTTTTTTTTTTCTAAATTCCAAATAATAATACAGAATTTAAAAAAGTGAAAGTTTTTCTTGAATTTTTGAAAAATAAAAATCACATTTTTAATATTAAAATAAAAGTAAAAAAAAATTATTATTTCCGTAACGATGTATTATTATTTTTTTTTTAATAAAAAAAAAATAACAATAATTATCAAAAAGAAATTTATTCCTCTCTAATTTGAATTAAATAAATTAACTCAAAACGTAAAAAAAAAAATAATTTTCACTTACAATTATAAAAGAAAAATAATATTTAAAATTTGTCGAAAAAAAAAAAAATTGTTTTTGGTTCAAACTATACAATTCTGAAAGTTATTTCATGTGAAAGTCAAATCCTTGAAGTAAATTGAGTTCTTAGTTTTATAATTGCATCTATTATTTGACGAGAGAGTAATAATAAACTATGTTGAAAAATGATAAAGAAAATTAAAAAAAAAAGAAAAATAGGAAAATTGAAAAAAATTAAAAGTTTTCAGTTATTTTTACTAAAAAAAAATAGAAAATAATTTTAAATCAAAAAATTATTTTTGTTCAATTTTTCAAAAATATTTTTTTCGATTCTAAGAATATTTTTTAGACGAATTTTCATTTTTCGAATTAACACATTTGTCAGAATTTCTTTTGTTAAAAAATTTTTAATGAACATAATTTTTAGATGCCGAATTTTTATTGTACAGAATTTTTAAAACGCCAAATTTTTATTTGTCCGAAATTTGCAAATGACCGAAAGATTTTGGCGCGTTTTTTGAAATCCACCAATAACGATTTTCTTTGACAATCATTTGATTGGTGAATTTTAAATATCGCGCCAAAATCGCGATTGTTTGTTCGGTCATTTGCAAAATTCGGCGTTCTAAGAATTTTTTACAATAAAAATTCGGTATCTAAAAATTCTGTTAATTAAACATTTTTTACAAAAGAAATTCTGACAAAATTGTTAATTCGAAAAATGATAATTTGTCGAAAAAAGTAATTTATATTTAATTAAATTCTTCAAAATGAAAATTTTAATCAATAATTTTTATGAAATAATTATGCGCGCGGAAAAAAAAATTAGAAATTTTACTGAATTATCTTTGCGGATATTTTAATATTATAATTTTATTTTTAATTAAAATTAAAATTTCATAATTATTTTTAAAAATAATTGGTTATTTTTAAATATGATAAAAATAAGAATTTTGACAAGAGACAAATTTTATTTCGCATTAAATTATTTATTGTTAATCAACGGACAGAATCAACTTCTACAATAATATACACGTAGATTCGAGATACGTTTTCAAAATAATGAAGCAGTATAGAAAAAAAAAATATATAGTCAACCTCTCGAAAATCTAAACAATTCATGGAATGCAATAATAAGACAATTTTCTTTCAAATACAATTTGCTATATTTATATAAAATAATTGAAATTCGCTAATGATTGACGCTAATAATAATAATAATAATAATAAGCAATACATGTAAACCTATTTTTTTTTAAACTTGTCACACTAATCGAAAATTAAAAACAAAAAAAAAATCTTCATCTCTCCCGATATACAATAAATTCTTTCCAAACAAAATTACGAAATTGATGTGCAACTATTTTTTTTTCGATTACACATTTAATGATATTTATATCATTTATTAGTGACATTTCTTTCGTAATATTGCGATATTTACCAAATGGGAATCTTGGAAAAATTATCTCTTCGATAAGATTATTCTCCATTTTTCCTTCATTGCAAATAATTTTTTTTTTTTTTTCATCTCTAGTTGGGTTTTTCTTTAAATTTTATATTTATATGGAGAATTGTGAAAAGTTTACAATTCCAGAATCAACAATTGATGGCAGATGGTGGATTTTGCTTGAGTTGCAAAATAATGGAGCGCATTCTGGAAACATCTTTTGAGGTCCTTGAAGATTTTGGATTGAAATCACAAAGTTTGGCGATCCTTTCCCATTCAGTTCCAGGCTCAACTTCGTCAGCCTCGGCAACAAATTGTTTCTCTGCATTTCTAATGTGAAAAATGAAAAGAGAGAGAAAAAAAAGATATAAATTTATCAAAAAAAAAAAAAAACACGAAGCAAGACTTTCATGCTATTTTTTACTCATTGTGCTCGAGAATGTCTAAATGCTCGATTTGTTTTTTCATCTACATATATTATTTAATAAAAAGAAGCATATTTAAAAGCGAAGGACATGCCTCCAGTAATAATAATTTCTTTTTTTTGGGTGGGGAAATGGTGACAAAATCGAAGGCAGCAAAAATTGATTTTTGAGATTTTTTTTTTTTTTGTATCAATTGAGAGATTATGTGCAAAACATAATTAAAGCATTAAAAAGGGGCATTTAAAGCGTGTTTCAAAAAGGGATTGTGATATAAAAAAAAAAAAAATTAGTTTCACGAAACTAATGTAATTTTACTTTCTGTGTCCATTTAATAACAATAAAATTTCTTTCTCGGGGTTTTTTCGGGTTCTTAAATTCGAATTTCATATTATTTTTGGAAAAAACAAAATGTCGGATCCAATATGACGGACATAAAAATGCAAGAAATAATTTAATCTTTATATAGCAGACCTCGTATCGACTTTAAAGCACAAAAAAAAGTCGATTTGTATTCCAAAAAAAAGTCAATTTTTTTTTTATTTTAACAAAATTTAATTGGTTAATCAATATTTTATTTTAAAATTTTAATTTAATAAAAATTTGTTTAAAATAGAATTTGTGCGTCAATTATTCTAATTCGAAAAATAAAAATTTGTCTAAAAAATAATTATATCATAATAAAATTCCTTCAAATCAAAATTCTAACGATATTTATGAGACAATCATGCGCTGTTAAGTTTACTGATATGGAATAACATTTTTCAAAATTCCATGACTTTATGAATTTTTTTTCCGTTTTGACAAAAAATTAAGTAATAAAATTTAGCGCCCTCTGTAATAAAAATATGAAAACAAGATTTTTTCATCAAGCGTCAAGTTTAAACAAATTTCAATATAAATATTTTATTAATTAAAAACTAGTGCTGAGTATAATAGCCCCAATTAGTGAGTAGAATAGCCCCCCCCCCGATTAATTCCTGAATTTGATTTCTATTACACATAATTTTTTTTTGTTCTTTTGTAATAATTTGGAATTAATCTCAATATAAGACTTGACAATAAATTAAAGAAAAACATTGTTTAAATTTAATATTAAAATTTTTTTAATTTTATGACCAGAGGCGCCCTCTGTAATAAAAATATGAAAACAAAATTTTTTTCACCAAGCGTCAAGTTTAAACAAATTTCAATATAAATATTTTATTAATTAAAAACTGATGCTGAGTATAATAGCCCCAATGAGTGAGTAGAATAGCCCTCCAGTTTATTTCTGAATATGATTTCTATTACACATAATTTTTTTTTGATCTTTTGTAATAATTTGTAATTAATCTTAATATAAGACTTGACAATAAATTAAAAAAAAAATTATTTAAATTTAATATTAAATGAGAATAATTCTATAATAAATGTTATCAAGAAAATTTATTTCTATTTCATAATCGAACTAAAATAGAAATTTTCAAAATTTTATTTAAAGTAAGACAAATTTCTAAAAAAAAATTTTATAGTTACATTTTTATAATATTTTAAAATCTGATTTAAGCAATTTATACGAATTAAAAATTTTGTCATAGTTTTTAGTTTTGATGGTTAAAAAAATATCAGGCAATACTTAATCAAATTTTACAGATTTTTAAATAAAAATTTTTTTTTAGTAACAATTTTGGAAGAGTTAAAGTTGAAATTAGAAATAATATTGAATTTCAATTAAGATTTTGTTAATTTTCAGACAATAATTAAATTTTAAAGAATTAAAAATAATTCATCAAATAATTTTAGATAACATTTTTTAAAAGTAATTGAATTTTCAAAGATTTATAATTTAGATTTTTGGAAATAATTGAACTTCAAATGATTTTTAATTAAAATTTTTTTTTGATGATTTCAATTACTAAAAAATTTATTAGAAATTTTAGACAAAAATACAATAATTTGAAAACTTTTTCAGTGAAAAATGGTTTCAAATAGTTGAATTTTCGAAAAATATTATAAAAATCACTGAAAATTATTGAATTTCAGGAGAATTATAATTTAAATGATTATATTTCAAAAAATTTTAAATGGATAATTTTAGAAGCTTTTAAATGGAAATTTTTGAAAATAATTGAATTTCAAAAGATTGTGTTAAATTTCAGACAATAATTATTATAATAAGAGAAATTTTTAGTGATTTCTGATGATGAAGAATTTATTAGAAATCACATCAAAAAATTGAATTTCAAAAGTTTTTAATTAAAAAATGCTTTCAGATAATTGAATTTTCTTAGAATATTATAAAAATCATTAAAAATAATTGGAAATTTTTGCAAATAATTAAATTTCAAGTGATTCTGAATTAAAAATTGTTGGTAATTTTATTTGATAAATTTTTTAAAAATTATAAATAATTATTAAATTTCATAAAAATTTTAATTGAAAAATAGTTTAAAATAATTTGAATTTGTGAAGAATTTCATTAAAATTATTAAAAATAATTAATTTAGTGAAGAATTTTAATTAAAAATTTGTTAAATAATTTTAATAAACAACTATTTAATGTATTTCATAGAACAAATTAAGTGAATAAGTCTTTGATTGGCAGAATAAATATGAAGGCAAATGCTGTTACCGACTTATTTAATTTTTTTTTTCTTGATACCTCATAACCTAGATTTGTTTCTAATTTGCGACAAACTTTTATATAATTTAATTTAATTTTAATTAAACAAAACAGCCTAATCGGGGCTCATGATTATCCCATAAAAATAAATAATTAAAATTTTCATTTAAAAAAATTTTATTAGATATAATTATTTTTTTAGAAGAATTTTTATTTTTCGAGTTAACGTTTATGCAGAATTTTTCATTTTTGAAACAAAATTTTACTTAACAGAATTCTTATATATCGAATTTTTATTGTAAAGAATTCTTAGAACGCCGAATTTTTATTTGTCCGAAATTTACAAATGGCCGAACAAACAGTCGATTTCAGCGCAATGTTTAAATTTCACCAATCAAATGATTATCAAGAAAATCGTGATTGGTGAATTTTTAAAATCGCGCCAAAATCGATTGTTTGTTCGGCCATTTGCAATTTTGGAGAAATAAAAATTCGGCGTTCTAAAAATTCTATTAAATAAAAATTACCTAAAAATTCTTTAAAATTAGAAATTCTGACAAATTTTAATTCGAAAAATAAAAATTTGTCTAAAAAATAATTTTATATCTAATATAATTGTTGAAAATTGTAACTAATGATTTTTATAGAATAATCATGCGCCCCCCTTTACGAAAGAATTTATTTGAAACCCGTTTAAGTTCAAATAAATAAATTATAATTTAAATGAATATAAACAATTTTTTAACATTAAACGAGTTATTTATATAGAACAGGCGTTGACTGGCTCCTAGACTAGAATATTTTTATTTTTCAAGCTACCTGCTTTCAGGCAACATAAACATTTTTCTTGTAATACATGCATAGCTTTCTCACTTATCTAAATAAATTTATTACTTTTTTTAATTAAGAACATATTTAAAGACTATAATTTTTTTTCAGCAAAAATTTTTGATCCACAAAAAAGTTAATTTGAAGCTTATTGCTTAAAAAAAAAATTTTGAAAACAATATTGTTTTCAAATTATAATTTTTTAAGGTACATAAACCTAGAAATAAATGAAATAATAATAATAATAATAATCTTAATTACAGTGAGCTTTACAAATTTGAATAAAGGCATTGCATGTGCAAAAAGTCATGCAAAATAGAAAATAAGTTTCTCAACTTACTTGGCTGACTCCCTAGGAAGCAAAACAAGAACGATAGGATTTATAAAAATATTTTTAAAATTTTATAAAATATATCAATAATTTACAATGAAAAAAAAATAATATTCGATTTAATTATTCGGTTACTTGACTATATTATCAAATAAATATTTATTTGTATTAAATAATTTTTAAGTCAATTAAATTTTATTTGTTTCAAATACAGAAATTATTGCTTCAAATGAAATTTAATTTAAATAAAAATTATTTGCTTCAAGTAAATATTTACTTGATAATAGTTCCAAATACCTGATTATTTGGATCAAATAAATTTTTTTTTCAGTGTATTATTTTAAAAATGAAGGTTTTTTTTCTGTTTTACTTCTTGTATATTTTAATATACAATATAATTTTGTCTAGATATAATTTTTGTGCAAATTTCTTGAGAAAGTTCAGAAACATAAATATTGTGAGAAAAAGTATTTTGAAAAAAAAAATCGGACTGGCTGATAATAATTAAGTTGTGTTATTTATTTTAAATCAATTTTTTAAAAATAAACTACTTAATATTTTTTACACAAATATTATAAAAAAAAACTTTGATTTCCTTTTTCTCAAAAATAAATTTTGAGGAATTATTATTAATTGAAGGTTTTTAATAACAAAAAATATATCGAGAAAAACGAATAAAAAAAATTATTGTTTTTTTTCTCAATCTATTCTGTACTGAACATTCTTAAAATTAATCTAAAATGCAATAAATATGATAAATTTTCAAATTTTATCTAAATTTAATTTAAATAATTTTTTGCCTATTTTTGGACATTTTTAACCAACGTTTAAAGTAAATCAATTATTAAATAAATTATTAAATAAATTATATCCAAATTAAAAAAATTACCTGTTGGTAGCTTTCGTTTTACTAATCGTCTCAACATGATGTTTATACCATTCTTCCAATTCTTTCTTTGCGACTTCCTTCCATTCTTGTTTCTTTTTCTCCTCTTCGGCGTCTTTGAAAAATAAAAACAAATCAAATAAGATTGCTAATTTTTTCCTATTATAAAAATAAATTTTTTTTTTATACGATTATGAAAAGATTAACAAAAAAAAAAAAAAAAGATTTTTGATAAGTTTTAAAACGAAATTAAAAATTGTTATTAATTATTGGAATTGGCATCAATACAATGTACTATTGAATTATTTATGTACATAAATAATTTATCCTGGAGTTGTAAAATAAATAAATATATTACTCTTATTATTTTGTAATTGAAAAAGAAAAAAATTTTATCGCAAAGTAATTATTTGTTTTTTTTTTCAGTGATCTGTTCTTAAAAACTTTAAATTAATGAAAATACCTTTCTCTTCTAATCTTGCTTTTTGCTCTTCTCTCCACTTTTTAATTTTTTCCGGTTCTTCTTTCATTGGTGGAGGCGGTGCTGGTACTTCCGGTTCGAGTTCAGGTTCTAGTTCTAGTTCTGGTTCTAAATGGTAATATTATTACTTATTATTATTATTGTTATTATTATTATTATTATTTTGGTTCTAATGTAATAAATAAGAACTTTAATCATCTAAATTCTCAATTATATTATTCTATTTTAATTATTATATTATTTAAAAAAAAAAGTCGAAAAAGTCAATTTTTTTATTTTGATTAAATTTAAATAATAATAAGCATTTTAATTTAAATAACTAATGTTATTAGATAATAAATTCACTTTATTAATTCGTTAATAAGAATAATTATATACGAATATTATCAAGAAAATTTATTTCGAATACCTATCTCAAAATCGAAGACATAAATTTTTTCAAATTTTAATTAAATAGAACAAAATTCTAAAAAATAAAATTCTGACAACAATTCAATATTAGAGTTTTTATTTGAAACTTTTTTGAATAATTGAATTTTTAAAGAAATATTAAAATTATTAAAAATAATTGAACTTTGGAAGAGTTAAAGTTGAAATTTTTAGAAATAATTAAATATCAAAAGATTTTGTTAAATTTCAAACGATAATTAAATTATACAAAATTAAAAATAATTTATCAAATAATTTTAGATAACATTTTTTAATTAGAAATATAACAGACAAAAATTCAATTTCAAAAGTTTTTAATTGAAAAATGATTTCAAATAATTGTATTTTTGAAGAATATTATAAAAAATCATTTAAATTATTAAATTTTTAAAGAGTTATAGTTGATATTTTTAGAAATAATTCAGGATGTCTAAAAACAGCTAGGAAAAATATTCCCTTCATTTTCCCTAACTTTTCACTGACTTTTCCCTGAACAAAATTACACTAAAAAAATTTTTATTTTGATCAAATAAAATTTATTTTGATACAATTAAATCATTTACCTGTTTATTATCCACTAATTTCATATGTATTTCAACCAAATAAATAATGTTTCGTAAAATATAAAATATTTAAGTGAAATAAATAAACTAATTGGGGACGTATAAATATTCTCAATATTTAATTTAAAAGAATTTTTACGGCGTCAAATCTTAAATTATCAAATTTTTATTTAGTCAAATTATATAAAGCAGATTTTCCAGTACAACGAATTTCAAATTAATACAATTTCAATTTAATGGAATTTATGTCAAGAAAAATTGCATAAAGAACAATTTTTTTTAACAAAATTGTTTTTTTTAGTAAATTTCGATTTATCAAAATATTTACTTAACAGAATTGTCATTGAATAAATTCACAATTAACAGAATTTCTATTTAACAAAATTCTTAATTAACAAAGTTTTTATTAAAGAAAATTTTAATTTCAACTAATTCTTATTTAATAGAATTCTCATTTAAGAAAAATTTTACTTAGTTCTTTTGTTGTCAATTTTTATAGACATAAATTTCGTTAAATTGAAATTATATTAATTTAAAATTTTTTAAAAGTATTAGAAAAAATGCTTTATAAGAGTTCTGTTAAATAGAAATTATCAGGCCACGGATCGATTTATAGGCACAAAATAAGTCGTTTTAGTCAATTTTATATTTCAAAAAACGTTGAAAAAGTCGATTTTTTTTATTTTAATAAAAAAGTTTTACAGATTTCTAAATAATTTTTTTTTTTAAATAATAATTTTGAAAGAGTTAAAGTTGAAATTTTACAGGACTAAAAATAATTTATCAAATATTTTTAGATAATATATTTTAAAATTAATTGAATTTTAAAAGATTTACTACACTTGAGATTTTTGAAATTAATTGAATTTCAAGTGATTTTTAATTAAAATTATTTGATGATTTCAATAAAAATTATATTAGAAATTCCAGACAAAAACACAATAATTTGAAAACCATTTTTAATTGAAAAATGGTTTCAAATAGTTGAATAATCGAAGAATATTATAAAAATAGTTATAAATAAATGAATTTCAGGAAAGTTATAATTGAAATTATTAAATTTGAAATTGAAAATTTTGAAAATAATTAAATTTTACTTGATTTTGGATTGAAATTTTTGAAAATTATTGAATTTCAATTGAAATTTTGGATAATAATTGAATTTCAAAAGATTGTGTTAAATTTCAGACAATAATTATTATAATAAGAGAAATTTCTAATGATTTCTGTTGACGAAGAATATATTAGAAATTACATAATAATAATGAATTTCAAAAGTTTTTAATTGAAAAATGCTTTCAGATAATTGAATTTTCAAAGAATATTATAAAAATCATTAAAAATAATTGAAATTTTTGCAAATAATTAAATTTCAAGTGATTTTGAATTAAAATTTTTTAGTAATTTTATTTGCTATTTTTTTTTTTAAATTGTAAACAATTATTAAATTTCATAAAAATTTTAGTTGAAAAATAGTTTAAAATAATTGAATTTCTGATGAATTTTATTAAAATTATTAAAAAAAATTAATTTAGTGAAGAATTTTAGTTAAAAATTTGTTAAATAATTGAAATAAATAAGATCTGAAGAAGATTTGCATTTTATACTAAAAAAAAACGTATTTTATTTAAAAATTTTGTAAAAAAAAAGTGGAAAAAGTCGCATTTTATTAAAATAAGTCGAAAAAAGTCGTAGTTTTGAAAAAAATACGGAAATAGTCGAAAATGTCGTATAATCCGAGGCCTAGAAATTCTTTTTAATCGAATTTTAGTTAAATGTAAATTGAAAATTTTGCATAATATAAAATCCACTTTATACAATTTTGCTAAATAAAAATTCGATAATTTAATATTCGACTCCGTACAAATTTTTATAAGTTAAATTTGGATATTAGCATTAATTAATAAATTATTCGTATTAATGAATAATTTACTTTATTTCAAGTTGAACCGATAAAATAAAATTGTATCAAAAATTTGTATCAAATTGTTGTTTTCCGTTGCTAAAGAATTTGATTAAAAATTAAAGTCAAAAATTGAACTTAAAAATTTTTTAATTAAAAAATGCTTTCAGATAATTTAATTTTCGATGAATAAATTATAAAAATAATTGAATTTCAAAAGAGTTATAATTAAAAATTATTAAATTTCAAAATGATTTAGATAATTTAAGATAATATTAAATTTTTGAAGAATTTCACAATTTTATATAATTTTAATTTTACATTTAGTAAAAAAAAAATTAATTTAGAGAAAAATTTTTATTAAAAATTTATTAAATAATTGAAATAAAGAAGAGTTGATGAAAATCTACATTGTATACTAAAAAAGACGTATTTTTTTAAAAAATTTTGTAAAAAATGTAAAAAAAAAAAGTTGAAAAAATCGCATCTTATTTAAATAAGTCGAAAAAAGTCGTATAATTCGAGGCCTGATATTTAATTATAAATATATACTGTATCTGTACAAAAAAGTCCAAATCAAAAGTAAAAAAAAATCCAATTAAAAAATGTTAACAATTACGTTGAATAAAATTGTCGTTTTAATCTTTTAATTACTTATGAGCATTCAAAAATAAAAAAAATCATTGAAATTCTGAAAAAATTTATTTTTCATTATCTTTAAATTTTTCAAATTTTATTAAATATTAATGATATTTTTTTTTTTTTATACAACTTTTACTAAAATAACGAAACAAATAAAATAAATCTAAATTTTTGAAGAAATAAGGTAATATTTTCTAGTTTGTTTAATTTTTCTGCTTTTAATAGATTGTAATCTATATTAATATGAAAATTAAATAACAATAATTAGGGTCAACCGGGGTAAATCCGAACGCTTTTAGTAAGTTTCAACAATAACATAAGTTTTTTCTTTAAAAAAAAAAAATACTTCCGGTATTCTGGTGCATGAAGTTGTTACTTTACTTCCATAGAACAATTTTATAGGGTAGCAAAAATTTTTGATAAATTACAATCGCAGGAAACTTAGCGTTCGTATTTACCTCGATACTTTGCAACTTTCCTAAAATACCGGGGTAAATACGATAATAAACCTATTATGTAATAATGCATCATATATAAATACAAAAATCCAACAGGTTAAAAATTTAAATGCATTACACAATTAAAACCTTCAATAACTTTATCAAATCATAACGGATTTTTGCAAAACTTGCTACAGAAAGTATTTTGGAGTGATTGAATGTAAATACAAAAATAAAAGTCAAATTTTTTAAATTCAAAATGGCGTACTTTCCTAAAACTTATTTTTAAAAATGATCAAATTTGCTAACCCTGAAACCCCCCGAGTAACAATTTTCGAGCGAATCCAATGAATTTTTTAATTCTCGTCCGCCATTTTGAATTTTGAAAAACTGACTTCAAATTGGTAATTAGCGACCCGAAAAACCGTAGAATACCAAATTTTATTAAGATCCTGAAAAACTTTTTTCAACAAACCATTTGGCAAAAAAATTGAAACACTCCTTCGAGAGAACAGAGATTAAGTTTCTGCTTATTAATTACTAACGAGGATACGTATAGAAAGAAAAACTTTTTTCTATGTACTTTTATAATGTTAAAATAATAGTGTAATGAAATAAAAACAATTTTGTGTGGCTCTGATGTAAAAAAAAATTATTGAAAATACCGTTCGGATTTACCCCGGTTTTCCAATTTTCCTGGGTAAATACGAACGGTCTGATATTATTAATAAAATTTTACAGAAGGCAAAAATGAAAAATAGTTTCTGTTCTAGTATTCATAACAAACAGTTATAAATAATAAAATAAATTTTTAGCTTCTTTTTCTTGAAATACGAGACAAAATACTGAAAGAGTGTCATCTTTGATTTTCAATCTTTTTTGCAATACTCGTTATCTTTGTTTATGCTGTTGCTAATTAACAAACGAAAAATGGGATAATACTTAGAATCTCTTGAAGAGGATCTGAGGTAAAATTTCTCATATCGAACTTATTTTTAAAAATTTTAATTAAGCTGAAATAATTAGCGTTCGGATTTACCCCCCGTTCGGATTTACCCCGGCTGACCCTACTGCAAAAAAGAGGGAAAAAAATTTTTTTTTTTTTGAATTACCATCGTCAATAGAAACAGGAGCAACATTTGTCATTGGAGGAATTTCAACCTCGAGTCCTGCAAGTTCATTTTGTTCTCGGGCTAAAAATTCTGCCGCTGGATCTACTTCTGTTGACTCAACAAAATTATCGCCAAAAGCATCCATATTTTTTTCTAAGAGAAAAAAAAATTAAATCATCATTATTGTTATTATTAAATCATCATTTAAAAAATCTATTAAACGAACAAAAATATGAATTTTTGATTCTGTAATAAATTTTTAATAATCTATCACATCGTACTTCTAATTATTTTAATCTGCTTTTACAAATTGCTAAAAATGCTAATTCTAAAAATGATCTTGAAAACAGAACAAGATCTAAGTGATTCGCTTCACGTACAATGACCCAAATATCCAATTTGAATAATAATTATAATATCATTAATAAAATAAAAGATAAAAGTACATATTGCATATTGTACAATAATAAATAATAATAATAATAATAAATTACTAGCAATCGTGAAATAAATTCATAACAATAAAATTAATATTTAAATCATTTATATAAATTGTAAAAAAAAAAAGTCCCACTTTTATTACATTCTATATTGTCATTTTTAGACATTAAAATATTTTTAAGAAAGATACTCAAATTGTTTCGAAACATTAGACGAAACTAATGAAAAGTTTATTGTAATAAGAGAAAAATTTTGCAAAAATTAAGACTTAAATATAAAGGAAATATTTGTTGTTGTATTATGTATATTATTATTATCACCATCATTCAAAAAATACCACAACTTCTACTAATTGTAAAATAAAATACTATAGTTAGTGTTACATTGTTATTTGAGTTTTTCCTCTTTAAAAATTAAAGAAATTAGGTAAAATTGAATAAAACAATGTTTACTTACGAGTTTTTAATAAATTTCAAAGTGTTGTTCGATAAGGAAACACCCCTTTTGTAGTATTAGGATTTTTACGTCAAATGTCAAATTCAGGTTAGAAACGTCAATAACGATCATTGATAAAATCTTATGAGAAAAGCAACTAACAATATTGTGCACGGATGTTTAGGCTACTTCCACAATCGCATGGTTGGTTTCCATTGTTCCCACTTGTCATTTGTTATAATTCTCGTCAACTACCGCACTCTCCTGTAGTGAAAATTTAGTAACTTTTTAAGGCCTGAGCAGAATAGAAATGTAACCCGAATCGTAATCGCAAACGCAACCGGAAGAATGAGTTAGAGAAGGATAGACATATTGTTTGTACTTCTCTAACTCATTATTCTGGTTACGTTTGCGGTTACGATTCCGTTTACGTTTCTATTCTGCGTTGGTCTTTACTTTTAGAATAAAATCACTAAATTTTCACTAGAGCAGGGTGCGGTAGTTGACGAGAATTATGTCAAATGGCAAGTAGGAACAATAGAAACCAACCATTCTACTTTCAATAGTTAAAAAAGTTTTTAAGGCTGCAGTCCCATGGCAGCGTTTTGCGTTGCGTTTTGTCACTAGACCATGAGTGTAAAAGAGATGCAGATATATGTTTGCTATGTTTACACTCAGGGACTAGTGACAAAACGCAACGCAAAACGCTGCCATGGGACTGCAGCCTTACAGAGAGCACTCCAAAGTAACGAACATGCCAATAGAAAATATTATAAAAAGAAAATTGTTTGAATATCTAAATATACACAATTGCATAATTAATGTATAATGCTTGTCCGGTTTGACGATATTTTGAAAAATCGTGACACTTCTATAATAATTTTATTAGTTTATGGCGTATGATGTAAAGGGCTGATGGAACATTTACACCTTCGGCAAAAAATTTTCTTCACTTTGCATTTTACGAAATACACTTACCTGATTGGTTGTACACAATGAATCAGATTCTGGACAACCAATCAGGTGAGTGTATTTCGGAAAATGCAAAGTGAAGAAAATTTTTTGCCGAAGGTGTAAATGCTCCATGAAGGTGTTTCCAGAATAGGTGCAAAAGCCAAGTCCAAGTGCCAATCTCATGAGTGCGAAAGAAATAGGTAGTCTATCTATCTCTCTTGCACTCATGGGACTTGCACTTGCCTTTTGTAACTATTGTAGAACCTCCATGAGTAGAATAGAAACGTAATCGCAAACGCAACCGGAAGAATGAGTTAGAGAAGGATAAACATATTGTTTGTCCTTATCTAACTCATTATTTCGATTGCATTTGCGGTTACGATTTCGTTTACGTTTCTATTGGAATCCAAAATCTTGTGTAACTACTCAACCCTGAACGCACTTGCGGCAACCATCTTGCTGTTTTGTCTCTTTCTTTATACATATGTTAGACAGAGACAAAATAAAAAATGGCTACCGCAAGTGGGTCGACACCAGATGACGTATCGCAGCTTTGCGGTTCCCAATACTGTGTTGACCTTTAAGGTGCTTTTATACCTCCAGTATTTTAGTCAAGCAATCGGCTGGATTGGATTTTCACGGTTGTATCACTGAATTTGATTGGCTCTGACAAATATTAGATTTTCACCGTGAAAATTGAACTTTTTTAGAGCCAATCAAATTTAGTGATTCTCCGTGAAAATTCAATCCAGCCGATTGCTTGACCAAAATACTAGAGGTATAAAAGTACCTTAAATTGGTTACGCCTCGTTATGATGTGGCGGCGCATAGAAGCTTCCGTATTTGTAGACTCAACTTAAAAGTTGTCTACCGGCTTGCATCCATCTTAAATTTTTCCCCCACCCAACTAGAAACATTATTTAATAATTAATTCTCAAAACGTTGGTAGCACTGATGCCACCCATTCTTTTCTCTTGGTTGAACTGTGTGTGTTCAACGCCATTTTGCTTTGTGTTCAGTGACAATTTTCAGTGTTGAAAAGTAGCGTCTAATTGATAATTATCGTTTTTGTTTTAATTTTATTTCTCCAAAACGTCGAACTCATACGTAACTATAATAATTATTTATTTTACAATTATTTAAAACGAAAATATCAAGTTATTTAATGACAAATGTAAAATTTTCATCAAGGACATAATACCATTCCCTCTTTTCATCATTATTAGAGGAAACTATATATATATGTATATAAGCTTAAACGATAAAATTGCCGGCATCATTTTTCATTTTTACGAGAATCTTCCATAAATTTATTTCAAATATTTACTCTAGCGATTATTATTTTTACTATTGACAAATTTTCATATATATTTTAAAAATTATTTTATAGTGTTTCTCTTTATACAATTTTTGAAAACTTTATAATTATGTACAATTTATATGATTTTGTGCATTTCACGAAATTAAATTAGTTTTATTTTTTTTATACGACTGAAAAATCAATTAAAAAATTTTATTAACTTATGATAAATTTTTATTATACAAATATATGTTAATTTTTAAAGTTTTTAAAATAAGTTTTCTGTTTTTCTTTTTATACAAAGGAAGAAAAAAAATGAATCATTTATTGATAATAATATATTTTTTTTTTTACAGAAAATGGTGTCGTCCAACCCACCGGTAAGATAATAATTTAAATAATTAATTTAATTTATTTTTTTTCGTAATAAAATTAAGCGCGTTTATCCACTGAAATGCAGATCTTCAGAAAAAAATAGTTAATTAACGTTTAAATAATTAAAGTAATATTATTAATTTTACTTTATGAACAAAGAAATATCAATTTTCAAGAAAAAAATTGAAATCAAAAAATTTATTTGTTTATACAATTTGCATAGGATAAAAATTTACCGTCACATTGCTTCTACAAAATTGTTTTAAAAATGATTCGATTTCAATGTAATATGGCTATATCTCATTGAAATCGAATCCTTTTTAAAAAAAATTCTGTAGAAGCGATGTGACGGGAAATTTTTTATCCTATGCAAATTGTATAAACAAATAAATTTTTTTAATTTCAATTTTTTTCTTAAAAATTGATATTTCTTTGTTCATAAAGTAAAATATATAACAATAAAATACTTGGTCTGTCCTTCTGCCCTAACTTGAAGTTGGCCTTTTCTGATTTTACGTGTTTTTTTTTAATAGTAATATTATGACGTCAAATTTTGACAATTCTTTTTCTCATTTTTGCCAAAGTTGTATAATTGTGTTTCCAAATTTCGGAATAAGTTTCTTTAAAATTCCAAATTCGAAAATTCAATTCACGAAGCTGAAGTACACAACGTTTACTAACGAAATTTTTTTTAAAGTTGTATATTGATTCAAAAATTGTATACAAATACAAAAAATTTATGATGGGAATAAAGATGCGCCAGGAAATTTCGTACAAGATAGTAATTTGAAAAAAATTTATTTTTAAAAATTAATTTTTAACGTACCAGGGGCCAACGAATACATATTAAATATTAATTATAAAAACACAGGCCTCGAATCAACTTAAAGACACCAAAAAGTCGTTTTAGTCGATTTATATTCCAAAAAAAAGTGGATTTGTTTTTTATTTTAACAAAAATATTTTACAGATTTTTAAATAAAATTTTTTTTTTTTAATAATAATCCTTTTCGAAGGGTTAAAGTTGGAATTTTTAGAAATAATTAAATTTCAAAAGATATTGTCAATTTTCAAACAATTATTAAATTTTACAGAACTAAAAATAATTTATCAAACAATTTTTGGAAAACATTTTTTAAATTTAATTGAATTTTCAAAGATTTAAAATTGAGATTTTTGAAATTAATTGAAACTTTAAGTGTTTTGTTATCAAAATTTTAAATGATTTCACTAAAAATTTATTAGAAAATGCGGACAAAATACAATAATTTGAAAATCATTTTTAATTGAAAAATGGTTTCAGATAGTTGAATTTTCAAAGAATATTATTAAAATAGTTAAAAATAATTGAATTTCCTTAGAGTTATAATTGAAATTATTAAATTTCAAAAAAAAAATAAATTTCGATGGAAAATTTTAGAAATAATTAAATTTTAGATGCTTTTAAATTCAAATTATTGAAAATTCAATTAATTTTGAATTCAAATTTTCGAGAATAATTAAATTTTATTTAATTTTAAATTTGGAAAATAATTGAATTTCAGTTCATTTTGAATTGAAAATTTTGGGAAATAATTGAATATTAATTGAAATTTTGGATAATAATTTAATTTAAGTTCATTTTTGATTGAAAATCTGGTTAATTAATTTTGAATAGAAATTTTAGAAAATAATTGAATTTTATTTCATTTTAAATTGAAAACTTGGTAAATAATTAAATTTTAAATTGAAAATTTTTGATAATTATTGGATTTTTAATTGATTTTGAATTAAAATTTCGGGTAATAATTGAATTTTAGTTTATTTTGAATTGTAATTTTTAAAAAATAATTCAATTTTATTGTGCTATTTTTTTTTAAATTATAAACAATTGTTAAATTTCATAAAAATTTTAATTGAAAAATAATTTTTATATAATTGAATTTGTGATGTATTTCATTAAAATTATTAAAAATAATTAATTTAGTGAAGAATCATTTAAGTTCAAAATTTGTTAAATAATTGAATTGAAGAAAATCTGAAGAAGATCTACATTTAATACTAAAAAAATGTATTTTATTTACATTTTTTTTCAAATGTAAAAAAATATCGCATTTTATTAAAAAAAGTCGGAAAAAGTCGTATAATCCGAGGCCTGTAAACATATAATTTTCATTATTATCATTTAATATGTAATAATATTCTAATAAATTAAATTATTATTGATAATATTAATCTTTAATTTCTTTATAACAAACAATTAAATACTCAATTTGGCGCGCTTGCGCGCGTTTAATTTTGCTAGTTAATAATATTATTTTAATTATTTAAATGTTAATTATTTTTTTCTGGAGGTCTGCATTTCCATGGATAAACATCTTTAAATATTGTAGCTCGATATATTTTGACGTTATTTTTCTGTTGATAGGGTCAAAATTTGTTAAATCAATAACGTTGAGCTAGATTAAAGTTTCTTGAACAGACACCATATTTGCTTAATTCAATGCAAGTTTGGTCGATTTCAAAGAAACATTTTTTTTTCGTTGATTGTACAAATATCCCATAAAATTTGTTAGTTAGAATTTTCATTTTTGAAATAATTTCAATAAATAAAATTTTATTGACGAATTTTTATGTTTTGAATTTGCTTTAAGTTGAATTTAAATTAATATAAATTTTTATTTAACATAATAATCAGGACGAGGAATTTTTGGAATACATGAATTTTTGTGGTGTCGAACTAAGAATTTTCGAATTTTTATTTAGCTGAATATAAAGTAGATTTTATTATAAATCGAATTTTCATATGGAAGAATTTCTATTTAACTAAATTGTAATTTAATAGTATTTTCCATTTAACTGAATTGAAAATTTTCATAAAAAATTATTTTTTATTTATTTATTATTGTTCTTTTATGGAATTTTTATTTATTTGATTATTCACTTAACAGTATTTGTATTAACTAAATTTCTATTTAATAGAATTTCTACATAAAAAAATTTTTATTTAACTAAACTTTTAATAAAGAAAATTTCTATTCGACCTAATTTTTATTCAATGTCACCTAATAGAAATTCTAATGGAGTTTCGGTGAAATAGAAATTTTACCAATTGTTAATTAATTTAAAAAAAATTCTCATAAAATTAAATTTCCATTTAGCTCAATTTTCAAATAGCAGAATTTCCATTTCATGAAAACTCCTTTTGATCGAATTGTCATTTTATAGAACTTTTAAACTACACGGAAAAAATTAATTCAGTATATTTTACAAAACTGACGGAGTAGCGGATACAGCTCTTTACGAAACTGAGTTTTGTAAAATGTGATGGATATTTTCGGATAAACTACAGAAATTTCGTTATTTATACTGAATATTTCTGTAGTTTATCACTCAGTTTCGTAAAGAGCTGTATCCGCTACTGCGTGATAGTTCTGTAAAATCTACTGAATTAATTTTTTCTGTGTACGAATTTTCCATTTGATCGAAAATGAAAATGTCCAGGAAGTTAGACCAGTAAAGTTAAAATTTTCAAAAATCAAATATTAAGCTAAAATTCATTTTTGAGAAAAATCAAAATTCCTAGTCAAAAAAAAACTTTTATAAATCTAAAGAGTTAAAGTTTTCAAAAAACAAATTTTGTGCTAAATTGTATTTTTTAGTGCATAAATTCATTTTTTTAAACTCAAAATTCTGGGCAAAAAAAATCAAAAAAGTTTGCCCGGAATTTCGAGTTTTTTAAAAAATGAATTTATATGGATTAAAGAGCACAATTCAGAACAAAATTGGTTTTTTTAAAGGTTAAACTTAGAAATATAAAAAAAGTTTTTTTGATTTTTTTGTCCGGAATTTTGAGTTTTTCAAAATATTAATTTTTACACAAAAGAGCATTATTAAGGAGGAATCGGACAGACAGTCTGAACAAAAGTTACTCCAAATGCATTATTTCGATTTTTAAAATAGAAAACATATATTTTAGTATAATTTTTTTCAGACGAAGATGTGTGCAGAAATATATTTTAAACAAAATGAGTCATTAAAAATTGAAATTGGATGAAAATTATAAAAAAAAATTGACATTTTGTTTAAAATATAATTCTGCACACTTCGTCTGAAAAAAATTACACTAAAAAATATGTGTTTTCTATTTCAAAAAGCGAAATAATGCATTTGGACTAACTTTTGTTCAAATTGTCTGTCCGATTCCTTCTTAAGCATAATATTTGTTTTTTGAAAATTTTTACTTTACTGGTCTAACTTCCTGAATATGAACAAACAACCAACAGAAAGATTTCGTCACGAATTTAAAAATTGGCCAATCGCAATTTTTTAAAAATATTTTATTATTAGTGAACTTAAAAATTTGCGACTAAATCTTTCTGTCAATTGTTTATTCGGCCATTTGCAATTTCGATCAGATGGAAATTCGATGTTTTTAAAGTTATTTAAATTGACAATTAATTTGATCAAATGGAGTTTCGACGAAAAAGAAAATTGTACCATTTGTAAATTGACCTAATTAGTAATTCTGTTAAATAATAATTTTCGAATGAAAATTCGGCAAGATGAGACTAGCAGAAATCACAATTGTTTATACTCGTAAATTATTAAAATTAAATAAGTTAAATTTGCATTTATACTTGGATTCCTTTTAAACATTAAAGAAAACACAGGTAAGATGATTTTAGCGTTTAAGTGATTGAATTTTAAATTGACGCGCGAAATTTATTCAGTTATTATTTAATAATTTTTTTAGTTGTAAAATTAAAAAAAATTGTTCTGAAAGAGATTTATTCCTCTCATTTTCATTGATATTTTAAAAAAAAATCGAACAAATGCGAGTTACACTCGCATTAAAACCGAAAGTTCCGTACCCTTAAATCTAAAATTTGAGGTGGTCAAAGTGTGAAGGCCGATGGAAAAATTCCAATTTTGCTTAATTTTTCCTGTAATGTAAGCATGAAAACACATAGATAGACACATAGATAAAAAATTATCAGTTTTTCTTTGAAAACGCTATGATAAACAACTCTAATCGCGCTCACTATATTTTTTTTGTAATCTACACGTACATGGAGGAAAATGGTGCTGAGATTATATTAAAAATTCCTATGAAATAGTAATAATTATACGTTTCTAGTAAAAAAATTTATTAATTGTAAAATTTACTAAGCATGAGTAAATATTACTATTTTCTGGTAGTAAAAATTACTAATAGTAATTATTACAATAGTGGTTTTTAAAAATCGTTACAGATATAATAAAAATTGCTTTAGGATTTCTAAATTTTATAACGCCATAGTAAATTTTATTAAATTTTGTATTACTTTTTACATTCGACACTTTTTAAATATTACTCGTAGAAATTCTAATAAGTAATACTGCGAAATATAAAAATTGCTACTGCAAGTAAAACTTACTATTGCAGATCAAACTTTTTACTAATAAAATAGAAATCCGTACCACCACTACTATACACCTGTGTGTGTGTGTGACGACGTCACTACGGTCATGCGCAGCGTTCGTAGCCCGGCGTCAAAGTATGCAATTCATGTATAACGAATAAATACTTAATTTCTAATTAATTATTCATTAATATTAATAAAAAAAATATTATAACAATTATTATGGCTATAATAATAAAATAAATTAAAAAATATAAAGAAATAAACTCATTAAGATTATATATAGTAATTATAATTATTATTTGCTTCAAAATTGTAGTTGTTGTAGTGGTACGGATTACTACTTTTAATAGTAAAAATCCTTACGAAATAGTAATAAGTGCTCCGCTTCATAATAAAAATTGCTTCGCTAGTAGTATTAATTGCTCGGAACATTTTAAATATTACTCAGCTTTTAATAAAAGTTATTATTTCTTGAGCAGTTCTCAAATTACTATTTGAAAGTACTAATTTTTAATAGAAAATGTTACAATTATTACTCTTTTTTTTCACCGTATAAAAATACGTAAAAATGTATAAATTTTAATCCCTTTAGATAAAATTGTCTTCTTTTTTTATTCGAAAAATCCATGATTTTTTCTAAAAATAGTAGTTTTCCTTAAAAACAATATGATCATCAACTCCAATCGTGCTCGCTATATTTTTCCTGTAATCTACACGCCAAAATAAAATAAAATGCAACCTGCGTTTTGGCAGGTCCACCAAAAAGAAAGAAGCTTTTGCTATTTTAGGTAGACTATATGTCGTACTTCGCGGGCATCAATTTTATGCTTTTAAAGTACGTCACTATTCTGCCGTGCGAAGTAAAAACTTAGTTAAGTCATATTTTGTTCGAACGGGGAAAATGACGAAAAACTGTTTGTATTTAAAAACCTAATGTAATATAAATAATTCTTTAATCTAACATCACTTCCTAGGTAATTTGATAGAGTTCTTTTTAATTCTGAAGTCAAAAGTTAATTATTTAAACAAATTATATTAAATAATTGACTTACGTTTTATTTTTTAAAAGCAAAACTTCACGGAGAGAAATAGATGGTAAGAACTTGTGATCTTAAGATGGTAAAAAGTAGATGTTATCCGGTACTATCATTATGCTATTCGGTACTATCAAAAATGTTACAAAAAGTATTGTTATGTTACCCACTACAATCAAAATGTTACTCCGTACAATCTGGATAGTAACTGATAGAATCTAGACAGCTGTCCGTATATGTAAGATCAAATATGGTACCTGGTACTATCTAGATAGTACCCCTTACCATCTATTTCTCTCCGTGTTGGTTAACTTGAGTTACGTAGTGCTTTTCGGAAAGGTAGGCGAGCGCGAGCCTTCGTTCAGAAGTAAGAACTTAGTTAACTCAAGGTAAATGCATGGGATTCCGAATTCACCCGACGAAAATCCGAACTTTAACGAAGTTGACTTACGCTTGCTCCCATCGAAATGCAGTGTCTGGTTCATGCCACTTTTCGAAAGAGAAAACACTCAAGTCGAGTTAACTAAGTTTTATTTCGTATCTTATGCTCGATCTCAACGTTTCCTACAATTTTTGGACTACTCAACTCGAGTTAACTGAGTTTTTATCAAGTATTCTTTCATTTTCTGGGTTTTTGTAGATTTTTAATAACTATTTTTTGCAATAAATAATTAAAATAAAAACTTTTTAATAACGTAATCAGACGCAGTTTTTTCTTACGAATCCATTGATACCAAAAACACATTTTTGTCAAAAATATGACTTAACTAAGTTTTTACATCGTACGGCAGTATTACTATAAGATTATAACCATTATACTTATTTTGTATGGACTTACTTTAAACTAAAAAAGCATTATTTCATACTTTAATAGGTAAACGAAATTATATACTAATAAAGGATAAAGCAGTTTGGTGCTAAAATAGTTAGTTTGTTTTTTCCGTGTAGAATTATCAAAAAAAAAAAATGTAAATAATTATTTTTTATAGCTATGCCGATGTACCATTTAACTGTGTGGAATATATAATTATTTTTTTTATCATTTTATGGAGAATTTCCTTGTGTTCAGTTAGCGGTGTAGAATTTTCTTGTATAGGAGTAATCGCAATTTTTAATTCGACACCTCAAAAATCCTAAGTTCAATGTGGGAAATATTAATGCATCGCGAAAATTGTAAATTATAGAATCAATCTAATATTTGATGATTTCATTAAATTTTATAGAGGAAGACAAAAATCTTCGTTGGACGACTACCAGAAAATTGTCGAAATGACGAGCTTCGTCAATTATTCACTCGATTTGGAGATGTGACCGAGTGCGATGTAATGAACCGTTATGGTTTTGTACATATGGCACGTGAAGAAGACGCGGCTGCCGCAATCAAAGCGCTTCACAACACAAATTTCAAAGGTGCCACGATCAATGTTGAGCAGTCCACTGGCAAATCAAGAGGCGGTGGTGGAGGTGGCGGCGGTGGTGGTGGAAGACGAGACGATCGCCGTGGTGGTCCAATGAGAGGAGGCCGAGGAGGTCGTGACGGAGGACGAGATAGTCGGCCCGGTCCGTATAACGACAGGAGAGGTTTGTTGAGTACCGCGACTTTTGTTATTGTGTCAAATTCTTCGAAATTTTGTCATTTCTTCAAAAAAAAAAAAAAAAAAAAAAAAAAAAAAAAAAAAAAAAAAAATGGTGCAAAAAGAAAGAAAGAAACAAGCACTTTTATCATTGACAATTTTATTTCGAATCAAATTCACGTTTCCGTTGTAAGAAATCGGGTTTTTGTAAATAGGGGTTTTTTTTTTAATTATATGCGTTTGTTTTGTTTTTGAATCGTGCTCAGGCATTATTTTTTGATGTTGACGTGAAAAATGAGGATTGTTGTCTTTATGATGCAGGAGGTGGTGGAGGCGGTGGTGGTGGCGGTTATCAGGACTATAACCGAGGCGGTGGTGATTTTAGTGGTCGAGGTGATTTTAATCAAGGCTATGGAGATCGTGGGGGTTATGGTCAAAATGTTGGCGGTGGTGCGCCAATGGGTGGATACACGTCGGCAGCGCCAATGGGCGGAGGTTATGGGCCATCAGGTGGCGCTGTTGGCGGTTATGGTCCACAAGGAACTGCTGACTATGGCCGACAGGACTATGGAAGAGCAGACTTTGGTGCAAGAAATGACTATGGTAATCATGGAGGTTAGTATTTAATTGAAAAGAATGAATAGCAAAATGGAGGAATGAATATCTTGGAGAAAGACAGTTACTATTTTTGCAAAAGACTATATGATGCGAAAATTGTTTCAAGTCTGGGGTCCTATTCTCGAAATCATTCGAATATTGTTCGTATGCGAGCAAATTCGATGGGTAAGTTTCGTGCACGAAGCAACAACCGTATTCTCGAGCACCATTCGAAACTTCGTTCGACGATCGTTCGTAGACGAATAGGTTGTACAGTGTTGCCGTCGTTTATTTCTAGTGACTTTCCAGTGTAATTTTTTTGAACCAATGAAATTACTTATGATATAAGAAATATTTATTGACTGCATCATCATTGTTATTATTATTATTATTACTATTGTTATTATTATTATTATTATTATTATTAGTATTATTATTATTATTATTCTCATTATTGTTATTATTATTATGAATGAAACTCTATAATTGATTACAATTCGAAACTTTGAATCCCTTTTAATATATGTACATAATATTATTAAATAATACTACTGCGCATGAGCAGTACCAAAATTCGAACACGAAACTGTTGCTTCGAGTGGTTAGGACCACTCGTTGCATTTCACTCGAATCGTTTCGTCTATGAACGCCTAGTGAATAGTTCGAGAATACAGTTTTCGACAAAGTTATTCGAAAGTCTTCGATTCGTGCACGGAACTCATTTCGAGAATAGCACCCCTGGAGAGATTCTTTCACGTTAATCGTGAGTTCCCTGGCGATTTTGATTTAACGAAACTTAAACCAGCTGGGTTTATTTTCGGTTAACTTTCGATTATTTTTTGGTTTCTTCAAAAAAGACTTGATAAATCAACTAAATATGAAGGTAAAATGCATTTTGAGGGGTAAATAGTTTACTATAGAGTTGATTCTTATCAAAACTACAATATATAATGTAATAAATAATTATTTATTACAGATAAAGTTTGGCCTATGAATTCTCATCTAGTATTCAATGGACTTTTTTCAAATATTATTTTAATCATTAAAGTCTGAACAAAAAATAGGTTTATATTTATAAAGGAATGCAAAGTACATCAATTTCAATTATTATTAGTACTAATTAATTAAAAATAATTAACATTAACTTTTAAACTAAGCTCGAATCAAGTTATTCTAATTTTTTCATTACCGTATGCGGTCGGTAAGGTAGTTTCTTTCAACTTTTCAGGCAATATTAAAATTCAAAAAAAAAAGAGGGCGGCGGGTCAACATAACCTCAAAAACCTTTCAAAATTAAAAAATTGTTTTTAACGCAAACAAAAATATAATAAATATTGATTTCAAACAATTTTAGAAGATCTAGATTTACTCCTTTCGGAAAAAATTATTTTTTTCCAAAATATTTTGTCAATAATTATTTTTTTAACATTTAGTTTTTTTTTCTTTTAAATCAGACAAAAGTTGCAATTTTTTGTTTAGATTATATTGATTAAGAATGTTCAACGGTCTCTGGAATTTTTTGTCATTTTATTATCGTCCTATAAAAACGGCACTGAACGTGAAAATGATAAACATTGATTTTAAAACACTATATTCTCGAATTCTGAAAAGTTTTTATAAAATCGGACTACGTCACAAGATTTCTTATCTTATAAATTTCCAAAATCCAAAAGATTTTTCAAATCCATGCAAAAAAGCGATCGTAAAATTGGAAAGTAATATAATGTTAGCTTTATTACGTCTTGCCGCCATTAGATGGCAGAAGCATGCAGGGAGCACAAAGTCGCAGCTGTCATTATTATTACTTTTCTATTTCCTATTTTGCGATCGCGTATTTGCGTGGATTTGAAAAATCTTTCGGATTTTTTCTCAAAAATTTGAATTCAAAATTAATTGAATTTTCAATAATTTTAATTTAAAAGCATCTAAAATTTAATTATTTCTAAAATTTTCCATCGAAAATTTTTTTTGTTGAAATTTAATAATTTCAATTTTAACTCTAAGGAAATTCAATTATTTTTAACTATTTTAATAATATTCTTTGAAAATTCAACTATCTGAAACCATTTTTCAATTAAAAATGATTTTCAAATTATTGTATTTTGTCCGCATTTTCTAATAAATTTTTAGTGAAATCATTTAAAATTTTAATTACAAAACACTTAAAGTTTCAATTAATTTCAAAAATCTCAATTTTAAATCTTTGAAAATTCAATTAAATTTAAAAAATGTTTTCCAAAAATTGTTTGATAAATTATTTTTAGTTCTCTAAAATTTAATAATTGTTTGAAAATTAACAATATCTTTTGAAATTTTTTTTCGGATCAAAGGAGAAATATTTGATCGATGTGAATAATTAATCGTTTCAGGTATGTGCGATTATTCGGTAGTTGGAGGTGGAATGGGAGGTGATTTTAATAGAGGTGCACCTGGTCCAGTCGACTATGGACGAGTTGATAATTTCGGAGGTGGTCGCCCAGTAGATTATGCAGCTAGGAACGATTACGATCGCAGTGGCGCTGGACCAATGAGAAATGGAAGTGGCGCTGTCGCTGCCAGTGGTTACGGTACTGGATACGGAGATGTTGGTTACGATTCAAATTTCCAGTAAGTTTTCTCTTGAATGCTTTACTCTTTATTTTAAAATATATTAACGGTTGTTTTTTTTTTTTTTTTATTACACTGCTGCTCTATAAGTTTTGACATTATTTTATCTCTTAAATAGTCAAAATTGTTAAATTTTTTTAATTTAACAAAATGAGCTAGATTAAAATTTCTTGAACAGACACCATAATTGCTGAATTCAATACAAATATGGTCGATTTCAAAGATACATTTTTTTATAATGATACAAATATTCATAAAATTAGTTGCGGAGAAAAATGTATGTAGGATTAATAAAAAAAACCAATTTAAATTATTTTAAAAAAAAATTGTTTTATTAAAGACAAATGAGTGGAGGTCCAAGTTACAACACTGGCCCAAGTTATAACACTGGGCCTGGACCCCAAGCAGATATGTTTAGCAGAAGAGCTGGAGGAGCCGTCCAAGGTGGTGGTTATCAAGTTAGTGCAGGGTAAGATATTTTCACTTATTTTCTATTTAAAAATATTACTGTAAATTAAAAACTATTTGTTTAAGGCGAATCTTTCGATAAGCGATCATTTTTGTTATTTAATGCAGAAAAATGAGAATTTTTTAAAAAATTTTAATTAAATTCTAGTTTAAAGTATAAGGGGTAATATTCTATCATTTTGTAAATTTTATTTTAGAAAATAATACGGAGAAATATTACTTAAGTTTGGAATAATTTTTGAACACAATTACAATATTGAATTAGTAAAAGTTAAAGAAAAATATTTTTTTTTTCTTTCACTTAGGTATGGTGAAGCTTATGATAGGCCTGATCCTTATGGACCACCTCGTGGAAATGGCCGGTAAGTAAATGTACAATACAAAAATTTGTTTTATATAGAAAAAAATGGCGCTCGACGCAAAAATATCGTATCCGATTAATTTTGTAAATGAAGAAAAATTCTGTGCTGCGTAATTCACATGCGATACTTCTCCATCTTAATCTCCGATCGCGAGATGCATAAATCAAAATGAATGCGCCAAACCTGTATAAATAAATTTTTTTTAAAAAAAAAAAAAAAAAGTATAAGGTGTAACATCTTGAAAAAAAAGTACGAATCGATATGCAGCTTGAAACTGTTTTTTATATTTCAAAAAAAAAATTTTTTTCTAAATGAAATATATTCGTATTTTTCGAATTAGAGAAAATGCATTCTTTTATTTATAATTATTTTTATTATATACAAAAGTTTTTTCAGCAATTTAAAGAAAAAACGGTTTCAAGTTTTTTTTTTTTTGGAAAAAATGTGATCAAGCGAAACGCGTGGAGTTTTTTTTTTTAATTCGATTCTTGAGAATAAATTTTTTTGCGTGTTTTTTAAAAAGATTTTTTGCGTCTAAACACGATTGACAATGACAAAATTAACAATATTATATTTCTAAGCGAATTTGGTTTTCTTTTCTTTTTGGCGAAATTTTACTGCATTTTTTTTTTTTTTTTCATTCAATAATGCGAGAAAAAGAAAAGTCAACGAAAAGCGAGAGACTTGTAGAGATAAATAGTAATCGTTAACTTCTTTAGATAACAAATTTATTGAGAAAACTTGCGATAAGAAAATTTTATTATTTTTTTTTTTGCGAAATATAAAGCGATCATTAAAATTGAATTTAATAGCGTAATAAACAAAATTTTATTATTAATGTCATTGATTGCCGACTGGCGTTAATTTATCAAAAGTTTGGGTTTAATTTTTATTTTCTAAGAAAATATTTTTTCTTAACAGTGGTGTTGAATTTCAATTCATTTGTTTGTGTTTAAAAACAATTGAGAATCATTTTTCTGCTTGTGCTAACTTTCTATATTTTTTAAAAAAAAATTTTGTATTAAAATCTTTTGTTGAATAATTAATTTTAACATTTTGATTTTTTTTTTTGCTTTCAGCTTAGACAAAAATCCCAATTTTTATTTAATTTTATTCAGTTTTTATTTTATTATTTAAAGTTACAATTTTTTTTTATAAATTTAATTTTAATTTTTTTTTTTTAATTTTAACGAATTTTATTTTGAAAAAAAAGAAAGCTTCTTTTTTATGCAACTGAAAAGTCAAGTGTATTGATGTATTTAATATGTATTTTTTTTTTTAATTTTTTTTAATATCAGAATTTCAAATTAATTGAATTTTTTATTTGTCCAAATTTTTATTTATACAAATTATTGTTGTTGACCGAAATTAAAAATGTCCGAACAAAGAATCGACATAAAGATTTTGTCGCGAATTCTTCAAATTTCTAATTTCTATTTCGATCAGTTTTCAAAATTCACGCCGAAATCTGTCTGTTTATTTGATTAATTATTGAAAATTCGATGTTTTGTGAATTCCATCGAAGAACAAATTCATTAAATAAGAATTGTTTGAAATAAAAATTCAGCAAATTAGAAATTCTTGCATTTAAAAGAACGATTCACTTAAAATTATGTCAATTAAGAATTCTGCTAAATTAATTAATTTTCATTTGAATAACTTTTAAATAAACAGTTAAGTAAAGTGAAATGTAAAATTAAAGTTGATGCAATTTTTTTTTTTTTTTTATTATAATGATCGTTGGCACAGGCATAAAATTAATTTAAAAAAAAAAAAAGAAAAAAGTAAATTTTATTTCCAAACTTTTGGCGGAAATTTAGGCGTAAAAAAGACAGAAATTTAAAAGTATTGTATAATGAAAAATTATATTTTCTAGATATTGTAATGAATTTATTTGTAAATTATAGTTAGGATGAATTTTATGATGATAATGATGATAGTAATTATAATAATTGAGAAAATAATGGTGTTACATCTTATACTTTGATTTTTCTTCGCTGAGTAGACGTATATAAATAAAAAAAAAAACAAAAAAACAAAGGACGATTAATAAAAGGAATTTTTTGATTTTGTGACCTTTTAGCTTCCCAGGTCCGGCAGACGGGATGCCTCCGAGGTACTAAAAAGTAAAAAGTACCGCAAAACTTAGAAAGCGAACACGCAAATGAAAAAGTGCGCCGATTTCTATACACACACAAATATTACAACCGCAACAGATTATTATTTGACAAGAAATAATTTTCAATAGACACACTAATTTATAATCTCTTTTTAAAAATTAAGAAATATATATATTAAGGTCCTGTTCTATTAATAATGAAAAAAAAAGTTCAAGTTGCATTTGAATATAATTTTCATTTTGCAGCTATATTTTTTTTTTTTTTTTTTTTTTTTAATTATAATTGTACAATTCATAATGAATTATAATATTTACAATTTTTCTTTTTTGCAATATTCCATTACTTAGAGAATTTATTCGTCTAGCCACAATTTTTTTTCTTTTGTTTGGGAAAAAAAACCAGAGTTTAGAACTTGTATGTTTTATGTGTAGAAAAAAAATATATTATTCTATTTCTGGAAAATGTTTATGTACCATCAGATTAAATAAATTTATCAATATAGGAAATTTTGGGTTTTTTTTCGATCTATTTATAGATTACTTTTTACATTACACACTGTTTTTAAAGTAAAATTTTTATTTTGTTTTTCAATTTTGAAATTTAAATTTAATTTCTAATTGAAAAAAAATAGTTTAGTTCAAATATTTTCTTGAAAAGATAGTTTAAACAGCTGTTTTTATAAAATAATGTAATTGAAAAATTAAAAAAAAGAAATTTAGTCCCTCTAATCCTAATTTTTCCTAATTCTCTTTTTTATTTAATTACTTTTTAACATTTTAGTGCAAGAAAAAAAATTGCTTTTTTTATTTGTTGTATATGCAAAAAAAAAAATAAATAAATCCTATGAAGATGAGAAGATTTTGAAGTTAGGGTTCGTTCGTTAAAGAAACAAAAAAAAAAAAAAAAAAACGAAAAACAAATTGAAAAATCTTCAGCGTTGCTGCGAAATCGTTTGCAAAAAAAAAATCAATGCAGATTAAAACACAAAAATCAACTGGCGACACGTGTCAACGTTAATTTGGAGAGCGATTCGACGATTTTGCGTATGGATGACGATTACCCTAAACGGATTGCGTGCCGCCAATTTGCGTTTGCGAATTCGAAGCCGATGAGCTTTCAATTGACGAAGAAGGTATGTTAATTAAACAAAAACAAACAAAAAAAAACGCGTGCGCTCTTTCTTCTTATTTAAACATTTTTTTTCTTTTTTCTTAAAAAAGGGGAAAAAAGATTTCTATTTGCTGTGTGTGTGTGTGTCGATGCGATTGATATAAAACTATCAATTTCATATTTAATTATTCTAATTATTTATTCTTGATCGAGCGAATCATCGACAATAATAGTTTGTCAATGATGCGGCTAGGACGAATTTAAAAAAAGAAAAATCGAAAAAAAAACTCTTCTAGTTTTTATTTGAAATCATTTCCTCACATTTTAATATTAAATCATTGATTTTTTTTGTATTATTTGTAATTTTATTTTTCATGGAAATTTTTCCTATCCGTATCTCAAGTTTCAAAAAGTGGGGGGTTTTTTTTTTATTTCAATTAATTAATAGTTTAAAAAAATTATTAATTTGATTAATTAATTTTAATCTTTCTGTCAAAAAATTCCTAAACTGTCTCAAAAAAAGGGTTATTTGAAAACTGTTCTTTTGAATCAATTTAGAAATAATGCTCCATATGGAAATTTAATAAAAGATGAGAATAGCAAAAAAAAAAAAAATTATAATCGTAATTTATTTTCATTTTTGAAGGAGCGCATAAATATTCCCTAAATTCAATTGGTTAGAATTTTTATTTAACTTTCTCTTTTTACCAAAATTTTTATTTTAAAAAATTCTAATTTAAACAAAATTGTTTTATTATTATTTTTAACAGAATTTTAAGTAATTTGAATTTTTCAAATATTAGAATTGCTTTTTTGATGCAATTCTTAAAATTAAAAATTTTCATTTGGCCGAAATTAGCAAACGTCCGAACAAACAACCCAAAGAAAGATTTTGGCGCGAATTTTTAAAATTGACAAATTTTCTGGATTATTTCTATTTCGGTCAATTTTAAAATTCGGACCGAAATCTTTTTTTTTTGTTAAATTAAAAATCTTTTAGATAAAGGGAGAAATTCTGTTAAATAAAAATTTATTAATCTATAACAAAAAATCTATAAAAATTTGTTAAATAAAAATTTCTGTTTATTTAAAGAAAAACCAATTCAAAAAATGAAAATTCGATTATTAGAAAATTTTTAATCATTAAAATTCTGTAAAATAAAAATTCTAACTAATTAATTTTTCTAGAATATTCATGCGCCGTTTTTTAAAACAATTTAAAATTTTATTTTTCATAAATACAATTTTCTGCTTTTTCTTTCTTTCTTTCTTTTTTCTTTCTTTTTCTCTATCTCTCTCTCTTTTTCCCTCTCTTCAGGAAAATTAAGAATAAAACCATTTAGAAATATTCTAGCGTTTGGTATTAAAAAAAGAAGCCAATGTTTTGCCGTTATAATAAGAGAAAAAAAATTTCGCTTTTCTTGAAGAGAATATTTTGCGGCCACGTGTTACGAATGCGATTTTTAAAAGTATTTTTGTGCACATCGACAATTACTATTTATTCATTTAATCATTAATTCATTCATTTACATATATAGTTGAAAGAAAATTATATTTATCGGAGAAAAAAATTGTGTCGATTTAAAAAAAGAAAATATCGATAAATATTTTATTCTATCGTTAAACATCATTAAAATGAAAAAAAAAAAAATTTACATTCATTTGACAAAGTGCGCTTGAAGTAATATAAAATTATTTTATTTGTATTTAAGAATAGTAAAATGGAAATAGAAAAAAATATATAAAAGTGTACAGTTTTAATTGCGCACAAAATGTATTTTGATAGTTTTAAAAATGAAAATTTACATTATTATTATTGTTATTAATGTCTAATATAATATTTTTGATATAGATTACCAATGGGATGAGGATAAAAAGACTTAAAAACTCCTGAGATGAACTCACTTTGGATGAAGATGAAGATAAATAAAACGTTTAACTGTTTGTGCATAAATTTAAAAGTAAAAAAAAAAAATAATTGTAATACATCGATTAGAATTGTAAATTTTTGTACGAAAATGAATTTGAATTTTTGAGAATTTTAATAAAAAAAAAAAGAAAATACAATTTTTAATTTAATACCTACTTTGTTTTATTTTTCCAGTTGAAATCGACAAAATATGATAATTTTTGTTATTTTTAATTTTTTAATTTTCAAAATTTTAATTAAATAAGACAGATTTCAAAAAAAAAAATTCTTATAGTTCTATTTAAAAAAATTTTTTTAATCTGATTTAAGCAATTTATTCGAATTTAAAATTTTAGCACAGTTTTTAAGTTGTAATTGTCAAAAAAAATTTCGAACAACAATTAAGTTTTTCAGATATTTAAATTAAATTTTTCTCAAGTAATTGAATTGCAAAAGATTTTCAATTTTAAATAAATTTTCTTCAAATTTAAACAGCAATAGTTTTTTTTGTAATTTCTGACAATTCAATTTTAGAATTTTTATTTGAAACTTATTTAAATAATTGAATTTTGGAAGAGTTACAGTGGAAATGTTTCGAAATAATTGTATTTCAAAAGATTAAGTTAAATTTCAGACAATAATTAAATTTTACATAATTGAAAATAATTTATCAAATAATTTTAGATTACCTTTTTTAAAAAAAAAATACTTACAATACAGATTTTTGAAAATAATTGAACTTCAAGTGATTTTTAATTGAAATTTTTTGTGACTTCTGTTGATAAAGAATTTATTAGAAACTAGCAAAATTAAACGCGTGCAAGCACGCCAAATGGAGTATTTAATTGTTTGTTATAAAGAAATTAAAGATTAATATTATCAATAATAATTTAATTTATTAGAATATTATTACATATTAAATAATAATAATGAAAATTATATGTTTACAGGCCTCGGATTATACGACTTTTTCCGACTTTTTTTTCAAAAATACGACTTTTATCGACTTATTTTAATAAAATGCGAAATTTTTTTTACATTTAAAAAAAATGTAAATAAAATACATTTTTTTAGTATAAAATGTAGATCTTCTTCAGATCTTCTTCAATTCAATTATTTAACAAATTTTGAACTAAAATGATTCGTCACTAAATTAATTATTTTTAATAATTTTAATTATAAATACATCACAAATTCAATTATATCAAAATTATTTTTCAATTAAAATTTTTATGAAATTTAACAATTGTTTATAATTTAAAAAAAATATATCACAATAAAATTGCATTATTCTTTAAAAATTTCAATTCAAAATAAACTAAAATTCAATTATAACCCGAAATTTTTATTCAAAATCAATTAAAAATCCAATAATTATCCAAAATTTTCAATTTAAAATTTAATTATTTACCAAGTTTTCAATTTAAAATGAAATAAAATTCAATTATTTTCTAAAATTTCTATTCAAAATTAATTATCCAAATTTTCAATCAACAATGAACTTCAATTAAATTATTATCCAAAATTTCAATTAAAATTCAATTATTTCCCAAAATTTTCAATTCAAAATGAACTGAAATTCAATTATTTTCCAAATTTAAAATCAAATAAAATTTAATTATTCTCGAAAATTTGAATTCAAAATTAATTGAATTTTCAATAATTTGAATTTAAAAGCATCTAAAGTTTAATTATTTCTAAAATTTTCCATCGAAATTTATTTTTTTTCAAATTTAATAATTTCAATTATAACTCTAAGGAAATTGAATTATTTTTAACTATTTTAATAATATTCTTTGAAAATTCAACTATCTGAAACCATTTTTCAATTAAAAATGATTTTCAAATTATTGTATTTTGTCCGCATTTTCTAATAAATTTTTAGTGAAATCATCTAAAATTTTAATTACAAAACACTTAAAGTTTCAATTAATTTCAAAAATCTCAATTTTAAATCTTTGAAAATTCAATTAAATTTAAAAAATGTTTTCCAAAAATTGTTTGATAAATTATATTTAGTTCGGAAAAATTTAATAATTGTTTGAAAATTAACAATATCTTTTGAAATTTAATTATTTCTAAAAATTTCAACTTTAACCCTTTGAAAAGGATTATTATTAAAAAAAAAATTTTTTATTTAAAAATCTGTAAAATATTTTTGTTAAAATAAAAAACAAATCCACTTTTTTTTGGAATATAAATCGACTAAAACGACTTTTTGTGTCTATAAGTTGATTCGAGGCCTGTGTTTTTATAATTAATATTTAATAGGTATTCGTTGGCCCCTGGTACGTTAAAAATTAATTTTTAAAAATAAATTTTTTTCAAATTACTATCTTGTACGAAATTTCCTGACGCATCTTTTTTCTCATCATAAATTTTTTGTATTTGTATACAATTTTTGAATCAATATACAAGTTTAAAAAAAATTTCGTTCGTAAACGTTGTGTACTTCAGCTTTGTGAATTGAATTTTCGAATTTGGAATTTTAAAGAAACTTATTCCGAAATTTGGAAACACAATTATACAACTTTGGCAAAAATGAGAAAAAGAATTGTCAAAATTTGACACGTCATAAGATTATTATTCAAAAAAACACGTGAAATCAGAAAAGGCCAACTTCAAGTTAGGACAGAAGGACAGACCAAGCATTTTATTATTATATAATTACCGACAAAAATTCAATTTCAACAGTTTTTAATTGAAAAATTCTTCGAAATAATTGAATTTTTGAAGAATATTATAAAAAACAATTAAAAATAATTGAATTTCGGAAGAATTAGAATTGAAATTATTAAATTTCACACGTTTTTAATTGAAAAACTCTTTCAGATACTAATTGAATTTTTAAAGGAACATTAAAATTATCATAAATAATTGAATTTTGGAAGAGTTAAAGTGGAAATTTTGTAAAAATAATTGAATTTCAAGATTTATTTTAAATTTCAGACAATAATTAAATTTTACATAATTGAAAATAATGTATCAAATAATTTTAGATAATCTTTTTTAAAAAAAAATTAAATTTTCGAAGATTTTCAATTCAGATTTTTAAAGATAATTGAATTTTCTGTAATTTTTGAATGAAATTTTTGGTGATTTCTGTTGAAGAAAAATTTATTAGTAATTACAGACAAAAATTGAATTTCAATAATAGTTTTTAATTTAAAAATGATTACAAATAATTGAATTTTTGAAGAATATTATAAAAATAATTAAAAATAATTGAATTTCGGAAGAATTAGAATTGAAATTATAAAATTTCAGAAAGTTTTAGGTAGAAAATTTTAGAAATAAATAAATTTTAGGAGGTTTTAAATTAAAATTTTCGAAAATAATTGAATTTCAAGTGATTTTGAATTAAACTTTTTGGTAATTTTATTTAATTTCTTTTTTTTTTTAATTTTAAACATATATTGAGTATTATATAATTTTTAATCGAAAAATAGTTTACGATAATTGAATTTGTGAAGAATTACATTAAAATTATTAAAAATTATTAATTTAGAGAAGAATTTTAGTTAAAAATTTGTTAAACAATTGATATAAAGAAAATCTACATTGTATACTAAAAAAAGTATTTTGTTTAAAAATGTAAAAAAAAAGTCCCATCTTATTAAAATTAATCAGAAAGAGTCGTTTAATTCGAGGTCAGTATTATTAAATTAAGAAAAAATATTGGTTTAGTTGATCAAAAAAAAAAAAACAATTGTAAGCAGAATTTTGATAAAATTTCCGTAGAAAAATTGATTTAATGAACATTTTTTTTTATACATTTAGTAGACACATTTCACCATAAAAAATAAATAATTGGCTAGGTTAAAATACAGTTTATCGAGGTTTTTTTTCTCTCTTTTTAAAAAAAAAAAAACAACAAATCAAAATATTGATGTTATTATACAATAAAAATATTTTACATAGAATTAATTGTAATAACGCTTTTTTTCCCCTATTATTAGAAGCAAAAAGGCCTCTGTGGGAGGCACATATTATAAAAGGCGTCTTTTTTCCAAAATTCTTTTGTTTTCCATCCACACCAACCTTTATTGATAATTGTGCTTAAATTTTCAGCTCCCGTATAATGTGGATCTAAAATTAAAAAACGAACTTCACCGGTTGTGTCATCTAAACTAACTCCTAATATTGTGTGCGCTAAAACTCCTCCTCCTGAAAGACAAAAAAAAATTTTTATAAATATATTTAATAATTTTCAATCAAATTTATTTTAATATAAGAAAAAAAAATTTTAATATTTTAAATAAAATTATATGAAAAATATTTTTTTTTCACTCACCTATCATAACGGGAGTGCCTTGTGTTTCAAAATGATAGGCAAGATTTGGAACTAAATTTTTCATTTCATCACCGCTCGACGCGCAAAGAACTTTTATTGAAATATCGAGAAATGTTTCAAGAACAAAGCCAACTTCCGTTGAGCCAATCCATTGTTTACTGCCTATAAAATTTCCAGGCTTATCACCTATTTTAACTAGGCACTTTTGTATATCCTTGTGATTAAGAATTGATTTTTCTGTATAGCCCTGTAATCTAGAAGGTGGAGAAAAAAAAATAACAATTGCAAATCTTTTTTTCTTTGTTTCAATTTGTTTTAAATTGAATTTTCATATTTAAGAATTTCTATTTAAATTAATTCAAATAATTAAAGAAATTTTTATTTAGTCGAAATTTTGTAAAATAGATTTTCCAGTTGGCCGAATTTTCATTTAGTATAATTTCTATTTAACAGAAATTATATTCAGCAAAATTTCCATAATACAAAATTTTTAATTAACTTTTATTTAATTGAATTTTTATTTAAAATACTTTTAATTTCACTAAATTTCCATCAATTTCTTTATTTTTAATTTCTTAATTTTAAAATTCGCAAAAAAAACATTCACTATCGATTGTTTGTTCGGACATTTTTTTTAATTTCGGACAAATGAAAATTCGGCGAATTGGAATTTCTGTCATTTAAAAATTCGATTTAATGAGAATTCTGTTAAATTAAAATTCAATTAATTAAAAATTTTCTTTTAAAAAAAGTCATGTAAATTAAATAACTATAAAATAAAAAATTCCAAATATTCGGTAGCCAAAAATTTTGTTAGGTAAAAATTCGTATAAAAAAGAAATTTGTGACAAAATTCCATCAAATGCTAATTTCAAAGAATGAAAATTCGTCTAAAAAATTATTATTTCTAATAAAATTCCTAAAAATTCTAATTAATGATTTTTATGGGATAATCATGCGTCCCGAAAAAAAATTATCAGTTTTTCTTCGATTTTCAAAATGAAAAAAAAAATATTCAATTTTTTTAAAAAAGAATAAATACTGAATTTTCTTTAAAAGAAAACCTACCTGTACCAAGAGATAATTGTTTGCAATGATCGATAAGCGCATCCCCATCCATTGTCATCAAAATTATCCTGCATATAATGATGATAGGAATAACATCCATAAACGAGACTTAATTTTCCGTTAGGAGCTAAAAAAAAAAAGAATCGTTTAACTTCTATTTTTTGCCACCTTTCGATATAAATATAATTTCTTACTGTTTGAAACTGAAATAGCTTCATGAGGATTAAAGAGTGGATCATTGTTACTAAGATCACTGCGAAATTGTACAGCGTTGCCTTCTCGAAACATAGGCCTTGTCATTCCAAGTACTAGTGTTTTATGTAAACTTTTTCGATATTCCGCTTAAATAAAATTACAATGAAAATTAAATTAAACAACGAATTTTATGTCACAGGATGGCGGGACGCATGATTATGTTCTAAAAATAATTAGTTAGAATTTTCATTTTATGGAATTTCATTTGTCATAATTATTTTTGAGCCGAATTTTTATTTCTTCGAATTAGTGTATTTTGCAGAATTTTCATCAAAACAATTTTCTATATTACAAAATTTTTAAATAACCGAAAATTCACTTCACAGAATTTTTTATATTCGAATTTTTATTTGTCAGAATTTTTATTTACTCGAATTTTCATTTAACATAATAGACATTTTAAAGAATTATTATTTGATATAATTTCCAATATAACCGATTTTTCATACAACAGAATTTTTACTTAAACGAAAAATCATTTAACAGAATTTCTAATTGATAGAATTTTTTATTTGTCCGAAATTTCAAATGGCCGAACAAACAATCGATTTTGGCGCGATTTTTAAAATCAACCAATGACAATTTTATGGATAATTTTTTATTGGTTGATTTTAAAAATCGCGCCAAATCTTTCTGTCGATTGTTTGTTCGGCCAATTGCAATTTCGGACAAATGAAAATTCTAACAATTAGAAATTCTAATTACAGGGTGTCTAACGATCAGGGAAGTCAGGGAAAAATTAGGGAATTTCTTTAATTATCTGGAATTTTTTTTATAAATAAATTAAAGTAACTATTAGTTTGAAAATTTTTTTTACTTTTTTCCCAAAGCAAATGCAAAATAAAAAGTTGGCCTTCACACTCAATCATTAAGCATATGATATATCTTATATTCATTAAGTAAATAATTATTTTCTACTATTTATTTAATCTAATAAATGATTTTTTAAACTTGGATAACAATTAATTAATTTTTTTCAGTGAAATATTTGGTTTTTTAATAAAAATAAAAATTATTTGATATACAATTTTATTTTATCGGATCATCTTTAAATAAAGTAAATTATTCATTAATACGAATAATTTATTATTTAATGCTAATATCCACATTTAACTTATAAAAATTTTTATGGCATCGAATATTAAATAATCGAATTTCTATTTAGCAAAATTGTATAAAGTGGATTTTATATTATGCAAAATTTTCAATTTATATTCAACTAAAATTCGATTTAAAAGAATTTCTAGGCTCGGATTATACGACATTTTCGACTATTTCCATCTATTTTTTTCAAAAATACGACTTTTTTCGACTTATTTTAATAAAATGCGACTTTTTCGACTGTAAAAAAATTTTTAAACAAAATACATTTTTTTGGTATAAAATGGAAATCTTCTTCAGATCTTTTTTATTTCAATTATTATTTAACAAATTTTGAACTAAAATTCTTCACTAAATTAATTATTTTTAATAATTTAAATGAAATTCATCAGAAATTCAATTATTTTAAACTACTTTTCAACTAAAATTTTTATGAAATTTAATAATTGTTTACAATTTATAAAAAGGCATTATTCAATTAAAAACTTTTGAAATTCAATTTTTTTTATGTAATTTCTAATATATTCTTCATCAACAGAAATAATTTAAAATTTCTCTTATTATAATAATTATTGTCTGAAATTTAACACAATCTTTTGAAATTCAATTATTTCCAAAAATTTCAATTTAAAAGCTTTAATTATTTTTAATGATTTTTATAATATTCTTCGAAAATTCAATTACATATCTGAAAGCATTTTGCAATTAAAAAGATTTTTAAAGACACTTTTTGTCTGTAATTTCTAATAAATTCTTCAATTATTTGATATCAAAATTTTCAATTCAAAATCTTTTAAAATTCAATTATTTTCAAAATTTTCAATTCGTAATCAACTAAATTTTATTTATTCTCAAAAATTTCAATTCCAAATTAATTATCAAAATTCTCAATCCAAAATCAATTAAAATTAAATTATTGTCAAAAAATTTAATTGAAATTCAATTATTTTCAAAATTTTAAATTTCAAATTTAATAATTTAATAATTTCAATTATAAATTTCCTGAAATTCAATTATTTTTAACTATTTTTATAATATTCATCGAATATTCAACTATTTGAAACCATTTTCCAATTAAAAATGATTTTCAAATTATTGTATTTTTGTCTGGAATTTCTAATAAATTTTTTAGTGAAATCATCAAAAAATGTTAATTAAAAATCACTTGAAATTCAATTAATTTCAAAAATCTCAAGTGTAAATCTTTGAAAATTCAATTACTTTTAAAATATGTTATCTAAAAATATTTGATAAATTATTTTTAGTCCTGTAAAATTTAATTATTGTCTGAAAATTAACAAAATTTTTGGAAATTCAATTATTTTTAAAAATTTCAACTTTAACTCTTCCAAAATTATTATTTAAAAAAAAATTTTTATTTAAAAATCTGTAAAACTTTTTTATTAAAATAAAAAAAATCGACTTTTTCAACTTTTTTTGAAATATAAAATCGACTAAAACGACTTTCTTTGTGCCTATAAATCGATTATCGAATTTCTATTTAGCAAAATTGTATAAAGTTATACAAAAAAATTATTATAAAAATTGTAAAAAATTTTACGGCGTCGAATATTAAATTATCGAATTTCTATTTAGCAAAATTGTATAAAGTGGATTTTATGTTATGCAAAATTTTCAATTTACATTTAACTAAAATTCGATTTAAAAGAATTTTTTATTTAGCAGAACTCTTAAAAAGCATTTTTTTAAAATACTTTTTAAAAATTTTAAATTAATATAATTTCAATTTAACGAAATTTATGTCTATAAAAATTGACAAAAAAAGAACTAAGTAGAATTTTTCTTAAATGAGAATTCTGTTAAATAAGAATTAGTTGGAATAAAAAATTTTCTTTAAAAAAAACTTTGTTAATTAAGAATTTTTTAAAATAGAAATTCTGTTAATTGTGAATTTATTGAATGACAATTTTGTTAAGTAAATATTTTGATAAATCGAAATTTACTAAAATAACAATTCTGTTAAAAAAATTTTTCTTTATGCAATTTTTCTTGACGTAAATTCCGTTAAATTGAAATTGTATTAATTAGAAATTCGATGTACTAGAAAATCTACTTTATATAATTTTACTAAATAAAAATTTGATAATTTAAGATTTGACACTGTAAAAATTGTTTTAAATTAAATGTTGAGAATATTTATACGTCCCCAATTATTTTATTTATTTCACTTAATTATTTTATTTTTTACGAAACATTATTTATTTGGTTCAAATACATATATGAAATTAGTGGATAATAAACAGGTAAATGATTTAATTGTATCAAAATAAATTTTATTTGATCAAAATAAAAATTTTTTAGTGTAAAATTTAGATCAGGGGAAAAGTCAGGGAATATTTTCCCTAGCAGTTGTTAGACACACCGAATTCTGTTAAATGATTTTTCGGTTAAGAAAAAATTCTGTAGTAATATGAAAAATCGGTTATATGGAAATTAAATCAAATAATAATTCGAACAAATGAAAATTCATCTGAAGGAATAAAATGAAAATTCTATGCAATGAAATTCTACCCAATAAAAGTTTTTTAAAATTCCTATTATGTTAAATGAAAATTCAATTAAATAAAAATTCTGACAAATATAAATTCGAACAAATAAAAATTCTGTGAAGTTAATTTTCGGTTATATAAAAATTTTGTAATATAGAAAATTTGTTTTGATGAAAATTCTGCAAAATATTAATTCGAACAAATAAAAATTGGGCTTAAAAATTATTATGACAAATGAAATTCCATAAAATGAAAATTCTAACTAATGATTTTTAGAACATAATCATGCGTCCCCAGCGTAAAAAAATTAAAAAAATTATTAAATTATTAAAATTTGCAAACAAAATTCAAAGCTTTATCTCAGTGTTAAAAAAGAAATTTCAAGGTTTTTTTTTAAATTGAGATTTTTTATCACATAATTTTAAATTAATATTAAAACGTGGCTAATATTAAATTTAAAACAAAAAATGTAGCACTAACGAAATTTCTAGTATTAAAACGCTAATCATTTTGTTTAATAACATTTCAAAGTTATATTTTTTTTTTTAAATGTCGTATACTTTATTAAAATTCCAAATTGGAAATTTTTAAAGGTTAAAAATTTTTCCAACCTTGTTTCAGATAAGAAATTATTAATTATATTAATATTTCAGAAAACTGTCAAGGAAAGAATTTTTAGAGCTTTCTTAGTAGCACAATTTTTAATTTTTATAATTCGTATTTTTTTTTTTAATCAATCAGTTATAAAATTTTTGTTTTCACAAATTCTTAGTTTATCATTATTTCAAGAAACGTTTTATAACTTTGAGATGTATAAAAATAAAAAAAAATAATAATAATGTATAAAAAAAAAAGTAATTGAAATATAAAAATAATCTTACAATTTTCCTTGGCGGTACTTTCGGCTAAATATGCAATTGTCATGAGATGTCCAAAATCCGTTGGCTTAAAATGCATTGGAATTGGAAGTTTCATTTTTGAAGTGTTATTTTCAATTTGTTCCTCAAATGATTTTCCAATTAATCTAAGATTTCTACATACTGATTCAACAAGAACTTCATATAGTCTAGATAATGTTGTATTACGTTCAACTAGGGACAGTGCATCGATTTTTAAATTAAATTCCAAAAATTCAAAATGACCTGCGCAAAGAAAAATATGTTTTTAATTTCAATATATAAATTAAAAGTCATAAATTTCGGTATTGTAGAATTTCAAAGTTATTTGATATTTTACAAAAAAAAAAATTTTTTTTTTTTTTTTGGAAACTAACGTCTCGTTTGTTGATGAATCACTGGGGCATGTTTCGCAGCACCGTCTGTTGCTTTGTCGTTGGAAAGTTTTAGAAGCATATCCACTGGAACGGCATTCTAATTTTTCAATTTAATGTTTCTTTTATCAGAGGGTTCGTTAGAATATTATAAAAAAGGGAATATTTTTCTATTCTCGCAAATAATTATTTTATGAATTATTAAATATACGAAAAATTTCAATTTATTTTTAATATTAATATAGAAAGATTACTGGAAATATTTCTTCGAATAATTATTATCGAATAATTGTACAAAGAATTTCATTTTTATTTTTTAATATTAATACCTATAAATTATCAAAATTTCTACTTGGTGAATTTTTAAAAATGTCCAATTCATTAAAACTCTATTTGAGCATATTTTCATTTTAAATAATTATTACATTAACAAATTACCATTTAAGTAAAATAATAATTAAAAAAAAAACAGTAACAATTTATGAAAAAATATCAAAAACTTACCACGATATGTGAACTACTTTTTTTGTGGTTTTTTTGATTTTTACTATTTTCGTGAGAATCGACAGAATTAAGAATTTCCTTCGCAGAGGATTCTTTGAGATTGCTTTCACTGTCGTTTCCAAATAAATAGACATTACTCTGTGGAAAGTAAAAAGCCACTTTTCCCGATGCTATCTGTTGACAAAAAAGAAAAACAAAAATTTTTTTTTTTGTGTTGGCTGCTAAAAAAAAAGGGGGAAAGAAAAAAAATTCTACCCACCTTTTTACGTGACTCTTGAAGAGTATCTACAACGTTTTCTTTTTCGGCAAATAAAGGAAGACTCGCTAATAATCTAATATAAACAAAATGTTGACAAACATAATCTTCACTGACAATTTCAAAATCACCAGCAGTTTCTAATTTTTGATGAATATAAAAAAATGGCTGTACACTCGATTCCTTTGTCCAATATTTTAAAATTAGAGGATTATCCGTTACGTCAATATCCTGAAGAATATATACACAGTTTTTAGAATATTTATTTAAATATTTTATTAATTATAGAATAATTAAAATAATTTTAGTTTTTCTTCAAATTCTTATTGTTACTTAAAATTATTATTAAAGAGTCATATGAAGATATTTTATTGTAAAATTGAAAAAGAAAAATTTTTAATTATTTTTTTTCAACATTGTCAGAGACAACAGAAAAATCAATTCCTTGCTGAATAAAAATAATTACAAATTAATAATAATTATATAATAATAAAATGCTTGGTCTGTCCTTCTGTCTACCTAAAAATTTCTGAAATTTTATAATTTCAATTCTAATTCTTCCGAAATTCAATTATTTTTAATTATTTTTATAATATTCTTCAAAAATTCAATTATTTGTAATCATTTTTAAATTAAAAACTATTATTGAAATTCAATTTTTGTCTGTAATTTCTAATAAATTTTTCTTCAACAGAAATCACCAAAAATTTCATTCAAAAATTACAGAAAATTCAATTATCTTTAAAAATTTGAATTGAAAATCTTCGAAAATTTAATTATTTTTTTTAAAAAAGATTATCTAAAATTATTTGATAAATTATTTTCAATTATGTAAAATTTAATTATTGTCTGAAATTTAAAATAAATCTTGAAATTCAATTATTTTTACAAAATTTCCACTTTAACTCTTCCAAAATTCAATTATTTATGATAATTTTAATGTTCCTTTAAAAATTCAATTAGTATCTGAAAGAGTTTTTCAATTAAAAACGTGTGAAATTTAATAATTTCAATTCTAATTCTTCCGAAATTCAATTATTTTTAATTGTTTTTTATAATATTCTTCAAAAATTCAATTATTTCGAAGAATTTTTCAATTAAAAACTGTTGAAATTGAATTTTTGTCGGTAATTATATAATAATAAAATGCTTGGTCTGTCCTTTCTGCCCTAACTTGAAGTTGGCCTTTTCTGATTTCACGTGTTTTTTTGAATAATAATCTTATGACGTGTCAAATTTTGACAATTCTTTTTCTCATTTTTGCCAAAGTTGTATAATTGTGTTTCCAAATTTCGGAATAAGTTTCTTTAAAATTCCAAATTCGAAAATTCAATTCACAAAGCTGAAGTACACAACGTTTACGAACGAAATTTTTTTTAAACTTGTATATTGATTCAAAAATTGTATACAAATACAAAAAATTTATGATGAGAAAAAAGATGCGCCAGGAAATTTCGTACAAGATAGTAATTTGAAAAAAATTTATTTTTAAAAATTAATTTTTAACGTACCAGGGGCCAACGAATACCTATTAAATATTAATTATAAAAACACAGGCCTCGAATCAACTTATAGACACAAAAAGTCGTTTTAGTCGATTTATATTCCAAAAAAAAGTGGATTTGTTTTTTATTTTAACAAAAATATTTTACAGATTTTTAAATAAAAAATTTTTTTTTTAATAATAATCCTTTTCAAAGGGTTAAAGTTGATATTTTTAGAAATAATTAAATTTCAAAAGATATTGTTAATTTTCAAACAATTATTAAATTTTTCCGAACTAAATATAATTTATCAAACAATTTTTGGAAAACATTTTTTAAATTTAATTGAATTTTCAAAGTGTTTTGTAATTAAAATTTTAAATGATTTCACTAAAAATTTATTAGAAAATGCGGACAAAATACAATAATTTGAAAATCATTTTTAATTGAAAAATGGTTTCAGATAGTTGAATTTTCAAAGAATATTATTAAAATAGTTAAAAATAATTGAATTTCCTTAGAGTTATAATTGAAATTATTAAATTTCAAAAAAAAATAAATTTCGATGGAAAATTTTAGAAATAATTAAATTTTAGATGCTTTTAAATTCAAATTATTGAAAATTCAATTAATTTTGAATTCAAATTTTCGAGAATAATTAAATTTTATTTAATTTTAAATTTGGAAAATAATTGAATTTCAGTTCATTTTGAATTGAAAATTTTGGGAAATAATTGAATTTTAATTGAAATTTTGGATAATAATTTAATTTAAGTTCATTTTTGATTGAAAATTTGGATAATTAATTTTGAATAGAAATTTTAGAAAATAATTGAATTTTATTTCATTTTAAATTGAAAACTTGGTAAATAATTAAATTTTAAATTGAAAATTTTGGATAATTATTGGATTTTTAATTGATTTTGATTAAAAATTTAGTGTTATAATTGAATTTTAGTTTATTTTGAATTGAAATTTTTAAAAAATAATTCAATTTTATTGTGCTATTTTTTTTTTAAATTGTAAACAATTATTAAATTTCATAAAAATTTTAGTTGAAAAATAGTTTAAAATAATTGAATTTCTGATGAATTTCATTTAAATTATTAAAAATAATTAATTTAGTGACGAATCATTTTAGTTCAAAATTTGTTAAATAATTGAATTGAAGAAGATCTGAAGAAGATCTACATTTTATACTAAAAAAATGTATTTTATTTACATTTTTTTTAAATGTAAAAAAAATTTCGCATTTTATTAAAATAAGTCGATAAAAGTCGTATTTTTGAAAAAAGTCGGAAAAAGTCGTATAATCCGAGGCCTGTAAACATATAATTTTCATTATTATCATTTAATATGTTATAATATTCTAATAAATTAAATTATTGTTGATAATATTAATCTTTAATTTCTTTATAACAAACAATGAAATACTTTATTTTGTGCGCGCTTGCGCGCGTTTAATTTTGCTAGTTAATAATAATAAATAATAATAATTAAAAAATGAATTTTTCGTATCAAAAATCAGAATATTTTTTTTTGTAAAATAATCCATTTTATGTATTATTTTTCTATTTAGAAACAATTTAATTTAATAAAAAAAATAGGCCTACTATTAAAATCATTTTTTCCATTATTTTTGAATCTAAATCTCAGGAAATAAAAAAAATAGCATAAGGTTTGTTTGTTATTTTATCGATTCAATAATTTTTTTTTTTCACGATACTGAAGTACGCAACGTTTATGATAAACGATTGAAAATCAATTTATATTTATTACAAAAAAATTATAAAATTGTTTAACTAAAAAATTTTTTTTTTATAATTTGTTGATTAATAAAAACTACAAGAAATATTTTCCAGGCAAAAAATTATAGAATTTCTCATTCTAAAAAATTATTTTAAAAAAATCCTTTATCATAAACGTTGCGTACTTCAGAATCGTTTTTTTCAATAAAGTTGTACTATATAGTAAATGAAAACAAAAAAAAAAAAATTGAAAACCTGAAAAGCGTCTGGAATTTTCTGCTCGCATTGATCGACAAATAAAACACCAAGCAAGTCAATTTCAACGGGCATACTCAGTTGTAAATTGACATTTGTAATTGTTGTCTCCTCTTGTTCTTCATTTTTTGATTCTACACTAAATGCCAAAACAGTCAATGCAGTTTCGCACATTACCCCATATACATGACCATTTACAGCCGTTTTTAATTTACTTAAACGCTGCAAAAAAATAAATAAATAAATAAAATATACAAACATTATTTTTTTAGTGTTAATCACATTTCTCAGAATTAATTTCTGAATAAAATTATTTGTGAAAAAATTATTTTTTTTTTATTAATTTTCACAATTATTTTTTTTTTTATTAATTTTCACAATGTTTTTTCTTTTATTAATTTTCACAAATTTTTTCTTTTTTATAATAATAAACCAACTAAATGGGGTGAATTATTCCTAAAATGCCACAGACAAAAATTTGAAGTTTCAGGTAACAAAGTGTTTTTCAAATTTTTATTTGAATTGTAATTTTCTCAAATGGATTGATGAACATTATAAAAAATTTTAATTTCATTTTTTTGGTTTTTTATTTTTATTGTGATTAAAATAAATTTCTAAAATTCAGGGTGTCTAACAACTGCTGGGAAAAAAATTCCTTGACTTTTCCCAGACCTAAGTTACACTAAAAAATTTTTATTTTGATCAAATAAAATTTATTTTGATACAATTAAATCATTTACCTGTCTATTATCCACTAATTTCATATATGTATTTGAACCAAATAAATAATGTTTCGTAAAAAATAAAATATTTAAGTTAAATAAATAAACTAATTGGGGGGACATATAAATATTCTCAACATTTTATTTAAAAGAATATTTACGGCGTTAAATCTTAAATTATCAAATTTTTATTTAGTAAAATTATATGAAGTAGATTTTCTTGTACATCGAATTTCTATATTAATACAATTTCAATTTAACGGAATTTATTTCAAGAAAAATTGCAGAAAGAAAAATTTTTTAAACAGAATTGTTATTTTAGTAAATTTCGATTTATCAAAATATTTACTTCACAGAATTGTTATTGAATAAATTCACAATTAACAGAATTTCTATTTAACAAAATTCTTAATTAACAAAGTTTTCATTAAGGAAAATTTTAATTCCAACTAATTCTTATTTAACAGAATTCTCATTTAAGAAAAATTCTTTCTAGTTCTTATTGTGTCAATTTTTATAGACATAAATTTCGTTAAATTGAAATTATATTAATTTAAAATTTTAAAAAAGTATTAGAAAAAATGCTTTATACGAGTTCTGCTAAATAGAAATTATCAGGCCTCGGATCGATTTATAAGCACAAAAAAAGTCGTTTTAGTCGATTTTATATTTCAAAAAAAGTTGAAAAAGTCGATTTTTTTATTTTAATAAAAAAGTTTTACAGATTTTTAAAAGAAAATTTTTTTTTTTTAATAATTATTTTAGAACAGTTAAAGTTGAAATTTTACAGGACTAAAAATAATTTATCAAATATTTTTAGATAATATATTTAAAAATAATTGAATTTTCAAAGATTTACACTTGAGATTTTTGAAATTAATTGAATTTCAAGTGATTTTTAATTAAAATTTTTTGATGATTTCACTAAAAAATTCATTAGAAATTCCAGACAAAAATACAATAATTTTAAAACCATTTTTAATTGAAAAATGGTTTCAAATAGTTGAATATTATAAAAATAGTTAAAAATAATTGAATTTCAGGAAAGTTATAATTGAAATTATTAAATTATTAAATTTGAAATTGAAAATTTTGAAAATAATTAACTTTTACTTGATTTTGGATTGAAATTTTTGAAAATTATTGAATTTCAATTGAAATTTTGGATAATAATTTAATTATAGTTGATTTTGGATTGAGAATTTTGATAATTAATTTGGAATTGAAATGTTTGAGAATAATTAAATTTTAGTTGATTTTGAATTGAAAATTTTGAAAATAATTGAATTTTAAAAGATTTTGAATTGGAAATTTTGATATCAAATAATTGAAGAATTTATTAGAAATTACAGACAAAAAGTGTACTTAAAAATCTTTTTAATTGCAAAATGCTTTCAGATAATTGAATTTTCGAAGAATATTATAAAAATCATTAAAAATAATTGAAGCTTTTAAATTGAAATTTTTGGAAACAATTGAATTTCAAAAGATTGTGTTAAATTTCAAACAATAATTATTATAATAAGAGAAATTTCTAATGATTTCTGTTGATGAAGAATATATTAGAAATTACATAAAAAAAATTGAATTTCAAAAGTTTTTAATAGAAAAATGCTTTCAGATATGTAATTGAATTTTCAAAGAATATTATAAAAATTATTAAAAATAATTAAATTTCAAGTGATTTTGAATTAAAATTTTTTAGTAATTTTATTTGTTAATTTTTTTTTTAAATTATAAACAATTATTAAATTTCATAAAAATTTTTGTTGAAAAGTAGTTTAAAATAATTGAATTTCTGATGAATTTCATTAAAATTATTAAAAATAATTAATTTAGTGAATAATTTTAGTTCAAAATTTGTTAAATAATTGAAATAAAGAAGATCTGAAGAAGATCTACATTTTATACCAAAAAAAAATATTTTGTTTAAAAATTTTTTTAAAAGTCGAAAAAGTCGCATTTTATTAAAATAAGTCGAAAAAAGTCGTTTTTTTGAAAAAAAAAGATGGAAATAGTCAAAAATGTCGTATAATCCGAGGCCTTGAAATTTTTTTAAATTGAATTTTAGTTAAATTTAAATTGAAAATTTTGCATAATATAAAATCCACTTTATACAATTTTGCTAAATAGAAATTCGATAATTTAATATTCGACGCCGTAAAAATTTTTATAAGTTAAATTTGGATATTAGCATTAAATAAAAAAATTATTCGTATTAATGAATAATTTACTTTATTTAAAGTTGAACTGCTAAAATAAAATTGTATCAAATATTTTTTATTTTTATTAAAAAACTAAATATTTCACTGAAAAAATTAATTAATTGTTATCCAAGTTTAAAAAATCATTTATTAGATTAAATAAATAGTAGTAAATAATTATTTACTTAATGAATATAAAATATATCACATGCTTAATAATTGAGTGTGATGGACAACTTTTTAATTTGCATTTGCTTTGGGAAAAAAGTAAAAAAAATGTTCAAACTAATAGTTACTTTAATTTATTCATAAAAAATTCCAGAAAATTCCCTGACTGTTAGACACCCTGGAAATTATTAATCCAAAAAAAAAAATTATTTTCTGAAAATTATAAACAATTGAAATTTTCACCTGTCTTAAAAAAAAAATAATTTTCTCACAGTAGACAAATTTAAAAATAAAAAAAAAATTGGTTTTTCTCTTCTTTTGGAACGTAGTATGTATTTAAATTTAATAAAATCTTTAAAATTAACGAAATTGATTTTTCATAATTTTCATTCAATATTATAAAAATATTAAACAAAATTCATTTTTAAGAAAAAAATTTATCTTAAAATTTTAAAAACGAAATAATTTCTTTAATTTTTAAAACCATAAAAAAAAATTGTACGTTATAATTCTATAATAATTGCGAGAGAAACTTATTTTTTATTTACATATAAATATATACATTAATAATTCAAAAAAAAAATTTTCAATGCTTATATAAATTAATTTAATAATATGTAATTATTATCGAATAAAATTGTATTATTTTGAAAATAAATTCAAATTAATTAAAAAGTTATGAATTTTTTATTTTTAATAACAAAACATATGTGTAATAAAAATATCTGAAATTATATACGCACACTAAATTTATCACTCATTTTTTTAACGTAAACAAAAAAGAATGTTTATAAAAAAAAAACTGTAACACTTAAAAAACTTGTTTAAAAAAATTCGTTTTTTATAATATCTAAAAATATTTAATAGAAAAAAAATCTATATACATATAAAAAATGTAAAATATGTTATAGTTACATAGATTGTATAAAAAAAAAAAATATTTGCTATTCGCAAAATTTTGAAGTGTTACAAAAATTGAAGGTTAGCTTCTCTATTTTACTGAAAATATTAAAAGACAAATAATCATATGCTCTCACCTCAATGACGTTCGATAAAATTCTAAGGCGTGGTGTCATTTTAGAAGTAATTTTTTTTTAATTTTCAGCTATAAAAATCCATTTAAAAATTCCATACGGAATTTTTCGAATGCGCCCATGAAATCAAAATTGATCAAAATATTTTGTGGCAAATGGGAAATAAAAAGAAAATTTCTCCAAAACTTGTACAAAGCATCAAGAGATGTCGCTTTCGATTTTTGTGGGAAAATTTGAATATTTTTCATTTTAAATCATAATATTAATATTAATAATAATAATAATAGTAACTTCAAATTTTTATAATTTTAAATAAAAATTACACATTATTTTTAATTATCAATAAATTTAATTAGTTAATGAATATTTTATTATTTTTAATTGTTCGTTATAATTTTACTATTGAATATAAATTTTTATAATTCTAATTGAGAATGATAACTTTTAATAAAAGAATAAAATTTTCCGAATGTAGAAAAAAAGCAAAAAACAATTGTTTTTTTTAATAATAAACAAATTTTTAATCTCTATTATCGCTAAATATATGCAACTTTTAAATGATTTTAAGAGTTAAAATAATAAAATTTTTTACACTTTCATTGAAAAAACTTTTTTTTTTGAAAATACGAAAATATGAAATTAAACTAACTTTTGTTTTGACTATTCATCCAATTTTATCTTAAACAGATTTACAAAAAATAATTTTCAATTTTTAAAATATTTGTTTAAGTTACTTAAATAATTTATAGAATTTTTAGAATATTTTTCAAAATTTAAACTAAAAAAAAAAAAATTAAAAATTATTATTTTTATTAATTTATTATTTTGAATAAAATAATTGTAATTATCTTCAAACTTTAAATCAAAAAATTAAAAATATCTTCAAATTTTTAATTTAATTTATTTTAATTTTTGTATTATTAATAATAATAATAATAATAATTTATTTTGTTAAAGGATTTAAAATATTTAAAATATAGTCATTTAATAACATAAACCAAGAACTCTTTATCAGTTCTTTTTTGTCGGGACAATCAAAATCTTCTTTAGAAAACTTAAAACAGTTATTTTTTGTTACAAATTTAAAATTGAAATTTTCATTTCAATTTTTATAATAATTGAAATGAAAAATCAACAGAAAATACGGAAAAGGAAAAATAAAATGGAATATAATAAATTTGCATAAATTTTGTATATTTGTGGACTTTGGCGTGACTACACAATAATCAAAACAGTTTTCAAGACTAATTCTATTTTTCTTTTTAGCCTCAATAAATTGATGTTTTTTTTCAATTTCTTTCTTCTTTTTTCCATTCTCTAAAAAATTTCCAAATCACTCTGCAATACAAAAAAAGACAAATTCCATGCAGACTTACAAAAGTACGTGTGTATTCTAAGTACATAAGTACATACATATATTTTTATTACCAAAAAAAAAGTCCACTGACAAAAAAAAAAAAAAAAAACATAATTATTCTCTACAATTCGGACATTACGTAAATGCAAATCCGATCGTCATTGCTAAAGAAAAAGAAAATATTTTCTTTTCTTTCATTTTAAAGAAACAATAATAATAATTATTCTCTTTTTCTTTTTTTTTTTTCTCTTTCTCTGCTTTTTTTTGCTCACATAAAAAAACAAAATGAACATAAAAAAAATTGAAAAGACCAGAAAAAAAAGAACAAAAATTCGAAAATTTTTCGATTCTTCAGACAATATTATATACACACAAAAGTGAAATAAAAAAAAAAAAACTATGCTTTTTTGTGCTTCACTTTAAAATTTAAAAAAAAAGTCTCGATTTTTAAAAAATTACATATAATTTAATAATGAGCATTTAAATCAATAAAAAATACGAATTTTTTGTTTTACATTTTAATTGATTAATTTTTGTTAATTTAATGTTCAATTGCATTAATTTTTGTTGCCCGTTTTCTTTTCTCCTGGAAAAAAAAATTTTTAATCAAATTATCTAGCTGCTTTTCAATCAGTTTTTTTCACAAACAATATTTTGTTTGAATTACTTTTTTTACTAATGAAATTTCAATTCAATTGATATACAAAAAATAATAATAATAATAATAAAACAAGACCAAAAAAAAGGGGTAATTAAAAACGCTAAAAGGCAGAAATTTTATCACAATGGACAATTAAATTCTTAAGTAAAAAAAAAAAATTATTTTTTTAAAAAAAGCATTCTCTTCAAAATGGGAGGGGGGTCGTTTTTTTCCTCGAAATTTTTTTTTTTTTTTTATCTAAAACGATCTAGTTTCCCATTCCTTCGAACCGTTCATTCCCTTTTACTCACAAAAAATATCAATAAGACGTGCAGAGTTTTTTTTTTTTTTTTTTTTAAAAAAAAAGATTGCATTACAAATGGTTTATAACTAGTATAAAAAAAAGGTGCTAATAAGATTTAAATAACGCGAGACACATTTATTAATAGAGCAAATAATTGGCTCTGAAAAAAAAAACGTTAAAATTCTGTTTTTTTTTTTTTTAAACGTAGGATGCAAATACGTTTTTCGAGAACGCTTCACAGCGTAAATAATTTTAACCCCCATGTGTACTTGTGTGTACGTGATTTTGTTTTTGTTTTTTAATTTTTTTTTTTAGCTTTTCATGAAGACGCGAGGGTATTTTATTGGCAGATCAGTCTTGCTTCGATCCCCTCCTTGGTGTCTCATTTGACTTTTCCTTGCACGGAGGTTCGTTATTATTTTTGCAGCTTGAAATTATTATTATTTTTTTTTTTTTTGCTAGACATTTTCGAGGTCTTCCTCGCAATCAAACACTGAACTGTTTCTTGGCAAAAGAAGTGACACGTGTCCAAATCTGAAAAGAAAAATTAAATAATTATTTACATTTAGGACTGAGGGCGATGGTGTTTCAATAAATAAATTCAAATAAAGAATTTAAGTTGAAAATAATTTGAAATTATTGTTAATTTGAATTAATGAAAATTACCTATTAACAAAATTTTAAATAATAATTGAATTTTAGAGAATTTTGAATTAAAAAATGGTTTAAATAATTTAATTACTGAAAAAAAAAATTGATAAAAGTTATTGCAAAAATTAATTTACCAAAGAATTTTAAAAGCACATTTTATAAATAATTGAATTTCATGAGATTTTTAATTAAAATTTTCGTAAATTTGAATTGCAGAAGATTTTTTTATAAGCTTCAGACAATAATTAAATTTTAGACAATTTTTAAATTGAAAAAATAAATTAAATAATTCAATTTTTCGAAAAAACTTGATTAAAGTTATTAGAAAAAATAAATTTAACAAAGAATTTTTGATAAAATTTTTAGAAATAATTGAATTTTTGGAGATTTTTTATTGAAATTATTGTAAATTAGAGTTAATGAAAATAGAAAATTTTATACAATAATTGAATTTTAGAGAATTTTAAATTGAAAAATTATTTTAAATAATGGAATTTTTTAAAAGATCTTAATTAAAATTATTGAAAATAATTAATTTTGAAAGTATTCTAGTTAATATTTTTTTTTGAATAATTCAAATTTGCGAAGATGTTTATATTTCATACTAAAAGAAGACGTATATTTATATAAAAAATGTTTTTAAAAGTCAAAGAATTTAAATAATTGAATTTTTAAAGAAATATTAAAATTATTAAAAAATAATTGAATTTTGGAAGAGTTACAGTGAAAATGTTTAGAAATTATTTGAATTTCAAAAGATTTTATTAAATTTCAGCCAATAATTAAATTTTACAAAATTGAAAATAATTTATCAAAAAATTGTAGATAATATTTTATTAAAATGTAATTAAATTTTTCAAAGATTTGCAATTTAGATTAGTGAAATTAATTGAACTTCAAGTGACTTTTTAATTTTAAATTTTTATGATGAAGAATTTATTAGAAATTACAGATAAAAATTCAATTTCAAAAATTTTTAATTGAATATGGCTTTTTCAGATAATTGAATTTTTGAAGAATATTTTAAAAATCATTAAATTTTGGAAGAGTTAGTTTTAGTTTTTAGTAATTTTATTTGATTTTGCTTCCTCGTGGAGGAAGCTTTGTAGTCCTTTCGTTTATAAAATTTTTAAAAATGATGAAAACAAATTTTCCTCTATATAGAAACATGTTATTAATTTAAAACAGTTTTCAAATCGAAATTTTTTAAATCAATCAATCGAATTGGAGAAATTCATAGCTTTTTCCACGAGGAAGCAAATTTTTTGCTTCACACAATGAGGAAGCAAAATGTTTATGAAATAAACATATAAAGGACCCCCTCCTTGTTATTTTAAATTGTAAAAAATTGTTGAATTTCATAAAATTTTTAATTGAAAAATAATTGAATTTGTGAAGAATTTCATTAAAATTATTAAAAATAATTAATTTTTGAGAAAAAATTTTAGTTAAAAATTTGTTAAATAATTAAAATAAAAAAGATTTTAAGATCAACATTGTGTACTCAAAAAAAAAACGTATTTCGTTTAAAAATTTTGTAAAAAATGTAAAAAAAAAAAAAAAAAAGTCGAAAAAGTCGCATCTTATTCAAAGAAGTCGTATAATACGAGTTCTGTATTATTTTCATTTTTAAAAAGTATTCTCATAAATATCAAAGCTTTACACTAATTTTTTGTGAAAATTTTTTCAAATAGTGTACTTTTAGAGACAAATAGAGAAAAAGGTGACTATTTAGGAAAATTTAGTACTATTTGTACAAAAGATATTGTCCCGTCTATAAATAAATAAATAAATAATTTAAAGAAGCGTAAGATCTGTAAAAAAAAAGAAATGTTAAAATAATAAATCATCAAAATGACACTCACTTGTTGCTTTTATATTTTTCTTGAATAGCTTGCTGCTGTATATTATTTGCATTGTTGAATGTTCTTTGCAGGCATATGATACAGGTTTTGAGATCCTGTAAATTATAGCCAGAGGAGAGTTCCAATTCATGAGGCCAAACTTCTTCATTGAGAGTATGTCGAGCTAATGCCACTGATGAGGCAGCTAAAATACTAGGCAAGAAATGCAAGAATGGATCCGCTTCAAGCATTGATAATTCACACAGGTACTGAAATTTTTTTTTTTGTGTGTTAAATTTTACATTATATATTTCTAGTAAAAATATTGTTTTCCTTTTTAAAATACAATAAAAAAAATACACACGAGAAATCAATACATACCATTGCTAAAAATTGACTCTTTTCTGAGAGATTATTGCTTGTGCAATATTCCATAAGGAAGGAAAGTGGTGTGGGCACAGTAAGATCAAAGGACAACACTCTAAGAATTAAATGTTCCATTCTCAAAACTTGCTTCTTTGAATATGTGTCGTCAGTTATGAAAACAAATTCACCAACATCTGGTGGATAAATCTCTTCGTATTTTCTGTAAATTTTTTCAAATATTCAAAAAATAAAATTATAATCCATAATTTATAAAATAAAAAAAAGAAAATGTCTACGTAGTTTAATTTCTCTTTTGTAAGTAAAACGTAGAGGATTATTTTATAGTAATATTTAAATTTATTATTGTTCATTTCTTTATTATTATTATTACTATTAGTTTAAAAATTTGTATATTTGAATTTTTTTTTTTTTTTTTTTTTTAAATATACTTACGCAGCGATAAACATTGCGGCGGTGCCAACAAGTTGAAGTTTCGCTCGAACAACACTCATATAGGAAAGAAATCGATCAATATAAGAAACTGCGAGATAAAGAGTTTCACTTTGTAATCGATATTCTTCAGCTACTTCAACTAACCAATCAACCAATATTGAACGCATCAAGTGAGTGATATCGGGCTGTTTTTTCATGTATCCTGCTTTTGGTCTGTGTACAGTCTACGAGAAAAAAAAAAGAAAACTATTTAAAAAACTTTTTCAAAAAATAATATCATTAAAATTTGTTAAATTTTAATATTTCATAGGTAAATTTACAAAATTAATGTTCATTTATTATTTTAGTTATTTTTAAACAATAATCAAGTAAATTAAACAATTTTGGATAATTATAAATTTAAAAATTGATATAATTTTTGTGCTTTTTCAGGCCTTGAATCGACTTTAAGACACATAAAAAGTCGTTTTAGTCGATTTCTATTTAAAAAAAAAATGTTGAAAAAGTAGTTCTTTTTTTTTATTTTAATAAAATTTAAGGGAAGTCACTAATGTTATTAGATATTAAATTCATTTTATTAATTCTGTAATGAGAATAATTCTATAAAAATATTATCAAGAAAATTTATTTCCAATATTTTAGAATTGAAATAAGGGGCCGTGCATAAACTACATTTACCTATTTTATGGGGGGAGGTAGTCTAAAAAGAATGAAAAATTGGTAACGTAGTTTATGGACAGCCCCTAATTTTAAGACAAATTTAAAAATTTTTTTTAAGTAGGACAAATTTCTAAAAAAAAAAAAAAATTCTTAAAGTTCCATTTTTATAATTTTTTTTTTTTTAATCTGATTTAAGCAATTTATTTGAATTCAAAATTTTGTCATAGTTTTTAGTTTTGATGGTGAAAAAAATTCCAGCCAATACTTAATCAAGTTTTACAGATTTTTAAATAAAAATTTTTGTTTAATAATAATAATTTTGAAAGAGTTAAAGTTGACATTTTTTAAAATAATTGATTTTCAAAAGATTTTATTAAATTTTAGACAATAATTAAATTTTACAGAACTAAAAATAATTTATTAAATAATTTTAGATAACATTTTTGAAATAAATTTGAAATTTCAAAGATTTACTAATTTAGATTTTTGAAATTAATTGAACTTCAAGTGATTTTAAATTAAATTTTTTTTAATGATTTCTGTTAATAAAAAATTGATTAGAAATTGTAGACAAAAATACAATAATTTGAAAGCTTTTTAAGTGAAAAATGGTTTTAGATAGTTGAATTTTCGAAGAATATTATAAAAATCATTAAAACTAATTAAATTTCAAGTAATTTTGAACTAAAATTTTTTGATAATTTTATTTGCTAATTTTTTCTTTTATATAAACAATTATTAAATTTCATAAAAATTTTAATTGAAAAATAGTTTAAGATAATTGAATTTGTGAAGAATTTCATAACAATTATTCAAAAAAAATTAAAGGGATGGACAGCTGAAATTTCAATTTTTCGAAATAAAGGCTGTTTAAGATTATCAATTTTTTTTTTTTCTAACAATATTGAGTATTTAAAACTGTAATAAATTATGGGAAATTGAAAGGCAATTAATTTATTAATAATTTTTTTTAAATAAAACTCGATATCGTCAAAAACTAAAAATTTAAACTTCTGTCGCAATTTTTATTATTTTTCATTGCTGATTTTTTTTATAAACTTTTTTCATGATTCTGAACAATCAATCGCATGGATTTTTAAAAAATTCAATCTTTTCAAAAAATAAAATTTCTAAAATTTAAAAAAAATAAAAAATTAATTACTTTTTTTTATTTTTCATAGTGAAATATGATTTCATGTTTTAAAAAAATTTTTAAAAAACATTGTTACCTATAAACAAAATTAATTATGTTTATGGTTTATTATTTTTTTAAAATTCAACTTCTTCTACAATTTTTATTATCTTTTATCTGTAATTTTTTTTTGTAGACTTTTTTCATGATTCTGAACAATCAATCGTATGGATTTTTAAAAAATTTTAATATTTTCAAAAAATAAAAATTTCTGAAATGTTTTTAAAAAAAAAATTTTTTTTACATTTTGATAATTCACAATAATTTTAGATTCCAAATAATGTTAGAAAAAAAAAAAAATTGACACCCCTTAACAACATTAATTTCGATTAGTTGAAATTTCACCGGTCCCTCCCCTTAATTTAATGAAGAATTTTGGTTAAAAATTTGTTAAATAATTGAAATAAAGATCTATAGAAGATCTGCATTGTATACTAAAAAAAAAAAAATATTTTGTTGAAAAATTTTGTAAACAAAAAAAATGTAAAAAAAAAGTCGAAAAAGTCAATTTCCACAGTTCAGGCAAAAAAAAGTCGTTTTAGACGATTTACGTTTAAAAAAAAGTCGATTTTTTTTTATTTTGATTAAATTTAGTTAGTTAATAAGTATTTTACTTTAAATAATTAATGTTATTAGATATTAAATCCATTTTATTAATTCCTTAATAAGAATAATTCAATAGGAATATTATCATTTCAAAATTGAAGACGCAAATTTTGAAAATTTTAATTAAGTAGAACAAATTTCTAAAAAAAAAAAAAAATTTTGAAAATTCAATTTTAGAGTTTTTGTTTGAAACTTTTTTAAATAAATGAATTTTTAAAGAAATATTAAAATTATTAAAAATACAATAAAACCCCGTTTATCCGAGCTCGCTTTATCCGAGGTGGTGTCCCAATAGGAAATTCTGCATTATCCGAGTCTAGTCCGCGTCATCCGAGTTATTTTTAATTTTAGTTTTTTTTTTATAAATATGAGTTTATTTTTAATAAATTCAAATTGTTTAAATTATTATGGGTCAGTCCACTGACTTTCGTCTAATAGTGGTTGCGACCAAATTTAAAAAAATCTAGTTTTAATATTATGGTAAAAATTTTATTCCCTTTAAAAATATTAAATATCAAAAGTAGGAGGTTCACAATGTGATTTTGTAACCTTAAATTTTTCAATTTTTTTAAAAACGCTATTATTAAAAAACTATTAAAAATTAGATGTTGGAACTCACCAAAAACATAAATCACTTTATTCTGCATAGAGGAACGAAAGAATTATTGCAAAAATTTATTATGTTTGGATGATATACGATTATAAAAAAAATTTTTATTTAAATATTCTCAAGATTTTTATTTACATATAACTTTTTTGTCGGTGCTCCGAAAAAATTGAGGTTTTGCACAAAGATTTTTTATAATATTCTTTACCTTCTATTAAAATCTTACGAAGGTGTTTTGCTTCGTTTTGGAGATATTAATTTTCAAAATTTATTATTTAAAAAGGTTAATTAAAAGACTTGAAGTTAACTAACCAAATTCAAACTGCTCCATTTTTTATAAAAATATATTAAAATGTAGCGATTTGAAATTGGTCAGTTAACTTCAAGTCTTTTAATTAACCTTTTTAAATAAAAAATTTTGAAAATTATTATCTCCAAAACACCTTCGTAAGATTTTAATAGAAGGTAAAGAATATTATAAAAAATCTTTGTGCAAAACCTCAATTTTTTCGGAGCACCGACAAAAAAGTTATAAGTAAATAAAAATCTTGAGAATATTTAAATAAAATTTTTTTTTAAAATCGTATATCATCCAAAAATAATAAATTTTTGCAATAATTCTTTCGTTCCTCTGTGCAGAATAAAGTGATTTATGTTTTTGGTGAGTTCCAACATCTAATTTTTAATAGTTTTTTAATAATAGCGTTTTTAAAAAAATTGAAAAATTTAAGGTTACAAAATCACATTGTGAACCTTCTACTTTTGATATTTAATATTTTTAAAGGGAATAAAATTTTTACCATAATATTATGGTTAATGAACTCAGGGAATCATCGAGTTTCACATATATTAAAACTAGATTTTTTTAAAATTTGGTCGCAACCACTATTAGACGAAAGTCAGTGGACTGACCCTTATGGAATATTTACAATATTATTTTCCCGTTTGTATTAAATAATAATTCAGGGTGTCTACTAAAAATCTGAATTAAAATTCCAGGACTTTTCCAGGACAAATTTCATATTTTTCCAGGACATTAAATTGAATGACTTTAAGGAATAAAAAACTTTTTAGTTTAACTATTGTTTTTAGAAACTATTAAAAAATTAATTAATTACTTAAGTAAATTTTCATTTTATTTATTTAATGAATTTTTTTTAACTTGATTGACAAAATTAGAAATTTTTGAAAATTTAAAAGCAAAATATAAAAAATTCAAGGACAAAAATTAAAATTCCAGGACTTTCAAGGACATTTCCAGGACTAGTAGACACCCTGTATTTGTTTAAACAATAATAATGTTAAATTGTAATAAATATTTAACACTTCGAAATATCCGAGTTTTCGAGATAGGTCCGGTCCACATTAGCTCGGATAACCAGAGTCCTAGTGTAATTGAACTTTAAAAGAGTTACAGTTGAAATTTTTTTTAGAAAAAAATTAAATTTCAAAAGGTTTTAAATTGAAATTTTTGAAAATAATTGAATTCAAGTGATTTTTTTTCACTTACCTTTAGGACCTTCTGTAAGTTTAAAAATTTATTTGAAAAATAATTTCAAAAACAAAAAAAAAAATTGTCCTTACCTCAGCACTCCTGAGATAATTATAAATATCAGCTCGATATTCATTGACTTCAAAGAAATTTGTTCTAATTGCCTTATAAATTTCGGCTTTTGTTCGATTATCTTTTTTTGTCAATGATGATGAATCGGAAAATGATGATATTGATTTTTCAAGTGACATTGGACATTCGACATTTTCTTTTTTTTCATTTGCAATTTCATCATTATTATCATCATCATTATTATCATCTTGATGAATGCGTATTGTATTTGTAACGATATTATTGTTAATTATTGGAATTGGATTCACTTGTAATGTTGGCTTTTCTTTTTCAATTTTTATCGTTGTCACTTGTTCGCTAACATGTTTTATTTTCAATAATTCTTTATTGCCATCATTTGTCTCGCGCAATGCAACTGACGTCTCTTCCTGTAATTTATCCTCATAAATTTGAAACATTGTATCCTCTTTTCTCTCATCGCAAATATTAAATTGTTGCTCATAATTAATTGGAATATATGTTTTTGCCTTGGATTTTTCATCCTTGCAATTTTCCTAATTAAAAAAAAAAAAAAATATTATATAATAAAAAAAAACATATTTTTTGTTTTTTAATTTGTATAATTTTCCATTTTTAAAAAATAATTTCTTTTCTATTCGTTGTAAATTTCGTAAATAATCAGCAAAAAAAAAAATTTTTTTTTTTTATTTTATTCTCAATAATTAATTTTTTGTGGTTTTTTAATAAAATTCTGTTTCGAAATTAAAATTCCCTAAAATTTTCTCACTATCAAAATTTTTGATACATTCTCCTAATAAAACTTATTTCAATATTTGATAATTAAAAAAAAAAAACTCCGATTTTTTTCCCCAAGCTTAAATTTGTGATTCAAATTGAAAGAAACAAAAAATTTAAATATTCACAGATCAAAAAAAAAAAAAATAATTTTATAAAAAAAAAAATCGATTTCATAAATAAAAAATAAAACTTAACCAAAATAAATAACCAATTTCAAATTTAACGACAATTTATCAATTTCTAAACGGTCACAAAACTAGACGAGAATATTTCTTGTGAGAGACAATATTTTTCCAATCAAAATTTTAAAGCGTCAGAAAAAAGAAAATTAAACATAAATTTTAAATTTTGAAAAATAAAGACAAAATTTTAATAAGCTAAGAAAATAAATAACAGAATCGAAAAATCATTGAGCGTCCTTGATGAAAGTCAAAGGAGAGGGGCAAAAAAAAAGGAGAAATACTCACCGGTTTAACAGCTCGTGGACAATTATTTTGCAAGACACCAAGTACAGCTCGTTTTTGTTGTTGGGTTTGATTTTGATGCTGCACCGAAGCATTTTCCTTGCCCTGTCTTCGTATTTCGGCGATGACGCGATTTTCCTGATCCTCGTGCACACGAATCGAAGCCATTGTGTATATAATTTATTTTACTATATTGATATACACGAAAAAAAAATGGGAGTATTTAACCGAATTTATTTATTTTTTCGTTTAGTTTGAAAGACGAAATTTTTTTTTTTTTTTTTTTTTTGACGTTTCGCGACGAACAGTTGCACACGAGAAAAAAAAAGAAGAAAATTTTAAATTAACTTAGACATTGCTTAATTGCAAAGGATTAAATACTTCGGTGCTTTGGGACACCCAACAAAATTTACAATCTCACACTCACGCACGTTGGCCGTTTAATTTCAAACAAACGACTCCCCATGCATAAATCCAAAGCCCCAACCTTATTGCCTACACTGCTTGGCAGTTGACAACAAGCTTTCTTTAAAATCAACCTATAAGCCAACGAGAAACAATTGTGCGGGAGTGATTGACCAATGGCAATGGTTCAGTCACATTTCACGCATGCGCAATGGAATTATTAACATCTGTTCGGAAATTTCTAAAGGTGGTTCTTCAATAAATGACAATTTGCCTAAGGGTGCATTTTCATGGGACTAAAATTGCAGAAACGAAGCATGAAATAGAAAAGGACAGATGTATACTCGTGGCTAGATATGCCTACACATTTTTGTCCTTTTCTAACACATGTGTTGTCATGGCAGCACGTGCGTTAAGGCGCATTCAGACCTCTCGGCTGCCTGCCTGCCTACTGTAGTTACCATGGTAACATGATAAGAGTGAGTGAAGCAGAAAATTTAAATTTTTCGTCTGTTTCACTCACTCCAATTATGTTACCATGGCAACTGCAGCAGGCAGGCAGCCGAGAGGTCTGAATGCGCCTTTAAATAAAGGACAAAAATGTATAAACATATACAGCCAAGTTGAGTGGGGAAAAATTCAAGATGGATGAAAGCTGAGCACCCAGCTTTACATTGAATGTATGTGGGAGAAAATTCAATTTTTTAAATATTTAGCTTAAAAGAAATTTTTGAATCTAAATATATTAGGATTTTATTTTATATTAAAAAAAAACTATTTAATTCAATATTAAAAATGATTTTATTTTTTCATTAATTTTTTTTATTGCATTAAATAGTTTTTAAAAAATAGAAGGTAAAATTATAATATATACTTGAACTCAAAAATTTTATTTAAACAAGATATTTAAAAAATTTCTTCCATTTACATTCTTTTAATGTAAAGCTGTCGCTAAACTTTCATTTATCTTGAATTTCCCCCCACTCAACATCTAAATTTGTGTCCTTTTCAGGTGCTTCTACAATAACTTGAAATTTGTACTTGCGGTTGATTTCGATTGTTCCCAATCGCTATTTGCCATTAACTACCGCACTTTGCTTCAGTAAAAATTTAGTAACTTTTAATTTTAACAATAAAGTCAGTAAATTTTTACTAGAGCAGGGTGCGGTAGTTGACGAGAATTATGACAAATAGCAAGTGGGGACAATGGAAACTAATCTTTCTTTATCTTAAGGTTACGGTCACACTATCTCATGTATGCACAGTGCATGCATGCAGAAACATTTGGCCGGTCACACTTCAACGAAATCTAGTGAATGTTTAGTAACTTTCTAGTTATAACCGAAAATTTTGGAAAATTACTAGAAACTTACTAAACATTCACTAGATTTCGTTGAAGTGTGACCGGCCAAATGTTTCTGCATGCATGCACAGTGCATGCATGAGATAGTGTGACTGTACCCTAAAGGTACTTTTATACCTCTAGTATTTTGGTCAAGAAATCGGCGGGATTAAATTTTCACGGAGAATCACTAAATTTGATTGGCTCTAAAAAAGTTCAATTTTCACGGTGAAAATCTAATATTTGTCAGAGCCAATCAAATTCAGTGATACAACCGTGAAAATCCAATCCAGCCGATTGATTGACCAAAATACTGGAGGTATAAAAGCACCTTAAAGGTCAACACAGTATTGGGAACCGCAAAGCGGCGATACGCCATCTGGTGTCGACCCACTTGCGGTAGCCATTTTTTATTTTGTCTCTGTCTAACATATGTATAAAGAAAGAGACAAAACAGCAAGATGGTTGCCGCAAGTGCGTTCAGGGTTGAGTAGTTACACAAGATTTCGGATCCCAATAGAAACGTTAACTAAATCGTAACCGCAAATGCAATCGAAATAATGAGTTAGATAAGGACAAACAATATGTTTATCCTTCTCTAACTCATTCTTCCGGTTGCGTTTGCGATTACGTTTCTATTCTACTCATAGAGGTTCTACAATAGTTACAAAAGGCAAGTGCAAGTACAAGTCCAAATGCAAGTCCCATGAGTGCAAGGGAGATAGATAGACTACCTATTTCTTTCGCACTCATGAGATTGGCACTTGGACTTGCACTTGTACTTGGCTTTTGCAACTATTCTGGAACCACTTTCATGGAGCATTTGCACCTTCGGCAAAAAATTTTCTTCACTTTGCCATTTGTCATAATTCTTGTCAACTACCGCACCCTGCTCTAGTAAAAATTTATTGACTATAGTAACTTTTAATTTTAACATTAAAATCACTAGATTTTTTCTAGAGCAGGGTACGGTAGTTGACGAGAATTATGACAAATGGCGAATGTCAACTTTCCATGTAACAAGGATGAAAGTATATGTCTGTCCTTCTCTGTCTCTTTAGGGTACGGTCACACTATCACATGCATGCAATAACTTTGTCAATTTACACTTTGATAAGATCTAGTGAATGTTTAGTGACTTTCTAGTAATTTTCTAAAAATTTCTGTTGTAACTGTAAAGTTACTAAAATTCACTATACTATATTCCATTGAAGTGTGAACGGCCAAATGTTTCTGCATGCATGAAATACTGTAAATGTACCCTTATTTAGCATTCAAATGCAGTATACCTCACCGATCCCGAGTATACTTGCGTCGTGTACCATTGGAGTAAAAGAGACAGAAATATCTTTTGTTTCTTTTACTCCAATGGTACACGACAGAAGTATACTCGGGATTGGTAAGGTATACAAGTGCCTTTAAAGCATATTAAGGTGCTCTCACAACCTTTTTGGCTGCCTGCCTGCAGGTTCCCATGGCAACGCCAGGGTGTGAGTGAGACAGAAAATTTGAATATTCAAATTTTCTGTCGTCATAGTAACCTGCAGGCAGCCAAAAAGGTATGAGAGCGCCTTTAATTTCAATTCATTAATTTATTTGAATTTTAAATATCCCGCCACGTGAACTTCTCCCACTATGTTGTGTTTTTTGTGTAAAAACGTAACGAGTTATAAAGAGAGATAACATACGTAACAATCGTATGTAACAAAAATGTAGTGGTACCTTACCGTAGATCTCCACTCAACTAGAGTTAGTTCTAATTCAGATTCCGTTCCGAATAGGTTGCTTATACTTAAGCTTATTCCTATCGGATGTATATGTATTTTCTAAGACTTTTAATAAATTTAGTAAAGGTTTCCTCTCGAGATTAATTGATCAATAATTAGTTAATATCAATTAATCATTAATTGGTCTTTTATTCTCGTTAGGTTTTTCCTCCGTTTCAAACGGTATTTCAATTGTTTTTATTTAAACTTCCCGCTTTCTTCTTAAAGAATTTAACTAAGGTTGAATCCGCGAATCAAAGTGCGAAATTGGCGCTTGCGCGCTAAATATGCAATTCAGCTCGTAACATGGTTGTAACATACACGCCTCTGATGAGTGTTTTCTGAGGTAGTTGTGTAAATATACCCCAATCCTTCTAAATTCACTCTTTGTTTATTCTATGTCGATGATTGGAGGGGAACGTGGGGAAATTGAAAGACAAAACAAAGCACAGGAAGGCACTTGCTGAACTTCCTTCAGAATAACTGTAGGTGGCAAACGTCAGTGTCAGTGCCTTTGAAAATGATAAAAAGCACATGATATTGACAGTTCAAGTGAAAGTGTTCTTCCAAACAATTTTAATACAAAATAAGACTTTACTTTTTAACAAGTGTAACAACAAATTGCCGCGAAAATGTCATCGCCAACACAAGTGGTCAGTATACTTTATTTAAAACATATATAGATGCACATACATGTATATATACATATATATTTATATATATATATATATAAATAGTCGATAATTTCCCTTGTTCGTTTACTTTTCATAAATAATTTCTTAGCTCTGAAAGTAAAATTAATTTTCTTAAAAATTTAAAGAAAACAAATTTTTTTATTCTATTATTGTTAATGTTTAGAGAAATTTTATTTTTTTTAAGCAATAAAAAGAGATGGCGGGAATTCGAAAAAAAAAATATTTTTTTGTCAATAAACTTTCTTTGTCACAGGGTCATTAATATTATTTCGTTTTAACAATAATAATAATGTTAATTTTAGTAATTATAATTATTATTTAAAATAAATAGAATTTGGAAAATTTAATATAAATTAAAATTTTCTACTAAGGAAAAATAAAGAGAATTATTTTTTTTTATTTATAGTTAAACAAAAGATAATATTTGATTTTCATAAAAATTGTTTTTTTTTTTTGGTTTTCAAATTTACTCCTTATGTAAACAAAAATGTAATATAGGTATAATTAATATTATTTATTTAATAATTAATTAATATCTTTCTATGAATGGATTAATAAATATTCCATTTAAAAAACTTATTAAAATTAATTAAAAATGAATTAATATTATCTAATTAAAAAATTAATCATAATATTTTTTTTAATTCCAATATATTTGATTTTAATTTAAGTAAATTTTTGAATTTTTTCATCAAGCAGTTTACGAGATATAAATTTTAAAAGTTTATATTTTTGAAGATTTTTTTTTTTTTTTTTAATATAATTTCTTAAAAATGAATTAATTTTAAAACTTTTTTTTGAATGAAATTATTTATATTTTTATGTGAACTTTTGGAAAATTTTATGTAAAAAATGATCGAAAAAAATAATTTACTTCATTTTTTTCAATTTAAAAATTAAAATCTTTTTTTTTTTTTTAATTTAAATTCTTCGATTTTTTTGAAAAAATTTCAAAAACAATTATTTCCTCTTACAAAAAATTTGAACCTGGTTCCATAGTAGAGAAACAATTGTATAATTTTTTTTTTTGAATTTTTAAAACTTTTCGAAATTTTAAATTAGTTAAAAAAAATAACTTCAATTTTTTTTGTATACTAAGTATATTTAGGAAATATTAAATTTCATTTCTATTTATTTTATTATATTCGAAATATTACTATAAGAAAAATTTATTTTAGAAATGAAAAATTGTTAGAAATTTTTTTTTTTTAGAAAAATGATTTCATTAGAAAAGTTTTATTTTAGAAAAACCACGAATTTTAAGTTTTATATTAATACAAAAACTTTATTTAAAAAAAAAACAACGTTTAACTAATCGTTTTGCATATTATTTTTTTATAAGAATATTCAATTTTTTTGATTTATTTTTCAGTTGGTTTTTTTTTTAATTTCCTTTGAAATTTATAAAAGTCTGTAAATTATTGGGTTAGTCTACGTGAAACGGACCACACTCGAAATTACTAATATAAAAAGTAACATTTTTAAAATTTTGTTATTTCCACAAAAATGCATGAATAATGGAAAACATTACTGCCGTTTTTTTTGTAGTAAATTTTATGTTATACCTACTTAATTTTTAAAATTAAATTTATTTTCATTAAAAAAAAAATAAAAATTAAATTTTCAAGTTTATTTTTTATGACCTTAAACCATTTAAAAAATTTAAAAAAATTTTTTTTTTAAAAATACTTAAAAAATAGTTTAAAGTATGCAGATTCTCAATTCATCTTATTAATTATTGACACTAAACTGTAATTTTCAAATAATAAAGTTTTAATTTAAAAAATAAATAAAATAAATTTCATGCTTTTTTTTGTGGAAATAACAGCATTTTAAAAATGTTGCTTTTTATATTAGAAATTTCGTGTGGTCCGCTTCACATAGAATGCCCCTATTTTTATATTTTTAAATTATAAAATTTAATAATAAGAATGGAAATTTTTGAAAAAAAAAATTTATAAATATGCTACATATTCAAAAAAAAAAGTAAATAAAAAATGTTTTATAAGTCTGTATATTTAATTTCAAATCCATTAAAATTAATTATTTAAGTAGATATTTGAAAATGTAGTCTATAATTTCTTAAATTTGATCAGGTAATTTTTTTTTTTGAAACAGTATTTATTAACAATGAAAATTTATGTAAGCATTTTTCTTATTCTTTTTTCAATTCTTGAAAATAATTTCAATACTTCTTTTTTTAAGAGCATTTGAACCTTCGTGACGTCACAAATCATGACGCATGACACGCAAACTTCTCAGGTATGTGAAAAGAACAATTTTGAATATTTTTTAAAAAAAACCTTTTGGAAAATATTCAGAATAACATAGACTCTGTCTGTTATGTGCGAAAAATACAAAATTTTGCATTTAAAACTTTTTTTAAACAATGTTTACGTTGGTTTTGTCACAACTAAGGAAAAATACACGAATTGCTTATATGTAGGCCATTTTTGGAAAGACCAGAATAAAAATTGGAAAATTCTTATGTAATTTATCAAATATTTAAATTAATTTTATTATAAATAATAATTAAAATTGTTTATTACTAATTAAACAATAAAATGTTGTTTATTTACTTTTTTTTTTTTTTTTTAACATACAAAAATGAAGTTTTGTTCTAATTTTGCTATTTGCAAATTTCAAAGTTGTGAAAAATATTTGTTTAAAAATTGAATTATTCTTCAATTTTTTAAATAAATAATTATTTAATACTTCTTATGTTTTTTCCAAAAAAAACCCCTGAAAAAAACAGTTTTTTTCTAATTTTGAAATTTACCAATTTAAAAATTGTGAAACGTAATATTTAAAAATTAAATTAGTTTTCAATTTTTTAAATCAATAATTATTCTTTTTTATTAAAAAAAACACATATAAATTGCATATTTCAAAAAGCACTTTTAAAAAAGCAGTTTTTGGAGAATTTTTCAAATTACTCATCTCAATGTTGTACAAAACGTTGAAAATCCAATTATTTTCAATTTTTTAAAAAAATAATTACTGTTTTTTTATGTACTTTTTTCAAAAATTACTTTATGCCTTTATTTTTTACAAAATTGAGATGAATAATTTAGAAAGCTGTGAAAAAAATGCTTTTTTATATGTGCTTTTTGAAAATGTAAATAAACAACAACAATTTATTGTTTAATTTGTAATAAACAATTTTAATTATTATTTATAATAAAATTAATTTAAATATTTGATAAATTACATAAGAATTTTCCAATTTTTATCCTGGTCTTTCCAAAAATGGCCTACATATAAGCAATTCGTGTATTTTTCCTTAGTTGTGACAAAACCAACGTAAACATTGTTTAAAAAAAGTTTTAAATGCAAAATTTTGTATTTTTCGCACATAACAGACAGAGTCTATGTTATTCTGAATATTTTCCAAAAGGTTTTTTTTTAAAAAATATTCAAAATTGTTCTTTTCACATACCTGAGAAGTTTGCGTGTCATGCGCCATGATTTATGACGTCACGAAGGTTCAAATGCTTTTAACCCTTTCGTTCCCAAGATAATCTGAGAACTTCAAAAAAGATAAGTTAAAAGTGTTCTTACAGTTTTTCGGGTCGCTGATAACGAATTTGAGGTCAGATTTTTCAAATTATTAAAATTCAAAATGGCGGATACAACATGGCAGACAATTTTTTTAAAAGTGATTAAATCCGCTCGAAAATGGCTACTCGGGGGTTTTTGGGGTCGCTGATGACGAATCCGGTGTTAGTTTTTGAAAATTCAAAATGGCGGATCCAATATGGCGGACAAAATTTTGAAATTGTTAGATTCGCCTGAAATTTGTTACTCGGAGGTTTTCGGGGTCGCTGATTACGAATCTGAAGGCAGATTTTTAAAATTTTCATAAATCAAAATGGCGGATGAAATTTAAAAAATTGACCCAATTCGTTTTAAACTCGCTTCTCGAGGGTTTTTGGGTTTTTTTTTAAATTCGTTCACCATATTGGATCTATCTTTGAATTTTTAGAAATTTCAAAAATCTGACTCCAGATTCATAATTAGTAACCCCAAAAACCCTTGAGAAGCAAGATTAAAACGAATTGGGTCAATTTTTAAATTTTTTATCCCATGTTGAATCCGCCATTTTGAATTATGAAAAACTAACTTTGGATTCGTAATCAGCGACCCAGAAAACCCCCAAGTAACAAATTTCAGGCCTAGTAAGACAGCACCACCTATATCGAAAGTAAAATTTTGGAAAATTATTTACAGTATTTACTTGAAAGCAAGACAATAAAATACTTTTTCCTTTAGGATAATTATGATTATTGTCAAGAAATATACCAGCTAAAACTTTTTTTGAGTTAAAATAATAAAAAAAAAATTAATGACGATAAATTAAATATGAGCATATTTTTTTACGAAAACTTTTAAGATATTTTCTCGGAAATAACAAAAAAAAAAAGAATGCAATTTTCATTTGAAGAATTAATAAACACTAAAAAATATACCAGCTAAGATTTACCAATCACGAAAATAACAAAAAAAAACTTTTTTTTTAATATAACACACTGAGAAAAATGTTTAGTCAGAGCAATCAAAATTTGGTTGAGCCAACAAAAAAATTTTGTTAGTATTTAAGCAACCAAACTATTTGTTTGAGTCAATCAAACAATTTGGTTGAATTTTTTTTGTTGGCATACCAAAAATGTTTGGTTAGCTCAACTAAATTTTTTTTGTCAGGTCAACAAAAATGTTTGGTTAATCAAACCAACAGTTTTTTTTTGTAAAATTAAAAATTTTATTCTACCTTATCTCTTTTCTTTTTATCTTTTTTTTATTTCATTATTTATTTATTATCAATTTAACATTGAATTTATATTTATCCAATTGAAATATTTGTGGACTTTGAAAAATCTCATCTCCGTGTGGGATCGAACTTCTGTTTTAAAACTGAAGGTCGGGAGCTCTGACCACTGTACTACCCATCCTTGTGAGAGATTTAAACTAACAGCTGTTCTCTTAAGCTATGAGCTGAGAGCGAATCAAACTATTTGGTTAGGACAACAAACGATCATTTGGTTTCTTAGACCAAACTATTTTGTTGTGTTAACCAAATTATTTTGTTGTCGTAACTAAATTTTGGTTGGAATTTAAAAATATTCAACCAAATAATTTTGTTGGCCTAACCAAATGTTTGGTTGAGATAACCCTATGACTTTGTTTCAGCTAAAACCAAAATTTGGTTACAAGAACCAAAATTGTCTAACCAAACAATTTTGTTGCAAACACTAAATTTTTTTTCTCAGTGGCATATCGACACTATTTTTACTGATTTTGACAGACATTTGGCAAATAATATATTTGCAATTGTTTAGCAACAGCGCCAATCTCCTCCTGTTGTCAGAATCACGAAATAACTTGTGACATTTATTATCTACCAAATGGCTGTCAAAAATCAGTAAAAATAGTGTCGATATGTTATGTTAAAAAAAAGTTTTTGTTGTTATTTTCGTGATTGGTGAATCCTTTAGTGTTTATTAATTCTCCAAATGAAAATTGCTTTCTTTTTTGTTATTTCCGAGAAAATATCTTAAAAATTTTCGTAAAAAAATATGCTCATATTTAATTTATTGTGATTAAATTTTTTTCATTATTTTAACTCAAAAAAAGTTTTAGCTGGTATATTTCTTGACAATAATCATAATTATCCTAAAGGAAAAAGTATTTTATTGTCTTACTTTCAAGTAAATACTGTAAATAATTTTCCAAAATTTTATTTTCGATATAGGTGGTGCTGCCTTTCTAGGACCTACCCTTAAGGCCAGGTTTAAGTCAAGTTAGCTGTTCCTTTGAAGTTTCAATGGAACAGCTGACACGACTTGGACCTGGCCTTAAGACTAAACAGTTTAGCGAAATCTCCGAACTCAGTAATAAAATATAATTGTTGTAAATAAGTAGTCAAAATGTTCGATACTATTGAAGAAACAATCACTTGGAATGCGCAATATGTTAATTCTTTAAAAAGTATAGTAATAGTAGTAATTGACAAATCAGTTCACTTAATTTTTAAACTTAAATTTTCAACAGAATAAATATCTTTAATAATAACAATAATGTTTAATGACTTTCATTATTATGCACTTCATTTTTAATTATGTTTCAATTTTCAATTATAAATAAATTGTCAATGCTGTTAAATTAAATTCTGATATTAGATTTTAATTGCTTTGTTTCTTAATCACTAGATGACGCTCTGTTACTTACACCAACTTAATAATCATAATCTTGTCGAGGATCATTCTGAGTCATTTGAAGTTTTCCAATTACTCATTTTGATTCGGAACTCAGAATGATAAAAGTGAACTCAGGTTTTTACTGTGTATAAACATACAGTTTTTTTTTTTAAAAAGATAATTTTGTTTAATTAGTTTATTTATTAATTAATAACTTTTACAAGTTAAATAATTTTCTCAGATATCAAAAAATATATCTTGTGCGATATGCTGATAGCACTAGTATCCATTTTTTTAGTTTACATATGAAAGTTATTATCGTCCAAGTTAGCAATAATTTCAGATTCATTAATAATGTCATCATTACTATTCACTTCATACGATTCACTATTTTGTTTATTTAATTTAAGTTTTTCTTCATTGGAATTTCTTTTTTTTTCATATAAGCTACTTAATATTTCATTTAATTTACTTTCTTCTTCATCTAATTCATCTCTTGTTACAATTCCTTCACTGTTTATCTCATTTAATAATTTTTTTTTACCAAAGGTATTAGTATTTTTCGAATTTAAACATTTATTTGTTTGGTCCATAATCAGTGTTTCAAGATATTTAAATAAATATTTTTTTATATTAGAATAACAACGAGACTTAAAATAAATAATTCGAAATACATAATTTTTAAAATTACATATATTATTAATAGCTTTTGTTGATATATTAGTAAATGTTTCAAAATATGCAATGGCATCAGGGAATTTCTCTCTACAATTCTTGAATTCATTTCCAAAATGTTCATCAGCTTCATTTCCAAGCTGAGAAAAATTTATTTAAAGTTTTTATTCTTAAGTTATTTTAAAGTTATATACAGAAAAAACCTGAACTCAAAGTGAGTAGGAATTTTGTACTCAAATTGATATCTAGAAGTCTGAAATTCCGAGAAGGAGCATTTTGAGTAACATGAAGTTTGTCCCTTACTTATTCCGATACCCAACTTAACGGTGTTCCGTAATGGCAAGTAGTGGTTGTCTTTTAAAAATGAGATGCATTTAATTTAAAAAGGATTTTTCTCTCAACTAGGATAGAAACGGAAAAATCGAAAAAATACCAGTTATCCTGAAATGTTGTACTTTCATTTACGCACAAGAAATTGAAAATTTATTACGATAAACGACGTCAGGAAGTAAAATAAGAAATTTTTTTTTGAAGCCGTCAGGTGCTGCCCCAGTCGGTAAATTTCAGTACTACGCAAATGTTTATACTCTTTCTATTATACATCCTCCCTGGCGGATCTCGAAATCGGAATGTACGCTGAATTCGTTGTACATTTGTTACACATTGGTTAAACATTTAGTTGGAGTGAAAATTGTGTAGAAACTGAGTGGAAACTGTGGAAAAGTGTAATTAAATTGAATAATAAAAGTATTTAGTGATAGATTTGTTCTGTATTTGTGATAAGTTAACGTGTTATTAGTAAATAAATAAAGTTTAAAGTATAAACTGTTCGCTTAAGTGAATTTGACAGGCTAGGGAATTTTCTAGTGACATCCAAATTGATAGTCGATAAAGAAGTTAAGCCGCCGACTTTGCACGGTAGGTGGCAGCATTCATACTTTCTCCTTTTTAAAAATTCTCTTTTTCAATTGTAAATAGAAAAATTAATTAATTAATAAGTTATATAGTTTCTATGTTATCATTTTTTTTAACAATTGAATTTTTGAAGATTGTTTAATGAGATAAATTAAACTTGTATAATCGATGCAAATTGTTGCTTTTTAATTAAATTCAATTAAATTAATTTAATCATAATTTTAATAGAGAAAACTTTTTTTTATCTTTCTTTATTATATTATTATTTATTTTTAATATAAATGTAATTAAAAGAAAAGATTTATTTAAAAGTATTTTAAAAAGCAACAATTTGCATCGATTATACAAGTTTAATTTATCTCATTAAACAATCTTCAAAAATTCAATTGTTAAAAAAAATGATAACATAGAAACTATATAACTTATTAATTAATTAATTTTTCTATTTACAATTGAAAAAGAGAATTTTTAAAAAGGAGAAAGTATGAATGCTGCCACCTACCGTGCAAAGTCGGCGGCTTAACTTCTTTATCGACTATCAATTTGGATGTCACTAGAAAATTCCCTAGCCTGTCAAATTCACTTAAGCGAACAGTTTATACTTTAAACTTTATTTATTTACTAATAACACGTTAACTTATCACAAATACAGCACAAATCTATCACTAAATACTTTTATTATTCAATTCAATTACACTTTTCCACAGTTTCCACTCAGTTTCTACACAATTTTCACTCCAACTAAATGTTTAACCAATGTGTAACAAATGTACAACGAATTCAGCGTACATTCCGATTTCGAGATCCGCCAGGGCTGTCGTTTTATATGTGAATAAATCTTTATTTTCTTGGTGGCAAATGAAAGTACACAAACTTAGGATAACTGGTATCTTTTCCGATTTTGCCATTTCTGTCCGAATTGGGAGAATAATATTTTTCAAATTAAATGTACCTCGTTTTTAAAAGACAACCACTACTTGCCATTACGGAACACCGTTAAAATGACTTGCAAAAAAAAAAAAAATGAGTCCAAGTTTTTTCTGCGATTTTATGGAAAATAAAGTATTTTTTTTACAATATTGCCTGATTATTTTCTACAGCATAGTACTTAAAAATTTATATATTTAAGTTAAATAATTAACTTACCCTATTGTATTCATCACTAAAAGCATTTTCTAGATCTTCAATGTCTTTCACTTTAAAGTTAAGGTGTTTTCTATAATAGTCTAACGAACCTTTCAGCACAATTGCATGATTTACCTTTTGAAATTTTTGAAATATTTAATTAAATAAATTTTTAAGGAAGTTTTATGAAATAATATTTAAATTCAAAAATTTTATATTTTCGTGTTTATTTCTATTATTAAATCACGATGTCTAACAAGTCAGAGAAAAACTCCAATTCAGGGAAAAGTCATGGAATATTGATTTTTTATATGAAAAAGTCATGGAATTTCTTTTAATTTCTGGGAATTTTAAAACAAATGATTTTATTCGTAGCTTTTGGGAAATAGAAACCTTTTTTTTTTCTTTTACATTTTACCACATTTTTTTTGCTATATTTTTACGATATTTACGATTTCAATCTTTTTAGTGTAAAGTACCGGGAATTTTACATCAAACCGGGATTTCTTTTACTGAGGTTTAAATCAAGTTTTATTATTTTAATAATATATATTAATTTGTCTTGAAAAATTTATTTTTTACTTCAATAAATAACGAGAAATAATTTCAAAAACTTTATGCCATTTCGTTTCGAGGTCTTCATTAAAGGGTTATACCTAGTCAAGAGGCAAAAAAGCCATTTTTTGACAATTTTTTTCAAAGAAAGTTGTTTATTTATTTAAATGGAATTTTTTGCATCGGATTATGTAACTTTTGAAGTAAAAGTAATATTTTTTCATTCTTTAAAAAAAAACAAGATTTGATCTTATATTAACTAAATATTTTTCATTGTTTGATTTCAGTTGATACAGTTAGAAAATATCTTGGTCATCGTAAAAGACCTTTTTTTAGAGAAGCCATATGTAAATTGTTGCAGCAGTCACGAAAATCGATATTTTTATAAAATTTGAATTTTTGTTTATACTATAAAATTTATATAATCCGATGGAGAAAATTTCATTTGAATAAATTAACAACTTTCTTTGAAAAAAATTTTTAAAAAAAATTGCTATTTTTTGGCCTCCTGGTATCATACTACCAAGTTTTATTTAAATTCGTTAGCTTACTCCGAATTGTAATTAAAAAAAAACTTCTGAATTGACTACAGTAAAGGAATAATAGAATAGAATAAAAGAAATATATATATAAACTTAAAAAACAATTATTTTCATAAAATATAGTTAATTTTCGTAGATTTATTAATGCTTACAAGAAAAAAAATTGATTTGACAAGAAAAAATAAACAGGGAAATGGCCGGGAATTTTGTAAAACGAAATTAGTAGACACCTTGAGTTTTTCGTAAAAATATGTTAAAAATGGGTTAAATTAAAATTTCTGATTCTGTTTCTTGTGAAAATAGAGCGAAAAGGGTTAATTATCAATTTCTGATTATTTATTTTAATAATTTTATTTATTTATATTATATTATTATGTTATTATTTATATTTATATGAAATAATATTAATTATATTTTATAATACACTTACATGTAAAATGTAGATGAAAAGAAATAATAAACTTTTCTTGATCAAAGACATTTTCAATCAATGGTATAGTTAATGTATTCAAAATTCTGATTACTTTCGAGAAAACTTTCTTGAACTGCATATATGTATAACTTCTGAATTTATAAAGTTTTACACTAACATTATATATCGAATTTTTTTTACATCTTTATTTCAGAAATATGTTTAAATCGTGTATTCATGTAATCATCCTATAGATTATTTATCAATAAAATTCTGCTTCAATATCACTACGTTAAGAAGTATACAGAAAATTGTAAAAACTTATTACATATTTATATAGTACACTGAAAAAAAAATTTATTTGATTCAAATACTTTTTATTTGGATCAAAAAAATATGGATTTTATTTAAATAACTTGAATTATTTGAATCGCATTTATTTGAACCAAATAAATCGTATTTGGTTCAATTAAATAATTAATTGAATTAAATAAATGAATTTATTTAATACAAATAATGAGTTACTTGAAACTATTCATTCATTTATTTAACGCAAATATTTCGTTTATTTGATACAAATAAAAAGTATTTGACACAATAAATTTATGTAATTGATTGAAATAAACTGAATTATTTAATACAAATAATTCATTATTTAATCCTAATACACTATTTTATCAAGACAAATAAAAAAATATTTCAATTAATTAAATATTTATTTGGAACGATAATAATGATTTACTTGAAACAATTAATTTATTTATTTCACTCAAATATTTCGTTTTATTGAAACAAATAAAAAGTATTTGATACAATAACTTTATTTAACTGATTCAAGTCAACTAAATTATTTAATACTAATACACTATTTTATCAAGACTAATAAAAAAATATTTTAATCAATTAAATGTTTATTTGAAACAAAAATAATGAGTTACTTGCAACTATTAATTAATTAATTTATTTCACTCAAATATTTCATTTTTTTGATATCATTCGTTTTCACGTAGCGTAGTTGGTACAGCGTTAGACTCATAATCTATTTTGTGTATTCACTTGTTAATGATTTATTTTTAATATTTATTTGATGTACAGAATTTTTAATTTATTATAAAAATATAATTTTAAAAATTTAACTAAATTAAAGAATGTGTAGAAATTTATGTGTATGGAATTAAAAAAAAATTTTTTTTTCATTATAAATTTGTAATAGAATTTAATGAAAAATTTATAGAAAGTGAATTTTTAGCCAATTTGAATTTTCGTTTGTAGATATGTTTTAATATAATCTTATCAACTTTTATAAGTTTTAAACACGAATTGCGAATATTCTACGACCTACAAGTAATAATAAAAATATTTTCACTTGATATGCATTTTCTAATGTTTCATTTTTAACTGCTTAAAAATTTTAAAAAGTAAAATTTTTAAAAGAATTTTTTAGATTTACAAAATAAACTTTATTATTTAATACCATGTGGGGAATTTTTTTTTTATTATTATATTTAGAATTATATTTTTTATCCCATGAAAATAATACCTATACCATAGTCAAAACCTATTTCTAAATTATTATTATTATTATTATTATTATTATTATCTAAATTATTATAAAGAAAACAATTATTAATAATTGTTTTCTTTATTTATAATTATTTTTTATTATTTTTTTTTCATATATATTATATTTTTAGGATTTGATTTTTGACTATTGATATACCATTTTATTACTATTTGTAATGTAGAGGAAGCCAGAGAATAGCCAGTAACAATCAATAATCTACATGAGGTTATTGTCTAAGTCCGCTATCATATCTGCAACAAATGCTAATGGTCCAATTTTCCGTTAGATAACACTACTGGCATCACGCAATTTTAATCTCTTAAAATTCATTGTCCGCATTATAATTTCCCTCACGATCATTACTGCTCCTTACATTCAAATTATTTCAGTTACATAAATGCACAAAAAGCTGTCTATATTTCCACATTTTTATTCTCTCTATATTATTTTTCATTTAATTTTTATAAAAAAATTTATTTTACTACCTTTTAACAATTTTGCCTTTTTCAACATTTAGAGATGCGATAAAATACCTTTGATTTAAAAAAGACCTTGACATATATTTACACGTTACCATATTTATAGGAATAAAAAAAATAGATTTACTGTTGTTATTAATAAATGAATGTTTAACGAATTAAAGTGGCAATATCGCAGTACTGTTCATTTTTCTAAACACGCATATTATTATCAGATATAATCTATATAATTATATTCTGTAAATCCACACCTCGAATTATACTTCTTTTTCTGACTTTTTTCGACTTATTTTAATAAAAACAAAATTTTTAAACAAAATACGTCTTTTTAGTATATAATGAAGATCTTCATCATATCTTCTTTATTTCAATTATTTAACAAATTTTTAACTAAAATAAAATAAAATAAAAATAAAATAAAATAAAGAAATCACTAAAAAAAAATTCCGATTCAAAATCACTTGAATTCAATTATTTTCAAAAATTTCAATTTAAAACCTTCTAAAATTTAATTATTTTCAAAAAATTGTCAACTGTAACTCTTCCAAAATTTAATGATATTAAATTACACAGGCCTGCATGGTTTTTTTATTTTTGATATTGAAGTCGTTCCCTATGTAATTTTGTGCGCTGAACACGATCCCGTGTCCCAAAATGGCCCAGCACGTCAGAATTTTGAGAAAAGTGGGGGTAAAGAGCCCAAAAACCGTGTTTTTGGGTGTTTTCAAGAATTTTTTTCTCCTTAACCTGACGTGCTAGAAACTTCTACTAGGTCTTAAATTAAAGCTTAAAGTGTGCACTTTGAGACCCATATGCGCAAGTCAAAAAAAACTTAAGGGATTTTGAGAAAAGTGGGGGTAAAGAGCCTAAACAACGTGTTTTTGAGTGTTTTCGAGAATTTTTTCCTCCTTAACCTGACGTGGTAGAAACTTCTACAAGATCTTAAATTAAAGCTTAAAGCGTGCACTTTAAGACCCATATGCGCAAGTCAAAAAAAACTTAAGGGATTTTGAGAAAAGTGGGGGGAATGAAGTCTCTATCACGTTAGGTGAAGGAGAGGAATATTAAAAAAAACCCTAAAAACGCGTTTTTTTTATTTTTTACCCCCACTTTTCTCAAAATCCTGTCGTTCTAGGCCATTTTGGAACCCGGGATCGTGTTCAGCGCACAAAAATACATAAAAAACCACTGCGATATAAAGTATGTAAAAAAATTTTTTTGGGGCTCTTTCCCCCCACTTTTCTCAAAATCCCTTAAGTTTTTTTTTACTTGCGCATGTGGGTCTTAAAGTGCACACTTTAAGCTTTAATTTAAGACCTTGTAGAAGTTTCTAGCACGTCAGGTTAAGGAGAAAAAAATTCTTGAAAACACCCAAAAACACGGTTTTTGGGCTCTTTACCCCCACATTTCTCAAAATCCTGACGTGCTGGGCCATTTTGGGACACGGGATCGTGTTCAGCGCACAAAATTACATAGGGAACGACTTCAATATCAAAAAAAAAAAAGTCGAATTTTGCAGGCCTGTGTTATTTTTAAAATATTCTTCAAAAATTCAATTATTTGAAAGCATTATTCAATTAATAAAATGTATTTAAATAAAATTATTATTACAACTTAAAAAAAATAATAATCATAATATTTTTTCCTTCACGGAGAAAAAGAAAAAGTAATTTTTACTACTTTCAGAGTAAAACTGGACCAACTCGAAGTTTCTGCGCATCTCTGGCAATTTTTACTCCAAAAATAGTAAAATTTATTATTTCTGTAGTAAATTTTACTGTTTCCGTAGTAAGTTTTACTATTTCTAGAGTAAATTTTACTATTTTTGGAGTAAAAATTGCCAGAGATGCGCAGAAACTTCGAGTTGGTCCAGTTTTACTCTGAAAGTAGTAAAAGTTATTTTATAAAAGAAATCTTTTTTCTCCGTGTTCTGTTCACAATAGTTAATATTTTATGTTTGCATTTTTTTTTATTAGTATTTATAAAATTTTCTGTAGATTAAAGTTTCATATTTCTTTTTACGTGGATATGATATTAAAATAAATATAAAAAAATTTTTTTTGTTAAATAAGTAATCCTAAAATTTTTAGATATTCGAATTTCAAGCATTAATTTATGGAATAAAAGTTACTTTTATTATTATTAAATAACAATTATTTTAGATAAGGGATTTTATTATTTAAAAAAAAGGAATATTTTATAAAATTAAAAAAAAAAGTTTTGTATTGTTGAAAATAAATTAAATTTGCTATTTTGAATAGTTTTTAATCTTTAAATTTTTCACAAATATTTTAATTTCAAAATAAGAATTTTGGAACTTTACACGGAAAGAAAATAAATATCAAATTTTTTAAAAGCATTTTCAAATTTTGTAAAAGTATTTTTAATTTGTGGAAAATATTGTAAAAAGCGAAATTTCCATATAAGAAATACTAATCTTTAATAAACTTTTATGGAATTTACAATAGTTATAATAAAATTTGGTAGAACGTATTTGATTCATTATTAAATGACATTAAATTTTATTAAATCCTGTATAAATTTCATAAAAGTTTATTAAAGATTAGTATTTCTTTTATGAAAATTTCGCTTTTTACAATATTTTCCACAAATTGAAAATACTTTTACAAAATTTGAAAATGCTTTTATAAAATTTGATATTTATTTTCTTTCCGTGTGGTTAAAGGAAAAAAAATTTTATTAAAAATGAAATCAACAAATCAATTAAATAAATTCCATAATTATTTATTCTTCACATGTTAAAATTTTTATTAATGTCTCAATCCTTCGATGAAGGATAATTAATATTAGTCCATAATTATTTTTATTTCCCATATGTTAACATTTTCATTATCACTCAAGACTTGGATTAAGGAATAAGATTTTTATAATTTCAAAAAACCCAAATTTTTTTAAGTCAAAGTAAACCTAGAACTTTTTTTAAGTTCAAAAAACTCAAAATTTATTAATTTATTAAATATTATGTTTCAGTTAAGAAGCGTTGGTCCGAAACTAGTTCCATTTTTAAAAAGTATATCAGTTTATTTTGTGTTAATGGCTGAACAACCTTCACTACTGACTGCCTGTTTCAAATGTCTGCCAATAATTAGTCTAATTGTTTTTGTTCTCCTACATGGAATGAGTCTCTCTAAAGAGTAAGTTAAACTTTAAGTTAAATAAAATTATTTTTCTGTAGTATTTTTTTTTCTTCATAAATATATATTATAGTTTTTTGTAATTATTTTCATAAATCTATTTTATTTTCGAAGGCAGAAAAAGAATTTTTTTATTTAGAAAATAATAATTTTTTTCTATTAAATTATATTACTTTTCTATTTTTCGTTTTGCAATTACTATTCTGCTTAATTTCGCACAATCTTTCGAATTTTGAAAATTTATAAAACATGTATCGTTGCTATATTGGCCGATTTCGTAAAAAATGCGTCCATGTTTCCGAGAAAAAAATATTTTAAAAATGAATGTTTATCATTTTTTTACCAATAATTTGAATATTTAAAAGTCGATAATTTTAATATACATTTTCATAAAAGAATTTTTTAAAGAAAGTATTCGATAATCGATACTCAAAAATAATATTTCGTTCGCTTTCGTATCTAACGTTGACCAAAGAGAGAATCGACCAAATAATTGATGTGCAAAGAGGGGTTTAAAATTGAATTAAAAATTTAAATAAATTCACAAATGCTAAAAAACAACCATAACGTCGACTCAACGTTGAAAATCCTCTCCGCTCGATTAATAATAATTCAACTCAATAATAAAATAACGATAACAAATAAACTATGGAAAACTCAACTATTTATTAAATAAAAATATAACTGTTTTACATTAAACAATTTTAAGACGTTATGCCCACGGAAGATATAATTTCTAAAAAAGCGTTTATTCTCTAACGATCCTTATTTATCCAATTGAGTAATTCACCAACTTCTCCCAAGATCAGAAATATATATGTGGGGTGCGCCGCTATCTTTTCTTCTTTTTCAACCCCCATAAATTTGTTCTTGTTTCCTAGCTAATCTGGAAGCAACCTATTTTTTTACGAGGAAAGTGGAAAATCTGCACAACCTTGGAGGCTTACTTCCAAATCAGATACCTGGAGTAAGTACTCTTAGATAATGTGGGGATGACCGTTCTTATTCTGACCGACCCACTGAAAACCTCACTCTTTTTGAGACTCATCTCTCCTGGCGGAACTGCCATCAAGCTTTGAACATCGCCCATGGAAGTCTCTTTACCTAAATCCTCAACTAATTCCAGGGTAACCTCATCCTCCTGTCGTTCTCATTAGTCCTCATTATTTGCGTAATGAAGGACTCAACTTCTCATCAAGAGTCAACGCTCTGCAAAATAATTGAAACCATGTTCTTATCTGTGACTTCTCTGCGTATTACCACTTTGAGTCTATCGTTACGTTCTGAAGTACCTGCCAGATCTGTGTTAAGCTAAAAAATTTCCTGCCACATTCTATCGCCAATAGATCTATTGGCAGTAATCTAGTAAATACCAGAACAGCGCAATTAGACGCCTTTTTGAAGTCTTCTCCATGCCGGATCTTTCTGAGCCGAGAGAGAAATCTGTCAGAGATGCTGTGATCTTTAGAACCGGAGCCCATAAACAGAGGCATGCATAAAGCTGCTTTGTTTGAACGACAACGAGTTTTCGTTTCTTTTCCCTGGGGCCACCGATTTTGGGCATCATCCTCGAAAGGTTTCCCAAGCATTCGGTGATTTGGAATGTCGCGATGTTTATATGTTGACCAAAACTCTATCTTTTGTTCAACATCACTCACAGAGTTCGAACTTGACAGCTGGTAGTCTCACGCGGTAAAAATGTAGCTTCATTCATAATGATAAAATAATTAACAATGACAGCGGAACTACAATTGCAAGTGACACAAACAGTTATCCAAAACTAGTTACATTTTTCAACACCAGATGGCATGTGTACGAAAGTCAGATCCCAATAATAATTATCAAATTTGCCTTTCCGAGAAAATGAAGGTGCAAAGTTGTGCATTATAATTTTTCTCAAATCCTTATAAATTCAATTCCCTTATTCTTCAATAAAAAATTATTACTGAAAATTCCCGAGTTAGTAGACGAGAGTCTAAACTCAAAAATAAAAATTATATAAGATTATATAAATAAATCTTATATAAAAATTATTTGTTTATTTTATATCTTCGGACGTAACAGTGTTCCTCGAAGTTTGTTCTGAATTTGGTCCGTTATTGGGATTGGCTAAACTTCAATACGCCATCTGGTGTGTACCTACTTCGGACAACCATTTTCCTTTTTCATCTTTCTTTAATTAACACGATAGAAAGAGAAATAAAAACTAAAATGTCTGACGAAGTAGGTAAAAGTCACTAGACCGCCAATCCCAATATGTTTTTGGTTCTTCAGGCGAGTGTGAGACTTTTACTCTCGCTCACTGTAATTGTTCTGCTGAATTGTTTGAGTTTTTGACCCATTTTTTTCTGAAGAGCCCATTTCTTCTATTTTTAAATGCTATTTCGTGCTGTTCTACACTTCCGCGCTTTAGTTGTGATTTTTATGGTTTTGTTCGAGTTTAGAGTAACTCATTGTGTTGACTTTCTGTGTCCTTGCAGAGCTGTGGACTTCAATACTTTAATATCTCTCGTTACAGTAGTAATTGATGTTTTTGAAACAAGTCGGAGTTTGTTTCATTCTGCTCTGTTTTACCTCAGAAGGAGTCGTTTAGCTTTAGAAGTCGATCATTTCGTTTTGTTTTATCGACAGAAATTGTCATTAAGAACAATTTTATTCATATTGATGTCTACCTAGCCTATTTGTTTTGAATTCGATTCTTTCATGTATACTCCTCTCGAAGCCCGTTTTTAAGTGATAATAAACGCTTTTGACTCAATTTCGAATTTCTTATTATCCGAATTTGCTTCTTTGCTTTTTGGTCTGTATTATCCACATATGATTAGAAACGTGAAGGGCAGCGGTTGTGACCGGACGGAATTAGTTCCGGCACTCCATGCATTTAACATTGATTTTGTTCTACCTTTGATTTGTTCAAACAAGTTCTAGTCGAGGTTCTAGTTCATTTTTAGCCAAGTTCTGTGCTGTGAATATATATGATTTGTTCTGCTTTTAAAAGCAACTTTTTAACCTTTTTTTAAACCGTTCGTTCTACCACGTGCTCTCCGAGGTGTTCTTCAAAGTTTGTTCTAATCCTGATTTCTCTTCTATAAGCGAGTGTGACTTCTACTCTCGCCCATCGTAACCTTTTTGTGAAATATTAAAATTTTTTGTGTTACCCTGAGGACTTATTTTATTCTGTTCAGTATGACTTTTCATGAATTTTACTGGTTGTATCTGAGTTTGAAGTGACTCACTGTTATCGTGCTGTGACCTCTGCTGTTTATAATGCTTTGTGGAACTATGTAAACATCTTTTGTATATCTGCGGTGTCACCCTGCAGTGTTGTGGTATTCGACAGTTTAATATCTTAACTGCATACCCCTTGTTCAAGGTTTAAGTATATTTAAGGTGTTTGAAACCCGGTGTGAACATTTTCCCGCCTTACAAGTACAATTGATGTTTCTCACTCAATGTGAGTTTGTGTCTCATTGTTTTACCTAGAGAAAGCTCGACTTCAGTAGTCTTACTTTAACCTTCCATTGTTTTAATTTTTCTGATAGAAAGTTAGAAATTGTTATTGAGATCAATTATATATATATATCAATGTATGCCCTATACGCTTTGAATTCAATTCTCGCATGTATTCTTCTCATGGGAATTTATTATGATTTATGAATGAATTCAACTTATGGCAAATTCATTTTCCTTGTACTCGACTTGTCTGTTTCCAAGCGAACAATATATTTGATTCAATCTCAAATTTCCTATAAGCTGGATTTACTTTGCTGTTGTCCAACCTGTATTACCAACAGTGTAGTATATAGTGTATTCTAGAACTTTTTCGTCTTCTAAGTTTATTGTTCTGACAGTTGGCTAAGCCTCAAGTCATTTAAGAAGAAGAAGAAGATTATCCATATATATTTCATTCAGTCTACTCTGGAGACTTTTTCCTCTTCTAGTTTGTTTGTTCTGACAGTTGGCTAGGCCTCTAGTCATTAAGAAGAAGAAGAAGTTTCTCCCATGGGACTTCAGTTTCTTATATTTTCCACCCGTATAGGCGGAAACTATATGGAAAATCAGATAACGACGCTGATATTCGAACCCCTTTACATTTCACGTACGTAATTCATTTTAAAAATGAATAAAATTTGATTTCAGATACACTTTTTCAAGGAGAATTCTAACGGGTCTTGTGTTCAGTTGCATCGGCGATGCTTTACTTGTGTGGCCAAATCTTTTCACCGCGGGAATGGCAATGTTCTCGATTGCTCAAATTATGTACATAATTGCTTTTGGATTTACGCCACTGAATCCTTCGATAGGTGCGGTTTTATATGCCGGTGGTGCTTTAGGTAAGAAATTATAAATTTTTACCAAAGTTGATTAAATTCTAAATGAAACTTGATTTTGAGTCACATGAATAATGTGTAAAATATTATTATGTTTATTTAAATATTATCTTAGTATTTGTAAGCATTTTTATTTTGCAAAAATTTTATTAATCCAATTTTCCATGTTGTAAAATTTTTTATATAACTGTTAAAATTTTCGGGATGCAGTAAAATCTTATAAATCAATTGTTTGAAAATTAACTTAACAAAAAAACAACTTAAATTACAAAATTATAAAGAAACGATACATGTGTCTCGATATTTTATTATGAAATTTTAAATTAATAGCTTTTCTCTTTTTTATTCTTTTGTTCAGTCACTTATATTCTAATGCCAGGATTAAGTGGAATTTTAGCTATAGGAGTTCCATTTTACATAATGCTATTATGTACAATGGCTTGGCGAGCTATTGCCAGGGTTCAATTCTTTGATGTAAGTATCAAAGATTTAGAATTAAATTCAGAATTTAGAATTAAATTTCATATCAGAGTGACTAATCTGTATTTAAACTTTATTTATTATCAGCAAATAGTTTGAAAAAAAAATTTCAACTGATTTGCAAAATATATTGAAAATAAATATACCTACTGTTGCACTTAAAAGAAATAATCAAAAACGTAAAATTATTATTCTATCAATAAGTTTTGCATGAAAAATTGTAATTATTTTAAATCATTTTATAGGAATTATGGACTTGGACAAAATTATGCAGCTGTGTTGGTAGCATTTGTTTTCTAATGTCGGACACTTTACTAGGTTTCAATTATTTTTATAGTCCAATCCCCTATTCTCGGGTACGTACAAAAATTCTGTATTAAAAATTTTTTCAATTTATTTCAGAATTTAATTTGAAATAGATTTTTTTATAGACTTCGCAATTTTTCTTGGAAAAAATTTTGTTTTTATAAAAAAAACATATTTTGTCAAAAAAAATTACGAGTATTTGGTAGGCGAAGTGCGCTGGTTGTTTTCTTCAAACTCTAGAAAAATGTTCCTTTTTATGTACTTTATAAGTGGTAAAAAACAGTACCCCTTACATTGCTGAAAACTAGGAAATTTGGGTTCAAAGTTTTCACCAGTTAACATAGGATTTCTAATCCGAAAACTTTAATCTTTAAATTTGTTTTAAAAACGAGTATATTGTAGAATGGAATTAATAGAATAATATAAAAAAAGACTGTTGAACCTTGAACAAATGTACTTTCTGTAAAGGAAAATTACCAATTTTATAAACATATTTAATTGCAACTTTTCTTCTTGTGAAAGTCATTATTTTAGACTTTTGTGGATTAATATCAAAAGAATTGCTTTTACACCAATCATTAAATATATTAAGATCTTTTTGGAGGTCATCACACAATCATCGATACAATTAATCGCTTTAAATATTTTAATGTCATCAGCATATATAACAAAAAAATCATATTACAAAAAATTTCATCTAAATCATTCATATATATAAAATATAACAAAGAGTAATGGTCCAAGATTAGAACCTTGAGGTACCCCAGAGGTAGGAACAAAAAAAAAGGAAGAAAAACCATTATAAAAAAACTGTCGGACTTCTATTACTTAAATAAGATCGTATTAATTTAAGTATTTTATATGGAACTCCAAATTTAATTAATTTAGTAATAATTAAGTCATGGTTGACACAATCAAAAACTTTCGATAAATCTGTAAAAATTACATCAACTTGTTAATTAAATAAAAGATAATTTTCAATTTTATTATTATTGATAAATGTGAATAAATTAGATGTGTTGAACGTCGAGAACAAAACCGTGTTGACTCATAGAGAGCTTCGGAGATAAATAAGACCAAAGAATGTCTTCAATTATTATTTCAAAAATTTTAGAAAAATTACTCAAAATAGAAATAGGTCTGTAGTTAGAAACCCATGATTTATCACCACTTTTAAATACGGGATGAATTTTAGCTGATTTCCACACTGAGAAAAATGTTTAATATCATCTACCAAAGTTTGGTTCTCTCTATACCGAATTTTTCATTTAATATAGATGCAACTAGGCCATTTGGTTTTTAGAATTAAGTTTTTTTGATGAATCGTTTTGTTCGGTCTACCAAATTTTTTGTTTCGCACAACTAAATTATTGTTTTTAAGCAATCAAAAAATTTTGTTAAATGAAAATTTTTTTTTTGTTTTCTCAACTAACTTATTTTTTGGTTCACCCTTTTTGCTTTATATTGTAACGAATGTAAATAAAAAAAAAGCGGATTAGCTCGCCGGATCAGGGTTTCTAATTTTAAAAAGAAGAAGTTTTACATAGAGTTATAAATTATCGAAAATTTTTTTATTTACACTTGATAAAATTATATTTAAGTACAAACTAAAAGAAATAACATTTACAACTATATTAATTACGTTGAACAGAACGCGAATAATTATTGAGGGGTGTTGCGAGTTTCTAAAAAAAAGCGATCGTTTCGACTAGCGCATAATTCGGTCAAAAAAGGGATTTTATTCTTTTTGGAATCGTATTTAAAAATTATAAGAAAAACGAGGGAAATAAGGAACTCTTTACGCTATCATTGAGTGAAACTCAATGATATTCGCCAAAGAATCAACTTATTTACAATTTTTCGTTATAATAATTGGGTGATACCAAATTATTGTATGTTAAAGAACAGAACAATTCTCTACGTAAGAAAGTTTCAATCTAAGTGAGACTTAGATTGAACAATCGTTGTCGTAGCTGTCGTTGACTCTTCGTATTCGTAGCTATAAGTTAAGCATCTACCGTGCGTTGGTCTTCGTCCGGAGCTTTCGATCCCTAGAGTGAGACTCAGCGAATGAATTTTTAGCTTCGAAACGCCGATTTATATACCCGCTCGTTGGACGATCGATGGAGGGAGTAAATCGACAAATCTGCGCAGAGCTACTCTGATTTTGACTAGGCGACGCGCATCTTCGGTGGGGGATCTCGAAGTCTCGCAGTCCTTCCGTGGTGGGAGCTTAAGGTCTTTCTTTAACGTCCGTGCGTTTCACCTAGTCTTTTCGTTGTACATTTTTAGTCTTAGTATAATGACCGTGATTTGTCACTTTTCGTGGTTTCTTATATCACAAAATTTTTATATTCCTACAATATAATCTACCTATGCCTACTTAAATTAATTTTTATCGCGGAAAAAACCTAACACTGCTGGAGCTCGAACCCTCAAACTACGCAACGCAAAACGAGAACACTGACCACTACTCTACGAATCCTACTAACAATTTGAGATTAAATCATTTTCATCTCGTTACGGTTTTTAAGGCAGCATATTGGATTTTATCAAGTTTATCCAATATAGAGACTTTGTCGCGCCTAAAAAAAATCGCACCCCATTCAAGGTAAGCACGAACTAAACCTTTATATATCATAAGTAATGATTCGGAAGATGCACCCCAAGTGACCTTGGAAAATGCTTTGAGGGTATTGATTGCTTTAAGAACTTTATTGGCTATGGATTGTATGTGTGATTTCCATGTTAATTGCGAGTCAAATGTATTTTATTTCTTGTGAACATAGGATGGTGTGATTATTATTTATTTGTACAGAATATTCTTCAGAATTAATTTTGGCCTTTGAAAAGATACAGAAATTACATTTAGGAGTAGAGATGTTTAATCCTAAAGAAATTAGAAAATTATAAATTTTTCTTATGGAAGCATTTAATTCGTTTATACCTTCATTGATTGATTTTTGAGTAGTGTATAGAAATATATCGTCTATATATATGATGAATTTCGTGTTAGCATTAGTGTGATTTGTAGTTTGGCGGGTTATACATTATACTGAAAAGGGGATAATACGCCACCTTGTGGTACTCCTACGTATCGTCGGGTTAGTGGAAAACTATGCCATTTCAGAAAATATTTGAAAAACATGCCATTCCGCGTAAAGATTGGAAAAGATGCCTATTCGTGAAAGCCGTGTGAAACATGCCATCTCAGATGATATTTGAAAAACATGCCATTTCGGCGAAGAATTTTTTTTCTCCTATTTTAAGTTGGTGATACTGACTCGAAATATATCATTATTTTCATTTTCTGTAAAAGTTTCAGTATTTTGTGATATTTCTTCCTGATTAGCCAGATCTAACGGATAATTAAATTATTTTACAAAATAAAATAATAAAGCAACTAAAGGTTCGATTGTAAAAATGTGCTAGATAATACTTTTGTTTTCATGAATTAAAAATTAGACGTTAATAAAATGTGTATTGATTTACCAGTAATTGCTAACATTTTGTGAAATGTCTAAATACAAAGCACTTGCACTTGGCGAATATAAATTTTCACCGAATCGAGGTTGAAGTGTTGAATAATGACATAAATAATAATCGGGGTCCATTTAAATAGTCTAATTAATTTAAACTAATTAAAACCTACATTTTTATTATTGACAGTAACTAGCCTATTTTCATTAATTAAATCGTCAATTTCTATTTCTGACAGACAGTATTTTTTTTCGATTAAATATTAATATAGAAGCTAACCGACATAGTAAAAACCCAAAAAGGGTATACGTGAAGAGATCAAAATAAAAAAAATAATAATATAGAAGCTAATATTTCATATAAAATTGATCCACTATTACTATAAGAGTATAACCATTATACTTATTTAGTATGGACTTACTTTAAACTAAAAAAGCATTATTTCATACTTTAATAGGTAAACGAAATTGTATACTAATAAAGGATAAAGCAGTTTGGTGCTAAAATAGTTTGTTTTTTCCGTGTATACTTGTCGATTTGGGGGAGTTATTCCCTTGAAAGCCTCTAACTATACTCCATATACTTTTTTGAGACTCATTGCAGGATTTACAGAATTGCAGAATTGTTTGTATGAATTTTGTTTTTGCTTACGTAAAAAAATTTTTTATTTCTATTCTGTTCTGACAACCGTATTTTAGTAACGTCAACTAAAAATGCTCAACTAAATTATGTTCTTATTATCGCGAAATTATTTTTCTCAGTGCACACATCCGGGAATACACCTGTTTTGGGGCCATCCATAAATTACGTTGCACTATTTTTCACCATTTTCTCCCCTTCAAACGCAACGTAATTTATGGATGGCCCCTTATTTAAGTAATAAATTAATTTATAATAGATAAATGTTTAACAACCGCAAAATCACATTTACGAATAAAATAAGAAGGTATTTTGTCAGTTCCAGGATGTATTTTTATTACTTAACAATTTCATTTTATCTCTAATTACATTGTCATCAACATGAATTTCATCTACAATAAAATTGTGAAGTTCAGATTTAGATATTCCACAACCGGCGCACTTCCCTTAATATCCTGAATTCTGATTCTAGTAAAAAATTGTTTACAATTTCAAGGTGTCTAACGGTCAGGAAAAGTCAGGGAATTTAAATAATCAGAGAAAAATCAGGGAATTTATTTAATTTTCTGGAATTTTTTATGAATAAATTAAAGTAACTATTAGTTTTAAAAATTTTTTTTACTTTTTTCCTAAAGCAAATGCAAGTTAAAAAGTTGGCCTTCACACTCAATATTATTAAGCATGTGATATATCTTATATATTCATTAAGTAAATAATTATTTACTACAATTTATTGAATCTAATAAATGATTTTTTAAACTTAGATAACAATTAATTAATTTAAAATAGCATCTTTTTGTGAGAAATTTGAAGAAAAAAATTGATCTCATTTGGATAACAAGAAAAAAAAGTTACGTAATTTTTTTTAAAAAAACTGACATAAATTTTGAATTAGAGATATCTCAAAAAATTTTGAAAAATTGTTTGTGGGCTTTCATTCTGTACAAATAAAGGAACATATTAAGAGCATTTGAACCTTCGTGACGTCACAAATCATGGCGCATGACACGCAAACTTCTCAGGTATGTGAAAAGCACAATTTTGAATATTTTTTAAAAAAACCTTTTGGAAAATGTTCAGAATAACATAGACTCTGTCTGTTATGTGCGGAAAATTGAAAATTTTGCGTTTAAAACGTTTTTTAAACAATGTTAAGGTCACAAATCATGGCGCATGACACGCAAACTTCTCAGGTATGTGAAAAACACAATTTTGAATATTTTTTAAAAAAACCTTTTGGAAAATGTTCAGAGAAACATAGACTATGTCTGTTATGTGCGAAAAATTCAAAATTTTGCGTATAAAACGTTTTTTAATGATAGAACGTCCAACGTCCTTCCTGCAGGATGAAAAAGACTCAGGTGAGTCCCTCCGAAATCGCTTTCTAAAATTAACTTGGATTGAGATAAACACAAAAAAATATATATGGTTGGAAAGGTAAAGATACAAGCTTTCAGCGCATGTAAAAATTAAATTTCTAAATTCAAACCCCAAGGCTAGGCAACTTAAAGAAGTTAAATTTTTGTAAAACTGACCTAATGTTTAGTGCTAGATCGTCGACGCCCGGTCCTGCCGGCAGGACTCTTCTCAGTTTATTGATACGATTACCCAGCCCTGATATTTAAATTTAGAAACTTGATATTTACATGATCTGATAGCTTTTTTAATTACCTTTCGAACCATATATATTTTTTTATGTTTATCTGAATCCATATTAATTTTATAATGTTTTTTCGGAAAGACTCTCATCTGAGTCTTTTTCATCCGTCCGCAATTGCGCTGGATACAAATCTGTATACATAGTGTTATAATAATAATACAAACAAAATTCAAGATTAAAAAATATATATAATGCAGAAAATTTATTTGGTAATTTATGGAAATTTATGAGGTAATTTATGGAAATTTATTTGGCAATTTATGGAAATTTATGAAATTTTGAGGTAATTTATAATTATAATACAAACAAAAATTCAAGATTCAAAAACTATTGCAGAAAATTTACGTGGTAATTTTTGGAAATTTATGCGGTAATTTATGAAATTTTTGAGGTAATTTATAATTGTAATACAAACAAAATTTAAGATTTAAAAATTATTGCAGGAAATTTATGCGGTAATTTATGAAATTTATACGGTAATTTATGAAATTTATGCGGGAATTTATAATATCTAAAAGAAAAATTTGAAAACTAATTTTGGAAATTTATAGGGTAATTTATGGTAATTTATGAAATTTTTCAGGTAATTTATAATATATAAAATTTTATGTGGTAATTTAAGAAAATTTAATGGAAATATATGTTTTAAATAAAGTGCGTCCAGCCGGCAGGATGACGGAACATCCTGCCGGCAGGATGGCGCAATGTGCGGAGAAGCATCCTGCCGGCAGTACGCAGCGGCTTGTCCAAGCGTCCTGCCGGAAGACCCTTCCAGCAGGATGGGCGCTTGGACGTTCTATTATTAAACAATGTTTAAGTTGGTTGTCACAAGTAAGGAAAAATACACGAATTGCTTATATGTAGACATTGTTTAAAAAACGTTTTAAACGAAAAATTTTGAATTTTTCGCACAGACAGAGTCTGTGTTATTCTGAATATTTTCCAAAAGGTTTTTTTAAAAAATATTCAAAATTGTGTTTTTCACATACCTGAGAAGTTTGCGTGTCATGCGCCATGATTTGTGATCTTAACATTGTTTAAAAAACGTTTTAAACGCAAAATTTTGAATTTTTCGCACATAACAGACAGAGTCTGTGTTATTCTGAATATTTTCCAAAAGGTTTTTTTAAAAAATATTCAAAATTGTGTTTTTCACATACCTGAGAAGTTTGCGTGTCATACGCCATGATTTGTGATCTTAACATTGTTTAAAAAACGTTTTAAACGCAAAATTTTCAATTTTCCGCACATAACAGACAGAGTTTATGTTATTCTGAACATTTTCCAAAAGGTTTTTTTAAAAAATATTCAAAATTGTGCTTTTCACATACCTGAGAAGTTTGCGTGTCATGCGCCATGATTTGTGACGTCACGAAGGTTCAAATGCTCTTAACAAGGTTTCAATAAAATTGCTCCAATCATAAAAAATTCTTGTGATCACATCCCATGGAATTGCTCATATCGAACAATTTTACATTTAACTAAAATTCGATTTAAAAGAATTTCTATTAGTAGAACTCTTATAAAGCACTTTTTTAAATATTTTTTTAAAATTTTAAATTAATATAATTTCAATTCAACGAAATTTATGTCTATAAAAATTTACCAAAAAAGAACTAAGTAGAATTTTTCTTAAATGAAAATTCTGTTTTTATTTTTTTTAATAGCAAAAGTGTGCACAAAGCTGCCAAAAAATTAAAATCAAACATGACTGCTGGCCTTGATGGTGTTCCTAGTTTCCTAGTTAAGGACTGTGCATCTGTCTTTGCTCATCCTTTGTCTTGCATTTTTAATCTTGCTCTGCACAATTCTAAATTCCCTAGTTCTTGGGAGACAGCTAAAATCATACCTGTATATAAGGAAGGTGATAAATCAGATTGCAAAAACTAACGCCCTATAGCTATTATTTCAAATTTTGTCAAAGTTTTTGAGACCTGTATATTACCAGTAGTTAATAATGCAATTAAAACAATCGTCTGTGACAACCAACATGGATGTATACCCAAACGTTCTACCGTTACAAATCTAGCTTGTCTTATACATTTTATTAGAAAATCATTCCAAATGGGTTGTCAAGTCGATGTAATTTACTTAGATTTTGCAAAGGCTTTTGACACAATTGACCCTGACATTTTGGAATCAAAACTGGAATTGCTAAATTTACCTATAAATATTAGGCTTTTAATTATGAATTATTTGAAAAATAGAATACATAAAGTTGTAATGGGTAACTTTTTTTCACGGTCATTTACTTTTAAACGTGGTGTGTACCACAGGGTTCAGCATACGGATCACCTTTGTTTACAATTTACATCAACGACATAGTCGACAATATTAGTTCTATGGTTCTTATTTTTGCTGATGACGTTAAAATTTTTCGACGAATATTGTCTACACATGACGTTGAGCTTTTACAGAATGATCTGAATTCCATTTTCCAGTGGAGCAGCACTAACAAATTTTCTTTGAATTTATCTAAATGTCAGGTCATGTCCTTCCATAAGCAGGGAACATCAGCTCTGTTTTCTTATAATATTAATAACACAATTTTAACAAGGGTTACATCTGCCAAGGATCTCGGTGTATCTTTTACTAGCAACCTCAACTTTATTGACCATATCACGTCGTTAGTTACTAGTGTCTCCAAGACCCTAGGTTATCTTTTGCGGTCATTTAAGAGTTTCTCAAACATTGGCACTTTTACCACACTTTTTAATGTTTTAGTTAGACCCTCAGCAGAATATGCGAATTTAATATGGTCTCCCTACTATAAAAAATATTCTGATAGTATTGATAAAATTTAAAAACGATTTCTCAAATTTTTGGCCTTCAAGGTGGATGGGACATACCCTCCAAGGGGATCTGATTATATAATGCTTTGTGAGCGCTTTAATTTTTATAACTTTAAACGAACGACGCATCATTTCTGCGGCCATGTTTATCTTGAAAATTATTCAATATAAAATTGATTGCCCAACTCTTCTTGACTTAATTAATTTCAATATACCACGTTTTTTTACGCGACGTGGCGATATTTTTTATTTCCGTCTAAGTGACATAGCTTTAATAAATAGTACTCCGATATACTTCGGGTGCTACCATATTAACCTAATGTACAGATCTTTGAATACTAACACTGACTTAATTTTAGCTAATCCTTCTGTATTCAACGATTTTTTTCTTAAGTACGTCACCAGCCGTCGTCAAAATTGATTATTTCAGGGCATATTGCATATATTTATTCTTATTTTTGTATTTTCGAATTGTTTCACAGTAGCACATTTTGTAGTTATCCGTTTATGGTCCTCAAAAGACTGCGGAGATATATAATAAATAAATAAATAAGAATTATTCGAATTAAAATTTTCTTTAATAAAAACTTTGTTGATTAAGAACTTTGTTAAATAGAAATTCTGTTAATTGTGGATTTATTCAATGACAATTCTGTTAAATAAATATTTTGATAAATCGAAATTTACTAAAATAACAATTCTGTTAAAAAAATTGTTCTTTCTGTAATTTTTCTTAACATATAAATTCCGTTAAATTGAAATTGTATTAATTTGAAATTCGATGTACTAGAGAAAATTTGCTTTATATAACTTTACTAAATAAAAGTTTAATAATTTAAGATTTGACGCCGTAAAATTTTTTTTAAATTGAAATGAAATTAGTGGATAATGGACAGGTAAATAATTTAATTGTATCAAAATAAATTTTATTTAATCAAAATCCTAGCAGTTGTTAGACACTCTGAATTTATAAAAAGAAATATTTCAGGGCAATCAGCCACATAGATATATATATATATATATATTATATTTGCATGATAAAAAAATTTAATATTTGCAGATTTCCATCATGTTGTCATATTACGCAGCTCAATTAGGAATAGCATTGAGTGCCATTGAATCAAAAGACAATAACAAGCCAATTGAAGTAAAACGATGAGCTGATTAAGATATTTTCATAAAAAAAAAATATATTCTCAAAAATGTGCAATTTTTCCATCCATAGGAAAAAATATTTATATTTTACGAGTGATGCCGATGATATTCAATTTATAACCGAAACAAATCGGTTTATTCCCTGTACAAAAATAGTTGTAGATACATATATGAAGATATATATTTTTTAGAATTACTGTTAGACGTGAATAATATTTCAGTTCTGATTATTATTATTATTATTACTATCATTACATATTATTTATAATATTTTTTTTTCAATGTTATTCAATATTAATTTCAATTAGATGACAAATAATCAAGTCTTCTCATTTTGAGACATTTGAATTAAAATAACAATTTTTATTTTTTTTATCTTAAAAATGATAAAATATTTATTAGAAAAAAACTGAAGTAAAAATGAGAAAAATAAGCGAAGAGATTAAAAAACAGTTTTGTGTTGTTTGATAATATTTACAACTGTTTTCAATTTTTATTCCGATTTTAAAAACATATCACAAAGTTGATAACAATTTATCAATGTGCATAAAATTCTTTTCATAAAGAATGTTAAATATATATATATATATATATATATATATATATATATATATATATGTATATATATTTGTTCAAACAGAAAAGTCATATTTGAAAGAAAAAAAAATTTGAATTAAAAATTTTTTAGTTTCTTTTCCAAAAAAATATGATAAAAAAATATTTACATTTTTCATAGAAAAAAAAAATATTTTTACAAAAACAATTATTGTTAAATGGTAATGAAGCTTTAAAAAAAGTACTGGAAAAGAATATCTTTTTTAACCAGTAATATATAGTTATACTTCTGCATAATATTATATGGATAAAAAAATGAAACCTAAATCTTTATAATATATATTATAGTATACAAAAATGCAAAGAAATAGTTTAATTGTTTTTCATATGAATCTTATCACTTCTGTAAAAATAAAAATTGTTTTTAAACAAATTCATTTTTAAATTACATTTTTTTTCAGTTATTGCAAAGATTACAATTTTCAACGATATTTTGACCTTGATATTATTTTTTTTATACGCAGAAGTATAAAACTTTGCATGTGCGTAGACATATATATATATATATATATATATATATATATATATATATATATATATATATATATATATATATATATATATATATATATAAAATTATTTATTTTTATCTAGAATTAATTATTTATGTCAATGTACTACTGATTTTAATTTATAGTTTCTTTTTTACGTATTCATAGGAATTTTATTTATATTTTCATATAAGCGAATAAATATTATTACTCTAAAGAATATAAGGGGAATCTCAGGTGAAGTGATCAAGGCAAAAAAAAAAAATTGTTCTTTGATTACGCTTACACTCAGCTACTCAGGGTATTTGTAGTACTTATAGACGTTAATTTTTGGTAAAAATATTTTTTCATTTAGTCCAATATTTTTCGAGGGAGGGTGAAAGTTTTCAGGTTTTACGGTACACTGCATATTTTAATAATTTTTTTCTCTTAAATAGTAAAATAAAAAAAAAAAATCGTATCTTTCACCACAAAAAAGTTAAATTTATTTTTGACTTTCAATTTTTTTGGTCAAATTTTTTTTTCAAAAATGCATATTATTATTATCAATCGAAAGAGCATCAAAAAAGCTTAAAAGATATTAATAAAAATTTTTTTATTTTAACATTTAAGAGAAAAAAAATAATTAGAAGAAAAAAGTCATTTTTTCCCCTTTGATCACTTCACGTAAAATCCCCGATATATTGAATCTGTGTTAATTAGGTTAATGGTTCTCGTTACACGCGTAGAATAAATTTTAATAGATCAATGTGTTTAGTAAAAGTATTTTAAGTGTTCTATTTGAAATTGAAACATTAATTTTCAAATTTTTCATTTATTTATTTGTCTTGAAGAACTAGGCCTAAGCAGAATGAAATCTCTAATCGTAAATCTTAAGCTTTTACATGAGAGAGAGAGAAAGGGATAGAAATATCTTTTTGTTCTTTTCTCTCTCATAGAGATTTCATTATGCTTAGGCCTAATGGAAACCAATCAATCGAGTGTTGAAACCAGAGTTCGGAAGTTACACGTAACTTTAACTCGAAGTGTTGTTTAAATGCTAATTGTGTTTGTGCTTTTCTTATTTAATTAAAAAAAATTGTTAATAAAGTTTCAAACAATTAATTAATAATTAACAACACTTAATCAGAGTGGAATTTATAGGTTATGTTTGTAACATAGACGTAAAGTGCGTAGAAAACACAAGACGTAAATCACCAGGTAATATACATGTAGTAAACTACATAGGATTACGTGTTTATGTTCCGAACCCTGGTTTTGGGATAGAAAAATTTATCGTAGAGTTGGTGAAACCGTTGAATAATTTTGAAAAGAAAAAGCATATCAGTGTAAAGAAATCTATAAGTACAGTAATCTTTTTTAAAATTAAAAAAGCTTTACTTTATATATATTGTCTTCCAATACAAATATTGATCATAATTTTCATTTGATGATAAAAAATTAATTTTTAAAACCGCACGATCCTGTTAAACATATCCTAACGTGCTAATACAATGGGTTGGTTTCCATTGTCCTCACTCGCTATTTGTCATAATTCTCATCAACTACCGCACCCTGCTCTAGTGATAATTTAGTGACTTTATAGTAACTTTTACTTTTATAAAGTCACTAAATTTTCACTAGAGCAGGGTGCGGTAGTTGATGAGAATTGTGACAAATGGAAACCAACCAATAGCTATTTTTTGAAAATATTCCGATTTCGGATAATCACGAACAATCGTGTTCTAAGATATCTTTGAAAAACCAGCTCTCAACGTCAGAATTAAAAAATAATAATTTTTAATCAAATAGTAGATTAAACATAGTATTAAATAAGAATTTTTAAAAAAATTTTGTTTCAATTTCAAATTTTACGTCTCATATACGACAATAGTTAGACAATATTTAAATTTAGTAATAGTTATATTTTTATTACAATTTCAAACACTGGAAATAAATCTCAAAAATAAAGATACTTTTTTTACATTAAAGGGAGTCTTATTGTATATAAGGTACTTAGGTACCCTGGTGATAGATAGTGTTCGAAAATTTAAATGTTAACACATATACCAAGATTAGAAATATATAAAATTAAATTTTAAATTATCATCAATGTACTGATTATAAAATTGGTGTTAAATGTTTATTGTAATAAATATTTCCTAAATCTTACAGTTGTTTTCTTTTCTATGAAATTATGTAAGCCGCCGCCACCGCTGTTTCAAAACTCTGAATATAGCCGCAAGTCCTCCTCACCCTTCGTTGAGGGGGTGGATTTTCCGCCAAAAATGACCCAAATTTAGAGGTTTTATTATTTTGTCGGGAAACGACCAAGAAATAAACATAACCTCAAAATTTGGCGGAAAACGACCATGAAACAAACATAACTTTATAATTTAGATCAAATTTTGGGGGAAAAAGACAAAAAAAAACGAACATAACCTCAAATGTAGGTCAAATTTTGGCAGGAAATCTCCCTTAACCAAGTAACAAACATAACCTCAAATTTTAGGTAAAAATTTTTGAGAGAAATACACTTAATATACACTGTAAAAAAAATTTTGTGTCGATTTACACGCCGAATGTAAAATAACTTATTCAACAATGTTAATTTATTATGCTTTGTAAATTTAAAGTATGGCCACATACCATACTTTCCAATGTCCAACATTGTAAAATTACACAACCGTGTGAATTCACAACGTTCAGCAGTGTAAAATTAAAATGTTTAACGTTATAAATTTACAAAGCATAATAAATTAACATTGTTGAATAAGTTATTTTACATTCGGCGTGTAAATCGACACAAAATTTTTTTTACAGTGTATATAGCCCATGATATAACCTCAAATGTAGGTCAAATTTTAGCGGGAAATTACCATTTTGACTTATTTAATAGATTTATTTAAATTTAAAAATGATATAATTTTCTTTGCAAATGCGATAATTATTATCGGCATACGTATAAGTAATAATTTTAAGTAGTAAATAAAAAATTAGATAAAGTTTGAAATAAAAAAAAAATTGTATGGAATGAGATACTTGAAGAAAATGTTTAAAATGATTTAAAATTATTAATTCTATTTAATTAGTTAATTTATTGATAACTTTTACAAGTTAAATATAATTTTCTTGGACATCGAAAAATATATTTTGTGCGATGTATTAAATTTTAATACTTTAAAACGTCTTCCATAATGTCCAATTTGTTTCTTTTATATGATTCACTTTCACTGTTTTCCTTATGTAATGTTGTTTTTTTATTGAAAATCATACTATTTATTGATTTTAAGCATTCATTTGTTTTTTCATAATTCAATTGGTTAGCATATTCCAATATATATTTTCTTATTCTAGAATAACAGTTCGACGAAAATATCAACAAAATTTTTGCATAACTTTTCGTATTACATATTTTTTCCATAGCTTTTATAGATGAATTAGTAAAAACAGCAAAATATTCATCGAGATGTCCATTAGACATTGTATTATATCTACATTGCTTGAATTCCTTTCCAAATACTTCAATATCTTCTTTTGCAAGCTGAGAATAATTTAATTAAAGTTTTTATTCTTAAGATATATTTTAAATTTGTATATTTATGAAACTGCAGTTTTTATTTTAAAATATCAATAAAAATAAAAGTTATTTGTTGAAAATTATTTTTCTTATTCAGAGATGGCAATCGAAACCTTTTTAAAAAACCGTAAACCAGAAAAAAATTAAAAAAAAAAAAAATGTTTATAAAACTAAAATCCTTATTATAAAAATTTAAAAACCGTTATTACGAAATCTCTATTTTATTTCTTAGATTTTTAATTTATAAAAAAGTAAATAAAATTATACTAAATTAAACTTCTTTGCAATTTTATATAAAATTGATAGTTGATTCAATGTTTATGCTTATAAATATAAAGAAGCCAAAAACCAGATATCGAAATTTTTGACCTTAAGAATGCATTGTTTTTTTTTAATATTGCCCAGTCTATTTTATGATTTTCTATATTATAGTACCTTACCTCATTGTATTCATCACGGAAATCTTGATCTAAAGTTTCGATCTCATGTAATTTAAAACCAAACACTTGTCTATAAATATCGGCCGCACCTCTCAGCCTCAATGCATGATTTACCTTTTGAAATTTTTTAAGATTTAATTATTATTTTAATATAAACTGTAAAAAATTTTGGTAGATTTTCTTATTATTTCTTGTGTAGAATTACCAATTTTTGTAGGTAAAGTAATTTTCCCCAAGTATTTTTGTAACTTTACCAAATTTGTTCATTTTTACCCCAATGATTTGGAAAATTTTCCAAAACTTTGGGTAATTACTTAGGAAATTTTTCAATTTTACAAGCTAAAGAATTTTTACCAAAATTTTGGTAATTCTACGAAACTTGTGTATTATTACTCCAATAATTACAAACATTTTTTTGGTAATTTCTTAGGAAATTTTTCAATTTTAGTGGGTAAAGAATTCTTTCCAAAATTTTGGTAATTCTACGAAACTTATGTGTTATTACTCTAATAATTTTAAACATTTTTTTGGTAATCTATCAGGAAATTTTTCAATTCTTATAGGTAATGCAATTTTCTCAAAAAAATTTTTTAGTAATTATTGTTCCAAACTTGTGCATTACCACTCTATTTGGAAAACTTTTTTTTTTTAAATTTGTTACCCAAAACCTTTAAGAAATTTTTCGAAGAATGCGTATATTTTTATAAACATTTATGGAATATATATTAAAAAAAAAATTATTGTTAATTTAAGTAATGTTCTCTTATGTTTTTTTATTGCTAAAGTTTTTAGTTGTTAATTTTTCAATTAATTAATGCATTAATTAATGCATCGCGAAGAAAGGAACCTTAGAAGCAATCAAATTATAGTTTTTGTTTTGTGATATTGTAAAATTTACAAAATCACAAAAGTTGAATATTAAATATATTAATTAACTTTTCTTTATTATTCACAAAAAAAGATCTTTTAATATCAAAAATTTACTATACAAAATCACATTAATGAATCGAGAAATGAAAAAATCTTTTTAATAATAATCAAATATTAAGAATTAATGTCTGTAATCCCTTTTTATTTATGTACTTTTGAGACAATATTCAACTGTAACAAGCGAAATTAAGAAAAACATCAAGATTTATGAAAACTTTAGAAAAAAATCGATTATTTGGATATCTTATAACTCAATTTTGAAATAAACAATTATTGGATAATTTTAAAATTTATTACCCGCAATTTGGATATTTTATTATAAAATTTGTATTATCACGTTTTTTGCATAGATCAAATATCATCAAATATTTGATTCAAATTCAAAGAAATTGCAATAAAATAGTGCGCCTAAGAAAAATTGCATTTTTTTGGAAACTTTTTTTTGACATGGGTAGCATTTTTGGTGTTAAAATTTGTCTTCCTCCACTTGTATCGGGCTATCAATTTTTTTCTACACTTTTAGGTGATGGATACTATTTTTGGAAGGCTTCTTTATATTTTTGAATTGTTATTTTGGATTTATGTGAATTTTAAGTTTGGAGATTTTTACTTGAGTGCGTCATCATCTTTGGAAATTTCAATATTAATTTCGAATTCATTAAGAAGAATTATAAGGATTTACCATCTTACGTCGGATTAGCGTATTGAAATCTTTAATCAAGAAGAAGTACCTAATATTATTTTATTCAAGAAAACAAAATTAATTTTATGAAGATCTTTTTTTTATCAAATTTGAATTTTTGCACCTTTTTAATTTTCACCAATCGGCATCAAGATTCGTGAGAAAGCCTTTTTACCGATCGTCGCGAATTCATTTTTTGTCGCGATTTATTAATGTTCTTTTTGATATTCATTTTTTTTGGTTGGTAAAAATTGGCATTCATATCGCCGGCTAGAACTCGAAAACTATAAGTCATATTTTCAAGATTTTTATGTTATTCGATTACTTTCGATCTAATCTCGATGCTAAACTTATTTTTGTCAATTTTGGAAATGAAATTTTTTTATAGTTTTCTATGCTACCAACCGGTTAAAGATTTAACATGTTAGTATACAGCGCCACTGCTGACAGTATCCACTGTACCTATATGTATGTATATAATAGTTAAAATAAACATGGCTGCCGAAGTAGTCACTATGTTTTGTTTTCGTATCGTTATTCGAGGCGAAAAAAATGTGGAGCGATCCGCGATCGCGTAGTAGTGTTGGCCTGTGTACATGGTATAGTCACGCAGTATTGCCATTTACTGAAATTTTGCACCTGAATAATATCAAAACATAACCTCAATCATGGATGTATTCTTTTCAAGAATTGTTATAATTAACTGGTCCACCACAATTCTTGAACAGAGTAAATCCATATAATTGAGGTTATGTTTTGATATATTATTTCGATGCAAAATTTCAACAATTGGTAATATTGTAGCATTACGTTTTGATATTTTTAAATTTAATTGTTTGGAAATTATTGTCAATTTATTCTAATTTTATGCACTGAAAAAAAATTTATTTGATTCAAATAATCGGTTACTTGATTATTATCAAATAAATATTTATTTATATCAAATAATTATTATTTGAGTCAATGAAATGGTATTTGTTTCAAATACAAAAATTATTGGTTCAAGTACAATTTATTTAATTCAAATAAAATTTTTTTCATTGTGTTTATGTACAAAATAAATACTAAATAATAATCTTATAAAATTTATTTTAATTAATTAAAAAAGACGTCACACGATCAAAATTCTCCGTCTGTATAATAAAAACAGACCCCTGCTTTATTTTTTATTCATTCTTTAATATGTGATCTCGTAATACAACCCAGTTGAAAATTCCGACCACGTTTACGACGTCGTATTCTAAGTAGTTTGCGACGTAGTAAACGACGTAGTAAACGACGTAGAAAACGACATAGTAAACGACGTCGTAAATGAAAGCGGAATTTGGGATAGCAAACTACGTCGTTTACGATGTCGTTTACTACGTCGTTTACGATGTTGCAAAAATTATTTTAATATTATTTATTTAGTAATTTAGTAAGTCCAATATCCAATATTAAAAATTTTAATAATAATTTTAAAAAAAATTTATTTTTATTATTTTTTAATAGTTATTATTATTATTTTATTTTTAATATTTTAATTAAAATAAAAAAATGGTCATCAAAATATTAGTGAAACCATTTCTTCCAAAAAAGAATTTGTCTCAAATCCAATAAAGGAGAGACATCGGGCAGAAAAAAATTTCGACAAAAAAAAATTTTTCGATCACTGCTTATATACCAATCTAATAGCACCTCAACTGCGAGAAACAGTTATGATGTTCGCCCTCCCTGTGGCGTTGAGCGAACTTAAGTCCAGAGCTGAGCCATCAGCGCAGCGCGGAAACATTTGAAAAATTTGATTTTATTAGATATTTTATTTTATTTTAAATATGACAAATAATTAACTTAATAAATAATTAATGTCATAAATAATTATTAATAACATAATGTCATACTTAATAATTCGTTAATTAATTATTTTTAACGAAAATTTGACAAAAAAAAAATTTGTTGGCCAAAAAAAATATTACCATTAAAAAATAATTTTTTTGTTAAATTTTCGTAGTAAAAAAAATTTTTTTAAGACAATTATTTGTGACCTAAAAAAATATCACGATGAGAATATAATTAACAAAAAAAATTACTCGTAGCACAGAAAAAATTTCACCATGAGAAAATAATTTTTTTAAAATTTTATTTGTAAAAAATTTATCGGTAGCTCAAAAAAAATATCACGATGAGAAAATAATTTTTTGTCAAATTTTCTCTGTAAATAAATTAATTAACTAAATAACGTACCGTAAAACGGGGTTATTTCGCTCATTGCGGGTAAATTCGCTCACCCACTTTTATGCTTTATTTCAGCTTTAAAATAAAGTTTAATACCTTTATTAGCAGGTAAAAATGTTAAATTTGTTAATAGAAATACTAAATTTTAGTTTTTAATCAAATTTAAAGCAAAAAAATGGGTGAGCGACTTTACCTGCACTGAGCGAAATAACCCTGTTTTACGGTACGTTATTTAGTTACTTAATTTATTTACTACGAAAATGTAACAAAAAAATATTTGTAGTACAAAAATAATATCAAGATGAGAATTCTAATTATTTTTAAATTTTCTCCGTAAAAAAAATATTTTGTGGCCTAAAAAAATTATCACGATAAGAAAATAACTTTTTTGTCAAATTTTCTCTCCAAAACAATTAATTCACTAAATACCGTAATAAATCGTTGTTTTTTTTACTACGAAAATTTACCAAAAATTTATTCGTAGCACAAAAGAATATCACAATGATAAAATAATAATTTTTTTTCAAATTTTCATTGAAAAAAAAATTCGTGTTTTTAAAAAAAATCACGATGAAAAATAATTTTGTTGTAAAAATTTCTCTGTAAAAAAATTTAACAAAAAAATTGTACGTAGCACAAAAAAATATTACGATGAGAAATTTACTTATTTTAAAATTTTCTCAGGAAAAAAATTATTTGTGGCCCAAATAAAATATTACCATTAAAAAATAATTTTTTTGTCAAAATTTCTCTGTAAAAAAAATTAATTAAATAATTGTATAATAATAAAATGTTTGGTCTGTCTTTCTGTCCTAACTTGAAGTTGGCCTTTTCTGATTTCACGTGTTTTTTTGAATAGTAATCTTATGACGTGTCAAATTTTGACAATTTTTTTCCAAATTTCGGAATAAGTTTCATTAAAATTCCAAATTCGAAAATTCAATTCACGAAGCTGAAGTACACAACGTTTACCAACGAAATTTTTTTTAAAGTTGTATATTAATTTAAAAAATTGTATATTGATTCAAAAATTGTATACAAATACAAAAAATTTATGATGAGAAAACAGATGCGCCAGGAAATTTCGTACAAGATAGTAATTTGAAAAAAATTTATTTTTAAGGTACCAGGGGCCAACGATTACCTATTAAATATTAATTATAAAAACACAGGCCTCGAATCAACTTAAAGACACAAAACAGTCGTTTTAGTCGATTTATATTCCAAAAAAAAGTGGATTTGTTTTTCATTTTAACAAAAATATTTTACAGATTTTTAAATAAAACTTTTTTTTTTTTTAATAATAATCCTTTTCGAACGGTTAAAGTTGAAATTTTTAGAAATAATTAAATTTCAAAAGATATTGTTAATTTTCAAACAATTATTAAATTTTACAGAACTAAAAATAATTTATCAAACAATTTTTGGAAAACATTTTTTAAATTTAATTGAATTTTCAAAGATTTAAAATTGGATAATTATTGAATTTTAATTGATTTTGAATTAAAATTTCGGGTAATAATTGAATTTTAGTTTATTTTGAATTGAAATTTTTTAAAAATAATTCAATTTTATTGTGATATTTTTTTTTTAATTATAAACAATTGTTAAATTTCATAAAAATTTTAATTGAAAAATAATTTTGATATAATTGAATTTGTGATGTATTTAATTAAAATTATTAAAAATAATTAATTTAGTGAAGAATCATTTTAGTTCAAAATTTGTTAAATAATTGAATTGAAGAAGATCTGAAGAAGATCTACATTTTATACAAAAAAAAATGTATTTTATTTACATTTCTTTCAAATGTAAAAAAAATGTCGCATTTTATTAAAATAAGTCGATAAAAGTCGTATTTTTGAAAAAAGTCGGAAAAAGTCGTATAATCCGAGGCCTGTAAACATATAATTTTCATTATTATCATTTAATATGTTATAATATTCTAATAAATTAAATTATTATTAATAATATTAATCTTTAATTTCTTTATAACAAATAATTAAGTCCTCAATTTGGCGCGCTTCCGCGCGTTTAATTTTGCTAGTTAGCTTGATAATTAGTTAATTAATTTTTTTACTACGAAAATTTAACCGGGTAATAAATGTATTAAACTTTATTTTAAAGCTGAAATAAAGCATAAAAGTGGGTGAGCGAATTTACCCGCAATGAGCGAAATAACCCCGTTTTACGGTACGTTATTTAGTTAATTAATTTATTTACAGAGAAAATTTGACAAAAAATTATTTTCTCATCGTGATATTTTTTTTGAGCTACCAATAAATTTTTTACAAATAAAATTTTAAAAAAATTATTTTCTAATGGTGAAATTTTTTCTGTTCTACGAGTAATTTTTTTTGTTAATTATATTCTCATCGTGATATTTTTTTAGGTCACAAATAATTGTCTTAAAAAAATTTTTTTTACTACGAAATTTTGACAAAAAAATTATTTTTTAATGGTAATATTTTATTTGGGCCACAAATAATTTTTTTCCTGAGAAAATTTTAAAATAAGTAAATTTCTCATCGTAATATTTTTTTGTGCTACGTACAATTTTTTTGTTAAATTTTTTTACAGAGAAATTTTTACAACAAAATTATTTTTCATCGTGATTTTTTTTAAAAACACGAATTTTTTTTTCAATGAAAATTTGAAAAAAAATTATTATTTTATCATTGTGATATTCTTTTGTGCTACGAATAAATTTTTGGTAAATTTTCGTAGTAAAAAAAACAACGATTTATTACGGTATTTAGTGAATTAATTGTTTTGGAGAGAAAATTTGACAAAAAAGTTATTTTCTTATCGTGATAATTTTTTTAGGCCACAAAATATTTTTTTTACGGAGAAAATTTAAAAATAATTAGAATTCTCATCTTGATATTATTTTTGTACTACAAATATTTTTTTGTTACATTTTCGTAGTAAATAAATTAAGTAACTAAATAACGTACCGTAAAACAGGGTTATTTCGCTCAGTGCAGGTAAAGTCGCTCACCCATTTTTTTGCTTTAAATTTGATTAAAAACTAAAATTTAGTATTTCTATTAACAAATTTAACATTTTTACCTGCTAATAAAGGTATTAAACTTTATTTTAAAGCTGAAATAAAGCATAAAAGTGGGTGAGCGAATTTACCCGCAATGAGCGAAATAACCCCGTTTTACGGTACGTTATTTAGTTAATTAATTTATTTACAGAGAAAATTTGACAAAAAATTATTTTCTCATCGTGATATTTTTTTTGAGCTACCGATAAATTTTTTACAAATAAAATTTTAAAAAAATTATTTTCTCATGGTGAAATTTTTTCTGTGCTACGAGTAATTTTTTTTGTTAATTATATTCTCATCGTGATATTTTTTTAGGTCACAAATAATTGTCTTAAAAAAATTTTTTTTACTACGAAAATTTAACAAAAAAATTATTTTTTAATGGTAATATTTTTTTTGGCCAACAAATTTTTTTTTTGTCAAATTTTCGTTAAAAATAATTAATTAACGAATTATTAAGTATGACATTATGTTATTAATAATTATTTATGACATTAATTATTTATTAAGTTAATTATTTGTCATATTTAAAATAAAATAAAATATCTAATAAAATCAAATTTTTCAAATGTTTCCGCGCTGCGCTGATGGCTCAGCTCTGGACTTAAGTTCGCTCAACGCCACAGGGAGGGCGAACATCATAACTGTTTCTCGCAGTTGAGGTGCTATTAGATTGGTATATAAGCAGTGATCGAAAAATTTTTTTTTGTCGAAATTTTTTTCTGCCCGATGTCTCTCCTTTATTGGATTTGAGACAAATTCTTTTTTGGAAGAAATGGTTTCACTAATATTTTGATGACCATTTTTTTATTTTAATTAAAATATTAAAAATAAAATAATAATAATAACTATTAAAAAATAATAAAAATAAATTTTTTTTAAAATTATTATTAAAATTTTTAATATTGGATATTGGACTTACTAAATTACTAAATAAATAATATTAAAATAATTTTTGCAACATCGTAAACGACGTAGTAAACGACATCGTAAACGACGTAGTTTGCTATCCCAAATTCCGCTTTCATTTACGACGTCGTTTACTATGTCGTTTTCTACGTCGTTTACTACGTCGTTTACTACGTCGTTTACTACGTCGCAAACTACTTAGAATACGACGTCGTAAACGTGGTCGGAATTTTCAACTGGGATTAACCGACGTTTTTTTTTGTGTCTTATAGTTATTTCTTTTAAATATTAGAATCTTGATAATAATTTTGAAGAAAATATAATATTACATCAATTCGAAAAAGGAAATTTAATATAAAATTAATAAAAAAAAGGAAATTAATTTAATAAAAAGAAGGAATTGTTTGGAAATCTCTATTGGAAAATCGTTGCCAACGGCCATTTTGATTCTATTAATTTTGGAATTCTCTGGTTAAAATTTTATATTACATTTATGAATGTTATTTCAAAATTATTAGCCTGGTGACCTTGTGTATTTTCCAGACTAATTTAACGATTAGAGAAAAATTTATTTGATAATTAGTTCTTTTGTCCCTTAATTATTTTTTTTATTTTTGTCCCAAGAAAGGACTAGCGCCCAAAAAATATAATCTTGATTAATTTTTGATGAATTATTTGATTTGAATAATATTTAACATCGTTAAAAATCGAGGTTACAGTTTATAACAGTTTTACCTTGATTAAAAGTTTCTTTTCGTTTTTGTAACATTAAAATCCGTTTTTTTATTGATTAATTTATATATAAAAAAGACTCAAACATCATTGGTTTTTGCTACTATAAGGTCCCTTTCTTCGCAACGTGTCTAATTTTCAGGTGGTTCAGAGTGGTGTGTAACTTTTCATAATTAAATTTTTTCAAACGTATTTTAAAATATACTTACATGCAAAATGTAGATGAAAAGAAATAATAACAAGCTTTTCTTGATCAAAGACATATTTTCGTATTTCAAATACTCGTTACTTCTGGTAAGGTTTATTTAAATAGCATACAACTTCTGAATTTCTAAAGTTTTTCATACGTATTTTACTTTGAACATTTTATATCTAAATTTCAGAAATATGTTTAAGTCGTGTGCTTAAATAATCATCCGATTGATTATTTATTAATAAAATTCTACTTCAATGTCACTTCACTTTAATAGTATACAGAAAATTGTAAAAAAAAATTTTTTTTTAATTATTTAAAAATAGTTAAATTAAAATACTTATTTGCAAATATTTTACGACCTACAAGAAATAATAAAAAAAAAATTTTCTTTCATTTTTCATTACCCATTTTCTAATCTTTTATATTTAACTGCTTAAAAATTTGTAAAAGTAAATTTTTCTAAATTTATACAATACACGCTTTATTAAGTTAAAAATAAAAAGAGAAAAATTAAAAAAATTATACAATTGATAAAAAAAAAATATTTAAAATATTCATATTTAAAATTTTTGTTGAAATAAGTAATCCTAAAATTTTTTGATATCTGAAGTCCAAAACGATAATTTTTTTAACTCTTTTTCTTTGTTTTTAATATCTTTTAAGACTTTTACTTTTATTTACTCTCCCTGCTTTACACAGGGTTCGAGGACCCAATTATATTTTTCTTAGAAACTAATCTTTACAAAAAAATCCTTAAAACTAAACGCAACTTATAATTAACTTATACACTGAAAAAAAAATTTATTTGATTCAAATACCGGTGTATTTGGTTATTATCAAATAAATATTTACTTGAATCAAATATTTCTTATTTGAATCAAATATATAGTATTTGAATCAAATATTTCAGTATTTGAAGCAAATACCATTTATTTGATTCAAATAAGAAATATTTGATTCAAGTAAATATTTATTTGATAATAACCAAATACACCGGTATTTGAATCAAATAAATTTTTTTTTCAGTGTAACTAACTTAATCTACCTATCTTGCCGGGCTTCCGTTTCCAGTTTCTCCTCTATTCCTTTCTGCTCTTCATCCATTCCTCGCACACACCTCTCTAACACATGTTCCCAGTCCTCTCTCTCATATCCACACATTCTACATATCTTCTCTTCTTCTCCCATCCAATACTTGCATTCTCTCATCCCCTCACCCATTCTAAACTTACATACTCTATTCCATCTTGCATACTTTTTCATTTTCCCAAGATAACTTGGCATTCCCTCCCCCCTCACCGCCCTGTACCATTTATTATATCGCGAATTTACTATTTTTTCCCACCTTTCCTCCTTATGCTTCCTACCCCACCCTTCCAGTAAATCCTTTCCTATTCCTACCCATTCTAATCCCTCACTTATCGCTTCCTTCCTTCCTTTTTCCCATTTAGATATATCCCCTCCTCCCTTGTTCTCTCCGTTCTTCACTAGCCTCCAACACTCCTGCGCCAGACTACTTCCCCTTCCCTGCCCCAATTTCTCTTCCAAACCCATCGCTCTTTTCCTCTGCCTTAATACTATTTTTTCCCTTCCTAACTCTTCCCTCAACATATATCCCGGGCAGTTCCACCCTACCCCCATCGTCCATCTCAAAAACCTCTCAGGCATTCTTTCCACCTTTCCGATCTCTCTCCATCTCCACACTTCCACCCCATAGCTTAAAACCGACCATACCAACGCATCAAACAACCACGCTCTTTTCTTCCAATCATCCTTGAATCTCCTTTCATCAATCCCCCACACCTGTCCCATCATTCTTGCCGCTCTCTCTATTCTTCTACTAACATTCATACTCTGCCCCCATTATAATTAAACCAGTACCCTAAATAACAAAATTCACTCACTTCTTCCACCTTTTTTCCATTTAGCTTCCATACCTGATCATCTTTCATTCTTTTCTTTCTGAATCTTAACACTTTCGTTTTCTCTACATTCACACATAACTCTTTCTCTCTCACATATCCTTCAAACTCATTCATCAGCAATCTCATTCCACTCTCATTCTCAGCCATCAGAGCCACATCATCCGCATATGCCAAAATATAGACCCTTCTCTTTCCTAAACTTACCCCTCCCTTTCTCCTTTTTTCCATTCTCTCTTCCAAATCCGCAATCAACAAATTAAACAACAATGGACTCAGGGGGCATCCCTGTCTTAATCCCCTCGCTAACCAAAAAACATTTCCCAGTTTACTCCCTACCCTAACCCTTTCTCTTGTATCCTCGTAGAACTCCTTTATCCTTTTGACCAACCCCTGCTCAATTCCCCTCTCCCTTAAGACCCTCCATAAAACCCCTCTATTCACTGAAGGGAAGGCAGCCTTGAAGTCCACGAACGTAGCAATCAACTTTCCGTTTTTCCCTCTCAAATTTCTGTTGATCAAATAATTGATAACATAAATGTTATCAATTGTACCCATTTCTCTTCTAAATCCCGTTTGATTATGTGGTATGCATCCTAAAGCCTCTACTTTCTCCTCCAATCTTCTTCTCACTACTTCCGCATACACTTTATACGCTACCGGCAACAACGACACTCCCCTGTACTCCTCCACTTTTACCCCCTCCCCTTTTTTCCTTATTGGTATAATCAATCCTGTTCTCCATTCTTCCGGCAATCCCTCTCCCTTCCATACCATATTAATTATTTCCCATAATTCTTCTGCCACCCCCTCGCCCCCAAATTTTAGACACTCTCCCTCTATTCCATCTGCTCCTGCCGCTTTTCCTCTCTTAAGTCTTCCTATTGCCACGTTCACTTCCTCTCTCTATTTATCACCTCCCATTCTCGTCCCTCCATTATTGCTGCTTCCACTTCTTTTATAAATCTCTCTTTTCCTTCTTCCCTTTTCTTCTTTACCACACGGAGAGAAAAATCTGCCTTTTATAGTATAGAAAGGTTTACATTTAATGCACAGAAATTTTCTATGCTATATAGACATGAAATTTGAGTAATTATAGTACAATCGTATGTCTTTTTAGCATGAAACTTGTCTATGCTAATAATGTTTGTCATATAGCCTCTTATTACATACTTATTATACTTTTAATCCAACGGCGCCATGCGAAGATCGCACATAACATCATCCTACTATGTTTGCATAAGTTCTATGCTTTTTCGGGGATAGACTCTTGCAACTGGCGATTAGGCATTTGTGTGAGTATTCACAGTTACTTCCAATTCAGTAGAAGTGGGCGTGGCCTAATCGCCAGTTGCAAGAGTCTATCCCCGAAAAAGCATAGAACTTATGCAAACATAGTAGGATGATGTTATGTGCGATCTTCGCATGGCGTTGTTGCTATTAAACTACATGTTTCGTACTATAGAAGCATATATACTATGCTTTTTTAGTACGGACAAATACTATCCTAAAAATTCTCAAATCTTTGCTCTATTAGTATGAAAAGTTTAAAGAAAAATAGCAGCAATCTATTTCATACTATAAAAGGCAGATTTTTCTCTCCGTGCAGTTTCCCATGTTCCTTATGCCTCTTATTATAATCAAATTTTGCCATTCTACCCTTTCTCCAATCTCTCACACAATCCCTTAATTCCTCTCTGCTTTTCTCGCATTCCTCATCCCACCATCCTTTCTTTGACTTCACTTGCTCATCTTTTAAGACTTATTATTATTATTTATTATATTATTTAAATTATTTTTTTTATTTATTTTTATTTATTTATTATTTAAAGATTTGTGCGTATAATGATGCATAATTCGAAAATTATTAAACTACTAGCAACTTTGTCGTCCGCAAGCGGCCGACTACGTTGCTAGTGTGCATTAACCATATTTTTTATTCATTTTTTTTCAAAAAAATTTAATATTAGAAATGTAAAAAAAAATTTCTTTATATTGGATCTACCACCCAAGTAGCACGGAATATTGCTTGAATGTCAAGCTGATATCAACCGGGAATATTTTTGTGACATTCAGGCGATATCATAATGTCCTTTTCACGGGGACATTCCTCCGTGATGTATCTATGTTACGGTCTTTCACTTACTAAACCTAAATAATTCTGTGGTACTTTACTTTCATCTAAATCTTCAAAAGACATTATTGCAACTCCTGCACTTTTTTTATTCCGATTATCGTTTTTACATGTCAAATTCTTTTCTTCACACATTCTTTTCATCTTCCGTTGCCGTAGAAAATTTTTTCTTCTTACATGACAAATTATTTTCTTGACACACTTTCTTTTCATCTTGAGTTTCCATTGATATTTTTCTTTTCCTACATGCCAAATTTTTATCCTTGCGTATTTCCTTTCCATCTTCAGTTTTTATAGGTAATTTCTTTTTTTTGCATGTCAAATTTTTTTTGCGCTCTTTCTTTTTTATTTCTGTTTTATTACTATTACGTTTTCTCAATCTCTCATTCTCCTGTCTTATTATTTACTGCTCATATGTAACTTCGCGCCTTGCCTTCCTTTTTCTTCCCTTCTCTTTAATTGCTCGATTTATCTTTTTATCATTTTCTTTACTCAGAAAATTTTTCATTGTTAACTATTCATGTGGTAAAATTTTGTTCACAGTATTATAAGTTGTACGAATTATTTTCTTTTCACTAGTGTCATTTAAAGAATGTTTAATTTTTAACTCTTGTGTTAATAGAACTCTGTTAATATTATTACTGGGAAAAGTATTAAAAACAGAACAATAGTTTAAAATATAATTTTTATGTTCCTGAGTAATCAGTAGTTCATTATAAATAACATATATACGTATTTATACCTGTATTAAAACCCCGGAACAAATACCACAAAAGAACCAACCATTGGACAATAGAACCTTTGTTAATGAGGATTAACTCTGAGGACCCAGGTAATAATTTCTTTTTTCACATTTATTATATAGAAAAATAAAGATGTACCAACCCTTGGCCAATAGAACCTTTGTTAATGAAGATTAACTCGGAGTACATAATGAAATGTAATAAAAAATTATAAAAATTTAAAATATTATTAAATTATGAGTGTTTTGAAACATTTTTTAACGTTATTTAATGCAAAACATATATATTTACAAAGTATGAAGCAGAATATTATTATTGAAACAATTATTCATTATTTAATAATTAATAATAGGTGTCCCACTGTTTAACACAAACCTTAAAAACAAGAAAAATGTATCAAGTTCCAAAAATTTGAAATTATATTGTAGTACCAAAAAGTGTCCAAAAATATATAAAATTGACATATTAATATCTCTTTGAAAAAAAATGTCCCACTGTTTGTCACTCTCCCCTACATACATATATACATATGAATGAATATTTTTTTTTATTTTTAAAACAAAAATGGAAGAAAATTAAGATTTTAGACGATGATGTTCTTATGCCATTTTCAATCGTCTAGATAGAGAAACGCAATGTTAAACAAAGAAGTACTTATGTTATATTCCTTGGTGTAAGAAAGAAAGGTATGCATTACCTATTCAGTTTTACACTTTCTTTATAGCTTTTTCACGTGATAAAGGGAGAAAGAAATAATTACCTGGGTCCTCAGAGTTATTAATTAATCCTTCTTAACAGATTGCAGGTCAAGCGAACCCTCATTTGCAAAATAAAGATATATCTTTCTCTCTCCATAACTTGTTCTTCTCTCTGTCACAGAAAACCCAGCAGGGGTCCGGACGGAATGAATGAATACAAAGATTATTATAGTTAATTGGAAAGATTACATCACCTGATATGTTTTTAAAAACATTTTTGTTATTTTCCCATTTTGGAATCATTTTTTTTTTTTAAGACTCAGAATAATCTAGAAAAATTGAAAGGAAAATTTGAAACCAAAAAAAAATATTGAACCTTTTTTTTCTTCAACAGTAACTCTTATTTTTCATTTTTAACTCCTTATCCCCTTTAAAAATTTTTTGTTATAATTTTTTGTTCTTGAAAGCTGGGATTTTTTTCAACAAAAATTTATAAATATAAAAAATGAGAAAATACTGGGTTTGATGAGAAAATATGAAAAACAGTGTAAAAAATCGATTTTTTGTTTTATATTTTCTTTAAAGTCCAATGTTGTCCAATTTTTATATTTATACAGTTTTGTTGGAAAAAATCTTAGCTTTCAAAAAAAAAAAAAATAAATAACAAAAAAAGAATTTTAAGAGAAAATAAGGAGTTAAAACTAAAAAATAAGGGTTAATTTTGAAAAAAATGGTGTTAAAATATTTTTAAAAAAAATTTTGTTTGGTTTTGAAAATTATACATTTGAAAAACCCAACAAAAAATCCTATTGATAGTTAAAAATCCATAAAGTTTCGTAAAAGTTATATGGATTTGAAAATAACATTGTTATCCAAAAACACAAAACTTCAATCCCCTCTACTTTTTATAATAATTAAAAAAAAAATAAGTTTATATTTTGAGATTTTGTTACTTTCATATAGGATAATTTACTAAAGTATCAAGCTAATTCCAAATGTATAAAAAATTAGAAGAACTACAATTTTTTTTACAAAATATATAATTATTTCCGTTTTTCTGAAAAATTGTTGTCTTTTTGCATTTTTTTTCTACAATAAAATAATAATTTATAATGAAACTTTTTGAATATGAAAACTTATTCTTATTAAAGAATATTAAAAAAAAATAAGAGTTTTGAAAAATAAATAGGGTCACAGTGAACCCGAGTGTGATTCGTGTTCGAAAAACGAAGTGTGTGCTCCGAGGGTTAAATTAAATTTTGAACACAAGGATAAGTTTTTTTTTAATAACTTTTTTTTATTAATTACTTTTACAAGTTACATACAATGTTACATAGAAAAATACATCCTGTATGCAGCATAGGTCAACTGAACGCAGTAATATTTACATAAATTGGCGTTGTTGGTATACTAATTACATCTGACTTACTCTGATGCCACGCTTTCACTATTTAAATGCAAATTTTCTTCTTCATTTAATGTATTTAATTTTTCTTTTCTTGTCCTTATTTTTTCGAATAATTTATTTTTTTGTTTATTCAAAGAGTTTATCGTTTTCTTATAGTTACTTAGTTCCTTATGGTATTTATTAGAATTAGAGCAATTCATAAATTCTTTAAAAATTAACGTGTTAACATATTCCCTAAAAAAACTTTTTAAATTGGAATAACAAGGCGATTTCATATGCAACAATTTTTTAATACCTTTTTTCACTTTGCATACATTTTCAATAGACTGTTTATTACTATTAATAAATTCTTCAAACCTTTCATGGGGTTGAGAAAATTGACAATGATTGCTTTTTGTTCCAAATTTACTTTCACCTCTTTTTATAGCCTGGGAAGAAATTTATTTAAATTTTTTTTTTATTATCAGAATATTTTAAACTCGGAAAATTTGAAGATTTTAATTGAATAATTATCTTTAATTATAATTATCTTACATGTTTGAATTCTTCATTGAAAGCATTTTCTATATCATCAATTAAGCCAACTGGCAGATTAAGATCATTTCTTAAATATTCTGCTGAACCTTGTAACTTCAATGCATGATTTCCCTGTTGAATATTTTTTTAAATTTAATTAAAGAAATTTTTATTTTTAAAAGTTTCGTAAAATAATTTCCACGAAATCTCAAGAATATTTCATAAAATTTCTAAAAATTTGCATGAATTTTAATTTATACAAATAATTAATTATATGTTAAAGAATAAACAACATTTCTCTCCAAAGAACAAATATTATTGAATCAAGTAAGCCTTTGATTGAAAATTATTCAATAGAAGAATATTTGTTTCTAATATATTTTACAATATACTTACATGAAAATAATAGATGACAAGAAATAATAACAAAGTTTTCTGAATCAAAGTCATTTTCAACTAATAGTAGTTGACGTATTCAAAATTCTAGTTAGTTTTGGTAAAACTTACTCTGTCAAACATGAACTTACTTCTGAATTTTCTAACGTTTTCCACACACATTTTATTTCAAATGTTTTTATCTAAATTTCAGAAATATGTTTAAATCGTGAGCTGAAGCAAGCTAAAATAATAAACCTATTGATTATTTATCAATAACATTTTGCTTCAATGTCACAATGTTTAAAACATACAGAAAAACTGTAAAAAGTTATATTAAAAATAACAAAATATTTTTTAATATTTCTAAAATTTGTTATTAGAAAATGTTCATATTATAACATTAGTGATTATTTTTTTGTTATTAATATGAAATAGTCGTATAATTATTGTTCACCATATGACTATTTAAATTTTTAAAAATCAACTTTTAATTTCGTAATTCGCAATTCCTATAAAAACTTACAATTTACCCTAAATTTCCCTTATTTTTTTTTCAAAAAATTGATATAAAACTTTTATTTTTATGAGAATACTTATTTAAAATATTAATTTTCTACTAAAATTTTATGAATTTATAAAAAAATGTTTAAATAGAAGGATTATTTATCGAATAAATATCTAAAACATGTAATTAAAGAATCTGGATTCAAAACCTAAACAAAGGAAACTTTACCCTAGTGAAAAAAACACGTATAATTATACTTGTCTATATTTTATAATATTTAGGTATATACTAATAAACAAAAATATATTCCATATTTATATATTCCTAAATATTAAAAATTATAGACACGTGTAATTCTACGTATATTTATACGTATAATTTTTGTTTCAAATTCGTATGTCTTATTATACATAAAATAATACGTATAATAGTACGTATTATTATACGTATATTTATACTAATTATTATACGTAGAATTATACGTGTTTTTTTCAATAGGGTCGGAAGTTTTAGGGGTTGCTTATTATGAATCTGATATATCATTCAGTCTTCAAAAATGTAAATAGCGGACGAGTTTATATAATAATTTATTGCATTCAATTGGAATTTAGTTACTTAAGGGTTTTAGAGTCACTGATTACGAATCTGATTTTAGTTTTTTAAAATAAAAATCGGATGGTTTTTTAGGAATTTTTTTGACAAAACTGTTAGAGGTAGGACTTATTTACATTTATTGATGCTTTAATACATATATTAAGCTTTATAAATATTTTAAAAAAATTGTTTTTAATTAAAAATGGCGGATATATAAGTATTGGCGTGGATCAATTTGTCCGGAGCACTCCTTGACGGTGTACCTGATTGGCAGTTCAATTTTTGTCTGAAACAAGTAAAACAATATTTTTCTTAAAAAGTGACAAATTTTGAACAGAGTGACGAAGCCATTTAAAAAATGAAAATTTTTTTACGCAAATGGAAGCACTTCAAAAATTGACATTTTTTTGGGCTAAAAATACCGTATAAAAAATTGGATAAAAAATTTTCAAATTATTCAATCGAAAAAATCCCACGTCACTCTGTGGAAAAACTATTTAGGAAGATGTATATTAATTTGCAAGTCAATCGGTTGAATTGTTTTTGAGTTATCGTGTACACCGTCTCGAAAAATGTGGTTTCGAGAAAAACGCAAAAGAAGAAAAAAATATACTTTAGTGTATTATAACTTAAAAATTTTTTAACTTACTATTTAATCAGCAATTCCTGGGCCATAATACTATTCTCCTAGAATGGAAAGAATGTCCTATGATCTGAAAATGGAAAGTCGTTAAGGAGGCGCTAGACGGCTTCTAGCAGCTCTCGGCGCGTCCCTACCGGCTGACTTCTAAAGATCATAACTTTTGTAATTAGTGAGACATTGTCTTCGGAGACATCTCAAAATATTCGTTAGAATATAAATTTTGAAATTAAGCAAAAAAAAATCAATTTTTTGAAAATTTCAGGGTGGCGTAACCCCTTAAAGGAATTATTTATTAATTTCTAATATAATTCTCTAAAAGTTATATGTAGAACCTTTATACAATTGAACTTTGTTCAAAAATGTCTTTTTAGTGACAGTGGTTGAGATTTCTTTATTAGAATAGTTAAATAAAATTTATTACGAATTTCAAATTCATAGTGTCGAAAAATACAAAAAATTATAAATTTCTTAAATTCATGAAATTATAAATTATTTCGCATTAATTTGACATAAATAAAGTATGTAAGAGTATCTCAAATTATTATTACAAAATATCTTAATTTGATCAAAATCAAAATATAGGTACTTTGTGAATCAACAATTGTTTTCACTTAAAAAATTTCTTTTTGGATTTTATATAGAAAATAAATATATTAGTGCCAAGTTTCATATATATATCGATTGGTGAGAGTTTAATCCGAAAAGTTTTTCTTATATCCAAATATTATGCATTTGCATTTTGAAGTAAATTGTAAGCTGTATAAGATGTCCTCAAAATCTGTTAACCATAAATAAAAATTTTTTTTTCTTTTAATATTTCATTTATAAACATAAGTTTACCTTGAGAAAAGTATCGTAAGTCATAGGAATAATAGAGCCACTCGTTATAGCTATTGGATGGCTTGCGCGTAAACAGATTAGAAGAAGTCCATGTTTTGTATTTCTTGTTAATACAGTCCAATCCATCATACTCATAACATTTGCTATTTTCAAACTCTGGTTTATTAAAAAATATGAATTAAAAATTTTATTACTAATAATTCAACTTTTATATTTGTTTTTTTAGCAAGAAATTTGAAAGTGAAAATTACAAAATAAAAATTAAAAAGAATAATTCAAAGTAAACTACAAAGAGAGATAATTGAACCTATACATACTTTTAGCATGACTTCATTTCCAAAATGACAATAAAGAAATATTTGAAATAAAAAAGTTGACAACGCCATACTTTGAATAACAACTCTATCATTAATTACATTTTTAGTAGATAAACTGAATACAAGAGTACAAATATTTAAAATTGATCCAAAGAATTGAATACCAAATACAATGCTAAAAATATTATTTAACTTACTACTAAACCTGTAATTAAAAAAATCATTTTTTATCAATTTATAGTTCTTTTTTGAATTATGTAAATATAATTCATGATAAATCAATAATTTAATTTATATATATATATATATATATATATATATATATATATATATATATATATGGGTCATTTCATTTGAATTGTCATAATCGTGTCGTGTTTGCCAATAAAAACTTTCTGTTATAATTTTTGGTAAAATTTATGTTTTGATGTCGTAAAATAATACAATCTCTTTTAATATTTTTTCAACTTGCAAGGATGTAAAGATGATGTATTAAAATTGGGGTTTTATGGACATTTTTTGATGAAACTCAAATAGAAGTAACTGATTATGAAGATGATTGTAATTTAATGAAGAAGATAGAGAAATTTTAAATAAAACTGAAAGAGATTTTGATAATTTTATGCGCGAATTTGTTGTAGATGTTAAAAAAGAAAGATCTAAAGTTAAAGAAAAAAATAAAAAAAAACAAAATAATCGCGAAGTAAAAAAAATTAATGATCAAATTAAGTGATAGAGTATACTCAAGTATAGATATAAACAAAAGAGTTTGCGAGAATATTAGACTTAATGTCGACGAAACTATAGATAATATGTAAAACAATAGATGATATATAGACAAAAAAGTAAATAATACTAAATTGTGTACAGTCGAAAATTTTATAATTGCAACGGATAAATGAATTAAAAATTAAAAGCATAATAGATAAACAAGATAAAATTGAACAAAGAATAAATAAAATAAAATGTAATAATATGTATAGCATCCAAAAGTTTATGGATGAAAGATTTTCCATTACCAAAATTTTCCGGCAGTACTCAAGAACGCCCGATGACGTATTTGCGCGAGTTAGAAGATTATATAAATCTAAATGATATAAATAATGTCGAATTTAAATATTTAATTCAAGTGAGTTTGGAAGGCATATTTAAAGAATTGTGGAATTTAGTATTATAATGATGATTATTTGAATTTTTAAAAAAAAATTTATAAATCGTTTTTAGAATGATGAAATTCGTTTTATAATTAATACAAATTTACAATTTGGTAATTATAATCCAAATGGTAAATTATCAAGATCGGCATACGCGATTAAAATAATAAATAAAGCCAAAGATTTAATTCCATTACCTTCAGAAAATAAGATTATTATTTTAAATTTCTATTCATTTTACAGAAGACATTCAAACACTGCTATTATTATTATAGAGGTATTAAAGATGTAAATAATTTATTAGATATATTAGAAAAATTTGATCAATCAGGATCCAGTCAAATCACAAAGAAATTTTTTTAATCATAATGCTGGAAATTTTTAAAATAATTCAAGAATTAACTCTAATATGATAATAGTCAACGCGGCTATATCAATTTCTTGAACAAAGTAAATCAATGATTGGAGTAGTGTTTTGGTGTTATTCCCGTGCAGGGTTTCAGCAATTGATGTAATACTGTGTTATTTTGTTTGGAAATATTTTAAATTTAATTGTTTTCAAAATTATTGTCAATTTATTCTAATTTTATGCACTGAAAAATAATTTATTTGATTCGAATGAGGAAAAAAAATATTTGATATTAATAATATGTTATCATCAGCTATAGCAGAAAATTGAAAACCTAAGAGAAGAAAGAAAAATTTTTCAAAGTGACATTATTTTTCAAATTTAATTTAATTTCGTGACTACTATGAATTTCATTTAGGGTCAGTCGGGGTAAATCCGAACGGGGGGTAAATCCGAACGCTAATTATTTCAGCTTAATTAAAATTTTTAAAAATAAGTTCGATATGAGAATTTTTACCTCAGATCCTCTTGAAGAGATTCTAAGTATTATCCCATTTTTTGTTTGTTAATTAGCAACAGCATAAACAAAGATAACAAGTATTGCAAAAAAGATTGAAAATCAAAGATGACACTCTTTCAGTATTTTGTCTCGTATTTGAAGAAAAAGAAGCTAAAAATTCATTTTATTATTTATAATTGTTTGTTATGAATACTAGAACAGAAACTATTTTTGATTTTTGCCTTCTGTAAAATTTTATTAATAATATCAGACCGTTCGTATTTACCCAAAAAAATTGGAAAACTGGGGTAAATCCGAACGGTATTTTTAATAATTTTTTTTTACATCAAAGCCACACAAAATTGTTTTTATTTGATTACACTATTATTTTAACATTATAAAAGTACATAGAAAAAAGTTTTTCTTTCTATACGTATCCTCGTTAGTAATTAATAAGCAGAAACTTAATCTCTGTTCTCTCGAAGGAGTGTTCCACTTTTTTTTGCCAAATGGTTTGTTGAAAAAAGTTTTACAGGATCTTAATAAAATTTGGTATTCTACGGTTTTTGGGGTCGCTAATTACCAATTTGAAGTCAGTTTTTCAAAATTCAAAATGGCGGACGAGAATTAAAAAATTCATTGGATTCGCTCGAAAATTGTTACTCGGGGGGTTTCAGGGTCGCTGATTACGAATTTTTGATCATTTTTAAAAATAAGTTTTAGGAAAGTCCGACATTTTGAATTTAAAAAATTTGACTTTTATTTTTGTATTTACATTCAATCACTCCAAAATACTTTCTGTACCAAGTTTTGCAAAAATCCGTTATGATTTGATAAAGTTATTGAAGGTTTTAATTGTGTAATGCATTTTAATTTTTAACCTGTTTGATTTTTGTATTTATATATGATGCATTATTACATAATAGGTTTATTATCGTATTTTTTTTGAGTTTTTATATAAGTTTAACAATTGCAATACTTTAAATTTATTTTCCCTAAGATTTTTCTGAAATACAGTGGCGTTCGTATTTACCCCCATATTTTAGGAAAGTTGCAAAGTATCGAGGTAAATACGAACGCTAAGTTTCCTGCGATTGTAATTTATCAAAAATTTTTTCTACCCCATAAAATTGTTCTATGGAAGTAAAGTAACAACTTCATGCACCAGAATACCGGAAGTATTTTTTTTTTAAAGAAAAAACTTATGTTATTGTTGAAACTTACTAAAAGCGTTCGGATTTACCCCAGTTGACCCTATCTAATACATATATAATTGTTTAAAAAATATTGGTTTCAATGTCAAAATCGCAACTTGCAACGTCAACTTTTGTTGAGACTGAAAATGACAATTTAAATAAAAAATGACCCATAAACCCCCAAAGCACATAATCTTGCTGCAATATATTGGTGTATTGTTCTAATAATTACACAAATATTTTTATTACAGAAATATCTTGTGCTTTGAAAATATATGCATTTATATCGCACATGTAAACGTAATTATGATGAACAATACAGTTTTTAATAATTTTCTCTTCCTCTAATTCATTAAAACTTATATTGTTTCTACGCAAGTATGATAAACTTATTAAATGATGATATATTATATCGAGCTGAGAACAAATTTGAATCAACATTGCCATTACAAAAGTTTCAGATGCAACAGTAATACAAGCACCAAAATAAAATGACACAGATTGACCAATGTATGTCAAACAAAATGCTAATTTCTGATTATAATCGTATGGTAATGATGTTTTCACTGGTAAACTGATATCATTTTTTCCTTTTGTCAGTCCTCCAAATATCATCGTTAACACTGTGATAGAGGTTGTTATAAAAAAAAACTTTGTATTCCTTCTGAAACGAATTAATTAATTTAAATTAAATTTCAAGTACTGGGTTGAGATATAGTAGCTTACATAGCTGTATAATCACATTTGTCCTGCATGATTTTCTCTTTATTGTCACGAGGTTTTAAGTAATCTTTATTTAAAATATTTATTAATTTTATAATATCTTCTCGTCGTAAAAGAAAGTTTATCATTTTGACAATAGCAATAAAAACTGCAAGAGACCAACATAACGATTCTGCGAATTCATCAATATCATTTAATGAACTGATAGCAAGGTATACGCACAATGAAATGTTATAAGATTGTAAAAGAATAACGACAAAGACAGTAAATGTATTGTACAATGTCTTCGTGATAAACGATGACCAATTTATTGGTCTGTAGGCTCCAGCAATTGTAAGAAGCTTTATTGAAAATTCGGCTTTATACATTTTTTTTCAATCCTCTCCCATCGTCAAATAAATGACTTTTTATTATTTTTATATATTATACTATTAAATTTTATATGTTCAGAAATCAAAAATAAATTACTATACATTCTATTCTTTCAAAATAGTTTTTTTTAAATAAAATTAATTACAAGAGGTCAAATACAAGTAACACAAGTTTAATATGCAACTAAATTCTTATTGTGATTGAGGATCAAAGATTTAAAGTTTCTGTAGAAAATTATAGTTTCTGCTAGACTATAAATAGATCTCCTTAAGTGAAATAAAAGCGCATTTATTATTCCATAGTTATTCACCCTATCTAATAAAATTTTAAAAGGGATAATAACATACATATATATGGGGAAATGAATATAATTAATATTTCATTTGATGCATGAGGCAAAATCCTGTTTCCAATGTTGCGCACCTCTAAGCTCTCGTTAGTTATTTATCTATCAAAGAGTCATAATACGTAAAATGATAATAGTCGCATTTTCAACCCTTCATCGAATCCATTATAATTTCATATATCACTCACGAACTTATTGGTAAATTGTCAGGATATTTCTATTCTTATAAACTTCGATTATTATGAAGATAATTTTGCTATGAATTCGATTTTGAAAATCCACTGCAAGATATTAAAATTCGACGGATGAAAAGTTAAAATAAATTCTTCACGCCGATAAAGTCCGATGGAGGTTGAATTTAGTGATAATTTAATAATTTTTTTTTTTTTTTAATAATTCCAAACAAGATGCAACAAAAATCGGAGATAGGATATAATTGTTTTCAGGGTACCGTGTTTTGTGCGCTACAATAGACTTTCTTACGCTTATGCATTGTAACGCGTCCATCAAAAATTCTTTTCTCTAATAACGTAACTTGGCAGGTTCTTTTAAAATATAACAACGATCCCATAAAATGATAGTGGAATTATTTTATTAATTCAAGTAGCTTAGTGCTTTCCAGGAGATCTTCGAGATTAAAATTTTTTTTCTTATTTGTATTTAAACTTCCACTGTTTAATTGAAACAGTAATTTTAACAATAAGATTTTATTGATTATTTCAAAAAATCAACTGTCTAAGTAAAAACAATTATTTATTTACAAAATATAATGCTGAAAATTGTTGAAATGCACCATATTAAAATTTTTAAAACCATTAAAGATAGTTCGGTAGTTAAAAGCGGAGTTATCATCACTTTAAAAAATCAGTTTTGCTAAAACTTTAAATTTCTGAAATTAAAATTTTTTATGTAATTTTTAAATTTTTGCGGAACTATTATTTTTTTATAATGATTATTCATATAGAAACTATTGAAATAAATGTTGTAGAACTCTAGAACTATCGCCAAACTGTTCAAAACTCTAAACATATCTTTCATTTAAAAAAAAAATGATGCTAACTGCACATGACTTATTTATGGTATATTTTGATATTTAACAAACTTATGCGTTTGCACTTTGAAGTAAATTGTAGGCAGCGTAAGATGTTCTCAAAATCTGTTAAAGATAAATTTTAAATTATCTTATTAAATACTTTGGTATATATATATCAATTAAATATTAGGTTAATTCCAGATAATTATAATCTGTAGAAAAATACTAGATATACAAATATGCATAAATTTTCTAATTACGAATATTCTATTTTATAAATAATATTATGTTAGTAAAAGTAAAAGTTTTAGGTGTCTGGAATTAGCCCTTCTGTGACGCGTGTCTGAAAAAAGAGTACTTACAACCAAATAGTCGATTTTAATTTTTTCTGACAAATTTTAAGTAAATCTGATGAACCTTGAAAAAAATAAGTCATATTTTGGACCCACAAGGTTAACTTTAAACACTTTCGTAATTCACGAAACGTTAATTTATGTTGTAAGTACTACTTTTCCAGATAGGATACGTCACAATTCTGTCTTAAGTTATCTCAAATTATAAATATATTCCAAATAATATAATATTAAAATTAATACCTTGAGAAAAGTAAAATAAGTCATGGGAATAATAGATCCACTCTTTAAAATTATTGGATTGTTTGAGCGTACACAGACTAAAAGAAGTCCATGTTTTGTGTTTCTTGTTAATACTGTCCAATCCATCATACTCATAACATTTGCTAGTTTCAAACTCTGGTTTATTAAAAAAAAAAAAAACAATTTCAACTCACATTAATGTTCTTTTAAAGCTTCTGTGATTACTTTTAGACTATACATACTTTTATCATAACTTCATTTCCAAAATGACAATAAAGAAATATTTGAAATAAAAAAGTAGCTAACGCCATACTTTGAACAATAACTCTGTCATTAATTTCTTTCTTGGTAGATAAACTGAAGACAAAAGTACAAATATTTAAAATTGATCCAAAGAATTGAGTAAAAAATACAATTCTAAAAATATCATTTAATTTGCTACTAAGCCTGTAATTTTTAAAATAATATTTATGAATTTTGCTTATAGTTGTCTTTCGATTATGGTGAGTACAATTCACATATAGCACATGATGTTTCTGCAATGTATACAGGTATATAGGAAAATATATTTTGATGCGATATATGCTCTAATATAAATATTTCTAACATTGTAAAAATATCTTGTACTATAGGAATATGCATTTATATCGCACATGTAAACGTAATTATGATGAACAATACAGTTTTTAATAATTTTGGCCTCTTCTCTTTCATTAAACATGATAGATTTTATATTATTTTTATATAAATATGACAAATTTTGTAGACGATGATATATTATATCTAGCTGAGAACAAATTTGAATCAACATTGTCATTACAAAAGTTTCCGATGCAATGGTAATAAAAGCACCAAAATAAACGGACAGAGATTGACCAATGTATGTCAAACAAAATGCTAATTTTTTATTATAATCGTATGGAAATGATGCTTTCAATGGTAAACTGATATTATCTTTTTCTTTTGCCAATCCTCCCAATGTCATTACTAACGCTGTTGCATAGGTTGTTATGAAAAAATACTTTGTGTTCCTTCTGAAACGATTTAAATTAATTAATATTGTGTATATAATGTAGTTAAAGAAATTGAAGTCTTCCTACAATCAGTTGAACAAATTTCACCTTGTATTTATATCAAAATTTTTGATCGGGAATTATAAGAAAGGAAATGTATTAATGAACTGAAGAAACAGAAGCAATGATGAAGTTTAATTTATGTGTTATAAATTAATTTGTGCGAAAAATAAATTAAATTAATCTAAAAATTTTATATATACACTGACCTAGCTATAAAATCACATTTGTCTTGCATCAATTTCTCTTCATTATCACGAATTTGAAAGCAATTTTCACTTAAAATATTTATCAATTTTATGATATCTTCTCGTCGCAAAAGAAAGTTTATCATTTTCACACAAACAACAAACGCTGCAAGAAACCAACATAATGATTCTGCGAATTCATCAATATCATTTAATGAATGAAGACTAAGATATATGCCCAATGAAATGTTATAAGAATGCAAAAGTATAAACACAATAACGGTAAAAATATTATAGAGTGTCTTTTTAAAGAATGATGAACAATTTATTGGTCTATGAGCTCCAGCAATTATGAGAAGATTTAATGAAAATTCGCCTTTATACATTTTTTCAATTTTTCCCCCTCGTCAAATAAATGACTTTTTATTTTGCAAATATTATTAATTTGCACATGTTAAGAATCAAAAATTTTTTTCTTTGAAAAATTTTTAATTTGTAAATTCAATTATAAAAGTTAGCAATAATGTTTATATGGAACAATTATTATAAAGTATAAAATTAAAGTCTTCTGGTTGAGAATCTACTGTAGACGATTCCAAAGTTTTAGTAAGCTTAACTATAGATAATTCTCGTTACACGCATATGAAATAAAATTGCATTTATTATTCCATAGTTATTCACCCTATCTTATATAAATTTAAGAGCATAATAGCATGTAAGTACTTGAGGAAAGAAATATAATTTCATTTGTTATATGAGGCAATATCGCTTTTTCAATATGTAAGCTCTAAGCCCTAGTTATTTATTTATCTTTAGGCCTGCATAGAGTTATAATAATACGTAAAATGATAATAGTCGCATTTTCAACCCTTCAGCGATATCCATTATAATTTCATACATTACTTTTGAACAAATCGGTAAATTGTCAAGATATTTCTATTCTTAGAATAACTTGGATCATGAAAATAATGTTACGTTTCATTAAATTGTGAATTTAATTTTATTTAATGGGTCAGTCCACTGACTTTCGTCTAATAGTGGTTGCGACCAAATTTTTCAAAAATCTAGTTTTAATATATGTGAAACTCGATGATTCCCTGAGTTCATTAACCATAATATTATGGTAAAAATTTTATTCCCTTTAAAAATATTAAATATCAAAAGTAGGAGGTTCACAATGTGATTTTGTAACCTTAAATTTTTCAATTTTTTAAAAACGCTATTATTAAAAAACTATTAAAAATTAGATGTTGGAACTCACCAAAAACATAAATCACTTTATTCTGCACAGAGGAACGAAAGAATTATTGCAAAAATTTATTATTTTTGGATGATATACGATTTTAAAAAAAATTTTATTTAAATATTCTCAAGATTTTTATTTACTTATAACTTTTTTGTCGGTGCTCCGAAAAAATTGAGGTTTTGCACAAAGATTTTTTATAATATTCTTTACCTTCTATTAAAATCTTACGAAGGTGTTTTGCTTCGTTTTGGAGATATTAATTTTTAAAATTTATTATTTAAAAAGGTTAATTAAAAGACTTGAAGTTAACTGACCAATTTCAAATCGCTACATTTTAATATATTTTTATAAACAATGGAGCAGTTTGAATTTGGTTAGTTAACTTCAAGTCTTTTAATTAACCTTTTTAAATAAAAAATTTTAAAAATTAATATCTCCAAAACGAAGCAAAACACCTTCGTAAGATTTTAATAGAAGGTAAAGAATATTATAAAAAATCTTTGTGCAAAACCTCAATTTTTTCGGAGCACCGACAAAAAAGTTATAAGTAAATAAAAATCTTGAGAATATTTAAATAAAATTTTTTTTTAAATCGTATATCATCCAAAAATAATAAATTTTTGCAATAATTCTGTCGTTCCTCTGTGCAGAATAAAGTGATTTATGTTTTTGGTGAGTTCCAACATCTAATTTTTAATAGTTTTTTAATAATAGCGTTTTTAAAAAAATTGAAAAATTTAAGGTTACAAAATCACATTGTGAACCTCCTACTTTTGATATTTAATATTTTTAAAGGGAATAAAATTTTTACCATAATATTATGGTTAATGAACTCAGGGAATCATCGAGTTTCACATATATATTAAAACTGGATTTTTGAAAAATTTGGTCGCAACCACTATTAGACGAAAGTCAGTGGACTGACCATTAATAAAAGAAGAAAATAATTAAGAAAATTATGTTCGTTTGCAGTTTTATGTTGTGTAATTTTTGAAAATAATTTAAAATTAGGTACATTAAAAAAAATTAAAATTTTTCAAGTCTCATTTACGCACATTATTCGGATTCAGAATTTCGGAAAATCTTTTAAATAATTAAATTTTCCAACAATTTTATTAAAATATTGAAAAAAAAATTAATTTTAAATGAAAATTTGTGAAATAATTGAATTTCAGAAAAAATTTTAATTAAAATTTTAAAAATAATTGTATTTGGAAAAGTTTAATCAATGAAATTTTTTACAAATTTCAGATAATATTTGAATTTTAGAAAATTTTCAACTGAAATATGTTCTAAAAAATTTTAATTTTGATGGAGTTAGTTAAGATTTTTAGAAATAATTGTATTTTTTGAGATTTCAATACTTATAATTTTGTTGTAAATATAAACATTAATTAAAAATTACGATTTAAATAAAAGAATTTTTGAAAAATTGGATTAAAACTGTTATAATAATTAATTATAAACGAAGAATTATATAGATAAAAATTTGAGAAAATAATTTTCAATTGAATTAACATTCAATTAATTATTCAATAACTAATTGAGTTCGGAAGAGTTCAAGTTAAAATTTTTTTGCAAATAATTAAATTTCAGAAGATTTTAAATTGAAACTTTCATAAATATAATTGATACAATTATTTTTACAAACTTTAAAGAATAATAGAATTTTAGAGCATTTTTATTAAAAAGCTTTTAATTTCCCTGAATTGTTGAAAAACTGTATTAAAGTAATTTTAAAAAAAATTAATTTATCGTTTATTTATTAAATAAATTTTTTAGAATTAATTGAATTATAGAGAATTTTCAATTAAAAAATGTTTTAAAAAATTGAATTTCTCATTCTCATATCAAAGAAGCTTGCAGAAATTTGTCTCCTGCTGACGCTTGGTTGTCTAACTGCTCAACTCTTAAATGATTGGTCAGTGCTCTACGTTTAGTTTTTAATTGACGTTTCCCTGGCGGATTCGATTTGCGTAATGTCTACTTAACTAAGTGGACTTTAGGTAGACATTAGGTAAACATGTAAAAAAACGTATAAAAAAATTTACAAAAAAATTTGTAATTTATAAAGCATTAAATAATTAATAATGAATGGAAATGTGCGCGAGGTACCTGATCAGTTCAGCTGTACAATTATTTTCGTGCTATTTTCATGAAAAGAATATAAATTAACGGCAAAAACAATTGATATTTATAAAAAAGTGTAAAATTGATTTAATTTGAGTGTTTGCAATACGAATTATTAAATAATAATTAAGTTTTTATCAAATGTGAATAGTGTTGTGAAAACCTGTGAAAACTAATGAGTTACTACATTACCGATCGCATATGATAATAAAAAGTTCTCGATGAGTGTAACAAAGGGCTGTACCAGTTCTAAAACACAGGTAATGCAGGTATCTACCTTACCGACATATGGTAACTCTACTTTACCCTTGATGGATGTTACCGACCGTTGTCGCGCGATGGCGCTGTTGTTCGCGGGAATTTTTGAAATTTTTAACCCGTTTGGTCACCTCCCTTACCACCCACTTTCCACCAATAAAAAAAAACTCGTGAAATTCGAGGACTGTTATTGAAAACCTCTTGAAATATTTTCATAAGGGTCAAAGGGAAAAAATTTTAATTTTAACTGGAAATCAGGGAAAAATCAAGGAAAAACAAAATAATATCTTTCTGTCAGCCCTTTTAATGTTTTAGAGCCATATTAGTGTTCAATTACTAGTTTACGGTTATTTAAAATATTGATTTATATTCTATAAGTAAAACTAATTCTAAAATCAATAACAAACTATAATGGATTTTTGCAAAATAATAAAAGAAAACCTTGCACAACTTTTGTTTTTCATTTTTTTGTACTTTTCTTTTACATTTATCTTCTCGGTGGTCTTAATCATTCTCTGAAAAAATCAAACTCTATTTTCACTTTTACTTCTGCCATATACAGGTAAACGAAGGCAATTCCTTTTATCCCGAATACACAGCCTAATTAAATAATAAAACCATTAATATAAGTATAAAATAAAAAAATTAAGAATTTGGAAAAAATAAGTAGAAAAATTAAGTTAAATAAAAAAAAAATAAACAAATTTACCTGATCCTTTCCAGCACTAACTCTCCAAAAAATGCTAATACTGATGTAGTACAGCCCAAAATCATTGTCCCAATTAGTAACGATGTAACCTTTACATTTTGATTTTCATCCCCATCATCATTTTCATTGTAGGAATTACTCTTCATAATTTTCATTTCATCAATGCTCCATTTTTCCACAAGTCCAGTTGCAGTCAATTGTAAATATAATGTTTGGAATTTTTCAACATACGGTGAGCCTGGTTCCAAATAAAATGAAAGTGCCGTTGAATACAAATAATTGTCCAGATATTTTAAACGTTTTGCTCTATTGACAACTCGTGTTTGCCAAATTGCTGATGAAAGCTTTAAAACACAAGCCACATTCTTTGTTTATAGCAAACGTTTAACGCAATTATCATATTCAACAAATCGATCGTCATTTCCCAACCACTTTGTTAAATTTTCTTGCTGAATAATACCCTTGAATATTGGTATTGCATTTATGTGACAACCAATTTTTAAATTGCTTTTCACCAATTCACTTAAATTGTTTATCTGTACTTCTTTATTTAATTGATATTGCATATCCGTTAATGAGGCAAAAATATCCGATGACCAAAGAAATGCGACAATTAAAAATGACATGAAACAGCATTTTTCTTTTAATTTCTCAGGTTCTCTTTCAGCAGACATTCCAAATAATATTTGAATTATCACTGTTCTATTCCAAATAGTTTTGTCAAAATTTCCAAAATACTCGATTGTCCAGCTTGTTACTATGCTCAACACTAATAATATAATTGAAAAGTAAAATGAATTTCCAATTAAAAACGAATATGATGTCTTCTTAATGTGTGGAACAACAAGTAAATAATGATCCAAATCTGATATCATGTATTCATTTGTATCTACTGGACACATAGCTTTAGTAATTATTGTTTTATAGGCAATCAATTGAATATTGTTGTAAAATAATTCTCTTAAAAGTCCAGATGACTTTGATTTTATACAGCTAAACCTACCAAAATCATTCTCATTTTTTTCAATTAGTTCAATTTTAAAATTCATTTTTCCTGCGAATGCTTTAAAGAATGTTGCATCTGGTCCTACAAAATCAGTCACATGAGTTAAATTTCGTTTTAATAGCATAACAGGTGGATAATTAAAAACTCCCATCTTTAATATATATCCATTTAAATTTTTTAGCTTATTGGGAAATATTTTTGTCCTCATTGAAAATGGTTTCA